AGGGACATACCAGGTAACTACGTACCTATCTGTAGGATCATAATATTGCATACTATGGAATATGCAACAGGGCGCGATGAGTATCACAGCTCCCACGGCGCTGCAACTCCCAAAAGTAATAATTCCAGACTCCCCTCTACTCTAGACTGACCTTCGCTTATCTCCTTCGAAATAAAAGCTAGAATCATGTAATCTGTAGGATACACGTTGCTGCTTGTAGATGAAATAGAGACCCCGTGCAAATAACTTCATCCTAAGTTCAAAAAGAAAAACGAGAAAAGGCGGACATTCCCGAGAGAATACTTTCCAAAACTTAACCATGAAAGACAAGACAACAGGGAAAGTTGACAAACATGGATTAATCTATTTGGCAGCCTAGTTGCTAAATATTATTTGGCAGCCCATTGCCAAATATAATCAACTTTCAAGACTCTCTTTGGCAGCCCAGTTGCCAAATAACATTCATTATTTACTTGGCAGCCTACCCAGCGTTATTTGGCCTCTAACTATTTTTTTTTTTTTTTTTTTTTTTCATTCCTAGGAACCGTATATGTATATAACGCTCATACTTTAAATTAATACAGCTCCCGTCTTCTACGTCATAGTCATGTGTAGTGACATTGTCTTGTCTCATTTAGAAAACTAATCTTTTTTTTTTTTTTTTTTTTTTTTTCAAGTAGGTCGCTCATACAGTTTTGGAGGTGCCATTTGGAGATCAATGCCTATGAGAGGTTTTCGCTCGGAGCAAACGCGTCTCACCTACTACCTAGACGTCTTCAATAAACCATTCCCTAACCGTGTACATTGAAGGCTGTTTTGTGAAGATGTCATCGCCGCTGCCCTTAGTACCTCCGGCGGCATTAGCTGTGCAAGGCAATGTATCCACAGAACGCTGCCTGTTTTACCACTGATGCTATGACACTGTTATAAAAAAAAAAAAAAAAAAAAGTAATGTATTTGGCAGCCCAGCTGCCACCCAAGAGTGCGAAGTTAAGTGGCAGCCCCCAGAAGTAGGCTGCCAAATAGAGGCAAAAATTACTATATTTGGCATGGGCTGCCAAATAGATTAATCCGACAAACATAGGCTTATTGAAGTAGCTAAAAAAGCATCGTCAACAGCAGGATTTGAACCTGCGCGGGAGATCCCATGAGATTTCGAGTCTCACGCCTTAACCGCTCGGCCATGTTGACATGATGAGGTCGGCAAACCAATTAAGAGTAAGCACGGTTCCGTAGTGTCGTAGAGCATCTACTAGTGATCTCTGGAAACTAGTAGGTAATAATGAAAAATGAAGAATTGGGCAAGAGCCTCGTGGTTTTGGGATACGATAGTGATCCTAAGTAATGCTTTGAATGATTTTGAGGATGCTGCAAAAGGGCATCGATAATAAGAAGAGAGATCTTTAATAACTGCTAATTTTCTGAGAATTCATAATGAGAATAATGAAGATAAACTCACCTGCAAAAGGGCATCGATAATAAGAAGAGAGATGCCGTTTTTGCAGTGAAGGAAAAAGCTACTTAAATACTATTTAAAAATGGTAGAAAATAGGATGATAGGAAATAAATAAATTGAAAGGAAATACATATTTAGGTAAATGAATAGGCGTCATTTACGACAGTAGTTCCGTGGTGGGCAGCCATTTCGAGAGCGCTCTTTAAGCAGGGCGGGAAGGTAACTGTGAAATGGGTCAAGGGCCATGCTGGGAATAGAGGCAATATAAGGGCAGACCAAGCCGCCAAAGATGCTCATTTTAGCGAAATGTGGACAATCAAAGTACTGGAACACAACGATCTGCGCTGCCACGCTATTTTCGAGAACGAGGTGGTGGAGGATGATCTTAGACACCTGCTAAAACTCCAATCAGCAGTGAGAACACATTACTTGTGGGCGTCTCAGAACAGAGTCAGGAATTATATTGCAGACTGGCGAGAAGTAGAATGGAAAGCAAGCCTGCATATTCTTCACGATGGCAACACGCCTAGAGGCCTCTTCACCAGCCCAGCAGATTGTCACAAGAGAGCGCACAGAATAAAGAAGGTCCATGGTATGCTTCCTACACTCACTTATATGAGGCAGTGGCGACCGGACCTGTATGAGACTGACATCTGCAGGATGTGTGAACAGGAGCAGGAGGACATAGAACACCTCTGGCGATGTCCCATGACACTGGACGAGCAATTGAAAGGTTGGAAGCAGGCCATAGAACTCATCACGAAGGATGGCAAAAGAGCATTAGTGAAGGAGAAGAAGCTCTGGGAAGACAAACAAGGGAAAACACAGGAGCCAAACCTGAATAAAGGAGGCCCCTCGTTTACACCTGTAGCCGACAACGTGATTTGGGGCTCTTTGGAAGCGATGTTCAAGGGCGTCAGAGAGATTCGACATGCGAGCACTCTGTTTGGTGAGGAAGATGTGGATATGGGACGGAGGAACGAGGGTGAGCATGCCCACTGGACTGTCCAAGACTTGTACCACGGTTTGGTGCCGAAGGAACTGATACAAAAATGGAAGACGATCTTCAGAACCACAGCATCGATCTCAAGGTACATTGTTTGCCGCTTTGTCAAGTCAATCGAGGAACTCGGCAGGACTGAAATCTGGAACAGACGCTGCAAAGTCACCGTCAACTGGGAAAGAGAAAATGGTATCACCTCTGTGAGCAAACGCGCCAGGGGACGCAACTGTGTTGGGAGGCACAGACGTAGCAGAGGTGAATTCTTTGGCTCTCACCAGGGACAACGACGAACAGCAGATGTGAAGGCGATCAGGACTGAGGCAGACCGGCGAGTGGCGGCAAGCTACCGGCAGCAGGTGGAATTGGCGATTATGGAGCGCCTGGAAAGCTGTAAATTTTTGATGATTGAGGACAGCGGCTAAAGGATGACCTTCGCGCACAACAGGCCAAGTAGGGAGTAGAGCCGTGCCACAGGTCCTCTGGGACCAAGGAAGTCTACTCAATGCTGACGTGGTTTATGAACAGGATGTAGTACTGTGGCAGTATGACGATGCGGCTTCGGCCGATTATTGGATACCGCTTTATTTGCGACCCCAGTAATGGGGCAACCCATTTATAGAGCTAACATCTAAATAAATCCTACATGACCTCGTGGGTCCTTGTTATCAAAAAAAAAAAAAAAAAAATTTACGACAGTAGTTCCGTAGTTCCGTCGGTATTAGTAAATTATGTAATTATGACTCATTCCTTAAGTGCACACTCCGCAAATGCACGTTCCGCGATATAAAATATAAAAAAATAAAGGCCACGTCGGAATCGTCAGGGCACCCCCCTGTCTAGCCCAGGGGCCGGGTTCGAGTCCTGGTTAAGGCACATAAAGTGAAGCAAACATGTGCCAGGTCAGGGATTTGCTTGAGTTTTTATACTTTCTCTCCGAGACAGCCTAGTGTTCTCCGCTAAGGCTAAGATCGTGGGTGCACTACCCTAAGTCGCCTGGCTGGCCACATGTCTTAGGTATATATTCCACCCCCCAGCCGAACCAGCGGTACATCTGGCAGCACATCCCCCCATCCACCCACTTGACTAGGACAGCGATGATCACAAAGTTTGACGGAGTCCAAAGTAGAAATTTCAGACCAATCCCGCAAGATTTGGGTCCACATGCCAGTGGATTTGATCGAATAGAAAAGTTAAAGTCGTCCTTAGCTAGAGTTGGCACGCCAGCCTCCGCGGCTTTTCACGGGCGCAACAGGCCACATCGGAAGGATGGACTTCGAGTACCGATCACGGTGTACATTGGTAGAGAAAAACATGGATACGAATTGGCTCTTCACAGCCATACCGTGCGAACTTTGAGAGTTTCGCTTGTTTCATATTTGAGGGCGATATCATTACTTTAGAGCGAGATTATGAAATAAAATTCCTCGCCTCTGTGGGTTCTTGTTAACACGGAATAAAGGCCACGTCGGAAAGGAGCACCTTTTTGGATCTCTCAAAGATATTGGCACTGAAAGAGTAAGTATGGCATTTGGTGTGGTAGTCCAGACACAAGAGGGTGATTTTTACACTGCGCTATCTGGTAGAGTAGCAGGCAACGCATCCTCGACAAAGGCAGAGCTAGCTGGTTTGTTGGCAGGAATACTTATCAGCCCACGAAACAGACCTATGACAATCCGACTCGATAACAGCGCAGTTGTGACTCAATTCCGAGCATTGGTCCGAGGCAGAGTGGATAGCACGTTGCGACAACGTATTAGATCACCGTATGCAGTATGGTGGGCAGCTATACACAACGCATTTATTCAACAAGGATCGGAGGTCACGGTCGAGTGGGTCAAAGGACATGCCGGCAACCGAGGGAACGAAGAAGCGGACGAAGCAGCAAAACATGGACATTATGGCGAGCTATGGGATATCAAGGTAACTGTCCCGGACTCGGTCATCCGCGATCTTGTAGATCTCTTTTACATTCAACTTCTGTCTTTGTCTGAGGGAAGGGACAAGGAAATCATTGCTACTACGTCTGTGCTCCCCAACACAGTTGCGTCCTCTAGCGCGTTTGCTCATAGCAGTGATTCCACGAGCCTTTTCCCATTCAACGGTGACTTTACACCGTTTGTTCCAGGGGAAAACCAAACTGGACGTGATGGAGCGGCTAGGTGGAATGAAGTTTTTGATGACTATGGATAGCGGATAATTTGTCGCGTTGCGCAACAGGCCACGTCGGAAAGGTGGACTTTGAGTACCAACCACGGCGGTCAGGGTTTATGAAATCATGGATGCAGCGGCTCTTGCCGTTTGTGCAGTAATAACTATTTATTGACTATAGTTTCTGGAGCATTTTGTTCATAGAGTGTAGAAAATAAGTCCCATGACCCTGAGGATCCTTGTTGTCAAAAAAAAAAAAAAATAATAATAATAATAGGGTAACCCATTTATAGAGCCTATTTCTAATTAAGTCTACATGACCTATCAAAAAAATAGCATAATGTCAGAATACATAGACATGGTTGTTTCTCAACTTTCACTTGAAAGTATGACATTTTACTTTATTCATTCCATGAGAAAAAAAACAAGGAGAAGCATTAGGTGTCGATAAATAATCATTGTATACATTTACAGAAGGCTTTAAAGTGAAAAATGAATCGTAACAATGGCTGATGTTTGCTAATCGGAGCCTAATCCCAGGCATCGTCGACATCAAGCAAATGATATAGTTCTTCAGTTGCCTGACGTAGAGCTACACTCTCAGCTATTTCTCTCCTTTGGCTCAATAGCTATTAAGATTGGAAAGCAAAGCATTAAGTTAAGTTTTTTTGTCTGCATAAGTTTTTTTTTTTTTTTTTTTTTTTTTTTACTTACTTCAATACGTGATAACGTGTTTTTGATGACATTCTCACGTTGACTCAATTGTTGTTGCAGTTGGTAGCATTGAGCATTCGCTGCATCAAGTTCTCGTAACGCTGAACGCGTCTTTTCTCGCTCCTTCTCTGTTGCTTTAGACCGTTGTTCCAATTCATTTCGAAGTTGATCATTCATTTTGAATAGACCCACTTCAGTTGCGGATCGTACCAATGAAGAAGCAGAGTTTTGACGGTTTAGTTGCTCCGAAGCATATAGTGATGAGCCTGTGGCTCCATTGGATTCTTCCTTGCCTTTCTGATGAATATCGACCAATTGCTGTAATTGCGCATTTTTGCGCTGTAGATTATCTATAGTCTTTTGAGCATTCCTACATTTTTTTTTTTTTTTTTTTTTTTTTAAAAAAAAGTGAAATTGGAAAGTAGTTAGTAAACGGAACAAAATTAAGAAATAAAAAGTAAAGAAAAGAAAAGGAAGAAAAGGAAGAAAACCTACTCATTTTCACGCGAAAGCCCAGCAACCCTCTCTTTAGCTCCCTGGCGCTCGCGCTTCACTCGTTCCTCTGCTTCTTTAGTTCTCTTTTCGAGCTCACGTAGTCGTGCGTTCCATCGTTCTTCCGCATCCATCGAGCGCGTCTTTTCGAGCTGAAGTTTGCGCTCTGCATGTTTGCAACGAGCCTCATAGTCTTGTGCTCGACTATCAGACACAGAACCCGCATAAGCCTTGAGCTCTAGAATTGTCTTTGTCAGCTGTTGCAATTTAGACTTGTAAAAAAAAAAAAAAGAAATCATATCAATCAAGGTGCTCTCAGGTATTCCAGTGAATGGCATAATATGGTGATATCGCAAACTGGAAAAATTGGAAAATGTAGGTCAAGTGGCTCGAGGTTTGCACAAAAATTATGGGCAACAACTCTTTTCAGATGATCTGTAGTTATTCTTCGAAGGTTATCCTGTAACCTTTCCATTTCTAGCAGATAAGGTCACTGCGCCGGTCCATGTGCTCGTTTTTTGTTCTCAAGCGAACTTGAAGAAACAAATAACAAGAACTCCATGACCGGTCTCTTCGTATTTGAGCACACTGAGATGCAAAGGCATTGTGGGCTTGATATATACAGCAAATGGAAGAAAAAAAAAGATTGGCCTCGTGGACATGGGTTAACAATACCTGAAGCTCCTCATTCTCTGTTTGTTTCTTGATTAATTGCTCGCGCCATTTCCGTTGGCGATCTGCTGCTGTGCGCACGATAGTCTCAAAGCGGTCTAGTTGCTTCAGTTTGAGATCTAGTTGCTTTTTCAACTGACTGGTAGGGGCAAAGAAAAAAAATGAATTAATAAAATGGTTAGTTATTTGGTGCACAAGTTTTCATATAGTTCAAAAGATTCTTTTAGTGTCGAAAATGTTACTTCATCTGCCCGATTGATTTGTCCTCTAGCTCCTTGCCCTTCTTTTCAAATAAGATGAACAGCTTGCTGAGGGATTTGAGACGTGAGATTAGATGGTTTGTGAAATAAACAAAATTAGCGGAAGGTTTCGGGAGCATGTCGCTGTCCAGTTGACTATCACCGCCGAGAATACTCTCGAGGTGCTGTAGAACAGTGAGGAGGAGTGAGTTTCGCTCAGTGAGATCATTCTTAGTGGACTCTTCCAAAACGTCATCGTCTCGTTGTTTCTGAGTGACTTGAAGCTCCAGCTCCTTAAGGCGTGACTTCATCATCGCAATAGTAGCTGCACTGTCGCGAAGGGCTGTTTCTAGCCGCTCCTTTTCCTCCTCAAGGGCAGCGACGGAAACATTCAATTTTCTTGTTTTAACGTTCTATATTTATGGCATATGGAAGTGTTAAAAGTGTTCCCACAGGAGGCACAAGATTCTAACGAGGTATAAAAATTAATGCCAATTACATCGCGAGCACTAGAGGGCTTACCAAACGATCCACTTCGTTAGAGCGAGAATGAAGAAGATCATTCTTTTCTACCCGGTTTGCCTTGATCTGCTCGACTTCCTGCCTGATATCCAAAAGAGCAGCTGTAGTAGCCTCCAAGTCCTACAAATAGCAATTTGAACACCGCTGTTAGCGGGATAGCATGATTGACCATCACAAATAAAAGGCTATAAACGAGACTATGTTGCTCACCGAATTCAACTTGTATTCCATTTCTTCGTGACGTTCTTCTACCTCTCGCGATTGTCTTAAGGCACGCTTGAGATGTTCCTCATAATACCGCACGTCGTTGTCGCGATCTTTCAAATCGTTCGCAAGTTGTGAAATTTCTTCTGAAGCCATGGCGAGTTTCTGTGACAAAAAAAGGGAAAAGAAGTACCATTTGAGGGGCCATGGCCTTGAATTATAAGCACAACAATTCAAAGGAAATCAAAAGACCTACATCCTGCAACTCATCAATCCGCTCGTTGTATCCTCTCTCTAATTGCTGACGTTCCTCGTCCCATTGCTGATAATTATTGGGATGGCGACCGCGCTGTAGCTTCTCTGATGCCATCCTTTGGTCAATCTCAATACGAAGTTGCGTCTCAAGTTTCCGGTTCTGCTCTTCAATTAATGCCAACTCTTCACGCATCATCTGAAAGTCATGAAGTGATACTGATTCGGCAGCCAAGTTGGCAGAAGAGCCCGGTTGCATTTTCTAGCCGTAATTGGAAGATGATAACCTCACATTCAGCAAGACCACTTTGAAAACCATCGCTCTGAGAAGATAAACTAAAACCATGAGGGAAAATTAAGAGAAAAAAAGAAGTTTCCTACCGACTTCATCCTTGTAATCACTTCATCATGGATAGCGTCAGCCTCACGCCGGGCCATTTCCATTTGCTCTAAACGGTCCTCCAGCTCCATTATTTTGCCTTCCCGCAACTGCAGCGCACCGTTAGCGCTCTGGAGATCTTCTTGTAGTTGTATTAATTCCGCTGTCTTGTCTTCTAGCTCTCCGACAAGATCCGCAAGCTCTTGATCGTGTCGAGCAGCATCTTCATTACGCCATGCCATTAGATCTTGTAACTGGGCTTCGAGTTGATCATTCATCTTACGAAGTTCTTCGAGGTCGATGTTCAAATCATTAATCTGACCTCGCATCTGTTGGCGATCTAGCGTCCAACGATCTGATAGCGCATTCATGTCGTTAGTATGCATATCCTGAACCTGGCGCAATTGTTCTCTTTCATCTTCCAACTGATGCGAAAGTTCTGCAATATCAAGCCTGGCCTTTGAAAGCTCATCCCTGTGTTGTTCAATCTGAAGATTCATATCCTGTTCATATGCAGCCTTCTCAGATCTCATCAGTGAGAGCTCCTATCAGTTTAAACAATTGTCTCAATCAAAAATACAAATCTTCTTGTATGTATAAAAATAAAATCAATGATAGTTTAACTAACCTGTTCAAGTTCTGACCGAACTTGATGAGAAGCATTTAGTTCTTGCTCTAGTTCCCTGTACCTATTTTCCCAGCCGTCATCCACACGCGCCTTTTCCGGTAGACGGGATTCGTTCTGTTGATATCTCAAGAGTTGTTCATGCAAGTCTCTGATCTGATCTTCGTACTTTGCGGTCAAATCCTTGAGCTGCTCGGCATTCCCTGCTTGATCTTCGAGCTCCTCCAAACGAGATCGCAGCTGTGCAAGCTCTAAATCCTTGGCATGGTTCTCCTGCTCCAATGCTTCTATCCGCTCCGCGAGTTCCTTCATAGCCGTCCTCAGCTCCAACGCATCTGCAATTGCATTTCGATAAGCCTCCTCTTCCTCCTCAGACATGCCGTGTTGAAGATCACAGTTTTTTTGCGCCTGGAGAGCCTCAATGGCGGCATGAGCCTCCATCAATAGACGTTTGTATTGCTTTAGTTCTGAGAGTAATGTTTGAAGCTTGACCTTTAGCTCAATGTTCTAAATATGAGCGGGAGTAAAAAAATGTCATGGGTGCCCTTTTCAGGGTGCGTGTAAACAAATATTATCATTGGTAAATCCATACATTTGCTTTAATATGATTGTTCGAGGGCTTCACCAGCATTTTATATTTATATTTTTTATTTTATTACCTCATGAGCAGCTTGATCTGCATGCTCTGGTGACAGCTTCGCAAGTCGATCTTCCAGAAAATACACTTTGAGTTTCAAACTGAAGTTCTGCTTGTTAAGCTCATCAATGATCTAGTTCCAGTGTGGGACAATGATTTTGAGTTGAAAGTCCATACACGCATACCGATAAGTTGAGGAGATAATAACATCCGACATGCCAAAAAAAAGTTGCTTTCTCTTCCACTTCTATTTGTCAAGTATCACACTTAATAATCCGAGCAATCAAAAGAGTTCTTTTATTCACCTTTTCCTGCTCCTTTAGAGTCATTGTCGCAGGTTTTCCAGCCGTGCTACTCCAGCGGTCAATTGTTTTCCGTGCTTTGGCACCATCAGTGATATCTGTCACGCCTGCGGAGCTCATGTGCCCACCAAGAGCATTTGGACGCGAATTGCTCCTTGCAGATTCATCAAGATTGATATCTGCGTCAATGGCATCGAAGGTCAGATCTAGTTTGGATTCTTCTCCTTCTTCCTCGTCTTCGTCTAATCCATGAGAGCCATATCTCAACAGTAGCGATTGGTCAGGGGAAGCTGCCCACTTTGGGTTTTCCATAGGGTAGAGTGGAGAGAATGAATAGGTTGTGAGACAGTAGATTGATGACTGACAAAAGGGTTGTGGATAATGCAGTGATAAAAGTGAAGTATGGACAGTGAATAGTGAACAGCAACAGTTTGACCAAGTGTATAAAATAAAAAAAATTACGCTGATGCAAGAGATGAAAAATGATGTTGAACAACAATGTTTCTTTCTTTTTCTTTTCTTTTCTTCCTTTCTTGTTCTTTCTTTCTTGTTCTTTCTTTCTTTCTTTCTTTCTTTTTTATTATTATTATGTATTTATCCTGTTCTTTGTTTATGTGCCTGTGAATGTGTGGGGTAAAGAGACGTAAATTGCTTAAAATTAATATCATTGCATTTAATGCTTTGATGACTTGGTGGCTTGTCTCCTTGCTGTTGGACTATGCACGTTTGTTCTTGCATTCTGTTCTGATGTCTTGTTCTGTCCTTGATTTTATCCTTTTCACACCATGACCATCCAAATTGTGCCCCTCGGCGCAGGACAGGACGTAGGACGCAGCTGCATCCTCGTTACTATCGGTGGCAAGAATATTATGCTCGACTGTGGCATGCACATGGGCTTTAATGGTAAATAAATGAGCCTTACTTTTTTTTTTTTTTGACCAAGAACTCATCATATATTAGTCCTTTTAGTAGTTAATGACATTCTTCTTATTCTTGATTGCGCCTTCTCAGATGAACGTCGATTCCCAGACTTTTCTTACATCTCTAAGACTGGCGATTTCACTGAAATGCTCGACTGTGTAATCATTTCCCATTTCCATCTTGACCACTGCGGTGCTCTACCCTTTTTTACAGAGATGTGCGGATATGATGGCAACATTTACATGACACATCCAACCAAAGCTATCTGTCCTATTTTACTTGAGGACTATCGCAAGATCACTGTCGACCGCAAGGGTGAACGTAACTTCTTTACCAGTCAGGATATCAAAAATTGCATGAAAAAGGTTATTGCCGTCAATCTGCATCAGACCATCATGGTTGATGATGACTTGGAAATTTGTGCCTACTATGCCGGACATGTTCTTGGTGCTGCCATGTTTTATATCCGTGTAGGTGAAGAATCCTTAGTCTATACAGGCGACTACAATATGACACCGGATCGGCACTTGGGGAGTGCTTGGATTGACAAAGTGCGACCCGACGTCTTGATCACGGAATCAACTTATGCCACCACTATTCGCGACTCGAAGCGATCAAGAGAGAGAGACTTTTTGAAAAAAGTTCATGACTGCGTTGCTGATGGGGGCAATGTTATCATCCCTGTCTTTGCACTGGGTCGTGCACAAGAGCTTTGTATCTTGATTGAAACATATTGGGAGCGTATGGACCTCAAAGTCCCGATCTACTTCTCTGCAGGACTCACGGAAAAGGCAAACCACTTTTATCGACTTTTTATCAACTGGACCAATGAAAAGATCAAGAGTACGTTTGTGCACCGCAACATGTTTGATTTCAAGCATATCAAGGCTTGGGATAGGTCCTACATGGATTCACCAGGTCCTATGGTTGTCTTCGCCACTCCAGGAATGCTGCACAGCGGAACATCACTTGAGCTTTTCAAGAAATGGGCCCCTGATCCCAAGAATATGGTCATCATGCCTGGTTATTGTGTCGCAGGGACAGTTGGATCCAAGGTCTTGGCTGGCGAAAAAAAGATTCAAATTGATGCTTTTAATTCTGTAGATGTCAATTTACAGGTCAAGAATCTATCATTCAGTGCACACGCAGATGCAAAGGGCATTATGCAGTTGATTCGGCAATGCGAGGCCAAGAATGTAGTCTTGGTTCACGGTGAAAAGAGCTCCATGGGATTCTTAAAATCTAGGATCATGACTGAATTTGGCATCCCTTGCTTTGACCCTGCCAACGGCCAAACTATCAGCATTGAGACTAGTCATGTTATTCCTATCGAAATGTCAGCTAGCCTACTGAAACAACATTTGATCCGCCAGTCTGAGACTACAGTAGAGAATACAAACGAAGGATTGACCTCTTCTAGTAGTCCAGATGATAGCTCTGATGAAAACCTTCAACAACCCATCAATCTTAAAAAGCCACTAAGCATAAAGCCCAAGGATAAAGTACTAATCCAAGGCATGCTTGTAATGGAAGATGGAAAGCCGATCCGATTAGAAGATGCAGAGGAAGCGTTGGACAGAGTTGGCACTGCCAAGCACAAAGTGCGGTTTGAGGTTCGAAAAGCTTATAATGCAACAGCATTGCGCATGGCAGTTGAAGAACCAGAATACTATAAAAGGATGGCACGTTCAGCAGATAATGATTCCACAGAAATGGAGCATGTTTCAGAAGATCTAGAAAATGACTGGGATAGTGATGCGTTTGCTTTGGATCTTGTTTATGTAGCACTACAAAAATCGATTGGAAATCATATCAAGCTGGCCCGAGAGGGGGAGAGTGGCGCTATTGTTGTACGTAGTGTTCGGATCCGGGCGCCAACAGAACAAGATGAATTTGAACGAGGAGGGCTTTTGATAGGATGGGATTACCAAGATGAAGATCTCGCAACTAGAATATTGTCAGTTGTCGCCTTAACTCTTGCTGCCAATCGCTGAAATAGTCAACGCAACGTCCCTCTTTTTATTTTATTTTTTCCTATGATCTTTGTACATAAATCCAACTCACACAACATGTATACCCAATTATTAATTGAGTTTATGATTGATTGCAAATGTTTAAATTGCTTCAGCAATGCATAAAGCGCTATACGTATTATCCATGAACATCTTCAATAGCTTCATTTTTTTGTCAATATATTTTCTTTATTAGATACTAAACTAGTGAAGAAGACTATGTGCAATTATAAACAAGAAGATATTGGGGGATTGCGGGATTGTGGGTATTGTGAGTATTGTGGGTATTGTGGGTATTGTGGGTATAGATGGGAGTTCGAGAAGGTCCTGCTTCTCATAGGATCCCATGGGTCCTCAATAGGTGATGAAGCCTGCACCAACAAGATATTACTGAAAATTAAAAGAAAAGAAAAAAAAGATAGATAGATAAAAGTGGCTATACAAACATATTCATGTTCGGCTTAAGGCCCTTAGGCTTGAAGATTGCTTATGCGTCCTCCTCAATGTTCATGACTGGACGATAGCGGCTGCCACCCGCATATTGTGCCTCAGCCTCAGAAGCTTCTTGCTCAATGTTCATGACTGGACGGTAGCGGCTACCACCAGCGTACTGAGCCTCTTGTTCAATGTTCATCACAGGGCGATAACGACTGCCACCGGCGTACTGGGCCTCAGCCTCAGAAGCCTCAGCCTCAGAAGCCTCTTGTTCAATGTTCATCACTGGGCGATAGCGACTACCACCAGCGTACTGGGCCTCTGGCTCAGCAGCTTCTTGCTCGATGTTCATCACTGGGCGATAACGGCTGCCACCGACGAACTGTGCCTCCTGCTCAATGTTCATCACTGGACGGTAGCGGCTACCACCAGCGTACTGGGCCTCTGGCTCAGCAGCTTCTTGCTCGATGTTCATCACGGGACGATAACGACTTCCACCTGCATACTGTGCCTCATGTTGGATTGGGAGTGCCTGAACTGTGGCAATGGAAGCTGCAATAGAGAAAAGGAGTGTGGTCTGGAACTTCATGGTTGGTTATGTGTACGAGAGAGAGAAAGAGAGAAAAGTTGTTGAGAGAAGTAAAAGTGTGAGTGGGCGAGTGAGTGAGTGAGAGTAAGAGTAAGAGTCTGAGAAAATGGGAAAGATGCAAGTAAGCTGATGTAGCTATTCTTTGCTTGAGTGGATGGAGAAAAGACTGTTTGAGTGAAGAACTGGTTGGAAGTGGAGGATGTCCACTGTATTTATATGTGAATCCTCCCTTTTCATTCATCGCCGATCTATGTAACACCACGGGCGCCTGTTTCCATGCATGGTTACACGTTGTTGTGCAACAAGCCTTGTTCTCGACTCAAGGAGCAGCCATAATTGCATTTTGCAATCGGCAACGGCCCAGCTGAGCGGTTGACGGAGGATTAACGGGAATTCCCAGCAGAGACATATTGCTTATACTGATGAATAAGGGGGGAGGAGCAAAGGAAGAAAGAAGAGGTCGTGCGCAGGTCTGTTCGCTCTCAAAGTCTGTTCGACCAATCGCCTGTATGGCGGGGTGCAGGAAACCTTGCTGAAGTAACCTAATAAACATTCCAGTAAAACCAAGAAATGAGCACAGACAGCAAGGTCGTCTCACTAAAACAGCCGTGGCATAAGAAAACAAGTTATTATTGTCTTGGAAAACAAGTTCAGGCACAAGGCCTAACCTCTTATATTTATTGCTCCGCCTGATGATCTACTGTCACCAGCCCTGTGTGTCTCGCATGGACGCTCATCGATGTTTCTAAATAACTAGATGACTAGATGATTAAATGACTAAACAACCAAATGGTTAAGTGCTGGTGACAGACTATCCATCTGTTCTCTTCTTGCATTAGTTGTTGCAGATATGGGCGCAATGAGGAAATGACAGACCATGGCCTTATATCACCTTCTTTGAATTCTAGATAGAAAAAGAGAAAAAGAAATTTACGCCGGTGCGGTGTCTGACCTTTGTTTGTGTTGCTCACTGTTTCTCTCTCTCTCTTATAGAAAGGAAGAAAAAAATCCGTGCTGCTTCCTCTCTGGACCATGTCAACGGTTAGAAGGTCAAGGCGGCGACAAGTCTGCAAAGAGTCAAGAATTGAGGGTGAACAAGTAAAGTAGAAAGAAGGTTACGGATTTTTGCTTACAGCTCGACTGTTGACTGGCTGTAGCATATGTAGCACAGGCTGAATCGATTGACTCTCATCACCGATCTTGTACTTGAGACATCCCCCATAGACATTCCTTCCACCAATCCCACCAACTTTAGTAAGAAAAGGTACAAAATAGCGTTATCGCTTCTAGATTTCTTCCAGACATTGCTACTTTGGTATGTTGCCGAACTCTCTACCGAGCTAATTGCTAATTGCCAATCGTCATTCGTCCGCGCCTTCTGTTTCCTGTTGCCCAATTGCTTAATCCTATTGGGGTCCTATTGCGAAAAAGGCCGACACATGGCATCCCTCTGAATATAGGTTACACACATACTCTTACTTCTTGTTATTGCTCTTAGCTAGTATCGCTCCCGAGCCCTTTGTTGAGGAAAGAACCTTGTTGTGACCCCTCTCTCTAGGTTTGAGTACTGTGTTACTATGTCTATTTTGCATTTCCACCCTAGGATGTTTCGCGTCTCTCTCTCTCTTTCTCTCTACAGCTCTCTAGCTGTGATTATAGTACAGGCGTCGGTATATAGATGGTATGATAGTGAGGTAATATGTTAGTATCCGCAATATGAATGCATCAATCTCAATTATAGAGTCTTCCAAGCACTTTACGCATTAGTTCTTTTTGTCTGATTCATTTCACTTATTCCCAAGTCAGCAAGCCAGCAACAGCCAAGAAAGATAGAGGTGGTCATTTATTTTATATGACATTACATGGCCCAAACAACACAGCAGACCTGATAGCAACTTTGTAACCTACAATCTGCATTGATCTGCATCGAAACATGGCCCAGAAAAGAGGAAAAAGAGATGCGGGGCGCATATTATTATTCTACGGTGTGGAGAAGTTCAGAAAAAGGATACAGCAATCAATGTGTATACAATATTATGGTACGTATTCAATTATGACCCTAAACATGCATGCATGCACGCTAAGATTGTAACACATTACATTCAATGCTGTAAAATAATTAAGACTAAATATCGACCATGTCAGCAGAAGTTCTTGTTTTACATTTATGACTACATTACAGTGTTACGTACCACTAGAAAAAGGTGCATGTAAAACAGTACAGAGTCATCTTGCAGCACTTGTTGCACGAACTACATGTTCTGATTTCTATGGTTAATATCCAGAGCCAGATGCTCTTTTTTTCCTCTTCTTCTTTCTCTTGTAACACTTTCTCTTGCGAATGGCTTCATTTTATGCATGGAGGATACTTCATTTCATTATCTTTGTCAATCACATACGTAGATTTATGGCAAGCAGGCATGTATATCATTGAAAAAACCTCTTCTCTATATCTTTAGTAATTGCTAAGTATACATATATATACATATTATACATATTATACATGCGCAATTATGCGTTTTTAAATTATACACTCAGTAGAATCCTAGATTTCGCGAAAAGTCTGTTACAATAATAAGAGATAGCATATACTTTTTTTTTTTTTTAAAGAATATCTGCAAGCTGACTAAGGCATGAGAAAGAAGACATTATCAATATCAAACCTTCTAGACCCTCAAACTCTGGCCAAGGATATGTGAAAGCTCCCTCTTGTTAAACTCACGCATTTATTGGTAAACATAAAATTAGCCATAAAATCATTTCACTTAGCCAATACGACAAGGATAATAAAAGATTGATTTATTATTTTTATTTTATTTTATTATATCATAGAATTATGAAATTAATAACATATAATGGTTATAGATGAGGGTATAAGGTAGCAAATTTAAGAAGGACCGGCTTCTCATAAGATCTCATGGATCCTTTTTAGCGCAAAGCAAAGATTGTACAAATATTATCGAAACTAGAGTCTCACTTATGCATCCTCCTCAATATTCATGACTGGACGATAACGGCTGCCACCAGCGAACTGCGCCTCTGGCTCAGCAGCTTCTTGCTCAACGTTCATCACTGGGCGGTAGCGACTGCCGCCTGCGAATTGTGCCTCGGCCTCAGAAGCGTCTTGTTCGATGTTCATGACTGGACGATAACGGCTGCCACCAGCGAACTGGGCCTCTGACTCAGCAGCTTCTTGCTCAATGTTCATAACGGGGCGGTAACGGCTACCACCAGCGAACTGGGCCTCCTGCTCGATGTTCATCACAGGACGATAACGACTACCGCCTGCAAATTGTGCCTCGGGTTCGGAAGCGTCCTGCTCAATGTTCATGACTGGGCGATAGCGACTACCACCAGCGAACTGGGCCTCAGGCTCAACATTCATCACGGGACGGTAGCGGCTGCCACCAGTGAACTGGGCTTCTGGCTGGGCCGCTTCCTGCTCGATATTCATCACAGGACGGTAGCGGGTACCTCCTGCAAACTGTGCCTCATGTTGGATTGGGAGTGCCTGAACTGTGGCAATGGAAGCTGCAATAGAGAAAAGGAGTGTGGTCTGGAACTTCATGGTTGATTATGTGTACGATATTAAAAGAGAAGGGTATTTGTGTGTGGGTGTGAGGTTGAGAGATTAAAAGTTGGAGAGAGTGAGGATGGTGCAAGTAAGCTAGCGTGCTGTTATTTGCTTGAATGGATGGAGTAAGGACTAGTTGAATGAAGAACTAGATGAAAGTAGGGATGGCCACCGGTTTTATATGTGTCCCTAGACGAAGAGGAATGAACCCTTCATGCTCATTGACGGCTTTCTAGGCACCATGTACAACCATGGATGCTTGCTTCCATGCATGGTTACACGTTGTTGTGCAACAAGCCTTGTTCTCGACTCAAGGAGCAGCCATAATTGCATTTTGCAATCGGCAACGGCCCAGCTGAGCGGTTGACGGAGGATTAACGGGAATTCCCAGCAGAGACATATTGCTTATACTGATGAATAAGGGGGGAGGAGCAAAGGAAGAAAGAAGAGGTCGTGCGCAGGTCTGTTCGCTCTCAAAGTCTGTTCGACCAATCGCCTGTATGGCGGGGTGCAGGAAACCTTGCTGAAGTAACCTAATAAACATTCCAGTAAAACCAAGAAATGAGCACAGACAGCAAGGTCGTCTCACTAAAACAGCCGTGGCATAAGAAAACAAGTTATTATTGTCTTGAAAAACAACCCCAGGCACAAGGCCTAACCTCTTATATTTATTGCCCCGCATGGCAATCGACTGGCAGTCTATTTGTGTCTCGCATGGATGCACACCGGTTTCTGAATGTGCATGGAAATGGCTGTATTTTTTGCTGAAAGACCGTTAGTGATGCCAGATGTGGGTATATGGAGACCACGCCTTGAGGTCTAGCCTTTCTTCGAACAGCTCATCCGGAATTATAAAGCACTCTTTTGTGTTCTGTACCATATTACTGGTTTGGACAAGTTTCCTAGTTTGCGACTCTTACTGACCGTTGGCAGATAGCATATTTGATCTTTCAAATGCTATTTATATTCTTCAAGCTTTGAGACAACAGTTTATTAAACCAAAGCGGTCAGATAATCAGTCAACATTCCCCTAAGGTTTTTGTCACATTTGCCATCTAAAGCATCGTGTAACTATTGTGCAAAAAACCAGTTCATGCTGTAGTAGTATGTGAGCTATCGCAGACTGGAGGATGGGGAGGTTAGGGATGCCGAGACATTATGCTTGCTGCAAGACCACAATTTGCAATAGGCATAGACATGGCTATCATGCGCCAGTATATGCTATCTCTTATTATTATAACAGACTTTTCGCGAAATCTAGGATTCTACTGAGTGTATAATTTAAAAACGCATAATTGCGCATGTATAATATGTATAATATGTATATATATGTATACTTAGCAATTACTAAAGATATAGAGAAGAGGTTTTTTCAATGATATACATGCCTGCTTGCCATAAATCTACGTATGTGATTGACAAAGATAATGAAATGAAGTATCCTCCATGCATAAAATGAAGCCATTCGCAAGAGAAAGTGTTACAAGAGAAAGAAGAAGAGGAAAAAAAGAGCATCTGGCTCTGGATATTAACCATAGAAATCAGAACATGTAGTTCGTGCAACAAGTGCTGCAAGATGACTCTGTACTGTTTTACATGCACCTTTTTCTAGTGGTACGTAACACTGTAATGTAGTCATAAATGTAAAACAAGAACTTCTGCTGACATGGTCGATATTTAGTCTTAATTATTTTACAGCATTGAATGTAATGTGTTACAATCTTAGCGTGCATGCATGCATGTTTAGGGTCATAATTGAATACGTACCATAATATTGTATACACATTGATTGCTGTATCCTTTTTCTGAACTTCTCCACACCGTAGAATAATAATATGCGCCCCGCATCTCTTTTTCCTCTTTTCTGGGCCATGTTTCGATGCAGATCAATGCAGATTGTAGGTTACAAAGTTGCTATCAGGTCTGCTGTGTTGTTTGGGCCATGTAATGTCATATAAAATAAATGACCACCTCTATCTTTCTTGGCTGTTGCTGGCTTGCTGACTTGGGAATAAGTGAAATGAATCAGACAAAAAGAACTAATGCGTAAAGTGCTTGGAAGACTCTATAATTGAGATTGATGCATTCATATTGCGGATACTAACATATTACCTCACTATCATACCATCTATATACCGACGCCTGTACTATAATCACAGCTAGAGAGCTGTAGAGAGAAAGAGAGAGAGAGACGCGAAACATCCTAGGGTGGAAATGCAAAATAGACATAGTAACACAGTACTCAAACCTAGAGAGAGGGGTCACAACAAGGTTCTTTCCTCAACAAAGGGCTCGGGAGCGATACTAGCTAAGAGCAATAACAAGAAGTAAGAGTATGTGTGTAACCTATATTCAGAGGGATGCCATGTGTCGGCCTTTTTCGCAATAGGACCCCAATAGGATTAAGCAATTGGGCAACAGGAAACAGAAGGCGCGGACGAATGACGATTGGCAATTAGCAATTAGCTCGGTAGAGAGTTCGGCAACATACCAAAGTAGCAATGTCTGGAAGAAATCTAGAAGCGATAACGCTATTTTGTACCTTTTCTTACTAAAGTTGGTGGGATTGGTGGAAGGAATGTCTATGGGGGATGTCTCAAGTACAAGATCGGTGATGAGAGTCAATCGATTCAGCCTGTGCTACATATGCTACAGCCAGTCAACAGTCGAGCTGTAAGCAAAAATCCGTAACCTTCTTTCTACTTTACTTGTTCACCCTCAATTCTTGACTCTTTGCAGACTTGTCGCCGCCTTGACCTTCTAACCGTTGACATGGTCCAGAGAGGAAGCAGCACGGATTTTTTTCTTCCTTTCTATAAGAGAGAGAGAGAAACAGTGAGCAACACAAACAAAGGTCAGACACCGCACCGGCGTAAATTTCTTTTTCTCTTTTTCTATCTAGAATTCAAAGAAGGTGATATAAGGCCATGGTCTGTCATTTCCTCATTGCGCCCATATCTGCAACAACTAATGCAAGAAGAGAACAGATGGATAGTCTGTCACCAGCACTTAACCATTTGGTTGTTTAGTCATTTAATCATCTAGTCATCTAGTTATTTAGAAACATCGATGAGCGTCCATGCGAGACACACAGGGCTGGTGACAGTAGATCATCAGGCGGAGCAATAAATATAAGAGGTTAGGCCTTGTGCCTGAACTTGTTTTCCAAGACAATAATAACTTGTTTTCTTATGCCACGGCTGTTTTAGTGAGACGACCTTGCTGTCTGTGCTCATTTCTTGGTTTTACTGGAATGTTTATTAGGTTACTTCAGCAAGGTTTCCTGCACCCCGCCATACAGGCGATTGGTCGAACAGACTTTGAGAGCGAACAGACCTGCGCACGACCTCTTCTTTCTTCCTTTGCTCCTCCCCCCTTATTCATCAGTATAAGCAATATGTCTCTGCTGGGAATTCCCGTTAATCCTCCGTCAACCGCTCAGCTGGGCCGTTGCCGATTGCAAAATGCAATTATGGCTGCTCCTTGAGTCGAGAACAAGGCTTGTTGCACAACAACGTGTAACCATGCATGGAAACAGGCGCCCGTGGTGTTACATAGATCGGCGATGAATGAAAAGGGAGGATTCACATATAAATACAGTGGACATCCTCCACTTCCAACCAGTTCTTCACTCAAACAGTCTTTTCTCCATCCACTCAAGCAAAGAATAGCTACATCAGCTTACTTGCATCTTTCCCATTTTCTCAGACTCTTACTCTTACTCTCACTCACTCACTCGCCCACTCACACTTTTACTTCTCTCAACAACTTTTCTCTCTTTCTCTCTCTCGTACACATAACCAACCATGAAGTTCCAGACCACACTCCTTTTCTCTATTGCAGCTTCCATTGCCACAGTTCAGGCACTCCCAATCCAACATGAGGCACAGTATGCAGGTGGAAGTCGTTATCGTCCCGTGATGAACATCGAGCAAGAAGCTGCTGAGCCAGAGGCCCAGTACGCTGGTGGTAGCCGCTACCGTCCAGTGATGAACATTGAGCAGGAGGCACAGTTCGTCGGTGGCAGCCGTTATCGCCCAGTGATGAACATCGAGCAAGAAGCTGCTGAGCCAGAGGCCCAGTACGCTGGTGGTAGTCGCTATCGCCCAGTGATGAACATTGAACAAGAGGCTTCTGAGGCTGAGGCTTCTGAGGCTGAGGCCCAGTACGCCGGTGGCAGTCGTTATCGCCCTGTGATGAACATTGAACAAGAGGCTCAGTACGCTGGTGGTAGCCGCTACCGTCCAGTCATGAACATTGAGCAAGAAGCTTCTGAGGCTGAGGCACAATATGCGGGTGGCAGCCGCTATCGTCCAGTCATGAACATTGAGGAGGACGCATAAGCAATCTTCAAGCCTAAGGGCCTTAAGCCGAACATGAATATGTTTGTATAGCCACTTTTATCTATCTATCTTTTTTTTCTTTTCTTTTAATTTTCAGTAATATCTTGTTGGTGCAGGCTTCATCACCTATTGAGGACCCATGGGATCCTATGAGAAGCAGGACCTTCTCGAACTCCCATCTATACCCACAATACCCACAATACCCACAATACTCACAATACCCACAATCCCGCAATCCCCCAATATCTTCTTGTTTATAATTGCACATAACATGTTATATATAATTATCTATTATTTAATAAAAGAACATTGCGATTAAAAAAAAGCTAACAGATATTGATATTGAAAACTCTAAAGAAAACTATTGAAGTATACCAGTAGCATAATAAGTAATGAGAGCGAAAGAATGATGTATTTATTATGACCCAGGAATTCTCGTTAAATAAAAGTGGATAAATATCTTAACACCCATATAAATGACTGCTAATCGCAACAAGCATCTGTCATGTTATTGTCTGCAAAGTTATGTAAATCATTATAGGTATTATTTAAAAATTTTGATGTATAAGAGTAGAAGGTTGTTGTTACATTTAAGTGTATATAATTGAATGCAGATAGAAGTTATTAGATATGTAATTTTTGATAGGCTTGGAAGAGAGCAGGCGCGGGATGTTCTGCTTCTCTCTTTCTCCGTCTTATTGGAGGTAAAAAGCAGAGTTCATGCTGTTGTTTGCGACCTTCTGCATCGCCTGGTAGATCGTATCATCCTTGGTCTGTACTTGAGTGGAAGGGCGCTCCTCGTGGATGGAGGTACGGGGTGTTTGAGCTGGGGTTGCGGCAGCTGAGGCAGACTTGTTCTTGTTGGACTTGAAGAGAGGCATAGTTGGCTTGATTGTGTGTGGATGTTTTTGTAGTGATGGAGTTGTAAAGTATTTATCTTTTTGTGGCTTTGATTTGCTTACAGATGTGATGAAAAAGAGGAAGAGGGAGTAAAGATGGCTTTTTATACGAAGTTGACCGTGCCGTTTATGAATGTTCCCAAGATATTTTTCAGTTCGGAAGGAGAGCATGGGCCTCCATGGTTTTAGCAGGGATTCTATTTTAGTGTTCTTTTCCTTCGCCCAGAAGTGGAGAATGAAAAAATTAATTGCCTCATTTTCCCATGACATGTCCTGAGAAAAAAGAAGTGTTTCGGTGCCTGAAATTTTATTATTTCATTACTACCGCAGTTGTTTCGTCAGCCATTACTCATACCATATTTAGCAAATGATTAAGAAATCGGGTTTGGTTTGATTCCTAAAGACTTTATCACAAAGGATGGAAAAGTCGACGGTTTTAAAAAAATACCGCTATTCTTAGGAACTTTGCTAGTTGGTGAAGATGCTTTGTTCATCACACTGAATAATTTTTTTTTCCTTCAACAGATCTTGACAGTTGGAAAAACTTCTTAATGGGGTAGATATTCAACACATTTCATTGTATATATCTATCGGTATTCCCTTAACATCAACAACCTCTAAAGGACAGGTGTCCCTGCTGCTGGAGCCCGGCTGGACACTGGGGTTTGTTCATGAGAAACATCCTATCACCCAAACGCGGACAAAGACACAGGTGTGCGCTTGGGGTACAGGAGACCACATTATCTATTTAGCAATACAAAAAGTTGTCGATAGCATCATGGCGTTTCATTTGCTTTCACTCAAGAGGAGTATGTATAAAGCATATTCCCCCCAACCTAGCCTCCAAAATTGATATTTTTATTCTAACTCTATGCCATGTCATAATAAATGTGTTGTATTTAGTTTCTTTTTAAGCGCTCAGGAATATATTATACGCTTGATTGGTTGATATCATGCCGGAGTGCCTGATTTAAAATACACTGCTGCCTGACTGGGGGGTCGCGGGATTGAAGCAGCAACAACATAAATCCATCCAAGTCTTCCTCCCATTGAGTTGATTTCTTCATGTTGACGGGAATCAAAAGCATCCTACACTTTCTCGGCAAAGACTTTAATGGAGGGCATAAAAAAAAGAGTGGGGCGATAGAAATCGACTGACTCAGCTTTATCTAGACAATAGTCATTTGTGGTCTTTGGAAGACTTCCCTTTGCGGATTCTGAACTTCAGTCTTTGGAGTTTCAATTTTTATTTCTAAGATGGAACGCGGGAAAGAATTGTGGAAAATTGGAAAGGACGAATAGGTGACTACATGAACATGGCCCATGCTTTTTCTAATTAGACTCAGCAACAAGATCGGGCATTAAAATAAGCATGGCCAGAAGGAAATTCTTGACCTATTTTATAAAAAATTGCCTCAGAGATCTATATTTATTCAAATACTCGAAGGTTCGAGACAAAATAAACAACTTTTAAAATGCTCCATGCTTTCCATATTTGTCTGTTGCTATGAAGTCAAATAAACATTTCGTCACCAAAAAAAAATTCATTCTCCACTCCTCCAGGTGCCAAGCCCGACAGTTACGTGCCGTGTATCTTTATTCACTGTCCTCTGCCGATTTCAGTGTTTGATGACTAAATGCGACACACGGACCGGAGATCCATTTGGTCCATGCGCGACGTCAATTCGACATTGACTATTCTGGTACATAGCGATGTATATTACCAAGAATAGAAAAGAACAACATCCTTCATAAAAAAAAAAGATATAAAAAGAAGACCTTTCAACCACATCTTTTCTTCATCCAAACATCAATAAAAGCTACATCAACAGCAACAACAACAACAATCAGCGCTATCAATCAATTATTCGCCTTTTAAGACCTTTAAAAACTACTACACCATGCCTCTCTTCAAGTCCAACAAGAACAAGTCTGCCTCTGCTGCCACCACCCCGGCTCAGACACCTCGCACATCTATTCACGAAGAGCGTCCTATGACAACCAAGGCCGGTACCAATGCTCACAAGATGACTCGCGATCAAGCTCTCGAGGTTATCATGAAGACGTCTATGGGCAATGCCGCTAATACCGCTTTCGCTCAATAAGCGTATAAACATAAATAAGGTGCCTCCAAGGACCTCCAATTGGCCGTCATCAAGAGACACTCTTCCGTATGTTTCGCAGAAAGAGTTCAAAAGAACCAGCATTACCTTAATATCCATTATATCAAGCCCATTGCATCCACATTTGTAATATAAGCAAATTAATAAATCAATACCATCTTCCTAAGTGACATGATTTTTTTATATTTGACAAGGGGTCAAAACTTCCTCGCAGTAACTTTAATCATAAAAAAAAGCCACGTTTTTCAGATTATCTTGCACATGGAAGATGCAGGGTTTCAATGCAACGGTCAAAAGAATCAAACAAATTTCTACTATTCCGGTTTCAATTTCTCTTTCTCTTGTGTATAAGCAGCTGCACTTTCAGTAGAATATAGAAGTCCGTCTCTAGGCGTATGCATTCTATGATTACTTTCTTTGATAGTCATGTCCTCGTATTGCAAATAGATTTTTGTTTTTTTTTTTTTTAAAAAAAAAAAAAAAAAAAAAAAAAAAAAAGAAAAGTATCCAGTATCTTCATGGTTGAGTAGAATTTCTGATGTTCAAGTCGGCTTTTTTTTTTTTTTTTTTTTTTTTTGTTGTTCTGTCCCTGCAGGTTGAATTTGTTCTTACAATGAGTTTGTCAGGGGACAAGAAAGAAGGGCAGGGGAACAAGGACAGTGAGTGACATCAGCCAATCAGCATTGAGAATAGAAGAACGTGCTAGACTCAAAAAACAAAAAAAAAAATAAATGTCACAAACGCCATGCCAGAGAGGGATAGTTGGTAAAGAGTAAAAGAAAATGGGGCCGATAACGAAGGATCAAGGAAAGCAAGCCGGAGAGTCAAGACAATTATTTTTTACATTCGTTAATCACAACAAGTAGCGATGTTGTTAATCATGTTTCATTTGCGGGGTAAGAATAAGGATCCAAAGCTCAAAGACTAGCGACCCTTGTGCAAAGCCCAATGTGCAAAGTATAACAGATCGTAATGGTCGGTCCTCTTGAGGACATTTAAGTCGGAGAAAATACGCATGTGGTGGCGCCCTTATGATCGAGGTGACCCCAAAAGAACCGTATGGTTTACTGAACTGCGATTATGCCTTTGCTCTCACAGAAGGCTGAGGTTTGAGTTAGTAGAGTCTGTGTTTGTTTTTTCTCTCTCTCTTTTTTTTTTTTTTTTTTTTTCTTTTTCTTTTTCTTTTTTGAGTCCTCCTTCCTCCTTCCTCATCCAAGATACAGCATTTCTGTCAGCCTTGTCTGATCTTCAGTACTGTCAAAGTTCCACCTGATATACATCACCAAAATCCATTTCTCCTTTTCTTCGAAAGCTTTCTCGATTATATTGATTTTTTTTTCTTTAAGAAAAGGACATCCGCCAAGGTAGAGAAAATGATAAAGTGTTACTGGTGTGAGCTTTAATGGATGCAAGTCAATCAATTCAACTAGCCAACGAACGAGCGAACAAAACCTAATTATTCAAACCAGGCAGCCAGGCAGCCAAGGGAGGCCTAAGATAAGGAAGACACTCAATTTGGAGATAAGATCTTCATAACAACGGATGTGAATAGTCTGGTTTCAACCTCAGTGGATTCCACAAGCAATTTGTTTTTCTTCCATTCATCCTTTTTTTTTTTTTCTTCTTCTTGGCTTTTCATCTTGCTACATTGTTCAAACCCAACATCAGGACGTCGGGACATACTCATTCATATACTCATTCATATACTCATTCATACTCTCTGCGTCTCTCATTCTCTTCGTGTCCGTCAGAGTGATAGTCATCCGATAATTAGTCAAGTAGTCAAGGCAGTTCTCACTCTCGCTCCTGGTCCATTTCTTCCTACTCTCAGCACTCAGTTTACCCAGGAGTTCTTCTTATTTTATATACTCTTCGAGTTGCCCTTGTCATAACAAGCATCTGGACCCAGGCCAGATCTATGGCGTTCAACTTTGATGGCAACTTCGCTCTCGAGCAGACCGGGCTTGATATCTCTCTCAATGACTTTACGTTCGATCCATCTCAACAGCAACAGATTCATCTACATCAACAACAACAACAACAACAACAACAGCAACAGCAACAGCAACAGCAACAGCAACAGCAACAGCAACAGCAACAGCAACATGATCATCAGCAACGTGAGCTTCATAGCCTACTTCTACAAGACGGGCGTGGTAACAATGTGGCACAGGCGGGATCAATGAATGAAGCTTCGACCTCAAGATCATTTGATTTCCATCCTTCAGCATTGAACTCGGAGATGATGGTTGCCTCAGCCTCCACAACTCCTATCTTTCCCATGGTCCTTGACAAGCTTAGCCCCGGTACTGGCTCAATATCACAGCAATTGCTGATGCAACATCAACATCAACATCAACAGCAACAACAACAGCAGCAACAACAACAACAACAACAACAGCAACAGCAACAACAGCAACAGCAACAACAGCAACAGCAACAACAGCAACAGCAACAGCAACAGCAACAACAACATCAGCAGCAAGCAGCACAGTCAATACCAACATCACAGCATGATCAATTGCTCACTCCGGCTGGTAGCGAATACTACTCAACAGATTATACTCAGTACATGTCACCGCTCGCGGTACAGCCTGAAAGTTCTACAGGTGCGGCTATGGTGATCACAGATCAATTCGAAGACGACGAGGTGAGAATCAGTTATTGTACTTTTGTCAGACACCCAAATTCCCTCGATGCAAGGGCTCCCTAATTGTTTCCTTGGATGGCTTTTTTTTGTCCGATTCTTTCCCCTTCTTTCCGTCCTTTGATTGCCCTTTTTATCTTTATCTAGATGTCCAGTTCAATCCATTATTGAAGTGAATTCAATAGTCCAGCAGTCATTGAATCCCCTTATTTTCATGTCAAATTGTAGAAAGCTAATCCAGATTGAACTTGAATGCGAAATTTGATTCTTGCTTGTTGATAGGTCTTCTTTACGCCCTTGATCTCCCCAGCAATGACTCCGTCTCATCCTTACTCAAATCTTCCTCATGCCCTGTCGACTGCCAATGAAATCTTTTCGCCACTGACCTCGCCAGTATTGCAGCCTCACCGGACCACTATTGATTATCTTTCGTTTTCAGGGCAGAATTTTAGTCAATTGCCAACGCAGTTCCTTCAGGCTCAATCGCAACAATCACTGCAACATCAACTTCATCAGCTTCAGACTCAATCTCAGACTGACTTGACACAACAAGGTCAATTGCAGCAACAGCAACAACAGCAGCAAGTGATTCAAGCATCTCAAGCGTCAGGTAGTAATGTGGCACGGATCAATGTTGGAAGCCCAGCTCTTAACTCTCAAAGGCCTTCTATCAAACGTAGGGCAACTGGGGAACGTGGTACAAATGGGCTAAATACTACTGCGCCTAGAGCCGGAGGCTCAGTAAGAGGATCATTACCAAAGAGTTCACCGGCAATGAGGCCACTTACAAGTCCGTTGTCCCCGGCCTCCCTTCGGAAATCTCAGACAAGCCGTGGTCGATCTTCTTCTATTGCACCAGCTTCACCACTCATCATGCACTTCCCTTCTAATCGCCCAAGCCCTTCGCCATTGCTCATCTCGACAACACAACCTCCATTATCCCAAGCTGCTCTTGCATCGCCTTCCCCTCGCCTAGTCACTAATATGCACCAGTTATCGATGGTGCCCTCATCTCCAGTAGGTGTAGTTACTACATCTAATGGAGTACAGAGTCCGGCACTCTTTGCTCTTCCCGCTTCTCAAATGATGCCCCCTCCTAGCTCACCTATGATTTTACCATCTGCCTCTCAATCAAATAATGTTCCGAGGCAGCGCAGTCTCGCACAGCTACAGCAACCAATTCAAATACAGAGTCAGCACCAACTTTCGATTCATCAGCCTATCTCATCAGCTAGTCAGCCCTCTCCAGCGTTGAAGCCTAGATCGGACAGCATGTCTTCTGCACTTACATCTACATCGGACAAAATTGATCTGGCCAAGGCCATAACTCCTAGATTCGGTTCATCATTAGGTACTTCTTTACCTGCCTTGGCTCCAGTTACACCTGCATCACTAATGAACCTAGGTGCTGGATCCGGAACTGAGTCGACGCCCACATCACCCAAATTCGGAATTCATACAAAGTCAAAGGCCACCACAGACTCCGAGTCCCCTCCACTGACTGCTATAACAAGCGACACAACAATCACAGCCACAATCGATTCAACCTCTTCACAGAAACGAGGAACTAAACGCCAGGCAAATGGAGAGGCTGTTGTACCATCTGGTGCGCCTAGCACTCCTCGTCAGCTGGCTATGACGCCTGGCTCTGCTGCAATGTCACCTATGCCTCCCCCTAATGGATTTGCTCTCATTTCGCCAGCTCTCAAGCCCACCATGCTGAATCATCGTGGAAGCACATCCATGCTTGTATCACCTCGCCTACAGCCGCAACTCGTCTCACCACGGTTGCCCGGCGGTAAGTCCTTATTTAAAAGAAAAATACATACGGCTTGTTGCTGTTGCCTCGCATCGCCTTGGTCACATATCCATCGGCTCATCGTACGCATGTTCGAATCAAATAATTAAACAGCATCGTTTTTTTTTTTATTTTTTTATTTTTTTATTTTTTTATTAATTTGTTGCGTTGCAAATAGTGTCAACAACTGAAGCTATGGCTCGTTTAGCTTCCAAGTCTAATTATCAGAACATACTCGATGGGGATCACACGTAAGTTTGAGTGAAATAGCAAAAGTTTTTATTCATTGTTTATCACTTGTTTCCACAGTATGAACTGTGTGGAGGATGTGAAAGTTACTCTAACCGCAAGTTTGTGGTTCCTTTCTGTGTATAGTGCCCTAGGTTTGTCATATAACACAGATCTTCATTCTGGTATCGAGCTTCGTCGTACATCGCATAAAGCAGCTGAACAAAAACGTCGTGACTCTCTCAAGCATTGTTTCGATGATCTGCGTCAGATGATTCCTAATATTCAAGAGAAATCGCCATCCAAAGTGTTCTTGTTGAAGAAGTCTTTTGACTATATCTGTAATCTTAAGTCTGAGGTTGCGAAGCGTGATCTGGAAATGGCGCGTCTGAAAGCTCAGCATGAGTTTATGGTAACAGCCATGCAGTCTTGGACGGCTAGTTTGCCAGAAGACAGCCCCTTCCGAAAAGGATTGATTGAATCATGGGAAATGCCAGATGAGGACGTGAAGAAGGCGGTTGTAAAGGAGGAGGAAGCGGCCAAGAAGGCAGCAGAGATGGCTGAATTAAGCGCCGCAGCTGTTGAAGCTGCACGAACACAGCCTGGTGGGCAGAACAAAGGTGGTAAGGAAAGCCATGTGGATCCTGATGATAGTGATGAGGATGGGCCTTCTAAGAATAAGAAGTCAGGATCAAGGACTGGAGCATCCTCTTCCACTTCAAAAAATACAAGCAGCTCAGGAAAGAAGATGAGCAAAACTGACGTATCATCGGTAGTGGATTCTGCTACTACCGCTACTACTGCCAATGTAGCAGAGACAACCAGCACGGATAGAAATGGAGCTGAAACTGGTGACGGCTCCGCTGCAAAACAAGGTCAAGGTTCCTCTGCTGATATATCAAGTAAGACAAAGATGCAGTCTGGCGGAAAGACGAGCGATGAAGAAGATGAGGACGATGAGGACGAAGCTGAAGATCACGAGATGATAGATGCTACTGCTGAGAGTGAATCAACACAGAGCGCAGCAGTATGCACATAGACATGCATGCACATAGTTCCCGCACATTCTCACCTTTTACATACTTTTTTACTTTTTTTTTTTTTTTTTTTTTTTTTTTTTCCCTCCTCTTCCTCTTTAATATTTGCATTTAAAGAAGTTTTGTAATTATAAAATCTTGAAGGTCATTATTTGGGCAATTGCTGGTGTATCCCTGTAGATTCATAGTCTAGAATACAGAGAGAGGATAAAAAACTGTTCTTTAAGCCGATGATGTGATGTATATATTATGCTGGGCTTGACTTTGAGGTACATGCGTATTGACTGATACTGCAAATATATTTATACGCATAACTTTGCAGAAAGTGTTACATTAAAATTTCATTTGTATTCTATTCCTTGATTATTTTTTTTATCAAAGTATTCACCAAGAGCGACTCTACTTCTTATTTTAATTACAGCAATGGCATCAGGGGAAAAGTCCTCTCAAAAGAGTGCGATTGGTAATACTAATTCCGCATCGGTGAGTTGAAAGGATTATTTTGTTACATTAAATGCATTCGTCATGAACTTTGCAGGCTAACAGAAAAAAAAAAAAAAAAAAAACAAGGACTTATTATTGTCATTATCAACATCATTAGTTGATAGCACTCGCTGCAGAAATCGCCAAACATGAGCAAAGCTTCCAAAGAGTGAAAGGAAGCAGCGGTAGCCTCAGTGGTATTAGAGCACCTAAATCTGTTAAGGCAAGAAAAAAAAAAGTAGAACAGAAGAAGGCTGATCAAATATGTATATTTATAAAGTCTTATAACTTATCTGATTTAATTAACAAAAATAGAAGCCAACAGTATGGCAACGACAGAATACAGGACTCTCGAAACGAGCCATGAAGGATGATATAGGTGGCAGCGGCGGTTATAATGATTCTGAAGCGGAAGCTACAAGGAAAGCAGCGATGGAACGGAAAGCAAAGGTGTATGAGATGTTGGAGCGTGGAGAGGATGTTCCAGATCAACTAAGAGAGGAATTACTAGTGGAATTTGAGCACAGGGATCGTCGGCGGGATTATAGTGACAGTGATATTAGTAGTGATGACACAAGAGAGCGAAGTGGTAGAAGAAGAAGCAGGAGTAGAGGTCGAGAAAGAGGCAGAGAAGGAGAGTTTCGAGGAAGGAGGAGGGCGAGCTGGGGTAGAGGAGGCCGAAGTAGGAGTAGATCAAGTGATTGGGACCGGGATGAATCTGCAGCTTTAGCAAGAGATCCAAAAGAATTTATGGTAAAAAAAAATTGGAGATGTAGCAAAAAGTCTCTCTAATAACTTTCATTATATATATATATATTTTTTTACTAATATAGTAGGCTGATGTCCTTTACCATTTAATATTATAGGCTGATCCATGGGTAGAACATGTGGATGAGTTTGGAAGGACACGACTAATGCGTCAGTCAGAGGTACCGAAACCGGAACTTCGCAAAGAAGATATGGAGAATCCAGGGTATTTTTCATTATTTTTATTCCTTTTTTATACTTCATAGGCAACATATTAGAAAGAATTACATCCGCAAACACTCATCCTTCATTTTTGACTTTAATTTTTTTAGAATCCATAATCCTGCCAATCCCTTCCCAGTTTTCCGAAATCAGGATGCAGTTGATAAACAAGAATGGATTCGGGATGCCACAGGGGAACTGAAAAGGTCCAATAATAATTATAATATGCCAGGAGTAGGCGGTGGAGGATATTCACTTGCGAATACAGTACGCCATTACAGCAGTGCAGCAGAGAGGAGAGCTCATGGTGTTGGATTCTATCAGTTTTCTCAAGATGAAGAAGAGCGCGCAAAACAAATGCAGGAGTTGCGCAACATTCGAAGTGAGGTAACTCGATAAAAAAAAATAAAAATAAAAATAAAAAAAAAAAAAAAGATTCTTACGTTTACAGTTCAGAGAATCTGTATTTTTCAGGTCGGTGGTAACTGAGAATTGTTGTTATCATTATATTGGGTTTACTATTAGACCGAGACGAAAAGGGCACTGCATCGACCGTTGCGAGAAAAGAGGAGAGGGGAGATCGAAGCACGTAAAAAGATTATCCAGCAGAAGCGTCTGAAATCCTTAGCCAGCACAATCACAGCAGCATAATTTGGAAAGATGCAAAGCCATTCGAAGTATTTCTACTAGAGTTGTAACTGACAAGCTGATACTAGGACTGGCGGAAACTCAATGATATGAAGCGGACTATGCGGACTACAAACTAAATGCTGCCGGCCGGGGGATTGTACAATGCACATATAATAAAGGCAGTGGTTTCCTTTCTTTCGTCCTCTCTTTTTCTTTTTTGTTTGTTCTCTTCTTTTAGATACCCCTTATTTGCAAAAACACAACTTCTCCTGTATTTCATATCATAGCGCTTCTTTTGTTTTTCTAAAATAATTTCCCACGAACTTGATTATGATGGCCACGTCTGCTGATACCACTGCTGCTGTTCCTATTCACACATACAGTCCCGGCACACTTGTGTACGAGGTTAATTTGTCTGTTCCACGGGAGAAAGTAGACGAATATCTTCAATGGCTTCGTCAATTTACAAAGGCATGTCTCTATTTTTTTCTGTCTCCTACACGCTCTTTTATCATTGTTCGAGCCAGTGAAATTTGTAAATGAATGTTCCATCGAGTCGAAAGGAATCAGGACTAATGAGGTGTGTGTTGGCATCGACATTTCTTACAGGAGCAAGTTGAGCGCATTCCAGGATTCTTGTCCTCCATGGTTTTTCGGCAGCCCAAGCCATGTAAGAATAAAACTTTTTTTTTTTTCTCTTCCGGGTGGGTCCATACCCAGACCCCATACTTTCTTTCCAATTGGAAGAAAGCAAAAATTATTATGTCCCTGTTTTTTCCGAAGTGAATGTTTTGTATGAGAATGTCACTTGTTAGACTAAACCTTTTTTTTTTTTTTTTTTTTTTTTTGAAATGCTTAGATGGATTACATTGGCTTTCAGAAGAAGGCAATAATAAGACCTATATCACAGTTCACTATGTAATTGAGTCGCAAGCACACCTTGAACAATACTTGGCAAAGGAACAACCTACTGTGGCTGCAGCAGAGCAGGAGCGTTTTGAATTCTTGGTCACTAGTCGTCGTACTCTCAGTGTTGTGTTTTAAACATTGAAAGAGCACCTTCTATCGAGCCGGAAGAACCAAATCGACTTTCGCAACAACAAGCAAACACATAATAATAACAGTAACGAATGATAAAAAAAAAAACAAATAAATAAAGACAAACAAACAAACAAACAAACAAAAAGAAAAAAACGACCGCAGGAAATACCAATACAGTAACCGTATCATAGTCTAGCTGTTAACAACTGGAACTGTATTCGTTATCGAATGTTAAATAATAAGAAAAAAGAAGTGCACAGGAAAACCCTTAGCTGTCTTTATTCATAGCCTCAGGAAGCAAATAGGCTGGTGTCTCTACGATGTTGTAGGGTGTTGGCTCTGGTGTTCCAAAAACAGTTTTCATTGGAACGACACCCGAATAATGTTTCTTGAGCAACTCGGGATCTTCTTTATCCTTGATATCATCACTCACACCTCCAGTCCTGATCTTGGCCGAGGCACGTTCAATCTGGACAGCGATGACTTTAGTCGATTTGAGATCAATTGTGTTGGGCGGACGAGAATCATTCCAACGATCTGCATGTCGGAAAGGTTGGTTCGTGATAGCTTCCAAAGCGCGATCCTTTTCTTCTGGAGAATCGACTAGTCGACCTCGACCAAAGATAACGGCAGACTTGTAGTTCATGGAGTTATGGAATGGCGACATTGCAACTACAAGCGCATCCACTTGTGAAACCTTTTTTTTTTTTTTTTAGAAAAGATTGATCAGCACTTTCAAAAATTGATAGAGACCTTTTTTTTCACTATTCAGATTAGGATGATCCTAATATATACATACTGTAATGCACACTTTGGGAAGCGTATCGGATGCCAAGGCCTTCATCATGCGTCCACTTACGTATCTGTGAATAAGAAAGAGGAGAAAAGGCTGAATATAGCGTTCATGGAGAAATTGCTAGATGCAGATGGAGACTTTCAAAATTCAACTACAGAAAAAAAAAACGGAAGAAAGACCTACCCATGAAGGTAGACAGTGTCGTCAACTCGACCGTAGCACATGGGCATTACAAATGGCCAATCATCCTCATCTGCAGCCCCTGGAGGCAACGTGAATCCGACATGGGCCAATAGGTTGTTGTCGAGAATAGAATGTATCGTCTCTGCATCATAGCGAGCGCGGTCTTTGAGACGATGAACCTGATTGATAGCCTTATGAGACGTTGGTGTATACTCTACAGCTGCCATTCTTTAAAAAAAAAAATTTTCCAATTAGTCCGTGTTCCTAAAAATTGATGCTTGTTGTTTTTTTTTTTTTTTTTTTTAAAAAAAAAAAGATATGAGGAAGATGAAAAGTAAGAAAAAAAGAAAATACAAAACCATTGGATCGAGACCAAGGCCTTTTTAAACAATCGTGAGAAAAATTAAATAACAGATGATCACAGTTCGGACCAGTTCGCCGAACTTTTCAGAGCGCATGCTTGTGTTACCATCAACTGGGAAGACTATGTAACTCACAATGACTCTTCTTTACCTCTCTGTCCTTTTGGCAACGTACTGGCCTTGCCTCAACCCTGTAATAGCCATAATTTCTGACTAAGATTTGCGCCGCTTTTTTTTTTTTTTCCCCATAGTTCTATACCTACTCGAGCTCAAGCAGTTGGACGCGTCCGCAGCTAGTCTATACCGCAAAACCTCTCTCAATCGATAACAACCGCAATCGCGAAGCTGGATTTACTTACAAATTATCTTTTGTGTCAAGACGCCCTATTTGTCTGCGGATTACCAGCCGTACAGATTGATGAGTGCTAGTATGTTGACGACATGCGGATGTCGTCATCGCTCTCTTGGCGCTTGTAACGATGGCACGAGTGTTGCTGGTGCTAGTTGCCTGTGCGGATGAGCAACTGGTTTTTCTCTGCTAAAATACCTCTTTTTTCCATGTGTCCTTATCCTTATATGGGGAGTAGACCACCACACTTGCCCATAGCTATTGAAGGCTGGTGTTGAAGCAGAAGCAATTAGAAGCAAACTGAGACAATATATGGGCTATTGGATATTATCCAGATGCGGATCAGCATCAGTTAGTTTGTGTATGATGATCATTGGAGCAAGGTCAGGGCTGGTGTGTGTTTGGCGCAGTTGTGATTCTTATTGCTTGATCGCCTTTATAAGTATGCTGATATTTGTGCTACTGCCTTGGCTATTGTTATTGATTGGGCTACTAAGTAATGACCTTGGCGGATGGTGCGGTTTCTGGATATGCAGCCTGCCTTTTGTTTTCTTGCCACTTTCTCCAGTACCGTTTATAGAACCCGGGTATATGACCAAGCGAGCAAACTCATAGTAGGTTGTGGTAATGTCTTTCCACAGACCTCTGAATTTGAAACAACACAAAATCCAGCATCGATGCAAAGCTCTACCACTATGTGGTTTCCATCAATTATTCTGCAAGTATTTTTCATTTAGATCCTTTGTTCACAAGAATACACTTCGCGAATGGGTACTTCCAAATATAGTAGTAGTAGTAGTAGTAGTAGTAGTAGTAGTTTTTTTTTTTTTTTTTTTTTTTTTTTTGGCTATTTGCTGATTTAAATAAGTGTATTACTGTGGCTAGAGTAACGGTTCTTGTAGAATCCACGCGTATCTGTATTCTTAAATGTGTGAATAAAGCAGGACTGAGATGTATTTTCTACCTCGTGTCCTGTGTGTAGGATGAAAATGGTGTGTTGCCAGTCCAAAAACTTGTCTGTTCCTAGATTCGTTCTCCATTTGGGATAGTTAAGGTTGTGGAGATTGATCTTTTACGACCAGCAATGACAGTCATATCAATTTTGTGTGCCACCCATTAAGGCTCTCACTTTTAGGATTTTATTGAGTGAAAAGCTGGGTCATTAAAAGTTGTCTGACAGGACAATGTAATATGGGTTTAGGTAGCACATGTTATCCGGAGGAAATAGCAGCTTTGATTGTCGGGAAGATGATAACTTTGTTAACTACATCTAACGAGGGCGTATGGGAATAGCATATTAGGTGCTTTGTTGTGGTGCTGAGGATAGGTAGGGTAAGATCAATTTGTGCCAAAAGCATATTTTTTAGTTTGGATACGACATGTGAATTAAAAAACAAAAAAAGGAAATGGCGCCGTCCAAACGCTCTTGAGAAATGAGAAAAAATTCTCTCGGCGTACAATTTTTTATTTTTAGGTGAGCCATCACTAGACGCGATCATCAAATGAGCGTGCACTGACACAAAGCATTGCCAGAAGAGTGCCTGTTACTCGGTAAATTGGCACGTTTTGTGGGTTTTTGTGGTCAGTTTCTTTTTTTTCCCCTCTTTCTTTCTTTTCTTTTTTTTATAATCAGCTCATTTTTTTTCTATACATCCTCTATACTCTCTCTTCTTTTACTCCTACTTCATTGCTTCGTACTTCTATTCATTGTCCCCTTTGTATTATTATAATTAAAAAAAAAAAAAAAAAAAAAACCATGTCAGGAATGCGAACACTGAGAATATTAAGCATGGGGATTGTCCTCTTCACAGGCTTATCTCTATATCATTTATCGACTAATCTTCAGAACATGGAAGCCAATAATGTGTATCATAGTCAATATCCGACAACACAAATAACTTCAATAAATAACATTGCCAGCAACAGCACCAGAGCCGGCAACATCCATATGAACAGCAATAACAACATTGGCAATACTGGCGACACTAACGGCCATTATGCACCGCCAATATCACCGCCCGTAGTGGTGTCTGATTCAGAGCTCGATCAAAAACAGACTAATGATCATAGCCCTCAAGGGTCTCTGCTTTTACCAATATCTAAAGAAACACCTCTACCTCCGGATATCCCCAAGGCAAAGACACTCCTTGATCCTAATGTTAAATACCTCAGCTTCATGACATATGCAGGGCTAACTAATCAAGTATGGCACACAATTGACAAAAAAAGAAAAAACTCTAGTCCCTTTTTTCTTGGATGGGAATCAAAAGAAGACGAAAAAAGAAGTTACACAATTTCTCTTTGTCCATAACTGTACACATTGGGGTCATCCGCCCAATTAACCTTACGCTTTCCTCTCGACTCTCGACTTCTATTTTGTGCTTTGTAGTTCATGGCCCTCGAGAATGCAGCATACGTTGCCCTTCGTATTAACAGAACGCTCATTATCCCACCCATCACGACCAATTCACATGACAATCACAATTCAAACCAACGCTGGTCTGACTTCTTCGACCTTTCGCAATTCTCTACCTTGACAGGGCTCAAGGTTGTGGAATGGAGTGATATCCGGCCTCTGAATGCTGACCAAATAGAGGTTGGTAAACGTCAAGTGCGTGCGGGAGGGAAGCATTATCCAATATGGGAAAAGTTAGCTGATAACCTAACCTGTCAAGTAATCTATGGGTTTGGGGACTCGGAACGGTTACATACAACCGAGCTGACTTTTGCACGCCAATTCTTGTTCCGCCCTCAGTTTGTACGTCCACCTCCTCGGAAGAACAAGACTCAAGTTTTTGATCGAGCCTATATCGGATCCAAAGATAACCTCAATATGGACGATATTGTGACAATAGATGACCTAGTGGATCGATATGAAGACAATTCCGATCAACTCTTGTTCTTGAGCCATTCATTCAAACTAAAGGATCCTTTAGGAAGGCGATCATGGTTCCTTGTCGGAAGACATTTACATTTCTTGCCAAAGGTCAATGATTATGCAAAACAATTGATTCTACACCATGCACCGGAGACGAAAGAGCATGGAAAGTATATTGCGGTTCATGTTCGTAGAGGGGATATCTGGCAGAAATGTCGCGACAAAACAGAAGAGGAGATGGTGACCTGTATTGTGCCGTTAGGGCGCTATGCAGAAGCTGTAGAAACAGCATATCGGATTGCAGGGGAACGTTTGCCTGTGCTTGTTGCCACAGATTCTCAATCAGAAGAAGATCATGTTGCGATGGCCAAGTTGGGTTGGCGACGGTTGAATCATAACCTCTACACAACTGAAAAAGAGCTAGGGATCTTTGGACCTGCGTTGGTGGATGCAGCGATTCTGGTGAATGCAGAGGTAATGGTTGGAAGCTATAGTAGCAGCATGAGTCGTGTGGCCGCAAGGAGGCAAAGGGGTTGGCGTCAACGAGAGGCGCTCTACCCCTGAACAACTGCTTTGTGGATGTTTATTTCGCAAAAAAATATATTTATATAGTTAAAGTGCATACCCAGTAATAGCTTACTTTCTTTTCTTTTGTCTTCTTTCACGTCTGTGATGTTATTGCCCTCTTTCCCCTTTTATTTTCAAGAATCTCTTTTGTACAGAATAGTTAATCAATAAATTTCTATCGTTTGCTTGAAAGTCGACAGTCGATCCATTAAGTACATCTGCTTTTTACAAGCTCTCGCATGATGTCGGCAGTGTTCATAAAGAGTCATATCTCTATATAATCTAGCAACATATCATGATTATAAAAAAAAGTATCATGAGTGGTCACCATTCATTATCAAATTGTCATCGATAGAAACGCCCTCGATTCATAATACTCATAGAAAATAGACGGAGCAGATGTGGTGAGCTCCCTTCACATTGAGATGGCTCCGCCTCCGGAGGCGAAGTGTATTAGAGTCATAGAACTCTTATCGCAATAAAAAAAAAAAAAAAAAAAAAAAAAAAAAAAAAGGATGCAGTAAAAGAGATGAAGTAGCAAGTGACAAGTACAGTTATTCTAGCAAATGATAATAAGAAAAAAAAAAGAGATGGAATTGTGCTTCGCCCACGAGTAGATGCATGCTCATTGGTTTATAACCAAAGGAATGACCGCAGCAAAAATGTAATGCAACGCCTCCATTTCCCCCTCATAAACACATTCTCATTTATCCATTATCACGAGAGAAAGAGGAGATCGGGAGCATAAAATGGTGAGCCCTTTTTTCTTTTTCTTTTTTTTCCCTTCTTTCTTTCTTTCCTTTTTTTATCTTAAAAGACTTCCCCTTTTCTAAGAGAAAAAAAAAAAAAATCAACACATTCTTTTTACAAATATACCAAATCAAACAATCACCAGTAGCAAAAGACTCACTTTGTTTAGCAAAGCAAAAAAAAAGTGACACCAAACATGGGTATCAACAAAATTGACAAGGATGCAAAAATAGAAGTAGAAGCAATCTGCAAGGCATTCCATCCACTGGAAAATGATGATTCTGTAACAGTACTATCCTTCAAGGTTCCTCCTCCTGCGCCACTTAATACTGAAGACGGAGATGGCTCTGCTGCTGCGACAGCTGTATTGCAGAAGAAGGAAGCCTTCTTCGACATTTGTCTCGATATTTCGGGATCCATGGCAGGGTCTGGAATCGCATGCGCGAAAAGGGCGATGAAAAATCTCATCCGTCATCTAATTGAGAATTGTAGTGTGCCATACTCCAGAATTACGGTCTATCTATTTCAAAGCGACTGCAAAGTCCGACGTTTGAAGAGTGACAATGATTATGATTGGATCGATAGTATAAAAGCGGGAGGAGGTAAAGCGAACATATTATTTTTTTCTCTTCTGCACTGCCCAATCATACTCTTGGGACTAATGGAGGCTATAAAGCTCATCAGCAGATTAGAGAGCAAGGGGAATTAACTTTTTTTATGCTTTCATATTTCAAGGAACGATTTTTGCCAACGTGTTCAAGGAGGTGATCAATAATACTGCCGCTCATCTTGAAGAAGTTGGGTCTGACAAGGTAGATGTGGAGATGACCTTGTTCTTCCTGACTGACGGCGAGGACGGGGACAGAGGCGCTTTGAATAGGATCAAGGGCAGCTTCGAGAACCTGCTAAAGGGTACGGAAAGGCTAGATACGACCGTTCATACATTTGGGTTCTCATCTAGCCATGATGCTAAGCTTTTGAGTTGGTTGACGAGCATTGGAAAGAACAGTGGATGCTTCCAGTATATCCAGTCAGCGTCCGAGATCGAGACAGCAATGGCAAAGACATTGCAGCTGCTGGGTGACTCTTCTATAATGGTCGCAAGGAGGAAAATAGAGATCCTCCCCATAGAAGATGGAGAAGTGGCCCAGAATGGGAGGAATTGGATCCCAGTCAAGCTGGAGAGTGATGGCCTATCTGGTTCAGCTGTGGTACGTGGCAAACTATTCACTGGAAGTCTGATCAAGTGGAGAGAGCAGCAGCAGCATACACAGGAGGACAACAACAGCAGTAGCAGTGTTACAAATGCTCCAGCTTCCCCATCTAATCAAGCCGTTCACGATATGCGCGTTGAATGGCTGCCAGAGGACAGTGTACAGCGTATTCTATCTATGATGACATTTATCCAGCACGAGCTCGTAAGACTAGTCGAAGTCATCAACGCTATTGGCAGCGGCTCCGGGTCCGCGAGTGAGAAGCGCACAAAGCTACTCGCGGTTGACGCAGAGACGGAATCGTATACGAAAGTACTAGGCACCATGACCTCTGCAGCAGCAAGGATGAAGGACAAGGCTTCACGTGAGCCTTGCATGTTGGCTTGTCAACAGACTCGATCACTCCTTCAGTCATTCCTGACCGTCAAGGCAGACGCCCACAAACAAGGCGGATCGATTTCCAACACCAGCTTGGCGACATTCAATTCCCTCGCGTATGGCCAGATTACAGAGGCCAAGCTGAAGGCTAAACTGGACGCTAGGGCTGGAAAGAACACGGCATTGTTTGCAGACCTTGATGAAAAGGTGAAGTCGATTGTGGAGGGTATGGATCTTGATGCGATGGAAACTGCAGAATCTGAGGATAAACTCCGTGAGCTTTCTTGTGCATTCTCAACCAACAGCTACATCGAGGCGCTTCGTGATGGTGATTGTCTTTGCATGACTATGGACGGTAAGCGCTTTTTTTTTTTTTTTTTTTTTTTTTCTTGTGGATAATTTAAAACTGAAATTCTTTTCGTTATTGATTTCTGACACATGAATTTACAAACGTAAATGGTTTGATGACTATTTATAGTATCTCGAGGCGCTGGCACTATCGCAGACCCAAGTCAGTTGGTGATCAAGTCTATCTTCCCAACTTACCTGACCTCATCCATGTTTACCATGGCTCTGGGCCATTCACTCTCGCAAAACACTCCTGAAGACGTTCATGGGGGCTTTGATCGCAATAGTTTTGCTAGCATTGCTCCTGGTGTTGCTCATGAGAATATTACTGCAGTTATGCCTCTTTACATTAATAAGGAGCATTGGCAGGTAGCTAAGCTGCGTATGAAGGTAAGGCGGTATCTACAGCCTCTTGTATGTGGTTCGGATTCTTTGCACCCGGGGGTGCAAGCCTGGTGCCGAGTATTAACAAAAATATCGTTGTACCATTTCTATGCTATTCTATGTTGTAGCCTATCCTGGGTTATGTGGTGACACTGGACGCGACGGGATACACTTACAGCCAGTCGACGACCGTGCCTTTCCTTGTCTTGGCCAAAGCCATAGAGTCTTATCCCATGACAGAATTTAGACAGCACCAGATCAAGTTAATTCTTGAGACCTGCGATGCCATCTACTTCGACTCAAGGAACTTGCGTGACACTACAAGATCGATGGTCCAGCAGTACTGTAGCTCACATACGCAGCGTACTGTAGACGTGGTGGTCAACAACTACGTATTCTTAGGTCACATCATTTGCGCATTGCGTGCTGGTGATATTACGGGGGAGGAGATGAGGGCCATGATGCCTAAATTTGAGACTGCCATCATAGAGGAGCAGATCCGTAGAGACATGTCCTGGAGAGTTTCGGAAGATTTAATGGGAAGTGTGATGGACTGGTTCAATATCGATAGACAAAGAGACATTGTTATCCCTGGACGCCGATACCGCGAGCAGCACGATGCTTATGTAAGAGCATTGGAAAAAGAGAGAGGTGATTTTGGCATCGAGGGGCAATATCGTGCTCTGTTTGAAGCCACGAGGCTGAAGCAAGGCGTCAAGGAGACTCAACCAGCTGAGTCCGAGAAAGCAGAAGCAAAGGTGGACTCAAAGTTGTCACCATCAGTAGTAGCGTCTTCCCTATCCATATCCGATCCAGCAGTTATGGTGAAACCAGAGTTTAGCGTTCCAGAGTTTGATCCTGTCCAATGGGAAATCTCGGAAGCATCCTTAGATCGCTTAAGCATGATCCAGCATGCTGTCTCTACAAGTGTTGACAAGATTCGCCGGCTTCTAGAAGTAGTGAAATCTCCATTTGATAACGAATTGTCTGAAGTCCTAACCGTACGTCTGGGGTCCTTCCCACATAAGGGTCTTTCGGATGAGTTTTTTGCAAGGTATTCTACCAAGGTTAACCTTGCAACGCTGCTTCAAGCCTATGCTCACGTCAAGAACTCTGACCGCCGGTCGATTGAAAAGTTTATGACCCCTTTTGAGCGTGAGAAGGCTACAGGGCCAGACACTGTTGCAGACGAAGCCCTTCAGTTCCTTAAATCATTACAGAATGCAAAGATGGCTCAGATGGTGAACGAAATTGTATCTGCGGTCGAAGAAGAGTATCTCGAATCGAAGAAGAATGGAGCTGCATCCATTTTCTTGAATACAATGGACCTAACGGTGGCAGCAGCTGTGTTGATCGAGTCCAAGTACAGGGGAGGCACAGGAGGTTCGTTGGTCACGCTTTGCGCAAGATCAGACATGACTTTGCCACGTGAAAAAATCCAGATGATGCTCAGCGGAGTGTTTATGGGTGTTCGTTTGTTTTCAGACAAGAGTGGAGCCGGTAAGACTCTTTTCTCCCCTCTTCCCACAATTCATTTTTTGGTATATTTTGCTAAGCATTTATCCATGATTTTTTTTTTTTTTTTTTATAGCAGAGGATATTCGCTGGTTCCCCTGCAAACAGACACTCTATCGCATGTTCATGAGATACCACGACAAGTTCACACTAAGCGAGTGGTACGTTTATTTCCCTTTAACATATTGTCGACCTAACTGTTTTTTTGATTCGCTTTTATTATTAGTTAGGATAGAGGTATTAACATCCTCAATCTCGTTTTTTTCTAGGCGTCAGTTCCACCCTAATAATTATGATGACTATTTTGCATACCGATATGTCATTGATGGACATCTCTCAGAGCTTCCAGAGGAGGGTCAGTCTGAAGTCAAGGCGATCTACGAGGGTCGTTTCAGTTGATAGTCTCCACCCTCTTAGTTCTTTAGCGTCGGAAAAAAATAAAATAATAAAAATAAAAGCTATTGACGTAGCAATATAATTAATTAAGCAAACATCAAGATGATGATACGAGAAGAAGACCCTATTTAAGGGACAATTGCGCCTCGGCTTCTATATTGCATGTTTACTTGCGAAAATATATTACACAGGCTATACCCGATTACATGGCATGTCCAATACCACAAGAACCACCTAACGGTCTTATAAATTTTGAAATATGGTATTTAATTCAGCGCAGAGAGACTTAATCAAAAGTTGGTTCACAGTTCAGAGAAGAGGGAAAGAATGACAATTATTTCATTTCCCCGCCGGTATGAACCTAGATGGGCTTATTAAAGAAGCTTTTATCGCCATCATTTGACTACAAAATAACGATAATATAATACGTCTCAAGCCATTTGAAGTAGTTTGCTTATTATGTGATTAACCATGCCATGCTTAGCCTGACAGACAGGCTACAGATGGCTATGATTATATGTGGCTCAAAGGTTCATGGCCGTTTAGTTCTATTAAGGATATGAATGAAATTATCGCATCTGTCTTACTATGAAGAATGGCAAAGTAATCATGTTCGGTTCTGATCAAGCGCGTGTTTATCAGGAGGCGCGACAAGTTTAGGTTTAAACCTTAACCCATAGACGCTCTAACGGCAGAAATGAAGCCAAGCTTATTGGCTTCGTAGTAAGGCGATGCTGGAATAGAATCTATTGCAGTATGCTAAGCAAACGTTACTAGCCCTGGGCTACTATGTTATTTCAGAAAGTTACAAAAAGAAAGGGGAGTATGGATTTGCATTCTGCGGCAGTGCCTTTCATCTATGGGGAATTAATACTACGTTAATGAACGAATCTCCTTGCTTGCTTAATTTCATTTTGACGGAGGGGGCAGAGCTTAGTTCTGCTTTGGCTTCGGTCATTCTCCAGTATAAAAATTAACTGTGGGTTAGTAACTTTCTCTTATTGAATGTGAAAAGCCCCTTCATTTGTTAAAGACTTGCATGGATTTGGGGTCTCAATATGCTCTGTTCTAGCCTCCACAACCTTTTTTTTCCCTAGTTGCTGCTATTAGTATAAGAACCTCGATGTTCGCGTCCACTTTTTCAACATCAAGCACTTCATCTTCATTAAGATCCTCAAGCAAATCTCCATCCCCACAACAGTAGCAACCACACACCTTTCTGATTAACTCGTAAGGAATAAGAATTCCCCTGTTCTATAACATGCAACAGTATTTAAGAAAGTAAGTAAGACTAACTCCTCTCATTATTTTTCATTCCGTACGCTTTTCCTTTTTTATATAGGTCAACATGTACAAGTCCTTGGTATTCATTGGCGCTTTCTTGTTCTCTGCCGCCTCTGTCCAGGCTGCCCCTACTACTCAGGACAGTGGTTCGTGGTGCTACAACCCCAAGAATGAACCTTACTGGGGTGCTGCCACTGCCTCCTGCTGCAATGGCTACCTTGGAGGAGACCGTCGTTGCCACAGCATCCCCGACTGCGGAGCCTTTTATCGCTGCTGCATTGTCAACTGGAATAGCGGTAACCACGCAGACGATGGTTGCCATTAGATAGCCCCTGCCAACCTGTTCGACTCTCGTTTCCTAAATCTTTAAGAATGAAAAAATCAATAAACACTGCTCCTTGCCTTTTTGTTCAAAAATGGTGCCTTTTCAGCCAAAGAGGACGTGGTTAATATATAATAAATTCGAATAGTTTATGGGGAAATATATGTGATATGGATGAATTTATTTCGCTGCTTGCTTTCATATCAAGTTTCAAAAAGAAGGCTACGCATAGGATGGGGTATATCAAAAAAGAAAAAAAAAAAAGGCAGTGATGGTTGACACGCTTCTATTTATAATAGGGCCGTAAATGTGAAAGCATAGATTTTACAAGGAAGAGTTACAGATATCTTAGACTTCAGGCAAAACAAAAAATCCCTAGGAAGGTGGCATTCACCCAAGTTAGGTTCTTTTTTAAGAAAATGTCTAATTGTTTTAGGACATCGACATCGAATAACAAGCGATCTCTGTAGGCTTGATCCAAATATGTGTTTTGTTTTATTGGATTATGATCTCCAATTCCAACCTTTTATTTTATTTTATTTTTTTTATTTACTCCCTACTTATCCTCAGGGTTTTCAGCCACTTTTACAAAGAACTCAGCGAGCATGTTCACCGCCTCCATACCAGCTCTGAATTGAACAGGATCAGACCAATCGCCACGGCTACCTGTCCAACCATGGTGAACTTCAGTAAATCTTTTATGTACAGACCTAGTAGAAAAGTTCTTTCGGTTCACCTCCTCGACTAAAGGGATCTAGAAATAAAAAAAGGACTTGTTTTAGCCCTCTTCCCATTTTTTTTTTTTTTTTTTTTTTTTTTTTTTTCGCTTGTGCAAATGAACGTATAATATTTCCCTTTGTACTGCCTTCTCCTCACACCTACCATGTCATCATCATCTTTTGCAGGTAAGAGTATCACTGGACATTTGATATTCTTGACCAATTCAACTGTGCACATAGCTGGATGTGGCCCTCCAGCTGCCAAGAAGGGGCTATCGTCTTCTGATGCCGCCAAAATAGAAATATAGGTGCCCCAGCACTGTCCAAAGATTGAAAATGTTGTACACCCATCTGAACGTAAATCCTCAACGGCTGCACGAATCAAATCGTCATAATGGTTCTTCTTGTAGTTTGCATTGTCATCTATCCAGGCTATTGCTAAAGGGCGATTTCCAATGTAGGATTCTGGTAAAATCTTCTTGAAAAAGTAAGGGGCCGAGACCTGGAACCCACCATTTGCTGTAGCGAGACGCTTTATATGCAGTAAAAAGCAAATTGGTCGTTAGCTCCGGTCTTGATAGGAGGCTTTCAAAAGAAATGCTTCTCTCTATCATTGTATAACCTACATCATAGAATTGATAGGTTGTGGGATGAAAGCCAAGAATATCGTAAACAGCGATGATGCCGTACTTCGAGTCCTTAGGCCCAGTCCTGTAAACCTTTTGTTCTTCTCCATGTACTTTGGTCAGTAGGACCTTATCATGGCCTTTCCTCTCCCATTCTGCGTTTGTTGGGGGAGTGTTGCAACAAGAATCTGACAAACTCATTTTTTTTATTAAAGCTTGGCTAAAGTGGAAAGGTCTATTTTTTTCTTGAATCGTGGGAATTTTTTTTTAAAAAGAAAGGAGCTAAACTGACATGAGTTCGTTTTTAAAGGCAAACGCATCTCTTGGTCAGGATGTATTAGTGGCGAAACAGTCACGGGATCCAACCAAAATGGCGTCAAAATGAAGTTAGAATGAAACTCTCTCGCTTTCTTCTTCTTTCTAAACACAGCACAAGAAACGACAGCAACAACCATGAGCCACCATTGCCACGACGAAGCACATGCACATGGACATGGACATGGACACCATGACCATGACCACGACCATGACGAGCTACCTGATTCAGGACTGGTACATGAGTCTCTCTACCAGAAAATCGACCATGACAACGTCACTTGTCTGAATGAAGCAGAGCCCAATTCTGGAAAGAGCGTATTGAAGCCATGGCACGAAAAAATGGATGATACAAAGGTAGGTCACGCTATATAGCCTCTTAAGATTGAACTTGATATTTGCCTCAAGGGAATCAATGATATTATTATACGCGAGACTGATTCATCTTATAATCATAGTTTGTTGAAAGTGACGCAGATGAACAGCTTATTTTCAGAATCCCGTAAGTTACGTAGCTATTTATTGTTTTGAAAAAAGCTACGGAGAGGAATGGAAAAGGCCAAATCTGCACTGCATGGAGAACTTTTTGCCTCTTTTTTTACTGTTCTGACAAATCCATGAATTGATCAATCATTCCTAATGATAGCTTCACAGGCTTGGTCAAATTAAAATCGATTTCACTCAGGACTGATCCTGGAGAAAGCGCTCCGCGTAAGATGAAGGCGTAAGTGATCATTTTTTTATGGAAGGAATGGGGAGAAAGAGGAGGATAGGGGGGAAGATATTGCCTCTTATCATGGCTGTATGCTTAAAACACTTATTTCCTTCCTCTCTTTGAATGCTTTAGATTCGTTAACAAGGATGACCTAGATTTCGATAATGCTGAATCAACAGTACCGACACAAGAGTGGGACCTTGTAGAAGACTCACATGGACAGATCGCAGAATACTCTACAAGGTAATAATGATAAAATACATCAGGATTATCAACTGCTTGTGGAGCAAACATTGATTTTTTTTTTTTTTTTTTTTTTTTTTTACTCTTTCATCTATTATTATAGAGTGGCAAAGTTTACGAGCATTCGCAGTCTGACGTTATTTTTTAGTGAGAATTTTGGAGGTGATGTGACAAAAATCAGCTTCATTGGGCTCAAGGGCGAGTTCTCAGAGGTAAAAAAAAAAAAAAAAAAAATACTTACTCATAAATAATACAAATAATACAAGGACTTGTCATTTGCTAAATGGAGACAATATTCGCTTTTCTTCGTTTCTTTTTTTTTTTTTTTTTTTTTTTTTTTTTTTCTAGTTCAAACGCGATCCAATTATCACAGTTTATGAGCTACAAGCGAACCCTGCAGACCATAAGGTTCCTGGCGCTAATGATATCCTTGGACATGAGGTCGAATAGGCACTCTACTATCACGGCGAGCATTTGTAAAACTCACAATAACAATAAAGCAAAAGTGTATAATACCTACAATTGCGTTTTATACAGCACCACATAGCCGGCGTGTACGATCACCGCATTGCTCTATTGACACGCTTATCATCAAGAGTCGAACATGTGTATGCTATGACCAAACTATTATTGATTGGCACATAGGACGACTTTTTTTTGTTAATTATACACAGTTGGGCAAAGTAAATGATAGTGGTTACACAGCCAAGCATTTCACGCGATAGCACAATGTTGCTCGGTTGGAACATTCCATTAAAAGTGATTCCAAAAGTACACCACCAATTCCTTGCTACAGATCAATCTTTGCTTTAGCAAAGCCCTTCATAACTCTGTTTCTCGTATTTCAACAGGCGATGTCTCTATTCCATGAGAAACCCAAAAAATTAAAGAAAAAAAAGCAGTAATAATGATTTATGAATGATATTGTATTTTTTTTTTGTTTTTTTTTTTTTTTTTGAATGATAAACACAGTGTGTGGATCTTCCACTTTCTATTCTATTGTACCCGCTCTTTTTTAAATCATACATTTTACTTGGCAGCAGCAGTCAACTTGAAGGTGTCTGAGTTGCGGTCCAACCAGCTGGAGACGCGCTCGTAGACAGCAAAGGTGACGGCCTGACCAGGAGCGACACGGAGCACACGGGGTGTAACGCCCTTGTAGAAAGCCCTCCAGCCCTCGTTCTTCAAGATTTGTGAGTTGACGTCGGTAAAACGAGCCCAGCCACTGAGACCCTCGGGGTTGGGAGTCTTTTGGATACGAGTCTTGACAATATCGATGGGGTTGTTGACAAGAGGACCCATAGCACCAGAGATGCATCCGATGACTGCGGCTTGGTAGCCGGGCAACTCCTTGACATCCTGGATCTTCAAGAGCTGACCCTTCAAGAAGTGGTATGTGGGGAAGTTTGCAGCCTGGTTGGTGGCCTGGCGAAGTGAGGTCAAAGCAACACCGCGGTAAAGAGCACCAACACCCTCCTCACGAACGACAGTGAAGACACAGTGAGCGGCGTTGCGGTACTTGGGCACATCCAGAGGGTCAGTCATAGAGTGACGCTGTGCCTGAAGACGAATCTTGACCACATCCATGGGGGTGACTACCAAGACAGCCTCAGTGATACCAGCGAATAGACCAGCTATTCATTAATTAAAAAAAGAAAAAAGAAAAAGAAAAAGAAAGACAAATAGAGTATAATGTTAGTGATGTGGGCAACTTTTAGGAAGTTTGTTATGGGGACAGTTAGCAGCGTGGGAAAGTGTAGATTTTTTTTTTTTTGATATCTGAATTAAATTTAGATAAAAGTCGTGTGTGTCGTGTGTGTACTGAAATACTTTTCTTCATCGTGTCATTCCTGTCAAGGCGTATATGTGGTCCGTTGTGTTGATCGTGTGCTTAGTTCGGCTGGGTTGAACTTTGATCTTCCGTCCTTTTCATGTTCATGTGTTGGTAAATTCACACAGACCGATTGCCGAGAGCATTTCCAATTGAAAAGCACGTAATGCGATCCAATCTCAATCAGTATTGTTATTGTTACAATTATTTTTCCTTACCCCACAAATTGTTCAACTTCCAGGGCGTGCCATTCTTGTCAACCATGAGGTCCTTGTAGAACTGGAAGGTGGTGAAACGGATAGCCATCTTTGGGACAATACCCGCTGTGACAGCACCCAGACCCTTGTACAACGCAAGAGGTGATTCCTTTTGGACGATCCTCATACCCACGCCCAAGAACGACAAGTTGCCACCCTAAATTGATTTATACATTAGGACAGTTAGGAATGTTGAGTCATTGCTTAAATATTTCTATTTTCATGTTTCCCCTCCTGTGTAATCTGATGAATCAATCATTCATCTTTTGTTCCCAATAAATGCGATTATTATGACTATTCTGTGCAACCAAGCATGCATGGGACAACTGTCAAGTCCGTGGTCCGCTTTTTATTTTTCCTCCCACTTTCACTCCAGATTTTTCTTTTTTTAAAAGCCCGCGCTCAGCATCTTTTCGAATCGCATCGTGCCCATGTCAATGCCATTCCTCATCCCTTTGTCCTCTCATCTTTTATTCATCCAGGTCAAACTATCCTGTCTTGTATGAAATAAACATACTCTTTTTTTTTTTTTTTTTTTTTTTTTTCTTTTCTTTTCTTTTCTTTTCTTTTCTTTTCTTTTTCTGTTTTATCCTTGTAATCCTCAAATTTTGTTTTAGTGATTCCATTTTTTGGTGTCAAACTTGATGATGATAGTTTTTCCCTTCTCCCGAAACATTGAATGTTGAGAAATAGAAAGAGGAATGCTGATGGTGGTAATGATAGTAATAGTAATAATGATAATAATAACATAATAATAAAAATAATTTCACTTACAGCAGCATTTCTGGGAGCGTTCTTGGCGAGCTGCATGCGGACCTTGATTGTATCAAGAGGATGGCAGATCAAGGCCTCCATGAAACCAGCAGTACCACCGGCAACCAAGTTGGTGAGAGGAGACTTCTTTTCCCTGGCAGCCATTTTTATTTGTAATATGTATTGAGTATTAGTTACTGTAGTTGGGGAGGTTTTTTTTTTTGTTGTAAAATCAGATCAAAGCTGAAAAAGGTGAAGTTAAATGTTGATAGAGTGGGGAGGTAATATAAAGGAAAGAAAGGAATAAAAGAGAGGAGAGTTGGAAAAGAAAAAGAAGAGGAAAAAAAAGAAGAAAGAGTAATAAAAGTACAAGAAGAGAAGGAAAGTACGTTTTATTTATACAACGAGGGCGAGTGAAAGGAGAGCCGAGAGAGGAAGCCGATTAAAAACGAGCGTGAAGAAAGTGAATGATCTAATGGCTAATAGAGTAAAAAAGGATTACAATGCAAGTACAATAGAATACAACATGTACACAATAGAATGACAAATAGTGTTTTTGATGTCCTTCGGCACATGTAATGTATGGCTAAAGGAAACAAATCAGGTACAACAACACATCCTCTCTCCACCTCGCCTGGCCTCTTTCTTTATTATTCGTCATCGGGGCGTGACCCTTCCAGACTAAAAAAGCGTCCTCATTATCATCATGGCTATTTTATCACCTTGATCTTTTGGAGTCTTCAACATGACTTTTCAGCTGGAACGACTGCATCATTAATCAAAAGGAGATAATGTGTCCGTGGACAAAATTAGGTGACAGACAGAACCAGGGGTTTATTTTAGTCCTTTCATTCAATAATCAAATATCGGATTTGCAACCATCATCTCTTCCTGAATCTTCTTTCTCGATGTTTGAAAGCAAAAAGTAGTAGGCAACAGGGTCACTAAAGACACTTTTGTTTTCTTTTTTGCTTTTTTACCCCGCACTGCTGTTCTTAACAAAAGAGTCAATAGAGTTCTTGAATAATATATAGCTTAACCAGTCCCGGAATAGGACCTGACAGGGGGAAACGGACTGATCTTTTTTCCTTATACATTTCCTCAGTACTTCACGATGTGCACATCTATTGGCTGAAGCCAGATCAGCAACCTTCGACTGTTTTACAATACTATGACTACTGGCTCACCTTTAACTCGACTCCATCGCTACTCTTGCAGCTTCGTCTTCATTCCACACTTACTACTCTTATTCCTGTTTATCTCTCTATCCTGCCTCCCATCTCTCATTCTATCTCTGTTCTCCTTTACTGAGTTCTACTTTGATTTTTTATTTTCTTTTTTACTTTGGATCGGCTTGCTTATTGAATATAGACATGGTGATATAGACTGATCAACTGACACACTCTAAATGTACATTGGTTTACTCTATAATCTGTTAAACACAGCAGTTCTCCTCCCTCTCTCCGATTCTCTCTCTCTTTCTATTTTATATACAAATGTGATTTTTCTTTCACTGCCTCCAGATCAATGTCAAAGCCTTTGATGTGTCATAGAGTTTGTAAGGTTTTACTTTGTTTACACCATTTCTCTCCAAAATAAAATAAAGAGTTGCATCTTGCCAGATTTAGGCCTTGCCCCGGACTCCTTAAGCAAAAGCACATCATCACTTGGGCTTACACTATTCTGTGTCACAAAAAAAGGGTCATTTCTCTTCACTTTCACATGTGTCTGCTCTCATTAAGATAAAATCGTGTGGAAATATTTACATTTTTATATTTTTATAACACCAACATGCATGCCATGCATACTGAATCTGTTTGGCGAAATAGGGCCAGCTTTTTTTTTTTTTATATTCTCCTCTGACCCAAAGAAAGTCTTTTGTTTGTTCCGTTGAGAGAAGCACGCGCGGAAAAAGGGTGCCACATCTGTATTCCGTTCAATTGAGCACTGAGTTTATTAGTTTATCCTTTTTATATTGATCTACTTGACCCTTGTTTGCTTCCTGCTTCCTGCTGCTTTCGATCATCCATTTACCCCGCTCGCGTTCACCATCTTTTTTTTTTTTTTTTTTTTTTTTTTTGAAGGTCCGATTATCTGATCCGACTTTGTCCATGGACGGACCCAACCAACCATCTCTTCTCTCTCACGCATATAAACGCATATATACGTATTAAACACTCTGTAACCATAGTTTTTTTAGTCCTCCTCGCGTCGACATGTAAAAGGAAGATCAAGACATTTGACTGTATTATATGTTTGTACCCTTAAAAAATATAAATATTCACATAGACAAAAATGAAATTGTCTTCAACAACTGCCATGACCAGTGTTTATTGTATAATACGAAGTCAAGATTGTTTTTGGATGGTGAAGTTAGATCCTCCAAGGTCTTTTTGTTTTTTTTTTTGTTTTTCTACAGTATTATGACATTCTACTTTCTACCTTTTTTTTTTTTTTTTTTACTTTTTACTTTTACATAACCTTACGAGCTCCAGGACGAGCAGGTTTGCTGAATCCCCGTGCGCCTCCACTACCCAAACCAAGGTTTACTGCTCCTGTTCCTGCCCTTGCCCCTACCCCTGCATTGTTGCCGCCAAATGCTGGGGATGATGTCCTGGGGTGCAATTCCTCCAACACAAAGGTCTCTGTCAAGTCAGAAACATCAGTCGTCTCCAGCTTCTTGTCTACATTCAAGTCCGCGTCATCCTTGGCTGCCTGCAATACTCCTGCTCTGCAAGATGAATACAACATGCGCTCGCGAATCTTAGATTTGGTTGGGCACGTGTACATAAACACTAAAAAAAAAAAAACCACAAAGGTTAATTTTACCTTTAACAGTAGAAATGAATGAACATTAAGAGAAAAGGAAAACTAAGATTCCTTACCAAGAGAATCATGAGCTACTCCATTGTGTTTATGCTCATAGGCAAAGAAGGTGAAACGAGGTGATTCCTCATGGATGTTTCTGACCAATTCGTTGGCGCCAATCTTGGCCTCACCAGCAAGATCAATACGCTCATTCTCTGCATCAATTGCCTAAAGCGAAAAAAAAAAAAAAAAAAAAAAAAAAAAAGCACCTTGTTAAGACATGTGTAGTGTTGAGGTTTCTTCCCAATTGCTATTTAAAGATATTTCTTACCAATGTAACAAAGTTGATAGTGCGTTCCGCCTTGACAGGAGCTGCTGGTGCTTCTTCCTCCTTAGTCTCCGACACCTTCTCTTCTTGTGTTGGCTCTGCTTCTGCTGCCGCCGAAACAGTTGTAGCAGCAGTCTTAGGCTCCTCCGCTGTAGTCTTGGTTTCTTCCAGAGTAGGTTTAGGCTCCTCAGTCTTTACTTTTGTTGTTGTTGTGGTGGTGGTGTCATAGTCTTCTACCTCTCCTCTCCTCTTTACTTCCCTGGTCTTTTCCTCATCCCATTTATCTTCTTCCCATTCATCATCAGCCACCTCTGCTGTCTCTGAAGCCTTTTTGACTTCTGTAGTACTTGAGCTTGTGTTTTCCCGGGTAATCACTGGCGATTCTGGTAAAGGCGTTGATGCAGGACTGGTAACCTTTCTTGTGGCTGCTACAGTAGCAGAAGGTTTGGCAGCTGGAGTAACAGGTGCAAGCTTTTTAAGCGCAGCAATTGCCTTCTCTGTCAATGGGAAACTCATTCCTGGAGCATGCGACTTTCTATAAGCGCCTCCTTTCATACTCTCAACCATAATCTTCTCATTCTCCTTGATTTCTGCTAGCTGACGTTCACGTTCTGTCAAAGGCTTAGGAGCATTCAAACTGGCTCTGTGCTTCTTGTAACCGTCCAATGTGAAGTCACTCTGTATCGATGGTGATTTTATTTTTGCATAGAAAAAAAGATAATTGTCAGCCATCATGATATTGAAAGTATCTTCATATATCAATTAATTAACTTTTTTTTTTTTTTTTTTTTTTTTTTAAATACCTTGTTCGTTCCATAAATCGAATCTGTAAAGTGAGAATCACCAAGATCCTTTGTCAAAGTGGCTCTTGTAGCAGCATAGATCATCTTTTGGCGGATAGGGGCCACATCTGGAACATAGCATAAAAAGATCCACTCTGAAGCCTTGGCGCCATCCAATCGAACCACGAAATATGCAGGTTGCTTCTCTTCCAAATTGTCACACACAATACTGAAGTCTATCAAGGATTAGAGAAAAAAAAAAAAAAAAAAAAATACAATAAGCAACCTTGATATATTTGAAAGACCTTTCTTTTATATTGCTTACAACTTCATACTGACCTTGATCAAAGGTTCCTCTGATATCGAAAATGCCATCGTCTTCCAAAGCCTCATTGATAATCGAGATCTTGAGAGCACGAACTGTGCTACCAACTGTAGCTTGTTTCCAAGCATCAGCGAGCTTCTGAGAAACTATTAAACCGTCATAAGGAAGAAAAAAAAAAGGGGAGGGGGGGAGGAGGAAGGTCATTCGATCATCAGTATTGTTTTTTCGTTTTTTGCTTTTTGTTTTGTTCTGAAAGCTATAAATAGGTAAAAGGCGCGTCCGTTCTTCTGTTCTTATTCTCTTTCAGCCCCTGTCACCTCTAAAAAAAAAAATGAGGATGATCAAGTGCGAAAAATATGTTCATTACCTTTGATACCAGTTTGATTGGACACTATAGTGAAAAGATATAACAAAGGTATGGAATGAAGGATAGACGCGCCGTTATTAAGCATCAATTGATCTTTCCAAGTCAAACTATGTCAATTGCTATTTCAGTTTTTCCTTACTTGGGAGATTTTATGCTCTGTGACAGTGTTGGCGAGGCGAAGTGAGGCGAAGCAGTGCAGTAAGGCGATGTAATTAAGGTAGAAAGAGAAAAGATGAGATAAGAGAAGAGAAGAGTGTGCCTATGAAGGAATGAAAAAGTGTGATGTGTAAAGGTAATGAGGAAAAGAAAATGAGAGAATGAGAGTGAGATGACCGAACTGCTCTCATCTTTCTCAGGGCACCACAGTGTGGGACCACAATAACGTCACAAAAATCGTGATCTCACAGGCGTTGCAATTTCGTTGTGAACCCTCGCTGCCGCATCATATCCTTGCAAGGCACTCTATACCTGCCATGATCAGGTGCCATGCTGCATGGACGCGTAGACAAGTGAGATCAGTGGATAGGAAAATAAACAAATACTTCGTAGCAGTGCCACTTGAAAAAAAAAAAAAAAACCCCCCCCGAAGATTGACAATAAACGACGAGAATTTATATATGGATCGCAGTACCAACGGTGCTTAGCATTTCCACTAGGGCTGATCATTGATCTGTAATGCCAAATATTAATTTTATACTGATACAAATGCAGTGTTGTCAATATGCAACTATGATAAATATCTATGCAATTGCATTAATCTACTGTTCTCCAGACCCTATTGCCTGGCCCATCACACATGTTCCAATCTTGAGTCAAGGAATAAAAAAGACGGTGCCCTTCAAGTGCGCCCCCAAGCCTTTGGGTACATGTTACAATTATAATGCCACTTTCTCCATTGTAAAGCCACGTTCATTCTTGTACAAGACTAATTTAGTATCTCCAACATTGACTCTTGTTATTCAGTCCGAAATCCTCAGCAGCCTAACAGCTCTCGAAGAAAAGCTACTAAGCTCTTCTTGATCCCGTAGAAGAGTATTTTATTTCTGATCCCTTCTAGACCATTAAGACAGCCAATAAAGTGAGCTGTGGGGATTAAAAGGTTGTGACTCGATCACGGCGTATGTCAGGTGTTGTGGTACGTCTAGATCGACTAGGACAATATGATTGTGGCAACTACCATACGAGCGGAAGTAGAGGATAGCTCGCTATGCGGCCGAGGGCCGATGACCTGAACTGAAATTGATCGCTACGTTATTGACCTTCATGAATGACTCCACGCGGAGTATATTCGTTGAAAAATTGAACGAGACTCACTCAAGGGCCAGCGCCACCTAAGTCTATGACCGTGTAAACCACATGTTTACTCTGATCATATTATATTTAGCGTAGCTATAAATATATAAATACAGAATAGCCCTTCACAAATATTTCTTTTATAAACACTTACCCCTGCCTTTGACTTTGTGCTTGCTGTTGCTTAAGTCCACAGCAATAGGAAATAGTTTGGCCATCAAATGAAGCTATAAGAAACGTTACGTTCTATATCTTGAGGTTTTAAGCAGAGACGCTTTTTTTTTTTTTTTTTTTTTTTTTTTTTTTACTTTTATTTGATACTCTACACAATGTAATGCAATGAATGATCTCATAATCTAATGTTAAAGTCTTTAAAATTAATGCACTTTCGTTACTCTATTGGGATGCGTTAAATATTGGTTATTCGTTTCTATTGTAGGTTTCATGTTTGTGGGATGTATGCTGATAATAGTTGTTTTGTAGATGTGTGAAAATCTATGCTCTTGAAACGCTTTGTACATGTATATAGCCTTGAGGTTCGCACGTTTAGATGTTTGCTTTTTATCTTAAGCAAGCTTTAATAGTGGGGATTCGTCCATTTCAAAGTCGTCATCGAGTTTTAGGTAAGCTCTTGCGCGATGGCGGCGCGTGCCATCACATAAAGAATTGAACATCCGAGTCATTCTATTGGGCTTCATATAAGTACATTCAGTGGCCCTTGATCGATGGATATTAGTGTCTTCGATTGCTGCAGCTGATTCTCGCCTATTGCCAGATCTAGAAGGGGCCGACCGAGTAGCGGGTGTTGGTACTGATGAAGAGCGTGTCTGGGACATAATCACGATAACCAAAGGAACAGCGGATAGGAACATCATGATGAATGTATTTAAAAGACTTTTTTGTATCTTTTTTTGTATAAAAGTATGTTAAGTGTTACAAATCTAAGGATTTGAACCTAGGAAGTTCTCGCCTTTTATTCTTTTTTTTTATACCTCTTTCTTTCACTTTAGATTTGGTTTATTCAAAGAAGGAACATTCCTTGTGTTGTGTAGATATGAAACGAAGGCTGAACCCTCTTGCTCAATTCTATAGAAATCCGAAACAAAAGGCCTCTATTTTTACAAATAATTTCTATTCACGCAGCCCCTTCTCCATTCAGTGAAGCCTCCACTTCATTTAACTCACCCCTCTTTCGCTGCCTGTCAATGCGAAATGTCTAAATTTGTGGCTATCTTCATAGATGACGGCAAGGAAACTGAGGTGCTTTTTTTTCCCTGTTAAAAAAAAAAAGATGGCTTTCATGAACGCTTGGTGACTACACGGACTTTTTACACAATAAATATGCTTTTGTTGTATTAATAGACTGTAATTGATAAAATTGTAAAGTGTCTCCGGAACCCACAATCTTATCAAGGAAATCATACGAGCGATCTATCATGCGAGGTTTTCAAGTCATTCCCCTTATTGTATCGATACGTAATAATCAACTCTTCGTGTCTTTGTTTCCCTTGGTCGGTTGACTCGTTACACCGATAATCGCGTTATCAAATTAAACTGTGGAGCCAAGGTCTGCTGCATTTGGGGGGCTTCTATAGCCTGCTAGTTTCCTGAAGTAGGGTAAAGGCGCCTCTCTTATGAGAAGATAAATTACAGCACTTGTTCAGATAAACGTGACTACCGGCTTCGTTTATGCCTTTCCTTACTACTCCTTTTCCTGTCCCCCTCTTTAACATATCATTTACATTTTCCCCCCTTCGATCAGGAGAGAGACTCGTCAATCCATTCTAGAACTGAGGTCAATGGGGGATTTTCTCTTATCCTTATCCTCCATAGCATTTCATTTTTTTTTTCTAAAAGATTAAGTTCCTTTTTTTTTTTTTTTTTTTTTTTTTTTTGGCTAGATAAAGAGTGATTGCATAAAGGATTGAGTAGAAAATTTTCCTGTCCGTATTCAGCCTAGATGTTAATCAAGATAGTACTGTTTGTGAGCAGCGAAAAAAAAAAAAAAAAAAAAAAAAAAGCAAGGTGGAAGCCCATCTCGAAGGTAGGCCAGTGGCCTATGGACAGATGAGTGCTGCCTTGAAAGGAGTGGCTGGCAATTCCCTATCTGCCTTGGCTAGTAGGCGCCCTTCTGTTTACACGCGTCTGAAATGACACAGGATCAACAATCCGTTACTACAATCTGTTTCATATAAAAAACCTTGGTGGTCCAGGGCCAATCAAGGAACGCTCTCTCTCACGCAGCTGAGCTGACCTAAGGAATTAAACCCTACATCTGGCGCATAGTAGTAGCGCGATGCCTGGTCAGGAGCTTTACCATACACTCTAGATCATAGCATGGTCCTTAATCAACACCACCTTTCCCCTACTGATCTCTACTGTGTTTTCGTGTAGTACAATGCGTTGCCAACCCCATACCCGCTCTCTGAGAGTATAGTCTTTCTAACAATCCAAATTGGCTCCAACAAAATGTATGTAGTCTAATATACTTGGTCGCGTTCCTTCATGGTTTCGATATTAAATTTTCTTCATTCAAAAGGTGGCTGTGCTTACAAACTCAAATGTGATGTGGGGCAAGGAATAAATTTATTTTCAAATAAATTGATAATAGACCGTAGTTGAGTAACAGATATTTTTTTTTCTTTCTTTTTTTGTAAGTCGGATGATGTTAGTCTTGCCCTGGAGTTGATTTAGTAGCATTTATCAGACTCGTGGTTGCCGCTGTTCCACTTAATCATGCAGCAGCGGTAGAAAGCCCTGCAGTCGGAGATGTTGTGGCAGCGACGGTCGTCTCCAAGGTTGCCATTGCAGCAGGAGGCAGTGGCAGCACCCCAGTAAGGTTCATTCTTGGGGTTGTAGCACCACGAACCACTGTCCTGAGTAGTAGGAGCAGCCTGGACAGCGACGGCAGAGAACAAGAAAGCACCGATGAGAACCAAGGACTTGTACATGTTGATCTACTAGAGAAAGAGAAAAGAAGTATGTCTATTTATTAAATCTTTTTTTTCTAGCCTGCCTCGGAGTACGATCTGAAAAGGATGGGATGGGATTTTTTTTCCTCCTAATTGTAGATCTCTTCTTACAAGTTGCGCTTGTTGTGGTTTTAAGGGAATGAAAGCTGCTTGAGGAGATTGAGGAGTAGGGGCTTGATGATGAAGATGAAGAAAAAAAAAAAAGGAGCACCTTGAGGGCTTTTATAGTTGTCGCGAGAACTAACAAAGAGTGAAAGGAGTTATAGAGAAATGCATAAAAAATCACCCCTTCAAATTCTTTACATCTATTGAATAGATTAATAGTATTCAATAAGAATATATCCTATATCCTATCGAAGAAAGAATGAAAGAATAGTAACGAATAGTAATAATGCAAATAAAAAAGAGAGGATCGGGTCCATTGTTTCATTGTTAAGGATCATACTAGAAGGAGCAGGGCTCAGTCAATTCATAAGGGGTAATACGGATATGTATGCTGAAGCGAATAACTGCTGCGATAGGCTAACAGAAAACAATATGCTGGGTGTAAGGTTCGTGAAGGTACTTTGATGTTGAATGATGTTGCACGGCACTGAACGGTGCTGAGCAATTCTGGGTTCACAGGCAAACGCTTGCAGTAGTTTGTCGTGTTGAGGCGGAAGGTAGTGCATGATTATTATGCATATCGTATTTTAATTCAATGCTTCTGAATATATACCTTATTACATTTAACGTATATATTAAAATTATATTTTGGCTGGCTCTCAACATATCAGTATGATTCACGCGATTTGACGTGAGGGCGTAGCCAATTGCAGATTGTTTGGGTTGCAAAAGCGATGTTCTGCAAGCATCCAATCGTAACGGTTGAAATGGGCAGGAGCGTGGGCAACTATGCAGCAAATGGATGAGGCTTGACAAAAAAAGGAAAAAAATTACGATGGTAATCCGTACGTCAACATTTCCTTTCTCTTTATTTTGTTGAAAAATGAACTAAACTTGGTTTCACGTCCGAGGGGCTTGGTCAAGAACTACAAAGTAAATCCGTGCCTGAATACCCTGCTTATGTCTATTTTTGTTTGCAAACACAAACAGCAACGGGTGACGCCTCACCAACATAATTGATCTACAAATGTTATTCCAAAATTGTTTTGCATGGTGGGATACAGTTGACTGTTCCTTGCCTCTCAGAATTAAGGCCGACATTAGTGAAGACTATATTCTGGTTTATGTGTGAAAGAATATCATAGTTTTATGCAGTCAAGAGCCGTAGCCTTAATATTTTGGGGCAAACGTACGAGCAATGGCTGGCTGTATCCCTTACTACGTACCAGGCGCGTATTTTAGACTGATCACTCTCTCCCTAAATCCCTCAATGGACAGGGTAAAAAGTTTATCGAACATTATTTTTTTATATCCCATAAGGAAGATCCAATTTTCCCGTCTAAAATATAATGTGCATAGAGAGAAAACTGTTTATTGTGTTGCATGGTACAGTGGCTCCTGTCTTGGTAAAATGGTAAGAGTCGTGATGTCCCAAAACTACAATTCAGACACCTCAGTAGCGGACACAAATTTAAAAAATTGAGCTATAAATTCTATATCCGTTTGTATAATGCCGCACATGCATTTGAATTCAGCATTGCGCCTGTCGGAATTACAATGCCGTTGTGTCTTCTCTGAACGGACATGTAACATGCACGCTGAAAATGTTTTAACCAATATTTGTGCTACATGCTCTCTTCCCAACAACACGTACATTTAGTACACAGTGAAAGAGCCATGCGATTTTCACTTGCTCTTTTTTTTTTGTCAGACATCAATATCGATGGAGTATAAGCTAGCACTACGCCCTTTCTTCGCTCAATAGATACAATCCAATTGCTGTGGAATTAAATCATAAATACTTTCTAGCGCCGCGGAGGGAATCCCGAGGATAAGAAGTAACAATATAGTTTTATATGGGTAACAATATTTTAATTCACTTCCGATGATGGTTCGTGAGTAGGTTTTAGATCAAAGCACGAGTTTCGACTTTGGTAAGAAACGCGTCTGTCTGGTAATACTAATAGAAGTCACGTAAGAATTGGCATTTGAAGTAGTAGACACTTTTTTTTTTTTTTTTTTTTTTTTTTGATCAGCGATCAATCAAACCTACCACCGTCATATCTATAGTCTACACCGTACATAGTTTTGGCTGTGCCGAAAAATTTTGACTTCAAAATGCCTCAACGCTCTCATCTTCTCCTATTCCACGTCTGTGTGGTTTATGTATATGCAGGATATGCATTCAGCGCATGATGCAAGCAGTATATATTCGTCCAGCCGCTATAGCCCGAGTTATTGTGTAAATGCATCTCAGCGAAGCAGTAAGGGAAGAAAGGAGGCAAGTGCATGATATGCGGCATGCAGGTGAAAAGTGCTAGCTTTGATGACCTTTGCGAGAATGAAATATCTGTAAGAAGGCAAAGACAGGTTACTTTTTTACTAATAATATATATTTTTTATTGCGTGAGCGCAAATCAATGGTTGTCTCAAAAAGGCAAAAAAAGCTCGCAACTCGCTATTCCATTATATTTACATTTTGAAGAATGTCCCATCCTCACTAGAATAGTCGACACTTGTACCACCCTCAATCTCCCAACAAAGCTTAGAAGATGGAGCTAAAGGTGTATATCCCTCTCTTACTCCGCTAACTCTTTGCATGCGCATAACCATTTTCATCTGGAACCTTCGTAGGCTAAAAATTGTCCAAAGTAGTTACAAGATGAAGAGGGCCATTGAGACAGATCTGTGTGTGGTTGTCAAGGCAAAATCGGCATTGGTCACATCATGTCGATAATTATAACCGTCCTCATGAGTTACCAAGAAAATTTGTCAACCTTCATTTGTGCTAATATAGAAATGGAAGCCACTCCTATTGAACAGACGGCAGGCAGCGCCAAGGCGTCGAGAACCAGTTGGTGTTTGTATGAAGCCGGTCATCGAACAATATGCTTCGCCTTACGCTAACCGCAAGGGTAAGTTGCTTTACACATATTCTATTAATATAATACTTTATTGTTACTCTGGTCAGGTCTCCAAACCGGTTCATTTCGTGGTAGTTAGTTAATCCAAGCTTGCAAGCGACCATGAATTTAGCACAAAACGAAGTTGACCGTACCATAGTATTCCACCTACTTAAGCGGCGCTTAACTGCTATTTTGCTTTTTTTTTTTTTTTTTTTTTTTTTTTTTTTCCCTAGTACTAATATTTGTACATCTGTTGGAGGATACATAGGCCCGATGTTGGGATCACAGTAGCCACGCTGCCTATGAAGCAGCATGTCCATTCGAGAAACGGCTAGTAAGCGCCGATGTATTGCTATGCCAGAAATAAAGGGAGCACAGCAGCCACTAAAGGTGATCAACCATAGAAGGCGCTTACAGGAACCGTGGAGTGTCTCAAGGCCAACATGAAATGAGATATACTCAAGGGGCTGCCATTAGAAGCCACAGCCAGAGCTAGTTGCCAAAGGCTGTTTCCACACTGATGATTACCTCGGAAGGCTGCGACTAATAGTGAAGAGGCACGTACATCTACTAACTTTACGAAAGCGACATATTAGGGGACGCCTATGTTTCCCCAGAAAGCTCAAGAAATGGAGATTGGAGGATCGGTAAAATGTTCTTTAACTAAATTTAATCCGATGGCCCTTAGTGGACCCGGGACGACACGCCAAGGCACATTAGTCTTAGGTGAGTGCAAGGGGCCATTAAGTATGGAGGCGGAAATGTGGGGGTGTGGCCCTGAGCTGTGGCAACGAATCTCGGTTGAGTGATGTAAGGCCCTAGTGAAGCCTTGTCGTAAGCCCATCACGGGTATGCTTAGAAAGCTCTAGGCTCCCCACCTACAGAAGACTGGAGCCAAAGGCCTGCTTAAAAAACAAGGGCTGCCAGCTCAATAATGAAGAAGGCTGTGAGTACTATTTGAGATATGAACGTAGAGATATATGGGAGATGCTGATTGTGCCAAGCTTTAGCAGCGTCTACATAAGTGGTCCTAGAAGACGAAAAAGAAACTTTAGTTAATAGGAGGGGCTGGCTCAGTTTGACGTGGTGGTGTGTAGTCCCTGTTATCATCTCTCTTCTTCTGCGCGTATAATCATAGTTTGGTCTTTGATGACCTTAATCGTATTGTGGCTCAAAATAGTAAAACGTTTTTCTTTCAATACCTCAAACGCGCACCCGCCTTGCAGCTGTGATGTGATGGATTACTTGATAAAGCTGCATAAACGAGTTGTCTACCATTAAGGCGTTAAGGAGAGGGTAGAAAAAAGAAAGGCAGAAAAAGAAAGATAAGGCTAGACTTTTGTATAGTCTTATTGATTTGCTCAATATTACTATTTGCTTTACCTTTTTTTTTTATCGCACACCCATACGGGTTTGCTTTCAAAAGAGGCTAGGCCTGGTTAACTTGATAGTTGTAAGAGCAGTCAAGAAAATACGCTGCGCTTTTTATTTTTTTTGTTTTCGATAGCTAGATCTTTAGAAGATTAATCAATCTAACTGATAAAAATACCACAGACCAACGGAAAGATCCATTACTTTTGTAAGGAGACGATACAATAATCAACAACCTAGCCATAATAGCAACAGGAAAATAATGACAGTGATCGTAAGAGAGAAAGTGACAATATAGAGGGACTGAGGAAAGGAAAGATTGCAATCCATGCTAGCTGATTTTTTTTTCTCTTTGATGACAGACTAAGCTTACATACCTGTGCAACCGTTGCCAGGGCCATTGTTTGGCTTTGACCCATCTCGGCTCTCCTTTTTGTTTTTGCATTATCCGTGATCTTTTTTTTTTTTTTTTTTTTTTTTTTTTTTTTAGCCCGGAATACACGTTTGTATTCCTAACCATTGTCAGCAATAATGCTCTCCATTTTTCACAAGAAAAGAAAAGGTAGATTATGATCGTTATCACAAAATCATGATTAACAGGACACCACAACATCTGTTATACTTTTTTTTGTTTACTTGGACATGTATGCATGAATGAATTATAGTTTGCACCAAGCTTAATACTGGGAAACCCCATAGGCTACTTCTTTTCTTTTCCTGTGAATTATACACTTTGAGTTTAAGGCATGCAGCTAGAACTAAAAAAAGTCAAATATGAAAGACTGGTCCTTTAAGGATAGTGGCGCAAATGTTCTGCTTTAATAAAGAACGTTTAGTCCATTTGAGGAATGAACATTCTAACACAGATCAATTATCAGCTATCGTCTGCAAAGGAGTTGGGTTACTGACAACGGTTCCCCGTTAAAGAAGACAATAGCAACAAAAAAAAAAAATATTGCTCACTCCTCCACCTAAACTCTTTGTAAACCTGACCTTCATCCACCTGACTATGTGACACTCTTGGTACAAACTTTTTCAACCCGTGAAACAAAGAAAGAGGGGAGGCGGAAGATTACCTTGTTTACGTTTTTCTTTTGATTGATTACTGATATCGCACACAGAGTAGCTACCAAGTTGACCTATTTGTTGATTGCCCAATGATGCAGCCTGAATGGAGACGACGCACGGTTCGAGACGAGGAGAAGTAGAGGAATGAGCCCATGCATTATCAGGTTACATCTGATGAATGATGGGTTATTGTTTGTTTATTGCCCTTACGAGGCATTCTCATTTCTTACAAGCCTCCATTCACCTTAATGGTCAAATAAAGAGACGTTGTATGTTTTTCTTGCATTATTTATTATTTTTGTATGACAGCCAACGACCTTTGTCCCCTCCTTTTTCTTTTCCAGTATCCAGCCCCTACATGGGAATACAATCAAAAGTAATCTCGAAAACAAAAAGGCATAGAGTTTGTAAACATTAAGGATTCTCCGTGGACATGGGCGATGAAGAGGCCAAAAGAAAAACCCTGCATGATGAGGAGATATGAGATTATGAGATAGGTCGATTAATAATTGTAATAACTGTTAATACCGAGAAGAAAAATGGACGCGTCTTTTATTGTTTATTGAAGACTACAGTAATGTAACTGTTCCGTATGATGTCAAAAATGCCAATCCATCCTTAAAACAAATCTTTTTTGTATATATTCCTTGCTGTTAGTTAGTAAAAAAAAAAAAAAAAAAAAAACTTAAAAGAGAATCGGACAAGAAGCAGCTATTTGAGACAAGCAAGGCCAATCTTGATTCTATCTATGACGATGGCATATTGGGTTGTAACTTTGTAAGGACATATTTGCTACTACTAACCAAAGTGCACAATATCATACATCAATGTTTATCATTATCTGTTTACATCCACTACAACTTGGTGGTCAAGATAACCCGTGCGTAGTAGTACATCGTGCCTAAGATCAATATCCAATCCAGGACCTCGAACAAAATTACTCGACTTTGGTTGTGTTGGTTTTATAGACCCATGTGTATAGATGTAGGGAAAAAAAAGACAAATAAATAAATAAAAGACAGGGAACGGAGGTACAGATGAGTAAGATAAGGAGGAGCCAAGCACATGGAGGGGAATGGATATTCCGGGCTTGCAGAGAGACATTGTGAGTTTAACGCGCGAATTCAATGTTCAAATGTGTTTATGCAAACAACTCGTGTTTCCCGATTAAACACAGATTGTTTTTTCATCCTTTCTGACCTTCTAGTCAACCACAACAGTTACAGCGGCAACAACCAGGAGAATATTTTTGCTGTTTTGCTCCACAATCGCGCCAACTTTCTTTGATCCCAAGAAATACGATCCCTCTTCGTTCTATAAAAGCTCAAGCTCCATCTCCTTGAAAAGACTTTTTTTTTTATCCCCGTCCTCTTGCCTTCACTCACAAGACTTATCCTTTGCACATACTCCTCCGCCGATCCGTTGATCCTTTCCTTCTCGCTCCGAATTTTTTTAAACATGAAGTTCACCATTTTCTCTTTGGCCGCCGCGGTCATCGCTGTAGCCTCAGCTGCGCCCGTCGTTGAAAAGCGCGCTGGCGACAACAAGCTCGTTGTTGGATACTGGGTTCCATGGGGTAAAGTCCCAGTCGAACAGGTCGACATGACCAAGTATACCCACATCAACTAGTAAGTTACCATGCTTCCAGGACGAATCAGGAGTTTTACAGTCCCAATCCTACTTTCTCAGGTTATATTTGTCTAACATTTTACTTTGCGGTTTGAAAAAAAAAAAAAAAAAAAAAGTGGCTTCGCTGTCCTCTACAAAGGCGCTGGAAACCCCACAACCATTACCATTGACCGCTACTACGATGGTACCCCCATGAGAGCTTTGGTCGCTCGTGGTAACCAATATGGTGTCCCCATTTTGATGTCCATTGGAGGCTGGACTGGATCCCAGACCTTCTCCACAGTTGCTGCTGATGCTGGTCTTCGTAAGACCTTCATCAACAACGCCCTGGTCTTTGTTCGTAAGAACACTCTTCCTGAGTATCACGAGAAACCTGATGGCTGGAGCATGGATGGTCTCGACATCGACTGGGAATACCCCGGACGTCCTGCTGCTGCTTGCAACACCTACTCTCCTCAGGACTCTGCTAACTATCTTATTCTCCTCAAGGAGCTCCGCGCTGCTTTGGATGCTGAGTTCCCCACCAAGCGCAAGCTTTTGACCGCTGCTGTCCGTGTTCAGCCGTTCGATGGTGCCGATGGCAAGCCCTTGAAGGATGTTAGTGCCTATGCCCAATACTTTGACTGGATTGGTAAGAGGATACTTTTGATATTATGCCGTCTGTATTATTGTGAGGATGAAAATACCGTGCTTTAATGCTAATTATTCTACTTTGTATTTTGTCCTGAACCTGATATTGGCATGGTAAGCTATCATGGCCTATGATATCATGGGATCTTGGAGTGCTACCACTGGTCCCAACGCTCCGTTCAACACCCCTGCTCCTCCAGGTGATCCATTCTCTTTCAGGCAGTCGATTGAGGCTTGGAGATCTGCTGGCTGGCCTGCAGACAAGTTGGTCATGGGTACTGCTTTTTACGGTCGCTCAGTGACTACCACTGTTGATATGAATACCCAGAATCCCATCAGTATGTATGTCAACAAGACCAACGTCACCCCCAAGGGAGGCCCATCTGACACCAATGACGTCAATTTCTACTGCAATGAAGGTTCTGTCTACAGTGGTATGTGGAAGTGGAAGGAGCTCCGCGGTGCCGCTTTGTCGACCCCCACGACCGCTATTAACGGTTGGGTCCGTCGCTGGGATGCTGAGACCCAGACTCCTTGGTTGTTCCGTGCTTCAGACAAGACCTTCGTCTCTTATGATGATATTGACTCTTTGACCATCAAGGTTAACCATGTCAACCAGCAAGGTCTCCGTGGTGTCATGCTTTGGGACATCTCGTACGATTACAACAGCGAGTTGCTCGATGTTCTCCAGAAGGTCCATTGCACTAACTGCCCCGTCATCACTACCACCGGCTACACTACCATCGTCCCCACCACCACTGTTGACACTGGCATCCCCTCCTCTACTAGCACTGTCGTTGCCACCACTACCGCTGGTACTGGTCTCTGTGCCGGTGTTGCTCCTTGGAACAGCGCTACAGTTTATGCCGCTCCTGGTACCAAGGTCACCTACAATGGCCGTCTTTACACCAACAATTGGTGGACCCAGGGTGAGGCCCCCAGTGGCTCTGCCTGGGGTGTCTGGAAGGATGTTGGTGCCTGCTAAAATGCTTATCTGATCCTCAGGCATGCCCTTCACCCATTATTTTTTTTATTTGGTAAAATTAAGTGCAGGTTCACTCATGCAAGCTCTAGCATGGCCATCAATCATATTCAAAAAAAAAAAAAAAAAAAAAGTCTCATTTTTGATTCTAAGGAAATAAAGCAAAGTAACAGATCGCTGTGCGAATGTTATTATTAAAATTTCATCCCTGTTCGACTGATGTAACAGTTTCAGACATCGCAACTTAAAAAACGCTGCACCATGTAATGGGTCATTTCGGCAGTTTATTTATCACAATGTGAGGTTTTGTCAGCCAAAGACAAATGGACAATGGTAGACAGATCTCACAGAACAGAAAAAGGTATTCAAGCAGGCTCCTTGAGGAAAGGATATGTGGCTCATGAACAATGAACGTATACTTTGGGGAGAAGGAAGAAGGAGCATTCTAACAGTGATTGCCCTGAGCACCGGTCAGTAAACAAGCAGAGCAAATAAAGCTACAGGCGAAGAACACTGAGTTTATGATAGTGTTTGTTGACTTTTGTCGGAAGGCATATCAGTCATACGCTGCTGTACTTTTCAGGTTGCTTCGTTATAGGATGATGTTGCTTTCAAAGAGATTTTGTACATTTCTCACTGACAAACTTGAGTTTGATTGATAAAGGCCGCCTTTGCTGTGCTACCTTTTTTTTTTTTTCCTTCACTTTTCTTTTTGTATTTCATCGTCGAACGCCTGTTAATGCTTGAAGGCAGAGTCGACCGAGAGTACAGCAAGGATGCTCAACCTCCCGTGGACCTTCCCGTGAGCCATAGATGACTGTGGAGTGACGGTGATGATGGCGGTATTGAACATTGGCTTCCATAGGCCGTGCACGTTGATAGACAGTATAGTTGGTATTTCGCTGTGAACTGGAAGCCTCCATGGTTAGAAAGAGTTTAATATAGGAAGGAAAGTACAAGTTGTTTTTGCTTTGCAGCGTGGGAAAAGAGGAAACGATGTCTTGAAGGGCAAAGAGGGTAAAAGATACAGGTTGCTCAAAGAAATAAGAAATAGAGTATTGTTGGTTGTTTATGGGACGACAAATTGTTTAAAAAAGATTGGGTTTTATATTTTGTATTTTAACACAGCCCATGCATGGGCTTTTTTTTTTTTTTTTTTTTTTTTTTTTTTGGAAAAAAGTAGTCGACTCTTCTACAGTGGAATCTCGATAATTGTACACTTTTGTACAATTTTCGAATTTGCTATATTTCTCGGTTATTGATTGGCTAAGAAGCCGACAATTCATGAAAAACTATTCTAAAAATCCTCTGCTGATTCCCCTACTCCAGTTGAGTGTGGGTTTTTTAGAATACTTTTTTTTAAAAGAGTAAGGCTCTTAGCCAACCAATGGCCTAGAAATATATCAAATTTGAAATTTGTACAAAAGTGTACAATTATCGAGATTCCACTGTATCTCTTTTTTGTCTTTGTTCGATTGCCGCCAAAACTACATGCCCTATGACGATCAAAGAGGATAAAGCTATTTGGAAACACAGCATTAATGACACCGCCTCCAACAATGTACGGCTGTAGTTGAGAAAGGAGCTTCAAACTTGTCATAAAGACAAGTGGCATATAGTATACATCTTTAGTAAAAAGCCTGCCATACCCTTTCCCATTGACATTGTTTTCTATGGGTGATGGCAGTACCTATCCTCGCAAGCACATCGCGAGGAATAAAAAATCGATCCACCAAATTTCTCCTTCGCGGAAGAGCCGATCATTTGATGCAAATAAAAATGAAAAGGCTGTCTTTAAAAGTAAGCTTTCTGTGCCAAGCAAATATACATGATCAAATCAATGTTAGGCTGTCCCATATGAGCATTACAAAATCATCAATTGAGCAATAAAAGTTTAAAGTAAGCTATGCTCCAAGCGTTCTGGTTGTACGGTAATAAGGGAGGCAGTGCAGGTATAGCCAACACAGCTCCTCTTTCTGTTGAAGGTTAGTGGCCCTCATAAGTCCCTTGATCGAAATTTTACTCCAATGTGGTACGTACCTTAATATTTAAGCTGATGATGATATTCCTGCGTCCGCTCAAGTCTTCAGTAATCCAACCATCTTTTGCTTCTCATTTATAGTGCTTGTAGAGCTTGTACTGATTAAAGTAATAGGTATATCTGTGAATATGATAGCGATCGGCCAATACCTACCAAGCGCACGGTATGGAGTGCGAGTAATTAGGGTCAAGGAGAGGAGGGGACGGTAATCCAACTTTGATGCTGTGGACATTCTGTTGAGCCGAGATTTCGAATCTCAGGCTTTAACATTCCCTGGATCTAGGGCTGATCCAGCTCGGTCCTTACGCACTTTTAATTCTCTTCCTGCTTTCCCCTTCTCTATCACAAGGAAATTTATTAAGGCTGGGTTCGATAATAAGAGTCAGCGTCTTGGTTCGAATGAAAGTATTAGAGGAATAGAGGTCTTTAGATATATTCTTTAAGGATAGGCCAATCCTTTTTTTTCTTTTTTTTTTCTGGTTGTTTAGTATCTAAGGTAATGCCAACCTAGTTGGCCTGCATGGCAGTTAGTAAGTTGATCTAGTCTTGCTGCATTTGAGAGAGCACGGATGAATGATGATATCCATGAATACTAATTCTTGTTCTACATGCTATACATGGAGTATTTTCTACACACATTTATACTATGAGGAAACAGCTCCATATCTCTAACAAAAGAAAAAAGAAAAGAACAATTTTTGCAACTGTTCCCTGTGTAGATGGACAAAAACAAAAAAAAAGACTTGTCTAAAATGAAAGGAACATGTTTATTCTTATGTAGAGTATCTTGAAAAAAAAGCTAAATCTTTGGATTCCTTAGACTGGAAAGTATTACATGGATCCCTTGGTCTCCTCAAGGCGTCTCACAATGAACAAGCTGGTATCAAGGAAACTATAGGAATGTACAAGTGCACACAAAAAAAAAAAAAAAAAAAAAAAGATTTGGAGAGTATCGTCAGTAACCTTGTCCGATCAACAGGATATCTGGTAGCACTTTTGTTGATTAAAAGCCCAATATCCCCGTCAACTTACCGATCGACAGTGTTGGCGAGGCAGGCTTCCTCTGAACGATCAAGCTTGTTACCTACATTAGCCACACAATTCAGTCAGTTAGTCTGAAACATAAACAAAAGGGTATCAAAAAATAAAAAAAAAGGCTGTCGTAACAAGCATATTTATGAGTAATAGAGCTAATAACAGTGTATGCTGAAGTATGAGTATTGTTCATTTGCAGCCCATTTGTAATTATCCTTTCAATCTCTGCTTTCGTCCTGCATGCTCCACAAAAAGCTGTAAAAATAACAACGTGAGAGCAGCCACCGATTCCTTGGCTCTGGTTATATCAGATCAAGTGAAAATCCAATCCTTGCAAAATATAAGCCGATGAGTTTTTTTCTTAAGATCAGCCGATATACCGCATCATTCGTGCCGCCTAGCAGGTTATACAGTTGCAACAGGTTCGGACATACCAATCTTTGTGACACACTTGTCAAAGGCCAGATCACAGAAAGTGTGAATGGATTGCTGAAGGCGAGCCTTGGCTTGCTCGGCCTCGAGGAACTTGGAAAGCTCACGCTGGGCAGCCTCGTCAAAGTTTTGAGCCATTGTGATTAGATTTGGTTGATGTTGGAAGGTTGAATTGAAAGAGGAATGAAAAGCCCGGCGATCTCTGACATGCACCGCACCATGTTTTCTGTGACTGTTATATGACGCTACGTCCCTTAATATTATCACGTGAGTTTACTTTATTACAGTTCAAAAAAAAAAAACGAGTGTCTTTGTTCTACTTTCTAAATGTTGGTGTTTGTGTGTTTGGGAAGAGTGATACAGGCCGTTGTAACCCGTTCCATTTTTTGTTATATTGTCCACATGCATTACACAATTTTTCATTACGAGCACCAAGGCGCCAGATAGCTATTTAGTTAAAAAAATAAAAAAAAAGCATCAATATGACAGATCTGAATATGGTAAATTGAGATTTGTAAAATGAAAATCTACAGGAACATGTACTTACGTGAGACAAGGGTACCGCAATTGGCACAGGGGATCTGAGAATCATTCCGCCTCCAATGTGCAGGTGTTCCGCCTTCAGAGGTTACAACAGTATGAAAGTTTTTTCTGAAAGTAACATCGCCATTTGAGCTGACTTGCACAGGAGTTGGTGTGTTATTAGCGTTTGATGCACGAGGTCGAGAATATGTCTTTTGATGAGTAGGTTGCTGAGGGATGGCATAAGCATGATGTTGGTTTGATTGTGGGATATTAGGATAGCCCCCTGTCATGTTGATATGGGGAGATAATGCCACTTGGGGTATGATGAAAGTTGATGGTGCAGACTTTTTGTTGCCCATGAGATTATGAACAGGAAACCCTGTTGCATTTGGCGGAAGTCCATTGCGCACCACATTGGTGGGAAATGCAAATGGCTTATTGGGAGGTAATGTTCCTGAAAAAGCAGTTTCCTTGTAAGGAATTCGCTTCATGGTGTCTTCAATCGCCTGTGATGTTACGAGCATGGATGGTGTCGCCTGACTAACCAGTTCCATTAAAGAGTTACGCAGAGTCGCCGCTGTAACGGAAAATACACAGCCAAACGTGTGAAAGGTACAGGATAAGAGTGAGAGGGAGGACTGTTAACACCATTTTTGCCACTCCAAAGTAGATTCACATCGACTACAACGTAAGTTTTGTCCTACCGATCTCCTTCTCTCGAGCACTGACGGTCTGATCTTTCGATGCAAATCTCTCGTCTTGCAGCTTGTGTAACTCATATAGCAAGATGGCATTCTTCTGAATTGCCTCAAGAGGCGTAAGCTTCTCATTATCCGCCTTACCAGAGTTGGCCGCATCTAGTAATTTTTTAAGATCCAAACCCTCCTCTACTAAGAAATTCAGATCCTCTTCCTTAAGAATAACAGTGTTTTCAGTTTCCTGATATTGCTGAGCAAACTCTAATATGCTGTCTAAAGAGGACTTTGCCTTGCGCTGTTCCTCCAATTCCGCAGCGCTTGCTTTTGATTTTTGGGCAACCCTAGTCAAAAGCGAATCATATGCAGTCGATGTGTCTTCTGCATCCAGTTCCGCATGGGTAGAGTCGACGAAGGGAGCAAAGGATGTAAAAGGGGTGTAGGAACAAAATTCAACTGAAGAAAAAAAAATATTGATTAATTTATTTATTTTTCACATGAATTCGTAACAAGTCCTGCTCTTGATAAATGGTTTTAATCTATTCATGATTCCTTACCTCCCGTGCTCTTCCTCTTTGCCGCATCTGCTGCTGGGGGCATGGGCCTAGGCCTTGTATTGACGTCTTTTAAAAGTGGGGGATTGGGGTTTGATGGGGTTGGGACGACCACAGTCGTTGAAACCTCCAGATCCAGGGATTCGTCTTTTACAAAAGCAGCGCTTGTGAACACAAAGCCCTCAGGGCCTCTCTGAAAGAGTGCTACCTTTTCATGATCCCGTCCTGGCGCTGCTACAGCCTGACTCTCTTCCCGTGGTCGAACTTTCTTTCCGTGTGATCGGATTGTGTAGTGAGATTTATCATTGATAAGGTCTGAGGCAAGATGCAGTAACTTCTGTGCATGCTCCTGTATTTCAGGATTCTGAGAATTATCTGTAATAGCCTGTCTGCAAATCCTACCAATGTCATCCTGAATGAAGAAAAATTGTATAGAAATGTTACACAAGATTGTTGGGCTTGCATTTTCTCACTTGTTGGTTTAAGTACGGATAGAAACAGAAGGAACCTCTTTACCTTTAAAGTAAGAACACTGGAATACTGAGCATCCTTGAGTTTTGATTGCATTGTCTGGATCGAAATCTCAACCTTCTCTCCATTGACAACAGAAGTAGCGATTGTAGACATGATCTCATATTTATCCAGTTCTTGAATGACATTCAAGATGGTTGATAGCATTTCGTTGAACTCGAACTGTGTAACTTCTGTGCTTTTAGATGTTGGACTTCCTTCATCGAATTCTGATGTCTTTGCTCGTTTGGGTTCTGTCATGATAATGGGCGATCCTGGATTACTGTCGGCCATTGGGGAAGGATGGGAATTGCGTTTCAAATGTCCATCCTCCATAGCTCCATTGATATGGGTTCCATTCATAACAATATTAACGCTTTCGTCCATTATAGCAATTGTCAAGATTATCAAACTATAAAAGTAAAAAAAAAAAAAAAATAGTTAGAAATCTTGCAGTCAGGTGTCAGTAATAAGCTGTATTAGGCTTAATGTGAAGAAATTCAGCCATGAGACAGTATCAATTCAATTCGCGTAATAGTTTTTTTGATGTAACATTTCATTTTTTAAGGGTTCATCCGAGAGCAAAATATGCCCTGCAGTTGAAAACATAGATCAATCAGAAAATCAATTGTGCTCATGTTGCATATTGTTGTAGATCAGCTTATTAAAAAGAAGGTTAGCAGAACTTTACCAAAGACTGAAATTATCAAGTGCGGATTAGCAACTGTGGCAGAAAAAAAAAGCAGGCAGGGCGCGTCCTTTATATAATTGTTCCTCTACATACCCAATAAGAACAATTGATATGTGTGTTAGTTCTATAGCGTGTCTATGGTGGGTGTTTGTTCAGATGAGAAAGATGCATTGTTCTGTCCATGTCAAAAAAGCGGAGGAAGAAATAAATAAAATAACCACTAAAATAAAATCCATACAAACTGATTGACAACCTTTCTTTCTTTTCCCTCCTTTTACAAAAATATTTTTAATCGCTGAACAAGTGTGACGCGGAGAGAAATAAAATAAAAAACCAAGATGAGGCGAAGCAGGATAAAGATTATGTGTGATCAAAAGAAAGCAAAAATAAAAAGCGAGAGACAGAGACAGAAAGCATGCAATACAAATAAAACAATGCAATGGTTCTTTTGGGCAAGGACAGGAGCAGAAAACAAAGTGAAGACACTTTACTTCAAATCCTCCTCTCTTCATCTCTTGACACATTTACGGCTCAAATGGCGTATTAGAGCCAAAATCGTGCTGTACTCGCTCTGGCTTTGCCTGTCACTCTCTTGAGTCTCTTCACAGCACACGACCACAAACACGTAAAGAAAAATTGCATTCATTCAATTATAACAACAACGGCACCATGGAGCGACTCAAAGGTGAAGGGGTCCAAGACTGGCTCAGTCAACATCTCACTGCTCCTTGGCAGGGACATCAGACTGTGGCTTCTGAACTAGGAAATGACATCATTGCCAACATTAAAGAACGTTGGTCTCAACTCGACAGTGTGGTCCGTCTTGGCGTGCTCTTCTCATTGATCAGTCTTAAGAAAGCTCAACAACTACAACTCAAAGATAAATGTCAGGAGGTAATAATCTGTTTATTATAATAAAAAAAAATAAGTGCTTATCATGGATCAACTGAATCGATTAAACGATATGGGGCCATAAAGAAGCTGACAACAATCTTGGTTCTATCGTAACTACACTTAGTTAATAGATCATGCGTGCTCGGATCCAGACGACTGGGTCCGACTGATCTCCCAGATGTTCAAAGACTATCCAACAGAAGGAATATTGCGTTTTAACGTGGAACAGTTTGCAGACCAAGCGCAGCTTGGTTCTCTCATGGATGAACTCACCAATCACAGTATGTAAAAAAAAAAAAAAAAAAAAAATCGTCGTCCGATGATTTAATACTAACCCAACATCCCTTTGTTTTTTGTCTTGCCTTGTTGCCGTATATTAGTCTCACATGATGGAATCAAATTTCATCCAAAGGAGTTTGCATATTTGAATGATTCGGTTTGTAAAGCGGCCCAAGGAAAGGATCCAAAGACAAAGACATATCCACCAATCACAGGGCCCTCGCTACAACAACACTTCAACCTCCGGGAATCACACCTCACTATTCACACAGAGCGAGCTAAGAAGCTTAAGAAGATGGCTGAACAAGCATCGTCTGCTGCAGGTAACTTGTCTATTTCCATCGGTGGTACGGGCGTCGTAGGATCTGCTGGGGGACCCCTTTCAGCCACTTCACCTGTTGGCCCAGGATTAGGATCAGCAGGCTTAACAGGAACTGGGGGCAATGTAGCGGCTGGTGGATCAGCAGCAACAGCGGGATTGTCATCGACACAGACTGTCCCTGGTGGACCCCCTCGGCCAACAAAAAACGCTTCCACAGGACTTTTTGTGCGTAAACCTACAGGGTCGTTTCTACGGAATAACCCTCCGCGACCAATGCCCATACCTAGAAGTACGTCTTGCTCTTTCTAGGACATGAAGTTTATTATGCTTTGTTTGTAAAGCTCCATTTATTGACTGAGCACTTATAACCCCTATCTCCTTTTTGTTTCACATAGACCCTTCAACAGGGCAGCTTCCTCTTCGGTCACCAAGACTTGATGGGTCTACTACACCACGTTTAAATCAAAAATCAAGTCGTATTCAAATCTTGGATATCCAGCAAGGAAATGAAATCATGCAGAATATGAATGACGAGAAGAGGAGGAAAGAAGAAGGTATGTGGCATTGGATATGAATTTCTAGGACTTTCCTGTAATGATAACAAACTTTTCTATGGGAAGTATTGATATTGAGAGCGAATGTCTTTTTTTTTTCTTTCTTTTTTGTGCTTCTGTGGATTCGATGCTTTAGCTGAGCAGCGTGAGAAGGAATTAAAGAAAGAGCAAAGAGCATTGGAATTGGAAGCCAAACGCCAGCAGGATGCAGAAAAGAAGGCACAGGTCCAGAAAGAGAGAGAAGAGAAGAAACGCGAACGTGAGGAGGCCAAGAGATTAAAAGAAAAACAGAAACAAGATCGGGACGAGCAGCTGCGACAGCAGCGGCAACATAAGGAGCAAGACCAGCAACAAGACCAAGATCGACCACGTGGGCCTGATGAGGATGAAGAAGAAGAGGATGACGAAGGAACCCTTTCTTCTTTGCCTGTCCGGAAACGGACGCGTATTGCTAGCATTAGTAGCTCGCGCAGAGGATCCAAGGATGACGGTGATGATGAAGACAATTATGAACAAATGGATCGCTCCTCTGGCGTGGAACCACCTAGCCCTATTACGACGCCCTCGCGTAACCAACAAAACGAACAGCCAACACCCGAGGGCCATCTCAATAGCGAACAGTCTATCAGCAACTCACATACTCCTCCGCAGTCTTCCCATCAGCCACAACAGTCTAGTAACGTGTTGGCGGATCACCCCACAATCTTCCAAAATATCAATCTTTTGACTCCAGAAGACAGAGTATATATTGAGGCATTCTTGCAAGGACATCCCAGTAAGATTAATATAATAATGCAATTTCAATTTAATCCATGCAAATGGCTTTTTTTTTTTTTTTTTTTTTTTTGCTATCGCATGCTAGTTAATATCGTTGCTTCTAATCAATCCTTCCCTTCTCACGCTCGTCTAATCATTCCTAGTGAAACGACCACATGAGAATGAATCTCTGTATCAGATTGTTATGAACCAGGAACAAGTGACGGATGCTTCAGGCCGGCCGATGTACGAAACCATATTGATTGAAATGAATTTTGACACGGGTGAGTGGAAGAAGATCAAGAGACGTCGAGCAAAACCTCATGTACCAACAACTTCAGCACAACAAGTGCATCCAAGTAATTAGAAGTAATAATAAAGTAACCATATTACAAGATATATATAATATATACTTTAGTTCTTACAAGTTCTTTTACTTATTTTTTGATGAATAACAAAAAAATATGGTACAAAATATGCTTGCTCTATCTAGTTATGGCTTCACTACCACTGTCTTCTTTTTCTCTCTCTCTCTTTTTTTTTTTTTTTTTTTTTCTACAATGATTTACTCTCAAGCAGTTGTTCCTGTTGCCTGTGTAACCTCCTCATCTCTCTCTCAAATCTTCGCTGTTCTCGATCCTGATGTGCCTTATAGGCCCACCAGCGTACGGGATCTGGTAAGAATACTGTTCCTATTGCCATTGGAGGCAGACGCTGCTGCTGTTGACTTTCTGACGATTCAACGGATGACGATCCTTCCATGCCCTGAGTATCGCTGCTGCCATTGCTGCTTCTATTGTGACTGTGCTCATGACCATGACCATGGCCATGCCCGTGAATAGTTTCAGATCCACTTTCGTCTGTGCCAGTGGAAGTAGCTACTACAGCGGCAACTTCTTCCGCATGCATAACAGGTCGCGTCCTGGGATCGCCTGGGAAGACAATCAATACGTTCATTCCCAAGAGAGGACCAGGTTCATATTCCTGTCGTCCTCTCATCCTGACAGAACGTTTAAGTGGAGTAGAAGGGGATGCTCGCTCCATATTAGTAACAGCTGTGGTAGGATCGCCTCGATGCGGTAGTGATTCCATTTCAATTGACTCTGAAGTCGAGGATGGCAGGTTGTCCTTGTCGTCCTCTAAGTTTAATTCTGTAGGAACTGGAAGAGCGTTTGTTCTTGATCGGAGAGTCATCTTTGAAGCAGACCTATGGATTTCTCGAAGGGTACCGCCCACTCCGGCACCTACTCCAGCACCTACTTCAGCATCTACTCCAATTCCCGCGCCAGAGGTAGGTGGTCGTGGTTCTCGTGACATTCGTACACGGGAGCTTGTACTTTTTCTGGATGTGGATCGAGAAAGCACAGAGGAAGGTGTGGCTCTGCCATTCGTCTGTTGCTGTCGTTCCTTCAACTCTCGTTGCTGTCGGCGCCAAATTGAACGCTGATATCGTCGATAATGTCTTCTAGTTCTGGGAACCAGCCCACCATGGAAGACGAGAGGTTCGATCGAGATTGGTTGGACCAATAAAGGATTCCACCTACGCCGCTGCGGCAAAACTTGCGCAGACGGAGAAAGTGATTTTTCTAGGCTATTCAAGTCCGTTGGTGAAAGCATGTCGAGTTCCAAGATTCCATGATCTTCCCCATTATCATGACGGTCATTATGGCCGACGCCCGTTCCATCATCATTACTATCCCCATCCTTATCCTGTCCATCCTCAGCAGTCTTCAGTTGCTTTTGATCTTCAGCCTCATCCTTTGATAATTGAAACTGATGACGGAACGACCGCAATGATGTTGAGCGTTCTAGGCTTTGGCGCAGCCAGTTTTCCCCAGAAGAACCGCCCTCCTCTTGATAATGGGGTTCACTATTTGTGTCTGAAGTTCGATGATGCTTATGGCTGTTACCACTATTAGATGGGTCAGGAGGGGGGTTTGACGAACCAAGATCACGAATGTAATCCGGTTTTACTTGTGAATTTGTCCTATCACGTTCATTATGGCTTGCAGATCCAGGTCTCCTTCCTGCATCTATGCCTGGAATATGAGGCGTTGAAACCAATCTAGTTGCCGTTTCTGTGTCTGGATGGTTCATTTTAGTGGGGCCACGGTTTCGGAGGGTGGAGAAAGTAACGGATCGACCTCTGCTGCTAGCAATAGGTGCCTTCTCTGATGGCTGCTGATGTTGTTGCTGCTCTAGTTGGGGTTGAACTCCAACAATGATCCTGTACATGGGTTTCATGTCTTTTAGACAACTATCTGGGGAAGCTGAAGCTGGCATGGCCAAAGCTTGTCGTCTCCTATTTTCTTCTTCTTCTTCCGCCGCTGCTTCTTGTTCCAACATTCTCATCTCTGCAGCAGCTCTTCGTACTTCATCTCTTTGTTGCATCATCTTTCGGACTTTCTGTCCCACCAAAATCAATACCAGAACCCCCAAGATAAATCCCACTGTTACAAATCCGAGCGTTGCCAAATCGACCTGACTTCCCTTGTCAGGATGATCGTCCACGGGGTGATCCAATAAATGAACCGTCAATGAAAAGGCTACAGCTTCTGAATTGGGGTTTTTGAGAGAATAGACATGATAACCCGAGAACCTACGGGGATCTCCTGCTGGGAAATCAATGAGCGCCGAAGGGTCTGTGGATTGATATAATGCAGAAGAAGAAGGGGAGGCATCCAGACCTGAAAACCGGGTCCATCGGTTATATAATTCACTCACGTTCAAGATACCCATCGGCGTGATCACTGGAAAAGTGCCCTGTGTTGATTCTGGAGGGATGTCGGAAGGAGTTGGAGACGAAGTTTCAGAATACCCATTCCAAGAATCATCTGTTAATCCATGGCTGGCGCGCCAGTACATGTTCATAAATCCTTCCCAAACGTTCTGTGATCGGAAATGGAGTCCAGCCGTCGCAGGCTCGGTCGTTACTTCGAATTGAATATCTGGGTCCAGAGAATCAATATAGGTTTTAAACGTCATTTCTTGACCCGGTTGAAGGACGTTAGAATAGGTGGCCTTGACATCCAGGGCCACTCGACTAGGACAGGTATCTGATGAAGTGAGGACTTGGTCTTTCAGATCAGGCCTTTGACGGATCAAATCTTGGAGGGTTCCATTCTTAGGAATATCTGATGCAGTTCCCAGAAGGAACAAGGGCGATGAAGCCGAGCCCGTTGGTGAGATTGTTAGCTTGGCCTTATCGGTGTCAAACAGACATAGTCCTCCGACATAGGAGCAATAGTTGGGATTGCAATTTTGACAATCATCATATAAACTGCACCATCGTAAAGCTAAAGGCAAAAAGTAGTTTAAAAAGAAATACGAGTCAGTCTTTGACTCCTTTTTATGTCTCTCCTATGTACTTGCTGGGCAGACAAGGAGCCATAATAATCTCTTTTCTTTTTGTTTTCTTCTCTTCTTACCTCGACAGTTGTTGACGTCGGCGGGAGCCCGTGCTGGAAGATTGATAGTGATATTGACTACATCCTGATGTTCATAGCCATTAAAGCCTCCAAAGATATACGCTGTCCATGCAGTCTTACTCCCTCCTGGAGCTCCAGGTGGCCTCAGGACCATCGTGTGGTTGACACGATCTCGGATAACGCCATTTACATCAGCCATATCATAGGTTGTCCAGTTTTGACAGGACATGTCAAACAAGGTTATTTTGTGGACATAACATGACTGTTCTCTCACATTTAGTCCGAGTCCAAAGGGCTTCATTCCTCCATAGATCAAGACCATATCATCGCCCATCAACCCTGCAGGAGCCCAGACGCCCGACACTTGATCGTACATTACTGGCGGTAAATATTGCTGTACCATACTGTTCTCTTGTGGCTCAGCATCTGTAAGTTCTTCCTCATCATCAGGATCTGGATTATTAGGCGATGTGTCTGTATATGGTGGGACAGGTTGGGAAGTCAAAGGGTCGATTCTTGGCGCGAGAGCATACCACAAGTCATGTTGAATATAGTACTGATAAGTAATCGTGTTTCTGGTCGTTTGATTGACCATGCCTCCAAAGAAATAAATCGATTCTGTGGCCTCGTGATAGACTGCAGTGGCGCCAGCTAAGCCGACGGAATTTTGATGATCGGCTCGTTTCCACATTCCGGTTTCAATATCATACATATTCAGTTCCCGAACGGTCTCGCCCTGGGCATTCAATCCTCCAAAGACCACTAGACGGGTCACATTATTCTGAGTCACAAGAACACAACTGGCCCCTGCTCTTCCTGTGGGGAGTTGATCTGGATTGAGGGGTTGTCGTGAAGACCATTGTTTGCCATTGTATTTCCAGACATCTGCCAAAGCATCATAACTCGTGATCCCACCATAGACGTAAAGGTCATCATTGTAAATGAATGAGAAGTGTCCATAACGAGGGTCGGGACCTCTGCCACTGACTGTGATTTTATTCCACTTGTTTGTTGCTTTTGTTTTCCATGAAGGCAAAAAAAAAAAAAAAAAACAAAAAAAAAAAGGATCCTGATGTTCAGAGACTAAATCCTTGTGAAGTGAAATGTTTTTCAATATGAGAGCAGGAAAACACAAGATTCAAAGACATACCAAATGAGTATGTTAGGATTTCAGACATGGACATAAATCGGGTTTGGGAGCTAGTACCGCCGGTGATAAAGACCATGTCCTTGCCAGCATCGTATGCCATTGCATGTTGCGACCTTGGTGTGAAATCTTTGAACACAGCCGCTTCTATAATTTTGTGTCAACACCTTTTTCATGTCAGAAATGAATTTCTCTGAAACAGGAGACAATGCTGTCTTTTCTATTACAAATTACGTAATATAGAATAGAAGTCATCCTCCTCCCTCTTTACTTTACCTCGTTGACAGACAGAGCCAGTATATTGGCTAGTACAAACACATCGATTGGCGTTACAAGTTCCTCTTCCTGAATTCATACAGACGTTGCATGGCACTTTTTTTTATGATTGCACAAAAAAAAAAAAAAAAAAAAAAAAAAATCGGCGTTTTAGCGATTTTGGACAAACAAATACGCCACATTGATATGTTATTTCTATTCTCTAATCTGAAATGATAAAAATAATAACAACAATAGAAACTTACAAATTGCACTCCATCCAGCTGTAAAACCAAATGATCCAGGGGTTCTTTCCTGTGATGTAAAGACTGCAGTCAGATCCGGACCAGACGAATAAATTGTTGGGGTACTATCCATCCAGATGTTACCACATAATTTGGCAATGACCGGAGAAGATGTATCGGGACCATCATAAATCGTCAAATAGTCAATCCTATAATATATCAGATTAACCGAAAAGAGAATTAAAAAATAAAAAAAATAAAAAAAAAATAAAAAAGTATATTGAACAAACAATTTATATATAGTCAACAATGATTACAAAAAAAAAATAAAAATAAAAATAAAAAAACGACAAGTATTTAATATGATTTTAGAAAAAGAAGACTTGGTTTCATTGTAGTCTAATGGTTTTTTCCAATGGTTGTGTCTTTCAAAAATGTCTGATGTCTGTCAGGAACGATGAAATCACAAAAAATAACCACCAGTGTTTTGACCGTTATCACTAAACTCACTGATAAAATGACTAAGCGATCTCTATATATAAAAAAAAAAATACATTCTTCGCCACCCATCTGCAATTTTTGTTCAAAAGAGCAAAAGAACAGATTCACACTTTCTGTGAAACAAACTCCAAAAATAAAATAGGTTGTTTTTTTTTTTTTTTTTTTTTTTTTTTACTTCTCTTACTTACCCGCATACAAGTTGAATAGGTGACCAGAACGTCAATGAGATGATATAGGGTGAGGTATTAGTCGATTTTCCATTCCCAGTTGGGTTCGGGCTAACGGTTCCACCAGCTGCTTGTATGATCCATTTACAAGATCGTGATTGAGCTGGATAAACACCGTCGGGTGAGTTGCTACTAAAAGATCCATTCCAACCAGGGCTGAAGACTTGAGGCATATCTGAATTGCAATTCGTCGTGGCCACCCGAACATCAGGACGAAGTGAATATTGGTGGTGATGACCATCTGAATAAGAATTAGGATCAAGTTTGGAACCCCATGATGAAGTATGACGACCATCCCTATCGTCACCATCTTCATCATAACCATCATTATCACCCATATGACTATCATCACTATCACTGAATCCTGCTGCTGCTGCTCTTGCTGCTAGAATAGGCATAAATCTCTTTGGAGACGTTGGTAATGATAATGGCGATGGTAATAGTAATGGTCGACGTGAATATTGCTCTTCCAAAGAAACAGATTGCTCTTCTACATTGTTGTTCTTGTCAATTGAAGATGAAGATGTAGATAGGGAAGGTAAGGAGGCATCCATAACCTTTATACCATCGCCATTATTGTTATTGTTGTTGTTGTTGTCAATAGCAACGTCCCTTCGTAAGGTCAGGACCTGTCGCAAACTACGCCTAACCAAGTCGTGGTGGTTTAGATCGTTTTTATGCACATTGTTGGAAAGCACAGCAGGGGCTGCTTGGACTTGAGATGAATGCAACTGCTGCTTTTGAGAATGTTGAAATGTGCTAATGAGAGATTGGAGACCGATGGTACAGAGAAGCAGGACAAGGAACAATGGTAGCCAGCGTGGTTGTTGCTGGGGTGCCATGAAGGGTGATAAGATGAAAAAGAAAATTTTTTTTTTTTAAAAATGAATCAAAAATGAGGGGAGGGGAAAGCTCTTCACACACTTTCTTTCTCTCACACTCACACTCGCATTTGCACACTCCACGCTTTCAACTACTCTAGCAGACACACACACAGAGCTCAATTCAACTTTAACGAGGGAGCTATCTGATGATGTGGAAAAAAAAAAAAAAAAAAAAAAAAAAAATGTATAACGTAAAGTGGCGATGTTTTGTACGTAAAGTTAATGTGAATGAATGTTGGAACAGAAAAAATAAATAAAAATAGAAAGATAGTAAGTGGCAGGTTAGATGGCCTGGAGAACTGGATGAATTGGGGACAAATGAGAATGAGTGTGCTGTGCCATGCAAGACATGGCTTCTGTGTAGAAGAGAAGGAAGAGGAAGAGAAATAGAGCAGCAACACAAGGAGCGGGTAAAAAAAAATAATAATGTCTGTGATGGGCGGATGACGCAGAGTAAAAAGAGAAAGACAAAGGGCGATGCGTTTTTAGGTCAGATCATTCGATACGAGCATGCAATGCAATGCCACTGATTTGTCCTTTAAACAAAGATTGGGCAATTGGAAAAGAAATACAGAAAGAAAACAATCATTGACCATTGATCGTCAAAGTAAGAGATACCATGGATTTATACAAGCTCACTGAAAAGCTTGACAGGGGGATCGATGGTCATGATGATGATGTTTATGTGAAGTTTTTTATCCGCATTTTCATCCGCCTCGCCCAGTCAAGTCTAGCTCATAGTGCGTCTCTGCTCTTGTCTTCAACGTTCCAAGCAAATCTTTGCAGGAAATGAATCCCAACGACAATCGCATTAATCGATAACTTATCTCATATTTATTCAACCGCAACATCCCTTTTTTATCCTCAGGAACAATCCTCGGGTCGATTGTACTGAAAAAAAAAAAAAAAAAAAAAAAAAATAGAACTCCATTGACGCACGCGTAGCAAAAAATAGAAAGGAAAGGGGGGGGGTTGCTTCAAAATGCAAGCACAGACATGGACATTGACATTGACATTGATGGATGCAGTTTTTTTTTATTTGTGAAATGTTATCAAAAATGCTCGCGTGCCAATTACAAATGGAGAGATAGCAGAGTAGCACAGAGGAATCAGTCAAAAATATAATGACTGATGGACATGAACACCTTTGTCCCTTTGTCCTTCTTGGTAAAAAAGAGTTTTTCTTTTTCTTCATTTTTTTTTTTACAAATCACTTTGTTTGTCTGATTGCATGGAGCAAAATGCATGTGCAAATTAACTGATGAACATCTGTCCACAGGGATGCTCTCTTTTATTTTTTTTATTTGTTTGTTTTGTTGTTTTGTTTATTCATTGTTCTGTCTTCAGATTGACAATCATTCTACTTTTCCCAATGGATTCAGCCCTGGAGCTGGCTCTTTCAATCTTTTTACTATTCAATCTTTTAAGAAAGTGAGGGTCACCAGACTAGTGCAGGAATATTACCTCTTTGTCCTCCAAATTTATTGCTGCTCTCTCCGCATTAATGAGAAAAGACAACTCCATGGAGCGTCACTATTCACCATGGAGCGTCACTATTCACCATGCCTTGCACGATTGACTCCTTGATGGTGGTTTGTTTACTTGGATGCTAGATATGCCAGATCAAGAGATTTCCGTGCTTTGGCCAAAGTAAGGCTCTTTTTTTATTATTACTATTGTCTCTATTAGTTTACTACGGAGGTATTCTGACAAAGGGACATTGCTTTTAGGGCTATGTACCAATCACCCTTTCAGAAAGGTTTATATTCGTGTCGCTTGTGAGTGTGGATTTGAAGTACTCTGACGCGATCCCATAGTATTAGAACGTGGACTTGACATTGTCCCATGATCACCATGATGCCTCAGACCCGTTGCTGTTCGAGGTACCCATCCTGCTCCCACAGATGTGGCCACCAAGGACGGAACCATGGCTCCTGCATGCATCAAATGTCGATCCTCCGCCATGGCTTTCGTTCCTGATAGCCGGCCTCCACGGATCGCCTTGAAAACCTGTAGCTCTGACCGCACTTTTGTAATCGCAGAATTCCAAACAAGTCCCGCATCACCAGCACTAGCTCCACCACTGGAAGTCATTATGGAGCCTGGTCGGTCAGATGTCACTGATCTAGGTATCGAGTTGACGCGCCCAACTTCGAAATAGGGCAGCCCACCGGCACTATAGGGAAGATTTGTTTGCATTGGCCGGTTTACCCAGTCTCGAAGGGACCCAAACAGTTCCTCAGGAACCAAACGGATAATCACACCCACAGGAATCGAAAGCACTCCCAAGAGAATACAAATCAACCACTGAATACCACCGAGCTTTTCAGTCCCAAGTGCAGACCCTCCAAACTCAACAATGATTACCTGGAAAACAACCATTATCACAAAGATGGTCATGAAATATCGGTTCCGAAAAATACCTGAAAAGATATTAAGATGGTTATCTAGTCGACGGCAGTTCACCTCGTTGAAAATCTGAAGGAATACAAACGTGTTGAATACCATTGTGTCCAGCTCTTGACGCTTGAACCCTGTGTATGCATCTTTCACCTTGGGGTTCTGAACGATCTTATCCCGTAGATAATCGGGGGTCTCGTCATAGTTGAAGATGTCCATGCCTGCGTATTCGAGCACGAAGGTCACTACGAGCTGCAAGATCGCTTGACCCAAGATCATCTTCCACATCGTGAAATTGATTAACGGTGCTGTACGAGGTTCTGGCTGTCGATCTAACAAATCTATTGTCGGAGGATCTGTCGCCAATGCCAGTGCTGCTAATGTATCCATAATTAAGTTGATCCAAAGCAATTGGACTGCAGACATGACGGGCTTTTGCTTCTCAGAGACCACAGCCGTAACCAATGTCAGGATGACTGCCGTCACATTCACAGTCAGCTGGAACTGCAGGAATTTTTTGACCGCATCATTCACAGCTCTCCCCCAAAGAATGGCTTTTACAATGCTTGAAAAATTGTCATCCATCAAAATAATAGCTGATGCTTCCTTAGCCACTTCTGTACCCGCAATACCCATTGAAAAGCCTACATCTGACATCTTGAGCGCTGGACCATCGTTCGTTCCATCACCTGTCACAGCCACAATCTCCCCCATGGCCTTCAGATGACTCACTAAGATCTTTTTATCCTCGGGACTGGATCGAGCCAAGACTTGCAACCTAGGGATGACGGCATCCATTTCCTCGTTGCTGAGAGCACGGAACTTGGGACCCTCCATGATGATGCCTCCCTGAGTGTAGATACCGCATTGCCTTGCGATTGATTTGGCTGTTAGGATATTGTCGCCCGTCACCATGCGGACAAAAACACCTGCACGCTGACACGCAAGGACAGCTTCAGGCACACCTTCGCGCAGAGGATCCTCAATACCGACAATCCCGACCAATGTCAGGTTACCCTCTGCTACCGCGGAAAATGGCACCTCACCGTCTTCCCCGAGCTCAATGCCCACTGGTGGCCATGAATCAAAATCTCTATAGGCGATGCCAATGGTTCGGAGTGATTGTATGGCATACGAGATAATGGTCTTTTGTACTGTTGTTTGAAGCTCTTCTGTCAACTCCAATTCAGTGATCCCTGTCACACAGCCCTTCTCTGACAAGGATGGTACGCCTGCATCGTCGCCGTTGTGTTCCGAACTATTGATCTTCAAAACCTTATTACACCGTTTCATGATAATCTCAGACGCACCCTTGGCATGCAACCTGAATTTGCTAGGTCCCATCTGTACAATCGTAGCCATGGACTTGCGTTCAGATGAGAATGGAAACAAATGAACCACAGGCGCGGATTCTCGTAGCTGTCGATAGTCTGGGCCTCCAATTTTCTTAGAGAAATCTAAAAGCGCCACTTCGGTTTTGGATCCAACAAACGATAAGTTACCCTTATCATCTCCACTCTCGAATGCAGAAGAATTAATAGCAATGGTCTCATGTATGAGTGCTGTGGTAGCAGGGGATAAATTGTCGACAAGTTGACTCATAGGGACGGCATTTCGATTGATAGGGATCGATGCACGCGCGCTTGATTCCCCCTCAGGTATGTCTGCGCTGAAGCGCATATTGGCTCCAAGCGTCCCTGCCACAATAGTCATCCTGAATAGAAAAAAAAAAAAAAAAAAAAAAAAAAAAAATACTCCTGTACCGTTAGCTTGGAATTCGATATACAGGACAAAGACAAAAATAAGCTTAGTAGACAATGGTAACAATGAGCACTTTGTATCTTACTTGTTTTGAGTCAAAGTACCAGTTTTATCAGAACAGATGGTGGTCGCGTTACCCATAGTCTCGCACGCAGCTAGAACACGGACTAGGTTATTATCTTTGAGCATTCGTGTGGTTGCAAAGGCAAGTGCAAGTGTCACGGCCAAGGGCAGGCCCTCAGGCACAGCCACAACCACAACTGTCACCGCTGCAATGATAATGTCGACCAAGCTCTTGACAATGTCCGCAGTATTAGGGACGCCCTTTTTCTTAAATCCAACAAAGTATCGGATAATCAAGATAATCAGCATGAGCAAAGCAGCCATACTACCCAACTTGGCGATCCTTTCTGCCAAAAGATTCAATTTCACCTGTAAGGGCGTGTCCTCAGATTCAGTCCGTAACGATATCATGGTCTTTCCATGAAAACTGTTTGGACCAACACCGGTGACCACATAGATGCCTACACCTTCCAAGACTTTTGATCCAGAGATAATAAATGGGTCGACTTGATGGATTCCATGAGTCGGTTCTGTAATGACTTCGATCCCCTCGTGGTTGACTTGGATTGTGCTATGACCTCTGCCCTTAGAAGGAACAGCCGCTTCAGCTTCAGCCACAGCCTGTTCAAGCCTCAAAAGGTCTTCAAAAGTCACTTTCTTGACCGCGTCCGATTCTCCTGTCATAGCGGATTCATCACACTTGAGGTTATGCCCACCGAGATAGATTCCATCAGCAGCGATGACATCGCCAGGTTCCAAATGAACGATGTCTCCAACTAAGATATCAAATACTGACAAAAGGACCGTTTCACCGTTTCGAATTGCCTTTTTTTGTAGCAAGAACAATAAAAAAAAAAAGACTTTTTGAGGTATTTCCTCACAATACATAATACTCTCATTCCTCATTCCATAATATACCATTATGTTACACCATTATAATGAAAGCATCGATTTTTGTTACTTCAGAAGATTCTTTTTGTTCGTTTTTTTTTTCTTTTACAACACTTCTTTACCTTGACTTCACGATCTTCCTTTTTGGCATTCAGTTTACGGAATTGGGCCTCCTTTTGATAATCATTAATAGAACCGACCAAGACAACGATGATGACAGCTACCAAGATAGCCACACCCTCGACCCAAGAGATCTTTGGATCCGTAGCATAATAGGATGTGTAATCCTTATGGAAGCGCTCTGTCGCCTCATGCTTCATACCATAATCTTCATAAATGCCTAATCCGATCGAAATAACTGCTGCTGCGAGTAACAGGAGCTGAAAGGGGAAAATAATAAAAAGGTGAATGAAGGAGGTCAGTTGATTGAGATGCATTCTGAGAATTCCAATAAAAATAAATAAATAAAGAAAGAAAGAGTAATGCAGAATGTAGCTGGGGCTGGATAAACAATACAAAGTGAAGGAACTGTAAAGACTGTAATAAAGACAGGCAGACAAAGTGTTTGTAAAGACCCAAGCCGAAGGTATGGTCCCTCAAAGTAAAATTGGTGGGGACACAAAGAAACGCACGGACGCGTTCGTTTGTGGGGAGAGGAGAGAGCGAGGATGGCCCATGCACTCAAGACCAGTGCACTGAATGGAATGTGGTACTGTGAAATGTCAAAGCAATTTTAAATTGAAGCATGATACATAACAACTTGTTGTAGGCATCATAATAATGAAAATCAAATACTTGCCAGAATCTTCTCCTGCAAAGCAATCCACATCAACTGGAATATTGACTTTGATTTTCTCTTGGGAAGCACATTCTGACCAAAATAATGGATACGGTCCTCAAAAGAGACTACGGTGGTATCAATATTGCCTGATCGATATACTGAGGATGGTGTTGCTACTGTCGCTGCTGCTGCCTCTTCTCTTGGTCCTGGTCCTGGTCCTGGTTCTGATCCTGAATTTTCTCCTAATGTTGTTTTTTCACCATCTCTTGATAATCCTCCAGCTCCCACAGGCTTTTTCTCAACCATTTCATCTGCAACCTTCACATCCCTCAAGGGCTCGATGCCTGCTGTGGATAAACCTTTGACAGGATTAGCAAATAAACCCGCTAGAATGCCTTCGGGCCCTCCATAGGCACTTAATTTCTCTGGTGCTTTTGGATCGATCAAGTCCATCAGCTCTTCTGGGGTGAACGCAAAGGGACCGTTGTTGTTGGGTTTGGAAGGGGGTGGTTGAGGAGCGGTAATGTCATTGTAGTTGTTCTTTTGGGTAAACTGCTGTTGGGGCTCTAAATGAGATGGTAACGAGCTCTTGTGAGGTTCTGTTGCTGCTGATGGTAATAGTGTCATTGAAGCATGGTCTATGAAAGGATTGGTTACAAGTTGTTCCTGTTCCTGTTGTTGTCGATGTGGTTGGTATTCCTGCAGTTGTTGATTCTCGCCACCAGAAAGCCTGTTTTCAGTCGGAGGTGGAGATGAGATAGTTTCATGGACTTGAATTACACTATCAGGACCTAGTTCCCCCTTATCCATACTGGCGTCAGATAGTTGGCTAGATTGGTATCTTCCTTGTTTCTTCTTATTCTTTTTATTGTCTCCTGTTCAAGCAACAGTGAGTTACACAGGACAAGGTATCAGCGTCTTGCTGTTACATGCAATACCTCAATACAGCAAGTCAGGGGGGAGAAGTGAATAGCACGGCGGATAGGGGTGTGTAAGGATGAAAGTGTGGTGAATATGAATGGGTAACGGCAAGGAAAGAGAATCGGAAATAAAAACTGAAGGAATAAATGGATGGATAAAAAAATAAAAAAAAAAAAAAAAAAAAAAAAGAGTGAAACAGATAGCTGCTAAAAAGTGGCATGGGTACAATCGGGAATGGATAGTATGGATAGTTGAATAGAATAGACAAGGGTTCGTTATTCTATATTAATACTCGGGCTGCTTGAATGCGTGGGTGCGCAGACAATGACACGCAGCTCTGCGACCTTTTTTGTTTTTTTTTTTCCCGACTGTCTTGTCCATGTAACTCTTTATTTTTTCGAGAAGCCTCAGCTGTCTTGAATACGCTCAAGACAAAGCTGTGTTGGCTGCATGATACTTGGTAGTAACTAAGTCCAAATCTGTTTCAGGTCCTGAATGTGCTTTAACAAAACAAAATAACACAATGTATAAGAACAGATAAAAAGAAAAGAAAAGAAAAATGTGGCATATAATAACTTAACAGTGGAATGAGCACCTTGACCAGCTACTAAAAGCTGGAGACAAAATAGACTCGATGAAGTTATTAATGAATGTGTCTTCGTTGACCCAGCTCCCTTTAGCCTGCCAGTCAAAGATCAATCCAGAGTCTTGACCCTCCCAAAATCACGTTAATTGCCCAAAAGATAACGGATGAAGGCACCATGGGTTTCTTTGAGAGCCATCCCTGCAGCTCCTCGGAGCTATCGATTGAGACACGAGCAGCCAAGCGAGGTATTAGATACAACTCAGAATTTTACACCAGTAGGTTGCAAGGTGGAAATCCTGCTGCATAACATGGGCTGATAATGCTTTAGTATCAGTGCAGGGCCTTAATATCATGGCAATAACAAATAACACGAAATTATTGCAGTGTCGTAATTGAATCATAGACTTTTGCTTAAGTGATACTTACGGGATCCAATCAAGGGTAATAGCGGCTTTTGAATCACTTTCACTCTTCTATATCGCATTAACTCTTCTGATACATCTTAATTGCCAACTAAAATTCGGTTTTCGGAGCCCCCTGACAATGAGTTTGAGTTCGTACCAGCTTCAATAAGTCGACCAATGCTTTTTCGATTCTGGAAGCTCGCCAGCATGATCATATTTATTTTTTTCCCTCCCCTCGAAGGATGTCCCTTGGTAATGAAGCCGTTGTCATTAAAGTCCCGAGAAGACGGAAAGTCATCCAGCAGGTCTAAGTATTGACGCTTCTTATCATTTAAAAGTCATTCACTATCCTCCAGAGAGCCTCTATCGCTAGCCGACTTGACAAAACCATCCTCGATTTTAAAGAGCCCAGTGCAGAATATTGGGTTCCTTAACGTCTTTGACGTTTCTGCTAACCACCAATATGGATGCAATATAATACTTGGTTTTAGATTCAATCATCCCTCGTTGAGAGAATAGGAGGATTGAAAACATCGATACTCAGACTAAGCTTTCGCTGTTGAGACAGAAGGTATATATATATACCTTGTACAGTTGTATAAACCACTAAGATATAGAATAGAGAAGAGTGATGGGGTAGATGATTGTAGAGCTGAAAGGAAGAAAGAGGAAAAAGAGCAGTTTTAAAGCATAAAAGCTTCAACATCATTGCACAGACTGCCGTGTTGGCTCTAGATTACTAGTTAAGGAAATTTGTCTACCGAAAGAAGCTGGTATTTCGTGAGCTATAAACAGACGCGTTGCCAACGTGTGTTTTTGAACTTTAAATTGATGTGGCATTGAATTAGGTGTGTAAATACACCATGTACATGTACATGCAGTAATCAGTTTGAGAATTTTTTTTTATGTCCCACGAGACCATGTTCATTTTATGAAGGTGCTAGACAGGAGCATTATCCTTTGATTCAGAAGAGTCATGATGTTTTTATGAAGAACAGAGTCTTTTTTTTCGATGAATCAAGATGTTCAATCACTAGGCAAAAGATCACTATCAAAAAAGCAGACCCTGTGCTGATAGTAATGTTTGACATTTTAAAAAGATGGAGGCTTATCGATAACTGATTCAAATATTGTGATGGTTGATTATCTACAAGCCAGTATTGAAATCGGATGTGTTCTCTATGTGTCCTGGATGTGTTTACACACACCCAATTCAATGGCACCTTCTAAATTTGATGGACCTAAGCCCTAGCTTAGCAGTTGTCCTCTGACATTAATTTACGCCAATTTACTCGAAAGAAAAGAAATCTATTCTAGTATAGACGTCCAGGGGATGATGGAGGGCGGTTTGCCTTCACAAGACCATGTTTTACAAAGATTGAGTATATCAAAATCAAAAAGTGGTATTACTACCTGTACTTTGACTAGAACCCATGGCCACACTCTTCAAAGTTGGAATCGGTTTTGGAGACAAAAACCTCTATTACAACCAGTCCACAACGCACAGACATGGCGGCAGAAATTTATTCTTTGTTGAATTAAGGAATCGCTCATAAGCATTTTTTTTTGTTTTTGTTTATCTTACACAATGAACGGTCTGTGCAATGTAATGGGTGATCAGTCAGCCATCTGTGACACAACTCGATGACCAAACAGTAACGCAGTGTTACTGTTAATGGGTGAATGGGGATTCCGCTGTCTTTGAGTTGTCATGACATCCATTATCTAAAACTCATTGATTATTAAAAGAAATCTCTTTATAATTAGGCTATGCATCTTTTCAACTCTAGGGCTCGTTCAAGGCTGGAGATGCAAAAACCGGTTTCGAGAGAAGAGGATTTATGCGGGAATACGCATTCACTTTCATGTGGATTTGCCTGGTTCAAAAGAAAGAAGTAAGGAAGGGAAAGAAGAAAGGGAGCGAGAAGAATGAAGGCTTCATATGACCATGAATAGCTCCGTCCTAAAAGTAAAATCAAAGTAAAGCAAAAGTTGTTAAACAGAGGACAAGAGGAAGATGTTGGGATGATTCATCGGATCCTTGGACTATTTATTGCTTGCATGCAGACAATGCAGACATGCAGAAGAAATCCTTCGTTAGCTCCGTGTCCTCTAATTAAACCCCCTCCTCTCCCTGAACAACTTTTAAAGACAAAATCCCTGCTATTTCATTGGCAGGTCATGTCCTCGCGTCTGTAGCATTTGCCTTGTGAAATTGTGTGATTGGGAGTTTTATTTTGCCGCAACTTCCTTCTTTCCTCTTTCTTGTTCTTTCTTTCCTTGGCATTCTCATTCTCATTCTCATTCACTCATTTCGTTTCTCTCTTGTCTTGGCACTAGCACTGTCACCAACAAGTCACTCTTGACCCCTCTTTCCACATTTATATATTTATATACTTTCAAACTTCCAACAACACTTTTTTTTTTTTTTTTTTTTTTTTTTACCGCAGATATCATATCCTGAGCAAAATGATTGCTCCGGTTCCTCAGGGCGACACAGCAGCCGAGGAGACGAGGTCTTTGCTCGCACGAAGCAATGGGCCCAACACAAAGCCAAGTTCCGTTATTAACAGGATCAGAAAGGCACCACTTACAGTTGCATTTGTGGTGGCCACCGCTCTCTTCACAGACATGGTACTTTTTTTTTTTTTTTTTTTTTTTTTTTTTTTACTTCTTTCATCGTTTTTCTTAAAAAAAAACAAGAGGCTACGTCAAGTCGAACGATGAGGAAGAGCAGGATCATCAGTTGAAGCCGAAAACTGATAATCTTTCTGTATCTCACACCTTGATCTTTTATTTTTTGTAAACCATGTTTTTTGTTTTTAGGTTGTATACGGTGTAGTCGTTCCACTTCTACCTATCATTGTCAAGGGTCGTCTCGGTGGTACCTCCAGCGATGTGGGTCTCTTGTTTGCTTCTTATGGTAAGAAAAAAGTACTCTTTGTCATAGCAGTATCTTTCACATCTCATCTTCCTTTGCTCGGACGAAAACGTTTTCTGGAACCAGAATGTAAACAAAGCCATGGATGTCAAAGGAGATCAACAACCCTATTAGTGTAACTTTTTTTTTTTAACTTCCTCCAGTCGAATGCTCTCATTTTGGGTTTACTGAAATCTTGTGTCCGAGGGAAGCCATGTGATAAGATCTGTCCAAACGGAAGACGGGAATAGTTGGGATAGAAAAACTGCTTTATTACTTCTTCTCACCACCGTCAATTCTCAGGACCAAAAAAAAAAAAAAAAAAAAAAAAAAGATGATATTCGACAGCCACCATCCACTAGAAAAGCTTACACAAATAAGACTTATATTAATGACCATCCATACATGATTTTCATTTCATATCAAATAGCCATCGGTCTTCTTGCATCTACGCCTATCTTTGCGATCTTGAGTGACAAGTATCAAAATAGGAGGGTAAGTGATAGTAAGATAGTATTATCATGACAACAATGTTGATCATTCATCCATGAGCACTGCCTTTCTTTTTCTTTTCAATTGTAATCGCGTAATCGCACGTCTGCATTGATATAACTCTCTTGTGGAAGAAGAAAAAGGCTAATTTTGGCTTAAACATGTATTTAAAAAAAAAAAAAAAAAAAAAAAAAACTCTTAGATACCCATGATGGTTGGAATGCTTGGGCTCGCTGTTGCAACTGTTGGATTCTCATTGGCAAGCAACTATTGGGTTCTCATCGTTGCTCGAATTGGTCAAGGCTCCGCAGGCGGAGCTTCATGGTACTGTTTTATATATATGTGTATATTTGTATTAAATTGATGGCCATCAAGGATTTTTTTTTTCTCACATGAATGTCTGTTATTACTATTGTTATTAATATTGTTATTATTATTTCTTTTTTTTTTTTTTTTTTTTTTTTTTTTATCTACTATCAGGACGATCGGATTAGGAATGTTGGCTGATGTTTATCCTCCTAATAATCTTGGTACTGTGATGGGTGCGACAATGATGGCAAATACTATGGGATTTCTATTAGGACCCGTGGTTGGCGCATATTTTTATGAGTACCATGGATATAAGGCTCCATTCATTTTCTGTGCAGTGCTCGCAACCCTGGATTTCCTTTGCATTCTCTTTATTGCAGAACCTGAAAAGAGGAATAATGTTATAGCCGTAAGCCCATCCAACAGCTATAATGGTGATATTGAAGCACATGCTCAGGATGTTATTGACGATATTCCTAATCAACATCAGAAACATAAGCAAGCTGGAAGCAGTAGCAGCAGTAGCAGCAGCACTGGCGATGACTCGCAGTATGGAAGTGTACCAGGATCATCATCATCGTCCACAAATAGCTCAGCTGTTAAATCGAAGGATGATTCTAACAAGAGTTGGACAGACGTATCCATGTACACCATTGCAAGTAACTGGACGATTACCTGCTGTCTATTGGCAACTTTTGTCGGTGGATGTGTATTCACAGGTAAGCAACCATGTTGCTCATCCTTTCTTGTTTCATTCTTTTTTTTAATATTAATTCATCTGCTTTTTGCTTGACTTCAATAGGATTGGAGCCTATCCTTCCTCTATATCTCGGAGATATGCTTCATGCAACTCCCACTCAAACAGGGCTTATCCTCATGGCCGCCGTTTTCCCATCCTTCCTTTCCTCTGTAATTGGGTACTATGCAGATCGAGTCGGTCATTTTTACGTCTCCTTCGTCGGCATGGTGATCTTTGCGATTGCAGCGTTATCATTGGCTCTTCCAAAATCGTTTACCGCTTTTATCCTTCCATTAGCGCTCTTTGGCCTTGGATCCTCCATGGTCCAAACACCGTTGCTCCCAGCCATGGCAGATGTCGTCGTCAAGGAGGGTTGGAATGGTTTTGCAAAGACATATGCTCTCTACAACATGGTGTATTCTCTCAGTATGGCTGTAGGACCGACCATAGCCGGCTTTATCTATCAGGATTATAGTTTCCCATTGACAATGGTGATGTTTGGTACCATGACCATTCTAGCTATACCAGTGGTCTACTCGGCACAAATCAAAGTATTTATTAACTACTTTATGAATGTTTTTACGAGGTAGAAAAAAAAAAAAAAAAAAAAAAGAAAAGGAAAGAGCCATTTAAAATAAATTCAAGAGCATGAATACTGTATAATATACAAAATTGATGTTTCTACATTTTTTTTTTTTTTTTTTTTTTTTTGTTTTTGTTTCCGAAGCTGCCAATTACTATCATTGTCCTTAAAGCTTTCCATCCTGGACTTCCTCCACTACTGTGTCAGCCATTTCGACATCTGTATCAACTATCGCAGTGCCATTAGAACTTGCGCCAACACTAGCAACTGTCACAGAACCGGCATCTGCAGCTGCACTACTCTCGCTTATTTGGTCTGCAGTGGTATTGGCGGTAGCAATTACATCTTTTGAATTCTGTTCTGTAGCTGTAGTGGCGTTGACAGCCGGAGTAGAAGCTGTAGCAGCAGCAAGGCCAGAAGAAGCAATAGGAGCAGTTGCGGTGTTGGCAGTTGCAGCAGCATCCTCCCCAAGTGAGTTTAATAACGGACTCAACAGTTCATCCACCTGGTCAATCGAGACATTACAACATAAAGCAATTAGCCGTTGGTACTCATGTCGCCTCCTGCCCTCTTGGCTCTTCATCTGAACTATCTGATTCACACGATCTTTGCGTCGTTGCTGTAGCTCTGAGAGTTTGACCCGCAGCTGCTCAGATTCTGTTTCAAGAGCCTGTAATTTCAAGGACGACGCAGATGAGGAACGCGAGAATGAAATCTCACTTGTCTTATTCGTCGCACCCTTTGCAGCAGTTTTCGTTATTTCTGACGATAAGGATGAGGGCGGTGATGACACTTGCTGTTGCTGCCCTTGATCCTGTTGTTGTTCGGGAATGGCCGCTGTGGATGTTGTAGATGGGGCTGCAGTCATGTCCACATCAGAGTCGCCATCAGCACGGCTACTGAGTGAAGATTGGTTTGCATCATTTGTTGTGACAGAAGTTGCTGTGGCCTTCAGAGCTCCAACACCCTCGTTCTCATTGGTCTTTACAGTGTTTCGGTCTTTGTTCTCTGTTGATGACTCTGTCTGATGAGCCTTTTGGGTCTCCTTCTCCTTCTCTTCCTTCTCCTGCTCCTTCCTCTCGTTCTCGTTCTGGCTCATAGGTGTTGATGCTACTGGAACGACTGCATCCACATCCATCTCTTTTTCATCCAAACTCCCTTGCTCCAAAAGCTCACTTCTCAATCTCTCTTCTTCGATCGCAATCAGTTCCTCTAATCTTAATCGTTGCCGAATCTGGATTTCTTGCTTAATCATAGTCTCTAACACTCGGATTTGTTCCTCTGCTTGACTCAGGGCTACGGTCTTTTGTTTCAGCTCATGGATGGTTCGGTGACCTTCTCGAACCTCAGCTTGGATCCCTTGTAACAAACTACGGGCCTCCTGGATATCTTGATCCTTTTCAAAAATATCCTTTTCGTACGACTGTGTTAATCGTGAAAAGAGATCGCTCACTGTTGGGATCACACCCTGTGCACCAAAGGAGCCAGAAGCTCCTTCTGCTCCTCCAGGTAGGCGGCGTGTAAGCCACGAAGATGATGATGAGTTGACTTGTTGGAGCTGAGAATAGAGACTACTGCTACTGTTGGAATTAGGATATGCATGTTGATGCGAAGATGATGAAGGTGGTGGACGGGATAAAAGATGGTGATGGGTATGTGACTCGTTCCCATGCCCTGCATACTGCTCACGCGTGTCAATGATTTGTGTTGGGTATCCAGTCGAAGATGTAGACGGTTGTGATGGAGTATTAGATCGCCGATGATGTTTTAATGACTGCTGCTGCTGCGGTTGTTGTTGACGTTGTGAAGGACGATTATTGTTGCTTCTATTGACACCACTTGATAAAGGCAATGCTGACCCAGCTTGCTGCTGTTGCTGTTCTGCTTCCAGTAAGTAATCTTCTGCATTTTTGCCATTATGGTTACGAATCTTGAGATCAGCGCCTGCATCGACCAACATCTTGACCACTCTTTTACCTCCGATCTTCAACCTCGCCGCAATCGTCAGTGCTGTATCTCCAACATGGTCCTGAACATTAATGATGGAGGCCAACTCTGAGGGATGCTGAGCCAACTTCTCCAATAGGCATTCCAAATAGTAACGGGCTGCATGAATCTTGCCTCGTTGACCTGCAGTCTCAGCCACATGGTGGAACACTGTTTTATCATCCTTATCGATCGTAAAGATTGTCTTTTGCAATAGTTCCAATAACGCTGGGAAACATCGTTGATCGAAATTGTTGCTGAACAACACGCTGCGCATCAGAGCCGTTTGACCATCTGTATTGACTTTATACGTATCAACACCACCATGAGCACTTTGGATCAAGAGCTTCACCACATCTACCTTCCCCATTGCTGCAGCCCAATGTAAAGCGGTGTGGCCTTCATCATCAATCACGACGTTAAAATCTATGTCTGCAGGTGGGTTGGTCAGGATTTTGGGCAGTCCACTCACTCCATCTGAGATGAAATATTCAAGAAGGGTCTCTGCATACGGTCCACGAGACGATGAAGTCGATAATGGTGTATTCATCATTGCTGTTGAAGCTCCTCCCCCCGCAATGGCAGAGGCTGTCATAGTAGATGAGGCTGTAGACTTGCGATCATCCTGATCAGAAGCCCTCGTGCGTGACGTTGATCTCCTATTCATTTTACTTCGTACGCTCGGTGAAGAATCGCGCTGGTACGATGTATCTCTGTCCTCTACATCTTCATCGTCATCATCTTCTTCCTCTCCGTCTCTATCCATTTCCGCCATATGATCACGATCATCTCGATCTCGATATCTTCGTCCTCGACTCTTCTGAGACCCACTTTCCATGTCTACATCTTGATCCTGACTCAGACCTCCTGTTGTTCCACGTTTCCGTCGACCTGCACGCTTCTTACGAGCCTCATACTTGTTTTCATAGCCTAGAAACAATTCATCTCCTGGTCGTCCTCCCTGTTGTTGTTGTTGTCGCTTGCGAGAGGCACTTGGATAGAGTTGTGTGGTTGCAGATAGATTCAAGTTTGAAGGTACACGACCACGATGACGACCTCCTCGATGTTGCCTAGCAGCGGATGTGGAAGTTGAGGCGGATGAGAACGAGGTTTCACGCTCTGACATCTCGCCTGATGAAAAATCGTTCCGTGAATTGATAGGTGATGGTGTTCTAGTGCGCATTCCACTTTGATCAGTGCCAACACTCATCGATTCATCCATACTCACATCACTATCTGTTGTTGTTTTTACGCATATTAAAATGCACATTTATACATATATGTAATGGGAAATAGTAGTAAAAAAGCATTACGCTTTCGTTAGGATTTTTTTTTTTTTTTTTTTTTTTTTTTTTTCTTGAACTTGCTCAGAGAGTTCAGACAAATAAGCTTACCTGCACCATCGTCTGAGCTTGTTCCATCATCGTCCAATCCATCATCCTCAGTCCCCTGGAGTACACTGCCATGACCATCATCTCCATTCTGACTTGATCCATCATCCGCAGCGACACCTATGGTTCGTGGTCCGGTTCTTCTTTCTGACAATGTTTGCCTTCCAGTTGTTGTTGCGGCTGTCGTAGTAGCATCAGTATCCAAATCCACATCTCCATCTCCATCTGTATCTGCATCTGTGGCTTCTTTCTTGAGTCTTGATCTTCTCATCTTGGTTGCTCCTGTTCCAGTAGCGGCAGCACTAGTAGAAGAAGAGGCATCGTCTATTTGTGATGCTATTCGAGGCTCGCGTGGTTTTCGTGGACGATTTGATGCTGCTGTGACGTGTTTTGGTGCCAAGGGAGGACTCGCCTGGGTGGCTTGATAATCCAAAAGAGGTTGAAGCAGTTGAATCACATTGTATTCCTGACACAGTTGAAGCCCACGTTCGAAAGGAACCCATGTTCCTGATGAAAATATTTACAGGTGTTTTTAAAAAAGGAGAAAATAAAGTCAATCATCTTTATCCCAAGTTTAAAAAGGATACAGCAACATGACTTTGCCTTGATTCTTCTTAATATAAAATCTAATATTCATTTCCCTTTTCTTTTTTCTTTTCTCTAAATCAGTGAAAAAAAAAAAAATGATACCTTGGTATTTCCCATATCCACCTTGGACTTTTTCATGTTCTCCCTTCTGGACTTCTCTTTCCAAAATCCTGGTCCGCTGTGGTTTATCAAACTCGGCCACTTTCAGGATCTGAGTTGCATTCAAATATGAATCCGATCTTCGTTTCATCACCGCCACTCCTTTGGAAATCATTTCAAATACCGGTACACCTGAATAAGTTGCTTTAAATATTTGGGGCGTCGACGTCGGTGGCGCCGTTATTGGTCCCGGGCCTGGCCCTTCACTATTTTTTTTACCATTTCTACTTGCATCACCTGCGCCCGCACCTGATCTCAATGTCAACGACGGAACATCCACTCCAGTAGGTTCTGCATGGGTTCCAGAATTAGTTTTCAGCCCTAGTCTTATTCCTGCTTCTGCTCCTTCTCCATTTCCTTCCTGCTTAATGGTGGATGATTCTGCAGTACCTGTAGCAAGAGGAGGGGGTGGTGGCGGGGGTGGCATACTGAGCGAATTTATACCGACACCAACATTTGATGTTGGATGTCCTCCTCCAGACCCTGTTGAGTATGCCTGTGATGAGGGGATCGGATGCTGCTGTTGCTGTTGTTGTTGCTCCTGAGGCATTGCCGCTGCCAACTGTATAGATGGTATAGACATTCCATTAATATTTTCTGATTGAGAAATAGATGGTAAGGCTTGATTTGATTCTGTGAATGGATGCTGCTGCTGATGCTGGTACTGGTGATGATTCTGATGCTGATGCTGATGTTGATATTGAAGCTGAAATTGATTTTCTTTTTCCTCCGCTTGATTCTTCTCTTCGAATTCCTTTAGCTCTTGCTCTCGTCGAAGTTGTTCTTGACGCTCTTGCTCCAACCGCTTCTGCCTTTCTAACTCTTGTTGACGCTGCCTTAATAGTTGCCACGAGGTCGGCTTGGATCCTGTGGGCGAAATAGGGGAAGTTTGCGGTGGAGGTAGAGGCGAGGGCTGGGCTCCACTACCGCTAGAGATCGAAGAGGGTGGCGTTGATGTTGATGTTGATGTTGATGTAGATATTGAAGAGGAAGACACTAAGGGTGTGGGCGCACCCACTGAACTTGAAAGTGCTGGCGCCATGACTGGATGGGATGTCGGTTTACCCTGACTTGGAGTCTGGCCTTGGAGAGGATTAAATCCAATTCCAGACTGAGAAGGTCCATGTTGCTGTTGCTGTTGCTGTTGCTGTTGAGGAGACAGTAATGGCGGCGATGCTTCCTTCAACTGTTGTTCAAGTTGCTGTTGATGTTGCTGCAGTTGTAGTTGTAATTGTTGTTGTTGTTGAAGGAGTTGTTGCCGCTGCTGTAGCAACAATGCAGCGGTTGAAGTTTTGAAAGGAAGTGGGGTTGCCATTGTAGTCGATGGCCCTGTATATCCTGGTAAACCAGGAGACACCATTCCAGACGAGGTTGAAGACAATGCTTGCGGCGATACAGGTCCTGTTGCCGTTGTTGTTGTAGCTGTCAGAGGCATCCCAATGGTTGGTGGTATTGACGGCTGTTGTTGTAACCCATGTACGGCCACAGAAGTTGAAGGGATATTGGTGGACGAACTACTAGTTGTTCCTATTGCTGAGGATGAAGTCGTAGAAGCGGGTATGCTCAGACCAGGTGGGATCTGATGGTAACGCGTCTGCTCTACAAAATGGGATGGCTGTTGTTGTTGCTGCTGTTGCTGCTGATGGTGCTGATCTTGCCGCAAGACATGCTGTCTGTAGAATTGTTGTTGATGATGTTGCTGCTGCTGCTGCTGCTGCTGCTGTTGTTGTTGTTGTTGTTGTTGCGGATGGTTGTGATGTGGAGGATAGGAGCGCTGATCCATTTTTGTAGAGGAAAAAAAGGAAAAAAAAGAAATGTATGGAATTCAACAGCAATAAACGGAATGAAAGGGATATTACTGCCTGAAAAGACAAAAAAAAAAAAAAAAAAAAAAAAAAGTGGATGATCTTGTATTTCACACTTTGTACAAAGACTATGTAACAATCAAGCCTTTGTAAACAAACTTTAACGCGCGACTCATTCTCATTAGTGACGCGTGATTGCGCGTGTCACACTTATCATGGGTACAGAATGCGTGTCTACTCACCAACAAGCATCACTTTACTCTTTACTCCATACTCCATACGCTTCCTCTCTACTGTCGAATGACATACTGCCAATTAATCTTCTCGTTCGCGTGGGTCTGCATAAAATGACGTGTGCAAAACTAGGTTTGTTGCAGAACATGGTATTTGAGCCAGCTAGTCTTTGATCGTTCTATTTGGAGGAAGCGATGCCATCAATGGTATTCTCGTCGCCTCTTAGCATCCCTATCTCCGGGGCGACAGCCAGCGGATTTCTTGACTGAAGTCTATCTTGAGCTCTGAAGTCGCTGATGCTATGTCTACTCGCATCATCTCTATTTATCTACTAATCGAGTCTACCCATTTCGACGCTCTATGCCTTTAAAAGTTGATTCTGTCGCAAATTTGTAAAATGCAATTTTTCGACTTTCGAGTGTATATACGATACAAGATATTACTTTTATTATTATTATTATTTTAATTTCTAACAATGTGAAGAAAATGCCTACTGAGAAAGGAAGGAGATAATCAAGAACGATTCTGTCACACCACAATATGAATATTTATTTTAATTCAATGAATGAGCAAGTAAAGTACTTTTATTTCCTTTTACTTTTTAGTGAGCATGAAAGCAATTGTTACATGATCCGCGTTTAAAGACATTAGGATTAAACTCTGTACAGTTGCATTCACGACAAGGGCCCATATCATTCGTCGCTGCTACATTCTGGTTCGCAAAATAGTCCTTGGGAATATAGCCCATACCAGGGGTGGACACTCCTCCTCCTCCTCCTCCTAATACAGAAGGCGTCAATGGTCCCTGAGGTAAGATGACACTGTGTCGCAACGTATCTGTAGAAGTAGAGACTGGCAATGGAGGTGCACGGCGTGAGGCTGGAGGGGGCGGTGGAGCTGCTCTACAACCCACAGCTGCTTTCGTGTGAGGCATGATGGTTGAAACTGGACGAGGAGTGGCTTTGGCCATGGCTGTAGAAGTTAGAGGAGTAGTGGTGGTGGCAGTGGCGGACGAATTAGGTTGGCGTGCGGGAGGGGGAGGGGGAGCTCTTTTTGTAAATCCAGGGATAGAACTTTGTTGATGTTGTTGCTCAATTAGGGGCTCCGGTTCTGGATCTTCATAGTAGGAGCCAGTGGGTGATTCTCGTTCATGATAGGCGGCCTCTTCCTCATCCTGATAATGTCGTGTTGTTGTTGGTTCTAATATTGATGAGACAGAGTTGAGCGAGGATTTTCTTCTATTGGATCCCGATCCGAATCCAGGTCTAGAGTCATTGCTGGGTACTATTTCCTCGACATAGTTGGAAGGGAACATGCCTTCATGTCGCATACCATTTGTATCTACCAATTCACCTTCCCACCACCCTGCATCGATCTCTTCGATGATCCGGATGATATCACCCTTTTGAAGGGACAATTCACCATCTCCTGTGGCCTCAAAGTTGTAGAGAGCCCTAACTTGCTTTTGTGGCTTCGTCGTACGAGGTGGTGAGGCTGCTGTTGTTGAAGAGACAATCCCGTTTGTCTTTGAAAATGCAGGAATGTTGTTCTTGGATGTTCCATTGGTGCTCAAAAAGGATGTCGACCGACTCAGGTCAGAAGACCCACGCTGGTATTGATTGTTAAAAGTAGACTGACGACGTAGATCAGAGACGGATGCTGCTCGGTCAAGGGGCGCTGGCATGTGTCGTGCTGTAGAGATGGAGACAGAGTTGCGCTTATTATTGGTGTTATTGTTATTATTATTATTATAGTTTCTGCTACTGGTGCTGCTGGTGCTGCTTCTACCGCTGCTGTTCTGATCATCTGAATAAATCGACCGATGGTCTTCATCTGTTTCACGTGATATTTGTCTGCTTATCCTTTTTGAAGAGGGCGAAGTGATTTTATCGGAATGGGAGCCATTGCTGGGTGAAAAAGAAGTTGTAAATGTGCTTTCAGGGATTGCCTCAAGAGTCTCGACCATCTTGCGTGCAAATGCCAACAAGGCATCATAATAGACCTTTAGCCCATATACATTTTCGTCCTTTAAAAAGTATAAAAAGAAAAAGAAAAAGAAAATTAGAAAGGAGTAAACATGAAATAAAATAAAAGTGTATATAAATATATGAACAGAAGGAAGAAGTGTCTGTAGTTGGACTTTTTTTTTTTTTTTTTTTTTTTTTTTAAAAAAAAAAAAAAAAAAAAAAAACTGCATGAATGAACAAGTGAAGGGATGCATGAATGTATGCATGAATGTATGTATGCGAGATGTGTACCTGAGCATCAATGATGGAGGTCATGGTAGTAAGCATGGACTCCCGAGTGTCCTCGTACTTTGCTTTAGCTGCTTGCATTTCCTCTTCCCATTCTGGTTTTTCTTTTTTGGCCTTTTGGACCTTTGCTAATTTAGCATCATAATCCAGTCTCCGAGACTGCAGCTTCTTTTGCAATGCCTGTATAATAATTATAATAAAATAAAGGGGGGAGAAAGAGAGAAGGAGAGGGCCGTTAGATCAAAAGAATGTCGATCTTTAAAGATTCCTTAAAAGGATTAAATATGGAATTACGAAGTCATTACCTGATATTCTTTCATCCGCTCCTGTTCCTTCTCCAGACACTCGAGATATGATCCTTTGAAATGAAAAATCTAAGTATATACATGTACACGTGAATAAATCCGTTGGGTTAAAATAAAATTCATGTCAGCCCAAAACTCTTTTTATTATTATTATTATTTTTTCTGATTCCTTTATTTGTTCCTTGTCTGTTGATGCTGGCAGTAAATGCCATTTCTTGTCTTTCTTTCTCTCTTTCGATTGATTAAAAAGAAAAAAAGAAAAAAAGAAAAAAAAAAAAAAAAAGCCTTGCTCCCCTGGACCTTTAATGTGTTTTGATATTAGAAACAAATCGATGGTGGTACCAATCATTTTTGTCTCCAAACAAGATTGGATCCTGAAAAAGAATCCTCAGTTTCATGTCGGAACTTACCATGTCATTCTGTGCCGACCCAATGGCCTGATGTGCCTCTGCCATCGCTAATAAAGAGTCCCGATAGCTTGATCCTTCCTGGATCACTTGTGCCTTTGAATACATGCTCAAGCCAAACATTTCAATGGCTAGACCCTTGACCTTGTGCTCACCCTCCACTTGCTTACCTACAAAGTAAATAAATAAATAAAATAAAATAAATATAATGCAAAATAGGAGAATAGGGGGAAAAGAGTTTATCATTGTTTATTTTTATAAAGTTATAATTTTACAAAAACATTGGCATTCAACACATTGGGAACAAAACAAACTTTTTGTTTTTTACATCAGATCTCAACAAAATAATTGTGGCGGGAAAAATAAAAAAATAAAAAATAAACGTTCATCTCTCTTTTGAGCTGTCCCAATGCTTTTTCCGTGTCAAGCAATCAAGCCATCAATTGGACTGTATAACCGTTTGCTCTTATCATCCCCTTCCTCTTTTTCTCCCTCTTTCTCTCTCTCTGTCTTCTCTGCTGTGGATTGAATGGTTCTTGACGCGGGATGAGTGCAGGTGATACAAGAGTAAAAGAGGCCAATGCAATCTCTTTTATTTTTTTTTATTTTATTTTTTTTTTTTTTGAACCGCATGATCATGTATCTCAATGAATCGAAATAAAATAATAATGTTAAATAACAAAATAACAATTAAAACGAACGAACGGGAGTACTTACTGAGGACTTTTAGGTAAGCCTGTGAGGTCTCGTCAAGTTTATCCAAAGCAACTCGCCTAGCCTCGGTCTCGGCCTGGAGAGCATTGAAATCATCATCCATGCGCGTCTTCTGGGCCTTGCCCATCTTTTCCCCTGTCCACTATCAATGCATTGTCACAACAAAGGTTGTAAATAAAAAAAATAAAGAAAAATAAAAAAATAGGGTTGGACAGGGATGAGAAAGGGTGATCAGGGAGGCGGAAGCTTTGTACTTGAGAGCACAATTCCAAATGAGACGTTAACAGCTTTATTTTATTTTATTTTATTTTTACCTGCTTGAATTTGCCAATGTTTTTGATCATTATGAATGCTTCTAGCTGGCTGAATGTTTTATGAAAGGGAGAAAAGAAAGGATTAAGGAGGTAATGAGATGATATGCAACGTGTAAAATATTAGGAGGAGGACGGGGCAAAAAGAATGGTTTAAAACAAAAAAGAAGAAAGAAAAGATAAATGGGATGATCTATAAGGTATGAGACTATTAGAAAGATTGGGGAAAGAAGGTGAAGACGGGTGAAGAAGAAGGGAAAAAGAGAGGGATGGAATAAAGATGGAACGAATGAAGGAAGGGAAGGGAAGGGAAGGAAGGGATGAAAGGATGAAGGAATGAATGAGAAAGAAATGAATGAGAAAGAAATGAATGTTTTTTTAAAAGCGAGAAAGACAGAGAGAGAAAGAGAGAAAGAGAGAAAGAAAGAGAGAACGGAAGAAAGAAAGAAAGAGAGAGGACTGGAGTGTTTCATTCAAGGAGTAAAATGTGTACATGCACGTTGTCTTGATAGACTAATTCAAAAGAAGGATGAGAAAAGGGTTCATCTCTTCCGCTCTTTCTCCTTGTTGGAACCAAAAGCGTGCAGAGAAGAGTAAAATGACTGATGTTGTAGTACATCCCATTTCGATTTCGATAGCACACAGACATTCATCAACATCATTAACATCATCGTCATCATCATCATCATCATCATCATCGAAGCTATTCATAGCTTAAATAGTTATCAACATGTTATATTTATTATAATTTCATTATTTCAATATTTGATCATGATCATGATCATGGTCGGTAGCAAAAGCTCCTCCAAGGACATTGATAACTGTAGTCGCACCGTTGTTCTTCTATCACCTTGCTTGCTTCTTTTATTTTTTTTACGTCTTTTTATATCTTCATTCACCATGTTGTGTTGTTTGCAACCAACATGTAGACATGTAGCACACAATGCACAGAACAACCGCAATGCAAGCTAACAACCAAAAAAAATTCATCTGCGTGTTATTAAAACACACCATCTTCTTCAAGTTGATCCTTTTTTCTTTCCCTTCTCCTTCCTCAAGAAACATGGGAGGTTGAAATAGTTCCGATATTCTCCTACAGCTACTCTTTGGTTTTGTTATTCGTTGCAAGTGTGCAATAACACCAAAGGATTCCATATCACTTGTAGGCCATCATCATGGTTTATGTCATCCAAAAATCACCCGTGTGTCTCGAGAGCATATCCATTGCACACACAACGGCATCCATCACACAACACTCACTTCATTCTCCCTCTCTTCCTCTCTCTCCCTCTCTCTCCCTCTCTCTCCCTTCATTCTTCATTAAGAAAGACCTTACCCTACAAAAACCATGTCCAACTTGTATACGAATCCTCTCGGTAGCCGTGAGCACACTGCTGAGGAGCTCTACATCCGCAAGCGAGTATGATCCATATATATATAAATTCGCTGCAGTACAGAATATTGGAGTAACTTTCTTCTAACAACTCTTCTTTCCTTCTTTAATTATCTTGTAGGAAGCTGAAAAAGCTGCTGCTGCTGCCAGAGAGAAAGCTCAACAGGAAGCAGCTAAGGCTGCTGCACAACACAAGAAATAAAGAGTTTTTTTTTTATTTTTTGTTTTGAATCAGAATCCATAATCATCATCAGTTCAAGAACAGAATGACACAAGCAATTGTTAATGATCTGAATTAAAACAATGAATCTTTTCATTATTATTATTATTATTATTTCCCTATTCCCCTTTAATCCACATTTTTTATTTAAAGACTTTTAAAGAATGTATTTAGCATCAACAGGTGTAAATCAAGCTGCAATATTTTTTCACAACTGATTTAAAAAAAAAAAAATCACCTCTGCATGCATTTCTTGCACGAGTATTGCATTTATCTTCCCCGTCATAGAGTCAAATTCCTCGGGCTGCTGCCGAAGCGCGACCGTTGGAACGACTTTAAGCAACGACAAAGGACTTCGATGTGCGTTTGATTAGAAAAAAAGAAAAAAAAAAGACGTAATAGTATGAATTTATACTAGCTATTTTTTTTTTTTTTTTTTTTTTTGATGGCTTACAAAAAAAAAATGCCAATTGCTCAGTTGCTTAATTGCGTCTCAAACTATGTCATTGAAATGTTTTTTTTTTTTAATCTCCCACAATTTTGATGAGGCACTCTCCTCCATTGCCATTTGCTTTCACGCTGACATTTTATAAAGACATTATAGTCCCGTTCAGTCATAATGAACACTCTTGTGCTTTCATTGAACACAATGATCAGTTGTAAAAATACAAAAGCTGCTCTTTATATAGCTCTTAACCGCATAGAAAGTTATTCCTCCTTTCTATATACCTACTTTCATGTTTATTTTTATTTTTTTTGCTGTATCAAGATGCCACCTCTCCATCACTCTGTTCTACTCGATGCTAGGTGGTCCTTCGCTGAGGATGATCGGTGAGAAAAAGCACTTGATGCTTACTTCCCTGCTAGTATGATGGACCAAAACTATGGAAGGGTGATGACCTTTCGGCCATATGCTGCTGTAGTAATATGATGGACAGTTCTTTCATTCACCTTATGACAGTGCTCGTGGTAATTAAAGATGATCGATTCCAATTTAATGGTTCTTCATGACCAATTTAAGTGATCACTCAGACACCTCAAGGGTATGCTTATATTTTTTTAACGCTACCAGTAAGGAGTGTGGGTGGCTATTTAAGATGACCATGTGGAGGGTCATTAAATGAAAAAGCGATCATCTCTTTTGTGGTTATCCGCAATGTCATTGAATACTGGATGCGGAGCTGTCTGTCGTGGTTTGCATGTAGCCAAGAAGAAGCCCTAACCTTTACAAAGCCTGGGGAAATATTTGGCCGAACTTGATCCGAAACAGTGTACAAAAAATTTTGTCTTGCATTTCGACACACCAAGAATCCTTTATTTCGACACGTGTAGCAGGATTATCATCAAGTTAAAAAAAAATCATCATGACGTAAAATTGAACCACAACTTTTTTCTCATGTCCCATTAGAATGTTCAAGCTCATTTGCCGTTTCTTTCATTCTTAATGAACACATAATCTTTCAACGCTTGACTGATTGCTTGTTCCAATCGAGTATATCAGGCCAATGCGTGGCAAGTTTTTTTTTTTTTTTTTTTTTTTAAATCCCAGGAACAGCAACCCTCACAGATACTCAAATTCGCCCTTGCAATCTCCGCATTAGACACGCTGCGAACCAACTGATTATACTTCACCCAAATTACAGTGCCAAGGTCTGCACATCCATTAACCGTGGCTACAGTACAGACATGATCCACAACCTCGTACTGGAGACAGAGGAGGAAGGGAGGCTGTATGGGGCGGAGCTGCATTTCTGTGTCTGACAGTAGCGATGATAAACATTACTTGATATGCGCTGTTGTAAGGCAAAAAATAAAAAAAAAATGAAAAAATAAAAAATAAAAAATAAAAGTAATTATTCCATTCATTGCAATGTCCTTTGGTTCATCGCATCCTCATCCTCTCGGTACCTGTTGTTCTGAGATCAATAGATACTTTGTTTCCGTCGAGGACACGCTCATCTACGTGTTATACTGATCATTGCTGATATACATCATAAAAATTCTATTTATTCTTAATATTCATCTGGCTTTTTAATCCTCTTTCTTTTCTCTACAGCACTGGTCAGTCCTTCCATGCAAAAACATTATGATGCCTTCAAAGGCTTTTCATCACGTAATTTTTAATAACTGTAACTATTTGATGTGCTTCCGCAATTTTAACGCTACCAATTCATTCACCATTTCTCATTCTCATGCTAGACTTCGCCATTCCTCTCTCATTACTAATGAATCCATTGGTCATTACCGGAATGGGATATTAGCCTTTATGCCCTGCACATAAATGAGCCTGTTGAGCGGCCATAGCTGCAGAACATAACGACATGAGATTTTCAAGGTCGTTAATGGTAAGAAAGCATACCCAGCGAGCAAAGCGTTAGGCACACTGCTTCAGCCGTGATACTCTACAACATGCGATTTTTTGGACATCGGATGGCAAGAGACGTCCTATGTTGGAAAAGTAGAAGAGAAATAACTCTATACTTACAAAGTTGATTATTGTTTTGCAATATAGACACCCCGATGCAGTGCTCCTATTCGATTCGAACGGTTCGAATTCGAATAGCTTCGAATATGCCATATCCTGGTTCGATTCGAATGGTTCGAATGGTTCGAATAGGACCACTGGTTACGCGTAGCGAAAGTATGGTCCTTGTATTTTACACCCGATCAAAAAAAAAAAAAAAAAAAAAAGAAAAGAAAAAAGAAATTTAAAATTATCATTTACTATTGTGCCAATAGCTCGAATAAATCGAAGGCTCGAATCATTCGAACTATTCGAATAGCATTCAAATTTTGATATCTATTCGAATGGTTCGAATAGGAGCACTGGTTTGACCCCAAGAGTTACGTACCACAACGACTCGCTGAAGGCCAAACTGTGCGTAATAAAACGTTGGTGAAGGAATGGCACCAGTGGAGGGCATACTTTTCAGGGCGAGGAGATGAGGAGCGGCAAAAGGCTTCCAGCTCTGCAAGTATAACGATCCCGGCTGTGCAGAGCTGGCGCGTTGAAGGTATTGTGCTATCTTTGGCCGTTCAAATATTTTTAATGTATCTGAAATTGACATTTAATGCTTTGTTGTGTATTTGTCCTTTTTACTGTTGCAGCTGAATCGCAAGCAGCAACGGCGACCTCTAGCCAAGACGCCATACCGCCTAGTGCTATCGAGGACAATGTTTGGCAACTGAATCCAACATCCGCCGCGTTAACATCACCGTCAATATCACCACTGTCATCCAATAAGTTGGGACCCGGGCCTCTCTTCGAGCTCAGGACTGCTTTTGCCGCCGCTTTCCAGTCCTTCATTGGTCATCCATGGAGACTGCCCTCTGGAACAGTTGTGGATGATGTCCTTTTTGCCTATACAATGGGCCAGGGAATAGAGTCAGTGTACCACTCTTTCATGGTTGACCGGACTTGCTCCAAAATTCTTTTAACGAAGAAGATTGGAAAGCACTTCACGGCTTTTTACAGGTACAGGACCAAGCCGAGAATAGGTACGAGCTTCCAGCCTTCATGATCCATGAGATGAGAAAGTTTAGGAAGGGGCCTGAGCAGCTGCAGGAAATGCTCAGCTCTGGCTGGCGGGGCCTTGAGCTAGGAGATAAGAATGATGGCATCTCGGTTAGTGCTTTGGAAGCTTTCCGAGCATGCATGTACCACTCCATGTTGAATATGTACATGGCGTACTCCTCTCAGAATTTCGAGTTACCAAAATCGCAATCTGAGAGCTGGTACAGGACATTTATTTGGGGATTCCTTCCTCAGCTCTTTTCTTCAGGACGCGCCCTCATCTATGAGCCAGGTGAAAAAGGTGTATCTGCATCAGCGGCCAGGAAGAACACCCACCGTGACCTCAGCGTTCCATTCAAACGAGGGCACATGGCTGATGGGATCATTTCTTGCAGGAGCAGTAACTGCGAGCTCTGTGCCATAGAGTTCAGCAAGTTCGAGGATGGGCCAACTGCCACGAAAGTTCTCGAGGACTCCAGGAAGCTTGGGAAAATGCTCAAAGATATGTTTGACGCCATCATGAGCAAATGTCAAAAGCCATCCATTGTCCAGAAGAGCTTGAGGGCCTATGGCTTGGTCATTTCTGGCCGAATTATTTACTTTATCTCAGTGCGATACCTCGATGGTAGGTATTTCCGATTACAAACCGAGCAGGTCATGGCCCTACCCTCAGTTTGGGATCGGGAGAGCATCACCTGCACGATTGTGGCTCTGCTCTCAAAGCTTCTGATCTTCAAGCAGCGTATGTTGGAGATGTCAGAGAAAGTAATTGAGTGGACCCAGGTTGTAGACCTTGAGGACATAAAGCAAATGGCCCATAGTTCCTCCCTAGATGACGAGGGCGCATTTAGCGAATTAATGACTTGTAGCTCGCCTTGATCATTTTTATATTGCAAAAGTCAAAGTAGTGTTCTAGGGGGATCTAAGGGTGCAATAAAGGTATCTTCGTTCAGGGAGAACTATGCTACAGAACTAGATAGAAAAGTAGACCTATTTATACTAGTTAATGTCCTGTTGCAAGGAATGCTCTAGAAATATAGGCGAAATACTATGTTGCACAAAATTATTATAGTGATTTCACTTGCATAAATATAAAAAGGACAGCAGATATAAATGGCATTTAATTATGGTTTACTTTCAATAATATCATTACATTTGTTATGGTACGCTACATATAACTTTGTTCCCTTTTATTTTCTTTACTTCTCGTTCCTCCTCTTTAGACTCAAGTAACGCCCTTCATCCTATTCAGCATACCATAATATAGCTTCTATAAGAATTTATGAGAGATATATTAACATGCAAAACTGAATCAATGTTTCATTCCTACATAGCAATCCTGATCCTGCGGGGTTAATCAACCTTCGTAGTGCCATCGAGGCCCTTGCGGCCCAACACCAAGAACAAAGAAACATGCAGCGTACCTTTGAAAGAGATATGCAAACCATCCTGAATTGCCTCGCCAATCGGGCCACAGCCCCTGTTGTACGTACTGCCATTCCACTACCTCTCAGTACCAAATTCGGGAAATAGCGATGAGCTATCCCTCTCAGACTTCCGTGCCCACCTGCAAGTAGTCTTTGCTCGTTTTCCTTACGTCCTGCCCAGTGATGATGAAAAAATCAACTATTCTCTCCAGTGTCTAGATGGTTATGCATCCCAACACTTTGCTCAGTATATGCAAGCGAAATTACTATTATGATTTTGTACGACAGTAGTTCGCCCAATTTTCTAGAGTATTCCTTGCAGCAGGACATTAGCTCGTATAAATAAACTCACTTTCCTATCTAGTTCTGCAACATAAATTCCCTTGAATAAAGACGCTTTTATTATACCCTTAGATCCCCCTAGAATACTACCTCAACTTTTGCAGATGTCTAGGTCAAGACGTACCTCCTGGAAAATAATAACCAGAAGCTGAAAGTAAAGTGGGCATTGAATGTGGAACGCAGCATCACATTGTCTAGGTTCTTACTAATTCATTTCTACATGGTAAAGTAAGGAATGTAAATATTGTTGTCTCTATGTACGTGTAAATTTGCAGGTGTTATTAGACGAAATATGCAACACCTACCACAAACATCGTTTTGTACATGCTACTGTACGTGCTTAGTCACATGAAATAACAAATTTAGCGTGGCTTCGTATAATGGGACTGCCTCTTTCTCTGGGTTTGGGACTGCCTCTTTCTCTGGGTTTGGGACACCCTAAGTGTATTCGTAACTTGAGTGCACGTGACAAAATCGACCTATTTAAGGCTTGTTTTTTTCCTTTTCTCCACTTTTTTCTCTTTTTTCTTTTCTTTTACTTTTTTACAACCAACCTAAACACTTTCCAAATCTACTGCAGCGCTCACTCTAGCCTTCCTAATCAGCTAAGTATACTACACTTCCTCCTTATCCAAACAACTGCTTTCCCAACACCTCTTTCAAAAACAAAATGCAACCCATCATTAAACGCAAAGCACCCGAGGACAATTCCACTGAGCATGAGAGGCAAGTGTCAAAGAAACAACGAACCGAAAAGACACAAGGACCGGTGGCAGATGTCGATAGAGCTATTGATTGGTCGTCGTCTTCTGCATGGATGCGATCAGTCGACTATAACAGGAGATATCGAAATACCAATAGAGCCAATGAATGGTCGTGGTCGCGAACATTCAGGTATAGCAGCGGCGATGCAAACAGGATGCGCAGAACATTTCTGCGTGATCCGGTGACTGGAAGCACTTTCACCATTTTGTGCTCTCCGTCGTACAACGCTTTCAAAATGGAAACAAAATGGGAGCCCGGAAAACCAGGCCGAAAGGATATGACTGTTGTTCGTATAGAGTCTTCTGACGATAAATCATCGACAACTTTAACATCGGTCAAATCCTCTACGGCCTAGGTCGGCGTAAGGTCCCGGACTCGTGAGCAAGGAGCGTCCGGAAGAGAAAGCGGGGGTCGGAATTCAAAACGACGAAGGAGCCCGAACAGCAATAAGTAGGGCTGGGCTCGTATATTCCCCTCAAAAAAAAAAAAAAAAAAAAAAAAAAGTAAAAAAAAAAAAAAGCAAAAAAAAAACTAAAACAAAAAAACTAAAAAAAAAAAAAAAAAAAAACTTTCATTTCATATGATTGTTTTTGTTATGAAAAGAAGAGACCCAATTACTTATATTGCTTAGTGTGTCAGCATTTAGTGTTAAGCCTATTAAAGGGTTTGTTCTAATAAATATAATAAAATTATCTTTTGTCTCTAAGCTATCAGCAGCCTATAAAAGCAATATGAAGGATACACTATCATGCAAAACTGAATGAATAATTCATTCCAATATGCATTTCTTTTTTTTCTTTCCTAGAAACCGTATATGCATACAACATTCTTACTTTGGTTTAATAAAACTCCCGTCTTCTTCTACATCATAGTTATGCGTTGTGACATTAGCTTGTCTCATATGGAAAGTTAATGGCTTTTTTATTCATGCAGCTCACTTTTTCAGTTTTGCATGTGCCCATTCGGTGACCAAAGATCTTTATTCTTTTCTGAGCCATAACCTTACATCAATAAAGAGTATTCCAACCATGGGCATCACTGACAGCTTGGAGTCTCTTATGAATACCTATGATGAGTTTGCGGCAGAAATCCACTGGGATCCTGTACCATTCAACCGATATTCGCTCCCTTAGTTCATCACAGCTCTTATGTAAATAGTAACAATCAAAGGTGATCTTAGGTGGAATCGAAGGTCAAAGGATACTTTATTTGGTTATAACGTAGTGGACTATTTATACTGATAATTGATAGGGGTGGGGCTTGGTGTCTTGGCACTTGGGCTTGGCGTCTTGGCACCTGGGGTGCGCGTGATAGTTGAGCCCTCCTCAAAGGTTTGAGTCAGTATTGTATAACACGTTTGCATCTTAGCTCGCTCCGGATACCTAGAGAGCCGTCTATCCAATTCTGCCCACATGTGTTCAATAGGGTTGAGGTCAGGGGATTGTGCTGGCCACTCTAGAAGTGTACCTTCCTCCTCTGTCAGATGTACTGACTCCAAATACTTCCTAACAATCCTCGCCGTGTGCTTCGAGTCATTGTCGTGCTGAAAGACGATATCGCTTTTAGTTAGGCCTCAGTCATCAAGCGACATCTGTAGATCCTCCTGGAGTAGTTTGATGTAAAGTTGTGCGTCCATATTATTGTCAATCTTTGCAATGTATCCAGGTCCGTACCATGAGAAGCATGACCACACTTTAACGTTACCACCTCCAAACTCGACAGTGCCTTGCACCGATCTGCGAGTGAGGCGTCCTGGAGTGTCGTCCCAGATCCACTGCACGCCATCAGAGCAGTTTCGGTTTATTTTCGATTCATCTGACCAAATAGCTTTTTTCCAATCTTCCAGAGTCCATTCCTTATACTTATTGATAAAATGCAAACGAGCTTTAATATGTCGTCGACGTAAAGCTGGCTTACGTACACGCCTCTCTGCTGTCAATCCTAACTCCTTGAGCCGTCGTCTAACGGTGGTCTCAGAAACAGCCGCTGGTATGAGCTGGTTGGCTCTGACGGTGGCCTCAACTGCAGACTTGAGTGTACCTCGTTTCATGTCCACCTTAAGATACTGTATGATATCTCTAGATACCTTCCTTGGTCGACCGCCTTATTGACTGGCATGTACTCCTTATTCTTTGCATAGATCTTGTTGGCCGTCCCTTGCGATATACCGACACTAGCAGCAGTTTCTCTAGTAGGCATGCCTCCCATCATTAACCTCCTGGCTTCGTTGACTTTCCTTTGTGGAGTGGGTCTCATATTCTGTGAAGATAGAGTTAAGAGAGAGGTAAGCTAGTGCTCATAAAGGAAAGAGAGAAAAGTCCTTCTTTTACTTGCATTAAATGACGTCCAGCAGTTGTCATGGGCAACATTTTAGACCACATGCAAAACTGAAAAAGTGAGCTGCATGAATAAAAAAGCCATTAACTTTCCAAATGAGACAAGCTAATGTCACAACGCATAACTACGACGTAGAAGAAGACGGGAGCTCTATTAAACCAAAGTATGAGTAGTGTATGCATATAAGGTTTCTAGGAATGAAAAAAAGAAATGCACATTGGAATGAATTATCGAATCAGTTTTGCATGATAGTGTATTTATTAGAACAAACCCTTTAATAGGCTTAACACTAAATGCTGACACACTAAGCAATATAAGTAATTGGGTCTCTTCTTTTCATAACAAAAACAATCACATGAAATGAAAGTTTTTTTTTTTTTTTTTTTTTTTTATTTTTTTTTGGTGTTTTTTTTTTTTTTTTTTTTTAGTTTTTTTGTTTTAGTTTTTTTTTTGCTTTTTTTTTTTTACTTTTTTTTTTTGCTTTTTTTTTTTTTTTTTTTTTTTTTTTTGAGGGGAATATACGAGCCCAGCCCTACTTATTGCTGTTCGGGCTCCTTTGTCGTTTTGATTTCCGACCCCCACTTTCTCTTTCGGCCGCTCCTTGCTCATGAGATCGGGGTCTCAGGCCGACCGAAGCCACAGATGATTTGACCGATGTTGACATTAAAGTTGTCGACGTTGCATCGTTACAAGACTCCATATGAACAACCGCCATAACCTTTCGGTCTGGTTTGGCGGGTTGCCATTTTGTATCGATTTTGAGAGCATTGTACGACGGAGACGACAATATGGTGAAAGTGCTTCCACTTGCCGGATCACGCAGAAATGTTCTGCGCATCCTGTTTGCATCGCCGCTGCTATACCTGAATGTTCGCGACCACGACCATTCATTGGCTCTATTGGTATTTCGATATCTCCTGTTATAGTCGACTGATCGCATCCATGCAGAAGACGACGACCAATCAATAGCTCTATCGACATCTGCCACCGGTCCTTGTGTCTTTTCGGTTCGTTGTTTCTTTGACACTTGCCTCTCATGCTCAGTGGAATTGTCCTCGGGTGCTTTGCGTTTAATGATGGGTTGCATTTTGTTTTTGAAAGAGGTGTTGGGAAAGCAGTTGTTTGGATAAGGAGGAAGTGTAGTATACTTAGCTGATTAGGAAGGCTAGAGTGAGCGCTGCAGTAGATTTGGAAAGTGTTTAGGTTGGTTGTAAAAAAGTAAAAGAAAAGAAAAAAGAGAAAAAAGTGGAGAAAAGGAAAAAAACAAGCCTTAAATAGGTCGATTTTGTCACGTGCACTCAAGTTACGAATACACTTAGGGTGTCCCAAACCCAGAGAAAGAGGCAGTCCCAAACCCAGAGAAAGAGGCAGTCCCATTATACGAAGCCACGCTAAATTTGTTATTTCATGTGACTAAGCACGTACAGTAGCATGTACAAAACGATGTTTGTGGTAGGCGTTGCATATTTCGTCTAATAACACCTGCAAATGTACACGTATAGTGCGTGCCAAAACCGTTTCAGTAAATTGCATTTTTCAACATTCGTTCCTCATTCTCCTTCTTCTTTATGATCTTCCCTGCCACCACCGTTTCTCATTCTCATTTGTCTCACCTCCATGGAGTCTCATCGTCATCGCCATCAGTGGCCTATTTAGCATTTAATTGCAATTTGCTTTCAGCATCTCATTGCATCTATTATGGCAATTAACAACTTCTTGTTTTTATTTATTCCTGTTACTTCTCCTTTCCCCTAACGATGTTCCCTCCTTTAGCCTTATATAACTTCCTCATCCTCTTCGGCATACCGCAGTATAGTTTGTGTAAGAATTCAGGAGGGATATGTGTCCATACGTCTTGGACTCTCTCCCAGAGATCCTCCATATTCTTTGGCTTGTCTGGATAATGATCCAACTGCACCTTCATGTATGCCCATTTGTTTTCTATTGGGTTGATGTCAGGAGAGTTTGCTGGCCATTCCATGAGAGGTATCTTAGACATTTGGATATAGGTCATTGCTATTCTTCCGGTATGAATCCTAGCATTGTCCTGCTGAAATATAAATTTATCCCTATCCATCAAGTAGTAATCCCTGGACTTAAAAATATAATCCTTGAGAACGTCGACGTTGGTTACCGAATCCACCTTGTCTTGGAGCCAGCAGCCATCGCCTGGTCCGTAGTAAGTGATACAACCCCAGAACATCATTTTCCCTCCGCCACCTTGCCTTGTCTTTTGATATGATGTGCTCGTAGAGTTTTATCCCATCGATGCTTGTATGGTGCGTGCCAAAACTGATGCAATAATTTGCATTTTTTAACATTCATTCCTCATTCTCCTTTTCCTTTCTAATGATCTTCCCTACCATCACCGCTTCTCATTCTCATTTGTCTCACCTCCGTGGACTGTCATCGCTGTTCTCATCAATGACGCAATTAGCGAATAATCGCCATTTGTATAGTCATGTCTCACTACGGACCAGGCGATGGCTGCTGGCTCCAAGACAAGGTGGATTCGGTAACCAACGTCGACGTTCTCAAGGATTATATTTTTAAGTCCAGGGATTACTACTTGATGGATAGGGATAAATTTATATTTCAGCAGGACAATGCTAGGATTCATACCGGAAGAATAGCAATGACCTATATCCAAATGTCTAAGATACCTCTCATGGAATGGCCAGCAAACTCTCCTGACATCAACCCAATAGAAAACAAATGGGCATACATGAAGGTGCAGTTGGATCATTATCCAGACAAGCCAAAGAATATGGAGGATCTCTGGGAGAGAGTCCAAGACGTATGGACACATATCCCTCCTGAATTCTTACACAAACTATACTGCGGTATGCCGAAGAGGATGAGGGAGTTATATAAGGCTAAAGGAGGGAACATCGTTAGGGGAAAGGAGAAGTAACAGGAATAAATAAAAACAAGAAGTTGTTAATTGCCATAATAGATGCAATGAGATGCTGAAAGCAAATTGCAATTAAATGCTAAATAGGCCACTGATGGCGATGACGATGAGACTCCATGGAGGTGAGACAAATGAGAATGAGAAACGGTGGTGGCAGGGAAGATCATAAAGAAGAAGAAGGAAAATGAGGAATGAATGTTGAAAAATGCAAATTAATGCATCAGTTTCGGATGAACGAGAGGTGAAAACGTGGAGCAAATTAATCAAGCACACGCGATTTGTTTCCGAATCTGAAGTCATGAGCTCGAATATGGAAATGCCACGTAAGGCATTAAGCTTGATCTTACCTAGGCCCATTGCCATTAGGTCTCGAGCCCCCTGGAGCTGAGCTGCAGTCACAGATGCCTGAGTGCTTGGGGTTTGGCGAGTCGAGGCCTTGTTGCCGGGCTGGAAGCTGTAAACTCTGTCGTATTGCTCAGCTGCCTCGAAAAGCCGATATACGGTGAGTGTTTGGGTCACCTGGAGAGAACGCAAGAGATGGTTCAAGGTTGGGGCACAGCCTTGTACGAAGCAAATAAATGCAAAATCTTCAATGACTTTTTGACCACCGACTGAAGCTTCGTCGGCTAGCAGGGCAGTTAGGAGCTCGCGCGTTTCAGCGACGTAATCAACGACCGTGGAGACCATTGTCAGGGATGAGGGGCGGTACCGGATGAGCTGAGAGAAATCATTTGGGATGGATGCAGTGGAAAACTGAACTCAAGAGTTTTAAATGTGGCATCTTCAGCGATGACGGAGACATTCAGCCATTGGGCGACATCGGGACTGAGGAAGGCAATGGCTAAAACGGTCTGAGGCGCGTCGGGCACAGAAGCGCCCACAAAGAACCGGCGCATGGGGTGCAACCAGGTGGTGGCCATAAAACCATCGCGCTTGCCATCGAGTTTGTCGGGTTGTGAGTACTTAAAGGAGGAAGAAGTAGGGTGTCAGAGACAAGAGTCATGGTAGACAGAAGGAAAGAGAGTTGATCGAGGGAGAGCAGGGAACGGGAGAGTTTGCGAAGGTAGGGGATCAGGGCACATGGGGTAGAGGTCGAGGATCAAGGAAGCTTTGCTAACATGTGGAAGTAAAGACAAAAAGGTAGTTTTATTACAAGTCAGACTAGAAACTGTGACAAATGAGACATGAATAAACAAATAATGATTATTTGCTAATTGTGTCGTTGGTGAGGACACCGATGACGGTTTATGGAGGTGAGACATATGAGAACGAGAAACCGCGATGGCAGGGAAGATCATTAGAAAAAAGAAAGGAGAATGAAGAATGAATATCAAAACCCACAGATTATGTAGAAAATAAAACTCCACTTTTTGTACAATTTGGTTTATTGAATATCTTGATGTTGAGCATTAAGCGAAAAATTACAGTGTTGAGAACAAGAGAGGACGATCGAAAGTGGATTCAAGCAACTGTTCATCAAGTTCGGTGAGGTTGGTTCCAATTTGAAGACTATTCCGTTTCTGTTCGTTCTCCAACTCCTTCTGTATCACCTCTAAGGCCTGCAACTTTTGAGCCATTGTATCTTGTAATTCTTTCTCAGCCATTACCCGAATCAATCCAACCTGTTGTTCGACATGTTGCTTGATATCTACCAACTGCGTGAGGACTTCCTTGGTTTGACGATAAAAGATCTCGCGATTGTGAGCTGCATGTCGCTCAATCATGATCGTCTCTTGTTCTAGACGGTCTGCTTCAGTATCATTCTCACGCATCTCCTGTAACATGGCTTCAATCCGCTCCTGTCGACTTTTCACGTGTGCTTGATGGTTGTTTATTTCCGTTCGAGCAAGCTATGATATTGCGGAGAATAAACCCAAAAGTAAGCGTTAGCCATAACGTAGTATATCAATAGCAAATTGACCTGTTTGCTTGAGCCATGAATCGTACCTCTTTCTCTTCTTGATACTTTTGTCTCAAAACTCCAAGTTGGTACTCTCGTTCCGCAAGCAGCCTTGAGCCTTCTTCAACTTGATCCTTCAACTTCTCCAGTTCCTCCTCGAGTGTAAATCGTTCATTGCTAACCTCGTTCCTATCCTTTGCGATTTTCGTCCTGAGAGCACTCACGACCCTATCCACTTTGCCCTTAATATCGACTGAGAACAGCTTTCCAGTGTTGGATGTAGCATTATCGAGACTTAGTCTCAATTCATAGTCCTGGCCGCCAGCATACTTTGCAGAAATGGGCACAATCCCAATCTTGACCGCTAATGCATTGTATTCTTTTGCTAACCTCTCAGCTTCTATTTCCCCCTGTTGAAAACGGTTGTCGAGGCTACGTTGTTCATTCTCAAGATCATTTAGTTGTTGTTTTAATCCTTCTTCTCGTCGTTTCAAACGATCCCGTTCCTCTATTTTGGTTTGTAATTCTCCCCGACTGATGGTTTGTGACCGTACTACTTCCTGAACCTCTACTTTGGCATGTTCTAGCTCTTCTAGCTTCCTCTGTTTGTTTTCAATCGTCTTCTTAGTCTCTTCATTAGCGCGACGAAGACTCTCAATCCGAGGTTCTGCATGTTCAATTGCCTTTTGAAATTGTTCAATGTCATCCTTGAGGGTTTGTTGCTCCTTTTCCAATATTACAAGTGGTGACTAAAAAAAGAAAAAAAAAAAAGTATAACCGAATTTACAGGGGAAAAAAATATAGTAAAATATAATAAAATAAAAATAAAAAGTCGTTTTTAGAAAGATATTCATTTTTATTTGAAAGACTCTTTTTTTTATTCCACCATAATATTTTACCTCTTCTGTTTCAAAAGCCTGTAGTTCCTGTTTTAATGCATCGATGGCAGCAGTTCTGGAACGTAATTCCTCCTGTGCATATTCCATTCGTCTTTGTAAACTTAATTCTAACTTCGACTCCAGATCGGGATCCTGTAGGTTACCGGTCAACATCCATATCCTGTAAGTCCTTGTCAAATAATGATAGAGTGCCTTTTCAGCTGTCACCAGAGACATATCCATCTTGGGATCTAGATCTCGTGCACGACTATATGAAAGACTATATTGCTGTTGCTGTTGTTGCTGCAGTAGTGCTTCTGTCAACTCTTTGAATCTCTCAAGAACCTATGAAGGGAAATAAATAGTAATAATAATAATAATAATAATAAAAGACGAAAAGCAATATGAGTGCTTCATCCCTTGTTACTCCATATATATTCTTGACCTGATCCTTATCTTGCTGTTGTCGAAAATGGACCTACCATAATGACTTCTATCATCCAACCGAGTAAAGCAAGCATATTTGGCCAAGAATGAGGGGTTCCGACAGTATAGAGCGATGTTTTCGAAATTGTATCTGCTGCTGGATACCTAAATTATAGCAGAAAAATATTAGGCTTTTTTTTAATTAGAAAAGGTTTCTTTTTTTTTTTTTTTTTTTTTTCTTATCTTCCCACTTGAATCGTGCCTTCTCCTTCTTCTTATTGTTATTATGATTATTATCATACCTCATAGTCTTGAGTAACATCGGAACCTCATCTTCGAATTTCTTCTGAAATTCATATCCAGGCTCCAATCTTAGATATAAAAACTTGAAGATGTCTTGAAAATCCTTATTGGTCGGATGAGTCAAATTCTTGGTGGTAATCGTCTGCGGAAATCCAGATTGAGTTAAATATCCCAAGATGGTGTGAATCAACGTCCTTTGAAAACTTTTATCCTTGACTGGTCTTGGATCTCGGATATTGATTGAACTCGTCGATATCCCTGAAATGCCCGCAGCGCTGAGTGATCCCGGCATTCCTACCCCTCCACCGCCTCCCCCTGTACTACTAAATGACTGTCGAGGTGCGAAACTACTCATCCTTCTATTAATTCAAATTAAAAAAAACGTAAAAAAACGTAAAAAAAAATAATAATAAAATGATAAGTTTCTGATATAAAAATGCAAAATGTGTTAGCAGCATATGGAGAGAAAACAAAAAAAAAAAAAAAAAAAAGTGTATACCGGTTGTTGGGTGGTCCCATAAGGCTGCCAGTAAGCATTCCATAGTCATCGCCAGTGAGTGGGCCCATAGGTGAAGGTCGTTGTGAGAATTGACTTCCAATGATGGATTGGCGCAGACTAGAGGCCATGCTCCATCGACTGCTTCCACTTCCAGGTCCACTGCCGGCCGAAAAAGGCTGCATGCTGTTTTTTGATGTTTCCTGGAATGAAGAATCAAAATCGAGTAAACTCAAGGATAACTGTTTTTTTTTAAAAAAATAGGCCGTTGTAACTGTGCGGCCAAGAAATAGACGCGTTCCTGAAATATTGCTTTAGTGAACAATTGCAGTCACAAACTCTTCTGAGAGTCAACCAAGCAAAAGGCAAAAGGCAAATAAACAATCTTCCTAAGCTGCCGACAAGCTTTTTCCAAAAGATTCGCTGTCAGTATTGGTTGCTTGTTATTGAGATCTTTTTTTTTTTCCGACCAAATAGCACCACCACAAGAAGTCAATGAAATATGAAATTACAATGATAAATATATTTGAGTTGAGTTGTAAGTGCGACATAAAAAAAGGCAAAAAAAAAAAAAAAAAAATGAATCTATACAGTGACAGGTAATAAAATACAAAGTAATCAAAAAGATAATGTTACAGTCCTTTTCAAAAGGGAAAAAGTTTCGACAAAAGCAAGCTGTGGTCTCAAAAAAAAAGAGTTCGTAATATGAGGGATGCAAATATCCATTCTGTGTTGGAGGGATAAGGACCAAAGTGGTAAAAAAAAAAAAAAATCCGAGTGATTGAGTGGTTGAACAAATAGATGTGAGAGTGGCCTATCCATTCGACTTTTTCCAACCAACTTGAAACGCTCCTATGCTCACACTCAGGGCAACCATTTATCATCTTCTGTCCTCCTATGCAAGATCTCACTGAATATGGCGGCTTTGGACAGTGGTGATGACTGATAACTGTAGCGATTCCGTGTAGTGAGATACTGTTCCAATCTTGTCAGCATTGCTTGTGCTGGACATCGTCTCTTGGCAAAAGAAACCTCCTTGTTTACAATGATGTGAGTAAACTTATGACTGTGCAGCCTTTCGTGGGGACACAAAAAATATATACAGCCGACTCGCTTCCTAAAAGCTTTTCTTTTCTTTCTTTTCTTTTGTTTCCCCGCTTTGGCTGCTTGACATCATCGATAACCACCGGAGTCCCCTATGGCCTATCTTTTACTGATCCGCTTCTAATGTTATTGCTCGTCGTGGTCGTCGTCGTAGTACTCGCATCTTGTCGACCCGCTCTTCAAGCACTATAGCCTCTTCATTTTCAACTTCAACAGCCTCAGGGTATTCACGTTGTTGTTCCTTTATATAATAGAGACCAATAACCGGAGCGCGTTTGCCAAAGCAATGATCAAATGTGTCATCCTCATCACACACATGATCTTCTTCTTCTTCCCTGCGGCACCGCTTCATTCGCTTGCCATTGTCGAAATGGTCATTTTCGAATGCATCTCGCTTCCTCTTCGGTGGCCGCACTACTTCCTTTGGACGACTCTTCTTTTCTCGGAACTCCTTCTGTAGCTGCTCTACTACAGTCGATGTTACATCCTGCTCTTGGCTGATTATTGTAGTTTGTCCGTTATCATCTTCATCACCGCTCTGATAGATGCTGCTTCCTGCATCATTATGATCAGGACTATGGCCACGACTACGGCCATGAATATGACTGGGAGACGGCTGAGCTTTACTGCAGCTTACATTACTTGTAACGCTGTTACTGCTACTAGTGCCATTACCACTGATACTACCATTGTTGCTGCTGCTACTACTGCTACTGTTAAATTCAAACACATTAGGACCTTCTGTCAACGTCTTGAACATATTGGGGTCAAAAGCAGTAGTTTTGAATTGTGGAACCGAGTGAGGGTATTGGAATGGCGTTGTGAATTTCGCTGGCTTTGTTTGTTCCTGTGCAGATTTAGAAGACTGAGGAGGAGGTGATGGTGGCGGAGGTGATGGTAAAGGTGAAGGTGATCGGTCTCCATGAAGGGAAGGTGAGCCACGTGGTGAAGGTTGAGGGCGCGGGGATGGTGGGCGTGTACCCTGCAACGATCGTGTAGCCCATGGATTGGCTATTGGTTCAAGAATGTTCGTTCCTAGTGCTGAAGGTGTGTCTGTGTTATGCTCTTCCTCTAATCCAGGGTATAATAATCCATTCGTCGGAGGGAATGGTACTGGAAATTCTGCATGACGTTGCTGATACAAGAAGCTCTCTGATTGGAAATATTCTTCCTCTGTAATACTTGTGTCAGCCTCATTCTCATCATCATCCGACTGTAGTGATTGTCGCTTGGATGAATTTTTCTTTGGCTTTGACGGCCATAGCACACGAGGGAGGCGTGCTCCATAGGCAGCTGAGGGGGTGGCTTCTTCGTAGAGTTGAGGTTCAAAATAGAACTTGTTTCCACGGCTGAAGTAAAGTACATATGAAGAATACAAGGTGTTTTAGGGACATTAGACAGATTAAATATTGCACACCATTTCATTCACAAGGACAAAGAGATCAGACAGGGCAATAGAAAGCCAATGACAGCCTACAAGTACTGTAGATATGTGGTTGCATACTTACGCCATGTACGACAGATGATGCCTGGCATAAATCCGTCGATTCTCTCTAATGGCTAATTCCTGCTCATATTGCTCTTTCGGGTCAATTCCTTGGCTATATCGCTCTGCTCGGTCATCCTGGAAAGGATTATGCGCTGGCTTTGACCGCACTGTTAATGACGAAGATGACCAATCTGAGTCGTAATACTCCTCTTCTTCCTGTTGCAGCTTATGTTGCTCTCGCTTTTCCTCTAGCCTTTGCTTTTGCCACTGACCGTTCGGCGTACAAGATTCCAGCTCATATTCTTGTTTCCGTCCCTCAGTCTCATGCATCACAGTAAAGACCATCTCTGAATGGTAACCACGATCAATGGGAGCAGGGGTCTTGGTAAAGAGGATCACATCCGTATCAAGGCCACCGCAGTCGGGGTGTGGCGGAGTACGCTGACCAGCAACGTATTCAATGCATGGGTTGCCTTGCAAAGGTGTAGCCGTTCCTGGGACAAAGTCAGGTTCGCCTGCAAACACTTCGTCCACGTAGCTCTGTTCCTCGGCCACGGAGGGTGAGAAATCCGCACCTGCTTCTTCATTGTAATCCTGCATCCACTGATACTTATTTTCGGTTCTTTTGTCCTCCTCCTCCTCCTCTTCGTCTTCTGCGAAACCACTGTCAGGCTCATGCAGCTTGGCCGAAGGTTGATGTGAAGGTCTATCGCTCCGCGGCAACCGAGATGGTTTGTGTGTGTGGTGCTCGATAGCCTGGCCCTCATCATCCTCTTCCTTCTTTTCCTCGATTTCTTCTGTAGCTTGATTCTCATAGTCCTGCCTTTGCTTTCGAGTCAACAAAGGACGTGAGCTAGATTCACATTCATTTCCTGTATACCGTTCCGGCAGGTATGATACATGCAAGTCTTTGCGGGCAAGTACAGGTGAGGATGAGGGTGAAAGAATAGATGATTGCAGAGGTGATTGATAGTCGTTGTGGAGAGAAGCCTTGCCCTTCAAGCCTGGTGCACTGTAATCTTCGGAGATAAAGTTATCTGCTAACGGATTAGAGTCATGGTCCTGGCTCTGAAATGATGCGTTAGGATCATAAGGTGAGTGAGCTTCGTTAAGTGAGTCAAATTCATCTCGATCCTCAATACTCCTGAGTAAGGCGCGTGCTGCCTCACTAGGCTTCTGATCATCAAATGGTGGGATGTCATATTCATCTTCATTATTAAAATCTAAATCGTAAGTTTTTCTGGCATTGTTCGCCTCCTCCTCCTCCTCTTCCTCTTCACCAATGTCTGGCCACAGTGTCCGTGGTCTGATGTCATGTGTTTCCTCATCACTATGAGTTGTACATGTCGCATGTGAAAAAGAGGAAAAGAGATAAAATATTAATAGAGGAAATTTGCATCATTATTATTGCTGTTGACGTAATTTCTCTTATTGTTGCTAATTCCAGTCTTTTTTCTTCTTATTGGTCAATCAAGTTGTCACAACAAGATGATGTTGTTGTTATTGTTGTTACAATTAAGGAAGAAGGACGCGTTACAGGTAACAAATAGGCCGAGTGTATAAATACTGAGCGTATGGGTGTAGTTGAAGGAGCAAATGTTAAGGCTAAAAACAAAGAAGAGAATCGCACCTTGATACCTCACGTTCCTCCTCAACGTGTTTTCCACGGAACACACATAGAAAGCGATAATGATTTGACGTGACAAACGGCATAAGCACAATGAATCGGATTGACAATAGAGGAGATGTGCAATCAATCAATTCGGCAATGAATTAGAAAATTACTAAAATAAATATAATAATTTAAGAAAAAAAAGTAAAATTGATTAAAATAGAAAATAGTTGAAGAAAGGAGTCGTCGTGCCTTGTACGCGTTGTTTTCTGTTTTACTTTGCCCAAACATGTAATTCAAGCCACACTGAAGGAGATATGCGGAATTTGTAATTTATTCAAAGGCTTGAACATGCACCACAATAAAATTACTCTTGTTATTTCTAAGGCAGCCTCCATTTGCCAAAATGATTAGAGTCTGGAGCATGAAATATCTATCATAAAGGACTGTTTAATACCCAGCTCGCTTGCTTGATGACTTTTATTTTGTTTTCCTTCAAAGGAATTCAAGATCAATTTTAGGAGAGAAAACAAGAACGTGATGGAATTGCTAAGAGATCATAACATAATGATTAATACAAGCTGGTGCTATTGTTTCCCTGCCCTTGTATTTCAAATATTCCGAATCTGATAGGAACGCCCTTTATAATCTGCGGAGTAAATTATGCATCTTTTTTTTTGGAAGTGGTATATATATCCATCTCTCTCACACACAGAAGAGCATATTTTATTTTGTAATGTAATTATCATTGTTATTAAGGTTATTGTTGCCATCCTGCATTCATAACAACTTGACAACTCAAAAGTCTGTCACTCGTCCTTTGAAAGACCAATCTCCGAAGCGGACTGGTTCTCGTTTAGGTCCCCCTACTTCTCCTGTTTGAGGATTGGTATCTCCTTCAAATTCCTCGGGCACGGGTGTCTTTGCGTCTGGATGATTTGTAGCCGGCCCAGATTCTGCTTGTTTAATCAGCTGCTCAAACTCAGCCTGGTCTTTGGCAGATCCTAAAGGGATAGGACCTGGTCCCTTTGGACGTAAACCCTTGTTGGTACTATACGATCGGTTGATGAAGTCACTTTTATATCTTACAGAAAGGATGGGCTGACGTTGTGTCCTCGGAAGAGTCACTGCGTCAAGGGAACGTAAAGTGCGGACATTTGAAGAGGCATTGCTCCGAAGAATGAATGAAGAGACTGAGGATGTCATGGTACCAATGAATGAGTAAATGAATAAAGTGAGAAGAGATCAAGTGCGATGCGCACAGCAAAAGTAATTTTTGATCAAAAGTTAAAAAGACCCGCGTCGATCTAAATCGATAACATGAGGGCAATCTGCCCCATATGTCATTGGCATGAGGTGAATACAAAAAAGTGTTATCGAAATATGGCAAACTATCCCTACTCTCTCCCTTCAAAAAAAAAAAAAAAAAAAAAAAAAAACTCTTCTTGCCTTGGTTAATAAGTTTGCTTTCTCTCTTCTCGTTCTTACTTCATTCGTCCATTCTTCAACTTTATACAATTCCCCATGCTCCTTTCCCTTAGAACCGTGGCTCCCGCCACCAAAGGTATGGAAAGATACAGATAGAGCGCGTCAAATTACAGGTCATATCATTGCCTTGTTCAATAAGTCACAACCTTCAATTCACCTTTGTGTTACTGGAATGCAAACCGGAGAAAAGACTGAAATGACAGGAGACACCATTGTCGTAATGTCATTCTGTTGAGAAATGAATGGCACCTGTCTCCACTCACCAGTGTTCCATTGTTCTCAATGTAATAAATGAAGAGAAAAAGTATATATATATATAAAGAAAGCGAGCTTAAATCCCTGGCCTTTGACTATGAAGCAATAGTGAAAACTTCATGCGTTTGCCAACATGCTTCTTATGACATTTAAATGTCCTCTTAGTTGTAAAAAGAGCTGCATTCGGAGCAATAAAGAAAAAAAGGATGGGATCGCCTCCCATTATTTTATTTTACATTTGTTCCACTGCCTACTTCTACTTTACCCACGCTCCTCCACCCTCGAACCTCGTGAGATGCGTCCTGAGCGCAGGAAAAAAAAAAAAAAAAAAAAAAAAAAAAAGTGGGGGAGCAATGGACCCAAGGGAAAACTTGACTAAAACACCTTCGTACTGGATTTTTTTTTTTTTCTTTTCTGCATTAGTCGCTCAGCGTTTATTTAGCAGCTCATCCAAGGTTGCAGGCTATGACAAAACTATCAAGAACATGTTAATCAATAAGCAGACCAAAGTTGTCTGCCAAGGGTTCACTGGCAAGCAGGTAAGGATCTCTGCAATGATAAAAGTCTGTAACCAATCTGAAGTGAATCAGGACTCAATAAATGCCCATACAGAATATAAAAAAGCATATCAACCTTTTATTCTCATTGATCAAAAGAGGACATGACAATCATGCACAGTCTTGTTCATTTGTTGGTTTCATCCATTGTACCCAGAGGAAATCTCACATCTCAGGAGATCTTGACATGACAGTGCAATATGGAATATCGAAGCAATTTTTTATGCTCAAACAGAGGAGTGGATATTTTCACGTATAGGATCTTAATTGACTTTGGTCTCGAATGCTCCGATGTATGCTTTTCAGTTCTTTGAATTGTATTCTTCAATTGAAAGAATGGGGAGGAGTAGTCTGGTTTAGGATCACAACTGGCGACAATTCAGCCGGAAATGGGCACTTTGACTAAATCTTTTTTGTTTCATCCTCTAATTGACAATTGACTATTGATTCGACTATTGATTCGGCTATTGACTATTGGTAATTGATCATCTATAGGGCACCTTCCACTCAAAACAAGCCATCGAGTATGGCACCAACATGGTCGGGGGCATCTCTCCAAAGAAAGGAGGTCAGACACATTTAGGACTCCCTGTTTTCAACACCGTTGCTGAAGCTACAAGGGAACTCAAGCCCGATGCTAGTGTCATCTATGTCCCTCCTCCCATGGCTGCCGGAGCTATTATGGAGGCTATTGAAGCCGAGATCCCCCTCGTTGTTGCCATTACTGAGGGAATCCCTCAACAGGATATGGTTCGCGTAAGTCTTTTAAACAATTGACCAAGTTGGACGATTCTCATTCAAGGAATCAAACCCCTGACTACTGAATTAATTTTTCGTAAAAAAAAAAATAAAATAAAAAAAAATAAAAAAACGCGCAATTCATTTTATTCGAAGTAGGTCGTTAGAACATTAAAGTCACAGGACAAGACACGTTTGATTGGACCAAACTGCCCTGGAATCATTGCACCAGGTGCCTGCAAGATTGGTATTATGCCAGGCCATATCCACAAGCCCGGCAAGATTGGTATCGTTTCACGCTCTGGTACATTGACTTATGAGGCTGTCAATCAGACGACAGAGGTTGGTCTTGGTCAAACGTTGTGTGTTGGAATTGGAGGAGATCCTTTCAATGGGACCAACTTTATTGATTGCTTGACATTGTTCTTGGATGATCCTCATACGGAAGGGATTATCATGATTGGAGAGATTGGAGGTAGTGCCGAGGAAGAGGCCGCAGACTTCTTGAAGAAATACAATTCGACGCGCGAGAAGCCCAAGCCAGTGGTATCGTTCATTGCAGGACGCACTGCCCCACCTGGCCGTCGAATGGGTCATGCTGGGGCTATCATTGCGGGAGGCAAAGGTGGAGCAGATGACAAGATTAAGGCCCTTGAAAGTGCTGGGGTCGTTGTCTCGCAAAGCCCCGCAAAGCTGGGTGTGATGATGCGTGCGGAGATGGAGAAAGCAGGTTTGATTTAAATAAAATAAAAAGGGAGAACTGTTGCTGTTTTTACTGGGGAACAAAAGGAAAATAAATGTCTTTGTTTTTTTTTTTTAGGAAAAAAAATAAAAAAAAAGAAAAACTATGCTTTTGCTATGCAAAACATTTGTTGTCTCCCGCGTGTTTGTTTGATAAAGCGACACGGACCTACAAATGATTACATTATCTGACGGTTTTTTTTCCCATGACAGACATGAAGGAAAAAAAACGGGCAGGCAACAAGATCATTGGCGCTTTTTTTAAATAAAAAAGATGAATACAGATGAGCATAACATTTTTTATACACATGAGAGCGTGTGAAAGTGTTTTTAAGGATATTTGTGGAATGGAGGAGAAAGCGTGAAGATGAAAATTTGGTAATTACGAATAACCATGTTATCCAAAACATCTGCAGTTTATATATCATTTTAGCCCTTTGGCCACGCGCTGGCTGCGGGACCGATTGGATAATAAAAGAAAAAGAAAAAAAATAGACATGATCTCTAGATCAGATGCATGTAGTAAACTGGTCAAAATGTCATATCAATTGTACATGTATATTTTGCATGTTCATAAGAGACAGAGCATGCATTGCATTTATGCTCATCAAAGGAAATGATGATCAACACAAATATTCATCGTCTTATGCCCTTCACATATTTTTATTCAAAGAAGAGAAAAAGCGAGTCTGTGTTTGTTTGTTTGTTTGTCTGCGCAACCACACCCTGTACATCTCTCATTCTCTTCACTCCACATTCATTCGTTTCATTCATTCATATTCGCTCACACTCTTTCATTCTCTCTTTTAATTAACAATTAACCAATCCCTGAACCCTTTTTTCTTTTCTTCCCAAGTCAATCCTTTACTGCTGCTCCAACTGTCTCCCCTTCCGTATCCCTCTCCCCCAAAAAAAAAAAAAAAAAAAAAAAAAACAAGAACGGTATTGCTATTCATTCACACCCATTCATATCTCCAGCTCCTTATCAATAACAAATTAATCAGACTACGAAAGCATGCCTCCTCCTTCAGCTGTGCAAGTTTCTTCCACAAGTTCAACCAATTCCAACCCCACATGCTATCCTACTGCACACCGAGCCATAGATAATTCTGTTCATAGCAGTAGTAGTGGCGCTAATAGAAACAGTCATAGAAACAGCCAAAGAAACAGTATTTCTGGCACAACCATAGCTACTTCTCCTTCTACCACGACTACAACGGCTGCCCATACATCATCTTCTTCCTCTACTACTGTTACTGCTACCACTGCAACTACGACTAGCTCTTCACCAACCTCTCCTGCAGCTGCACTGTCATTTGCGGATCGTATCCGGGCAGCAGAGCATCGATTCACGACCCTGACACAGAACATTGCACACTTCAGCCCCCTCAAAAATCAACTTGATAAACACAACCTGGCGATCGAACGGCTCGAAAATGAAATCAAGAAAAAAGCGGCGCTTTTGCAAGCATGTCAGGATAAAATGCAAGTACAAGTTTCTTTTTTTATCTTTTTTTTTTTTTTTTTTTTTTTTTTCCCTTCTTATCTTTGTGGTTGTCCTACGAATCATCCTAACAAACTGGTTTCTTTGGTACACAATGGCAAAAATAGTAAATCGATCTCAAAACGTCCACAGACCTCATCTCGACAAGGAAGTAATGTCAGTTTACATACTTCGGAGGATGGACAAATGAGGGTATTGTTGGCACAACAGCAATCTGCACGAGAGGTTGTGGAATCCCTTAATGGCCAGCTTCTTGCTGCCAAGATCTTGGTAGGCACTAAAGCATACCTACAAAAAGCTCAATGGCTGTTATCGAAAAAAAAAAAAAAAAAAAAAAAAAAAAAAAAAAGAATGAAGCACGGATGTCGATTGATAGAGATAAGATTCATCACTTGTCAAACCTCGCCCTCCCTTTTATCTTGGAAGTTATTCTTGGTCATTTCCATGAAGTTTTCCCATCGGATGAACACAGGAAAAGAAAAAGAGAGAAACTAGATGGAAAGCACCCCAGAATGAAATTCATTGGAATGTGCTGATGTGTTGTGAACCCTTTTTTTATTTATTTTTTTCATTCCAATCCATCAAACACATGCTTTTGCTTTCTCTTGTGTGTGAAGGAAGGACGATAAAGTGTTGATACTTGATCAATTGACAAGGAGCACAGTGTGTCCCTCCTGTTGGTCCTTATTCAATTTACTTGATCTGGGGATGACGGCCTAGATTGGTTATGACACTTACATGGACATTGGGATTGACATTAATGTTGACTCCATCTATTGTCCATCGTGCTGTTTCCATCATAATACATTCCTCCTCCAACTTCATTTATCGGCCAATCGGATGCAAAACCTCATACCTCACTATTTCTTGAACGCGGTCGATGCACACATTAGCTTGCTACTTGACAACCCTTTTTTATTTTTTATTTTTTATTTTCCTTTGTTTCTTCTTCTTCTTCTTCCACATGGAAAATCAGTTCATTACACAAAACACAAAAACATTCGGATAAGATGGATCAAGTGAGAGAGACGCGTTAGACAACCAAGGGAAAGAAAGAAAAACGCATGTCGCTACTAAAATAGGAATCGTCTTTCTCCCGAATGAACGAAGAGAGTGAAGAAAGATGAAGCGACGAATGCATGCACTGACCCTTCCTTAAACTCATTCTTGATGTAGCATATTGGTCTTACTCGTCAAGTTGCACAATACTTTGAAAGCAGGAGTGAACTTCAAGCACTGTTGGAAGAGGTAAATGTCGTCTTTTTCTTTTTCTTTTTTTTTTTTTTTTTTTTTTTTAGTCTCTCAAAAACGAACCTCAGCCTTCCTTTCTCTTTGCCTCATTATGCTTGAACCATAAAGGCGAAGTGCAGCAATGGGCTCATCGATCGATCGATACTCTTTTTTTTTTTTTTTTTTTTTTTTTTTTCTTTATCGACCTTTTTGTTTATGCTTTTTTTTTTTATTTTTTATTTTTTTTTTTTCTTTCTTAGCTCGTCCAACCTTGGAGTATTTTCAATTCTGTTTTGCTCACTTTTTTTTTTTTTTTTTTTTTTTTTTGACATCTTCCAATCATCCCATAGATATTTTCCGGATCGACACCCGGTAGGTTCATAAATCACAAGATTAGAGGAACAAAAATCTCTCAATTCTCTCTCTAATTAGAGCTTACCATTACTTAAACAACCTTTCTTGTTTTTATAAAAAAACCATCTAGAACATCCTGTTGAAGATACAATGAAACGTGAATTAGAGCAGATCACAGCCGAGATTCAACAAGTAAGGTCTTTTTTAAAAAATAAAAAAAAAAAAAAAAAAAAAAAAAAAAAAACTCCTAAATGATACAATCGGGAAATGTGGCATGGTAAGGAGTCACTTCGCTAATCCTTTCTTTTTTTTTTTTTCCTTTTTTCAAAAAAATAAAATAAAAAAAAGGTCAAAGACGACTTTGAGAGACATCGATCTGCTAAAAGCGAATTCAAGGAGATCAGACGATATGTTGATATCTGGAATGACACTGTCGAGAAGCAGATTGCCTCTAATCCTAAAGACGTTACAAAGTCGCTCAAAAAGTTTGTTCCGTTTTTTGGTCCCAGTAAGTGAAAGCACAAAGCACGTGGCGCTTTTCTTCTTTTCTTTTCGTTTTCTTCCACTTTCTTTTCCAAGATAGACCCCCCAAAACTCTATTTGAAACTAACTCTTTCTTTAATTTACATTGTCATACGTACATGTTATGCTTAAAAAAAAAAAAAAAAAAAAAAAAAAAAAGAACCACCTTCATATACAAAAATTGCCGACACACATATGGCAAATGCCCGTACGTTTGTTCCTACGATCGAAGACATTGGACTACTCTCTGATATCAAAATGGACACGATCGCAGATACATCGAGTGAATTAGTCATTTATACTGCACGCTTCAAGGATGCTTACAATAATTTGTCTCATCAACTGGAAGTCTTGCATAAGAAGAGTCGAGTCTTGAAAAAGAAAAAGAATCAGTGTATTGAGAAGTTGTTTGACGAGCGGTGTAGGATATTCTCAGAACAACTTCAAGCGCATTACAGGAGCGTTGGCGAAAGTCTTGTCGGAGCTGATGCTGATGGGCTAGATTCGGCTTTGATCATGGGCGTTGTTGAGGATGGGACCCTCACGAGCAACGGATCCCATCAGACTATACTGAACAACTCGGGGCTGAGGATGGCGTTACAAAGACAACATGTGGAAGGCAATTTATTGGAACCATATTCATATTCATCAGAAGGAAGCAGTACATTAGGTCTTGATTCTCAGGAGATTTTAGCAGAGTCGGAAGAGTTGCCTTCTTACTTTCAGCATGAGTACGAAGCAAGTGCACATCAACACCAACAGCAGCAGCAACAACAACAACAACAACAACATAGGCATACTCACAGTCGTAACCATAGTCAAAGTCATGGCAATGGTCATAGACGTAACTTCTCATTGGGTTCGCCCGCTCATTCTTCTTCTGCATCATCTTCACTGTCATTGCACTCACCTCTACCAATCCATGCAACTGTGTTAACTACCGATAGTCCACCCGATTATGTACGTGAAGAGCCTGCAGCAACGATAGCAACAGTATCAGGACACAACCACAGTACGTTAGCATCTATAGCTGTTCAGGAGGATGAGGCTGATGCACAGTTCCAAGCCTATCATTCAAGATATGATTCTCGTCAGCGACAAGGCTCCGATCCAAGAACAAGACCACATATTACGACAATGGCCACAATAGCTACAGCAAATGGTGGCGGTAGTGGTAATGGCAGTGGCGCGATGGATATGCCTCCAGAATATGAAGAGACCCGGTACCATACTGCCGTGAACCCTGCTTAGAGGGAGATAGAATAGAAATAGCAGAGAAAAGGACGACAGAGAGAAGCCGTGGCAGAACGCATCGAAATAGTTCGACAACTTTTCTTTCCTCAGGAACAGAAACAGAAATCGAATAGGAAACTGTAAATAGAATATGCGCTTGATTAGTGCTTTTGTTTTTTTATTTTTATTTTTATTTTTATTTTTTTTTTTATAAACTTATCAGCATATATGCATTTTTAGACAAAGCAACACTGAGGAAACAAGAGAATGCCCAATCTGTTAATATGAGGAGCAGCTATTGTGCCAGCCGTGTTAATTAATATAGTTCTCCCATGCCTTGAAATGGCCTTTAGGGTAGACAATAGCCTTTATTACAAACATCTGTGCGGACGAAACTATCGACTGCATTATCTTGATCAATATGCCCCATTAAAAAAATCTCTGGTGCCTTCCTCCTTTTGAGGCCAAGCTAGCGATGTCTTAATCTTTTTGCTTAGGAACCTAAACAGATCTCCTTTACGCCTAACAATACCACGTGAGTGATTGTAACCGCGAATTTTCAACATAACTGCACATGTGCTCCTACAGCATTATTTTTTTTTTTAAAAAAAAAATATATATATCCGTTAGTTTAGCAGCAGCTTAAGATGTTTCTCACTGTCACTTGAAGCAAAAGAGAAGGATCCACCCTATAACCCAGTTTAACTAACCTTGTAGCGGAAGAGAAGCTTCAATGAATCCCCCTCCAAAAACTCCTTAAGTTCATATTTGGTGGTTGGAAGCATGATATCCCCCAATGGTTTTGTTCCAAAGAAACCATCGATGATTTTCATACCATGAACGGTAGCCTTCATTCCATATGCATCAATGAAAATTAGGGTCCGGTCCGGTAAAGCCCATTTACAGACACTACGGTTCAAACTCAATAGCTGTGTGGGGATAGAGTTCGGTCTAGACTGGCTTTCAGAGAAAGGTTTGTGTTCATTAAAAGCATACTCTCGTAGGTACGCATGTCCGGACACCGATCCATCCCTTCCTCTTAGTAACATGATTGTCTTTCTTTCATTATTCAAAACCTGTGAAGGTATAGGACCAAGAGCAATTTCATGAGCCAACATTTCGGCTTTTGTAGAGGTGGAGGCTAGGTCCTTCGTATCAAAATAAATGTCCGTTCCATCGAACAAGATATCCCAAATATGATTCCATAACGAGACACAAGTTGATTCGTTTAACTTGTGAGTTAGTTGTTTGTTCAGAATCATCCTACAGCTTTTTTGTTTTACGGAAGGAAAAAAAAAAAAAAAAAAAAAAAAAAGGAATTAGAAAATAAAGCTGGGTTATAGTTGAGGAACATGAAGTATACATGTACAGTAGATGAACTTACAGATAACGTATGATTTCTAGGGCCTTCTTCTCGATCTGGAAATCATTTTTATCTTTCACAGAATTTCTTCTCTCATGCCTCACTATGGCAGCATCTCGCAATAAGGTCTCTTGAAGCAAGTATTCAACATCAAGGTATTTCTTTGAGAACCTAGAGCAAAGTCGGGACAACACTCGGTTGATGATATTCGAGTCAAGCCTGTCCAGTTTAACTTCGTTTTCGATCTGGGGTAAAATAAGGTAGCTACCGTTTGCGTACGTCAGCGCAATACAAGGGGAAACGATAAAGAACAGAGCTAAGCTTTTTGATGGTAATAATAAGCAGCAATGTAAGAGAGAAAAGGGGATTTTTTTTAAGTAAAAAAGAACGATTTCTCTTAGTTACTGGCGAGACCAAAGCCATGTTCATATTTAATGATTTACTAGATAGCCTCCAACTGTTGTTCCGAGATATGCTTATTAGACAGCTCCTTGTGCGCAAATGCACTCATATAGTGCCAAGCGATATCTGCAGGACGCGGGAGCTTATTTGGCTTTAGCCCATTTTTCTATTAAAGATAAAATAGTGTAACGAAAAAAAAATAAAATAATAAAACGATATTAATAATAATAGAGCTATCAACCCTTCTTTTCTGTTGGTTTATATATATATGAATACACATATCCCAAGGAAGATACTTTGCCTTGTTAATGATGAAGTTGAAATACACAAACATTGTTGAACCTTCGAACAACCGAAAAGCTCCTTCATGTATAGTGTCCCATTCCTGTGATGTTGATGGAGAGAGTAACATCGTCCATAACGTAACCACAGCAATAGTGAGTAGAGCAACAGCTAAAGCCCCATCGTTAAATAAACCCACCCGAAAGAGGATAACTGCTAGTAAGGAAGTAAGTAGGCTTTCATAAAACCGGAAAAGAAAAGCTTCTTAGTAGCCGTCTTACTTTCAGCATGAAAGTTGTTTTTTTTTTAAAAAAAAAAAAAAAAAAAAAAAAAAAACTAATACACATACCTAGGATCATGTCTTCCTGATGGAACCCTTTTCCTCCGGAGGGTAAGACGATTCATACTGAAGGAAGGAGAAACTGTGTACGAGAGAGAATGGAAGTTGTATGAATAAGATGTTTAAAAAAAGGGAAGAAAAGAATAGTCAAAGGAAGAAGGAAAGAAAGCTAAAGCATATTTACATTGTAGGATCGCAGTCTCATTAATCAGTCAAATTGATCGATGATAATAAAATAAGAAAAGGAACGACACGTCTTTGGAACGTTGCATAGAAAAAGAAATATGGATTTCTTCGGGCTTCCAACTTTCTATCATAGTCAATGCTCAAGAGCAACAGATTCCCCATTGGTCCCGTTTACTCCCAGCGGTGTTTGATGGTCTAATGTTATTTTTTTGAGTTGTAGATTTTTTTTTCCTTACCAGACGCGTCTTGTTTTACTATGTGCACGTGCAAGTGACTGGCTTGCGTTTTTTTTTTCCCCAGCATCCATGCTTGTAACTTACTCGAGTGTGTCGAATCAATCGAAACGGACACACAGACCACAGACCGCGCCGCGCTTTTCTTTTCCCTTTCCCCTTCCCCCCCAACGAATAACGCTCCACTTTATTTCCCTCTCCTCTCTCTTTCATAAATCAAAAACCATGCCTATTGCAAAGATCTCTCCTTCATTGCTCTCTGGAGACTTTGGCATCCTCGCTGCAGAATGCAAACGCATGGTCTCTCACGGTGCTGACTGGTTGCACATGGGTAAATGAGTTTTCTTACGATCAAGTCCCTCTTGGAGAGGGAGAGAGAGAGAGAGACAGAGAGAAAAAAAAAAAAAAAATAGAACGTCAATATTCAACTGACACTATCGATCTGTTTTTTTACTTTTTCTTTTTCTTTTTCTTTTTTTCTTCTTAACTAACTAGATGTCATGGATGGGTAAGGCGAGCTTTCTCTCATCTCTTGTATACAATCAACCACAGTTATTGCTCGTAATATCAGCTCTAATGCTTTCCTCACCAACCTCCGTACTTGTTATTACATTTATCTTTTGTGTGGAATACAATCGATCCGATAACACACAAAAAAAAACAAAAAAAAAAAATATATATTCCGTTGGGTTCAATTGAAACACTCTCTCGACAGTCACTTCGTTCCCAATATTACCATTGGCGCCCCAGTGATTTCCTGCTTGTCTAAACACCTGGATGCTTTTTTGGATTGCCATATGATGGTATCCAACCCTGAGAAATGGGTCGACGATTTCGCCAAAGCGGGTGCATCTCTTTATTGCTTCCATATCGAGGCCACCAATGATGCCTCCGCATTGATCGACAAGATTCATGCTGCAGGTATGAAGGCCGGTGTGGCTGTCAAGCCCAAGACACCCATCTCAACTGTCATGGAATTGGGTCATAAGATGGACATGTGTTTAGTCATGACAGTCGAACCCGGTTTCGGTGGACAACGTTTCATGGCAGAATGTATGCCTAAAGTCAAGGAACTTCGGGCCAAATTCCCAGAACTGGATATTGAGGTGGATGGTGGCATTGCTTTGGAAAACATTGATAAGGCTGCAGAGGCTGGCGCTAATGTCATCGTCGCAGGAACCTCCATCTTCAAGGCCGAGGATATCACTGGAACCATTGAGACCTTCAGGAAAAAAGTCAACGAGGAGCAGGCTTTATTGGCAAAGAAATAAGGGGAATAAATATGGAAATGAAGTTTACAAGGACAGAGAGGATATGGTGTAGAGAATAAAAACAAAATAGAAAAAAAAAAAAAAAAAAGTTGATATTTTGTTGCTATGGACTGGAAACTTTTTTTTTTTTTTTTTTTTTTTTTTTTTTTTTTTTTCATTGCCATTTGCCTTCTACAAAGGAATCTAGACTTATAATTTTATTTTATTTCTTTATTTCCTATCCTTTAACCAGAAGACCAAGAGAAAAGAAAAAAAAAAATTATCGATGATGATGTGAATATGTGGATAACGACAACAAATTATTTTCCTCAGTCGTGCAGATACAAAATGCAAGTCAACAAGCATTTTCTAACCTGTATGATAAAGGCTCCTTGTTTTCTGGCTTGTGTATAGTGAGGTAATCAAGCTTCATAGTAATAACCATATTCATCCTCATAATCATACTCATCGTCGTCATCAAATGTCCAGGCGTATATATCCACGTCTTCATCAGGATCGTTAATATGATCGTGATTGTGATCGAACTGCTGTTGGTTTTGATGAAACATCTCCTGTGCCGATTGAAGGTCTGTCGTAAGTTGTGAGAGCTGCAATAACAATGCTCGGAAGCTTTCTATATCCTCCACGCTTGCTGATGCCGAGGCATCTCCCAGCGCATCCATTAATATTTGGCGTTCTCGCCAACTAGTACTGTTGGTGTTGCTGTTTCTGCCATTACTTCCATATCGAAAAGGTCGAGATCTGCGCGCCGTTTGACGTTGACGTTGTTGTTGTTGAAGTCTTGGGTTTGACTCCGGATTGACCTTACATGGCTCCCCATTCTCGTCAAGATGAGCGAAGAAACACCCATCACCAAAGGGACACCAATGCTGTTCGGCAGATCGTTCGAAATACTTGCATTTCTTCCGACCTGCAGCCTCCTTGTAGTTTCGAATGATGATCTCTTTTTGTTCTGCACATGTGGGGAAGAAGGATGATGGGACCACATAAAGTGAAGGTGTACGACAGTTCGGGCATGCTTTTGTCACCGAGGCAGTATTCTCAGCACCGAAAGGTCTGTTTTCATTGAATTCCGCTGTCACTTCCTTGGATCGCCAGGTGCGGATACATGTCAGGCAAAAGGCGTGATTACAGGACACTATAACACATTTAAAAAAAAAAAAAAAAAAAAAAAAAAAACCCTCCCAAGGTTGATTAGATAGAGCCCATGCTTTTTTTTTTTTTTTTTTTTTTTTTTTGCAAGCCTTTTTCACAATGTTATTTTTCATAATTATAAAGATATTGGTAACTCTGGGGAAAAAAATCATTATTTTTGGTATCTGCATTACCAAGCAACCCAAACGTAGTTGGTTCCTCAAAGCAAATTGCACATCGCTGCTCGTCATCATCATCAGTGTTGTTGCTGTTGCTGTTTAAAGCGTTCTGTCCTCCACGCGTTGAGCTATTTAAATGCCCTGCAGATGTCCCCACTGCTGATGAGGTGATAGTAGCTACAGAAGCAGAAGCTGTGGTGGTTGTGGTAGTTTCTTCCTCCTCATCATCGCTCAGGTCAATCGTATCTCGCTGTGCTCCATAAATGACTGCGCGGTCATGGGAAAACCAGCACGAATCTCCTCGAAGACAGTATCCAGACATGTACCAATGACAGGGACGGTTTGCAGCATACGCAGGACGAGCTGTTGCTGTTGAAGTAGACGGTGATTCTGATGAATTTTCTAATGACGTTGACGATGTTGAAGGTTCTACAGCTGCAGCAACAGAAATCGGAGCAGGTGCGGAGAATGACGACGATAAAGACGAAGATGAAGAATCAAATGCAGGCTCTTCATCAAGTTCCTCTATCCCGGTGATATCTGCCATGGTAGAAGCAGGGATTGATGAAAACCCTTCGTGATAGAAACGACATAGGATTCCGTTCCTACAGTTGCCTGCCAAGAAGAATCGACATGGTCTACGCTCCATTGTTTATACCAACTCTTTCTTTTTTTTTTTTTTTTAGTAAGAAAAATAAACTGAGAAATGAATCCTGCTGTTGACTTGAGGAGTGATGCGAAGAGAATGAAGAGCAATGGGCAAAACAAAAGATGATTTGTCAAGAAAGACAAAGACACAGAAACTAGAATATAAGAAAGACAACTGTCTGTCAATTCTGTCTTTTGTTTTATATCGGCGGCGCCTTAGTGGTTGGAGCATGTGTCTGTGCTACTTGGAAAACGAACGCCACCCCTTCTCGACACCAAAAAGGGTCTATTCAAAAAGTTTATCCTTTGTGCTAAGGCAAAAGGCTATCCTTCCTTGTTCTTGTTCTTTCGATAAACATAAACATGTAGCAACAGACCTTGATAGGAAAAATAAGCATACTGCTTTTATATATATATATATATATTTATTTATTAGAAACCTGGTTAAAGATGGAACCATATGAAAGAAAGAGATATTGAGATAATGCAATGGAATTAATTAAGATTTGGTGTGTGTGACTATGCAAAGAATAAATAAGTTTTGTTCTACTTGGGTTCAACAGTACTCGAGATCTCGGATGCATTCTCCTTCCCTGGCTCTTCCTCAGGCATGGCAATGACTGGCCTCACAGGTAATGCCCAGGCACAGACACAGCAAACCAGTGTGATTGCAAAAGTAATCCAGCAGACAATCCTCCAGCCATGCATAAAGGAATCCAGGTATTGAACATCAATACCACCTCCATAGATGAATAGCTCCTCCACGGCTGCTGGCGGCATACCTGCAATAATGATCTTGAAACAGATCACAATAGCAATCATTTGTGATAACATCGTAAACATGATGCGGAGAGAAGATGACGAGGCGCGCTGTTGGGGAAGAATACACAACATCGAGATCGAGGCAGATGGTGAAGAGTAGAGACCCCAGCCGAGACCGTTGACGAGCAAGAGGGCGGAGATAGCCCAAGTATTGGTATCAGGATGAATGACCAAGGGCATGATCAGAGTGGTTACAGAAGCGAGCGCAAGGCCTGCAAAGCACAGATATCGGAACCCAATCGTATCCGCCAACTTGCCAGAGGGCATACCCGCAAGCATGATACCTAAACCGAAAGGGATCAAAAGAATACCGGCCATCAAAGGATCCTTACTGTATGGGCCTTGGAAAAAGAAGATAAAGGAGAATGTCAAATTCGTTCTCGCCACACCCCCAGCAAGGCCTCCCAGGACAACAGTGTTGTTGAAGACCGAGTTTGTAAAGAGACGGAAATCCATGAAGGAAGGGGTCAGCGCATTGAAACGCTTTCCACCACGGACAAATGCCTGTTGAACTATAAAGACAATAAAGAGGACGCCAAACGCAACGCCCATGCCGACTAAAGAGCCTGTCTCTGAGACTTTGCCGTTAGGGAACAAGGCGCTAACTACAACTACAAACAACAATGAGATGCTAGTAGTCAAGCTGACAAAGCCAGTGTAATCAAAGGATTTGACAATCTTGCTGAAGGACGCGTACTGGACATGAGAGTAGATCGTGTCGTGACAGAACCAGAACCCAGCGATCGTTCCAACAGCCCCAAAGGGTACGTTGAAGAAAAAGACCCATTTCCAACTGGCGTTGACAGTGGCACCACCAATGACAGGGCCAAGGATCGTTCCAGCAGCAAATGCAATGTTGATAATACCACTGGCAAGACCGACTTGGTTGTATGGGTAGAATTTGTCAGCAACCACAGCAAAGCAGTTGGCGAACAACAATGCTCCCCCTAGACCTTGGATGACACGATAGGCGAGAAGATCGTATCCACTATACTTCTTTTGAGAAATGCCACAGAGAAGAGACCCCACAGTAAAGACTAAGAAACCAATATTAAACATGCGGCAACTAAAATTACACGTTTTCCAAAGTGAAAACATGTGGAAACAAAAAAAAAGGGCGTTAGAGTTGCCCCGCGGAGGAAGAACACGTTGCTGGCACGATGAACTGATGTTGGTGCCGCAAGCAGAGTGAGCCCTCTTTCAGCCGCAATTTATTATTTGCATGAGATTGGTCAACCAAAAGCACTTACCGAATTCCTTTTAAGCCAGCATCACCAACGTAACCGAGGAAGGGTACAGTTGCTGTGATGGCCAAAGTGTAGGTCAAAAGAACCCAAATGATTGTAGTAAAATTGATCTTTTTTTTTTTTTTTTTTTTTTTTTTTAAAATCAAAAGGTGAGATTAGTATTCGGGTAAATTTGTAACTGCCTGCTTCTCTTTCAAACAAAAACATTATTTGGCATACATTAAGATGCTTCATCAGATCTGGCAGAGCTACAATCAAGGCAGAGCCTTGCAAGGAGACGAACAAGGCCCCCAGAGTGGCAGTTGCGAGGACGATCCAGCGCCTAGAAGGAGGCTCCATCTTCCTGGCTTTAGCCATCTCGATATCAAGAGCCGCTTGCTCCTTTGTCTCGTGCTCTGCCTCGTAGCGCAGGTTCTCGGCGATTGTATCCGAGACATTGGATTCAGCAATACCGACTTCGGCCTCCGCAACATATTCTTGTTTATCGGCCATATTATTAAGATGAAACTACTTGTGTATAATAGGTACTTGAGGCGAGGTGTAGTATTAAGAAGAGGCAATCTAGGGAGACAAGGAAATAGCAATGCCTCACAGACGACAAGTGTACAAAGACTTTTTTTTTTTTTTTTTTTTTTTTTTCCCTGTATAAAAATTTGATGCTATAATACAACACCAGCAATTATATAGAAAGGGACGTAGAGATTACTGTTTGGGTCAATGTCAAAAAGCAAGGAAAGGAGGAAGAATGGAAAAGAAGAAAAGAAGAAAAGAACGAACAGACCACTTTATATGAATTATGAATCTTTGAAAATGTCAATAAGAGCCAAGCGATAGAACTTTTCGACCGGGTAACAGTCGAGTATTGATTGTTGTAATTTGTAATGCTGTGATGAAGAAAGAGAAAAAAAAGCACAAAAGTAATGTCAACAAAGGGCGGGTATAGGTCTACCCGGATTGCAAAGCTGTATACTGTACAATTGACATGGTCCTTTATTGAGTAACAACAAATAACATGAACACCTTTTCCTTTGTTTGGCATTGAATAAGGATGAGATAGGCTACTGAATGGATAAATAATGTAAATAATGTAAATAAAGGAAAGCGAGAATGGAGTCCATGCGACCCAACTACAGCCCAATTCAAACAAAAATGTGGCGTGTAGAAGGAGGATGGACCTTAATCGCTTCTTTTTCTGCTTTTTTCTTAATCTAAAAAGCCTATCGGTTCCACAAAAAAAAAAAAAAAAAAAAAAAACAAAAAAAAGAGCTGAAAGTGATCGAAGGGTATTGAAGCGGCTCTACACCTCCATACAACGTTAATGTTAAAAAAAAGAGCTGAAATACTCCATCTAACCCTCATGCTTATTAGTCATTACTGTTGTTACCGTCTTTGAAAGTGCAATAACTCAGAGCACAACCAGCTTCTTTTTGTTTCTGATTTTTCTTTAGATAAATTGTTATTGTTGATATTGGTGTTGTGTTTGTGTAATCATTGATTGCCATGGATATATGTTATACCGTGTACACGAGTTTATCCACTTCCTAAAGAGTCTAAAAACACTTTGATCTCTTCACACAACAAAACCTCCCTTTTCAAGGAGCAAGCATGCATTCTTCGCATCACCTTTCGCCTTTTAATTAGTTTTATTTTACTTTGAATATATCTATTCTACAGACATCGCACTCTGCCATTTGAGGACTAAAACCACAACTTCGATCTTAGAAACATTGGCCCACTAAATCTCTGTTGAAAATAAGGGGCCTCTCCGAGGACAAAGAGTGACAAATGTGAGCCATAAGGAGGCAACAAAGAGATGCAGTGGAGAAAAGGTGAATGAGGGAAGTGGTCTTTGTACAGTCGAGCAAAGACAAGACGTAATGATTCTATCATTTGCGACGAATTCACATCGCTTTTTAGCCAGTGTGTGATATTACAGCCATGATGTTGATGGCAAAATGAACCGAATGTCATTTTAAGGAAAGGAGTCCTTAGTGACAAATAACGCCACTAATTTTATTGAGGAAACTACACGTGAAGTTTTCTAAAACTTTTTTTCCAATGCCCTGATCCCTCTCTTCATAACCACATTCGGTCTCTCGAACTCCGCTCATCCTAAACAAAGAAGGTGGCATTTCCTGAGATGAGTAAAGTAGCAACCAAGAAAATATGGTTGATAATCAAGAGCAGTCAGAAGCAAAGGAATGAATACATTTCTGAATTGGAACACCACCACAAAAGACTTCACCCCTGTCTGTTCAATGCAAGGTAACAAAGGTATGAATGCGAAAGGAAGCCGCGGCCATACTCGATATACAGCATGTACCATTAAGGAGTGAATCACAAATAAAATCAATTTTTCAATACACTCGTCAACCGATACACAGTAAAATCAGGTTCAGGTCCAAAGGTGATTTCTATGTGGCCCCCCCTCCCCTCAATCCAGGCCAATTAGAGCCCATATATTCCAAAAGTCTTCATGTTGCATCCATTTAACCCACCAATATCACTTCTCGGACGTTTGACAGTAATTCCGCTGACTTGGTTACAGTGACCTCGATGATTCAGTTAGACATATCGAAATCAAAATCAGGATCACGACGATATCATTGGTAATAGGGACAAAAAAAGATTAAATAAAGAGAAATGCAAAATGAAATGGGATAGATTAGTGAGCTTGATCTCCCTTTTTCTCTCTATATCAAAATAATAGACAACTGAGTATCAAGGCCAAACATCACAAAGAAGCAAGTGGAGGCGTCAAAGAGGGGAGAAAATGAGGTTGATGTTCGATGGCTGTGTTAAATACCACGTGATACACAAAATTTTCGCGTTTGTTTACGTTTACGGGGCAGTGGTATAAAAAGCAATGAGGAATGATCATTGTTCCATCCTTTCACAACTTGTTACAATGGCTGCTCTCTACTCGGTCACCGTAAAGGACATCAACGCTCACGACTTCAACCGCGCCTACGCCGCTTACCTTAAGCGGTGAGTAGTTTTTTTTTATATTTTTTCTATTTGATTCTGGAGAGGCGAGACCAAAGATCCAAAAATCATGATCAAAGGATGAATAAAAAAGAGGCGAAATAGGATTTATTTAGGATTGCGCTGCAGAGAGTTTTTTTTTTTATAATCGACGATTGATTTTGCAATCAGAACTTTCAGAACTCTAATCCTATTGCCGGCAATTTTTTTTTTTTATCCTTTAGCTCTGGCAAGCTCGAGATCCCCAAGTGGGTCGATCTCGTCAAGACCGGCACTAACAAGGAGTTGGCCCCCTATGACCCTGATTGGTTCTATATTCGTGCTGGTAATGACCCACTCCTCTCTTTCTTATGGACAAGCTCATTTTTAGACAGGGTTGCATCACAAATCAAAAAGAGTAGCAGGGATTTCAGGACTGCAACCATCTCATCTACATGACGAGGCATCTTTGACATCTTATTCAGCAAGCGGAGGCTTATCAAACACACATACAGAAAGATGAATCTGAATTTAAATCTTATATCTCCGACATGCTATGGAATACACGAAACGATGAGGCATCTCAAAAACTACAGCATCACAAATCTTACACTCCATCACTTTTGAAAAAAAAAAAAAAAAAAAAGGTCATGGATGCGGTGTATATTCATTTCTACAATTTCATACGGATATGGGCTTCTGACACTATATATTCATTCTCATCTGAAGATATGAAGGAACTCCCAGACATATATGAATTTGGCCCAACATTAAGATATCGAAAATATATTTTACATTGGAGCAAAAAAAGAAAAACAAAACCAGCAACGATAACAACAACAATAAAGACCGCCGTATACTTATTGATCGTGCAACACTACTCTTGATAATAACAAAAAAAAAAAAAAAAAAAAAAAAAGCAAAATTGCTAACAGGACAACATTATTTTTATGGGTAATCTCTTTGACTGTCGGATTACAATAGCCAGCGTTGCCCGCCACATCTACCTTCGCCGTAGCGTTGGTGTTGGAGCTCTTAAGAAGCTTCACGGCGGTACGGTGAACCGCGGTTCCCGCCCTTCTCACCATGTCAACTCTTCCGGCTCAGTTGCCCGCAAGGTCCTTCAGGCCTTGGAGAAGATCAATGTCTTGGAGGCCGATGAGAACGGGTAAATGAAACGCTATTCTAATTTTTAGACTTTTGATTGCCTTCCTTTTTCTTTGAAGGATTTCTAATGTTAACTTTTTTTTTTTTTTTCTTTTCCTACTCATTCCTCCTTTTTTTACGAATGACAGTGGCCGCAAGATCACCGTTGATGGTCAGCGTGATTTGGATCGTATCGCTGCCTCTGTTTACCAAGCTCAGCAGTAAAATAACGATTTATCAAACAAAGAATAAATCCAGAATTACAAAAAAAAAAGAAAAGAAAAGAAAAGAAAAGGAGGACTCTATTAGTGTCTTGAAGTTTAGTAATGGACACAATGTTAATAGTTGGTGATGTACTACAGTCGTATTTTATGTAGTGTTAAATTAGCAACATCGGCTTTATTGTTTGCAGGGGTTCTACCAAAGGTAAATGAGCCTCACAAGGCAAAGCGCTAGACTGGTGCGACCGCCACTGGTCGTCCGTCTAGTCGTATATAAATTACACCCAGTCTCACTTTTTGCACATCAGGGAACACTGTAATTTCAATGCGGTCAAGGTTGTGTTTGTCTTGAGTGCCTTTGACAGCGCCAGAGCCCCCTCCACCCCAATTGAGTTGCTCTCCAAACTCAAGATGGTCAGACCTACGTTATCCTCGAGCGCCTCTGACAGCGCCAGCGCTCCTTCCTTGTCAATCCTGTTGATTTCCAAGTTCAAGGTGGCCAACGTTGTATTAATCTTGAGTGCTTCTGATAGATACAAAATTCCTCCATATAGAATTGAGTTGAAATCCAAGATCAATGTGGTCAACGCCGTGTTAGTTTTGAGTGCCTCTGACAGTGCTTTGACTGCCAGACCCCCAATTGAACTATACCTCAAGTTCAATGTGGTCAGGGTCGTGTTAGCCTTGAGTGCCTTTGACAGTGCCACAATCGCTTTATCCCCGATTATTTTGCAACTAAAGTCTAAAGAGTCAATGTCGTATTTGTCTTTGACAGTGCTAGAGCTCCTTCTCTTCCGAATGAGTCGTACTCCAAGTCCAAAGTAGATAAGGTCGTGTTAGTGTCGAGTGCCTTTGATAAGGCCAGGATCCCTTCTTTCCCAATTAGATTGCCCCTCAGGTTCAATGTGGTCAAGGTCTTGTTAGCCCCAAGTGCCTCCGATAATGCAAGAGCCCCTTCTTTTGAAATCGAGTTGTGCTCCAAGTTCAAGGTGGACAAAGCCATATTAGTCCTAAGCGCCTCCGACAATGCCAGAGCTCCTTCATTCCCAACTGAGTTGCCCTTCAAGCTTAAGGTCGTTAAAACTGTGTCCGTCTTAAGTAAATTTACAAGTAATTGAAAATTACTAGCTCCAATCCTTTGAGGTTTCATCTCAATAGTTAACTTATGAAGGTCTGATGACCTTTTGTGTTGTAAACTGGGGATCTTCATGAGATTGGGAGGTAGGACAATATGGATCGATCTTATCTTGCTAAGCTCTATGATACGAACAAGTGCTTCATATCGCGAGGATGTTGAAAGTAGTTTCCACGATGCTTCTCGAAAACGTCCAAGCTCAAGTCGAAGAATCGATACACTTGACGTCATTAAGGCGTTCACAAATGCTTCAAGGTCAGTCTTGGACCAGTCCCAGCTGAATAAGATATCCAACTCGTAAATACGTCTTGCATTGGCCAGCGCATTAAAGAATTCTCCAGCTCTGGTTCTGGACCTCAATGTGATAATTGCTCTACCAAGATATGAATCATATTTGCCACCATTCATCACCACTGCATTTTCAAATGCTTTCTGTTCCTTCTCCCTGTATGTCGAACGATAGTGCTCGAAACAAACCCATTTGACATGGCCTGTTTCGGTCGTGATCCTGTACAAGTTGCCAAGTTTCCTGTCCTCATCGTTGATTCGAAGAAATGTGCCCAGCCGTCGGAGATCAGCTCCTTCAAGTGCCTCATAGTCATCAATTTTATTCATGTTGTCCAAGATTGGATACTCCTTAGAGAGCATTTCCATATAATTGATTGAATGATTTAGAGCGGCATCGAGATTTGGGATTGGTGTTAGAGAAGTAGCCAAGGGCATTCCCGCTTTAAGGAAATGTAAAAGGATGAGCATGTATTTCCCATACTTGCGAAAGAACTCTCTGTTATCTCGGACTTCATATCCCTCATGTTTTATGGATTTGGTTCTGGCTGCTCTTGCTTGTCTCTGCAGTGTGATCCCCACACTCACATAAGAAATGAAGACGGAACTTGTTCCCCAAAACATTCATTGGATCCCATTTGGTGCTGTCGACAGGCAGAATTATAAATAGTCGAGGAATTGGATACTCGTGTAGCTCAAAGTTCTGGACGAGGATAGCATCAGCATACTTTTGAAGGGTGGCAAGTCTATCGAGAGCCTGTTGTTGTAAACTAATTATCATTTCATCCTTCTCTTTAGCCTCCAATTGCGATTTAAGCATCTCGTCGCCCCTCCCTTTGACCTCCAGCAGCAACTCTTTAATTTGGTCAAGGCTTATCTCGTTATTACGAATAGTAAGAGATGAGTTGGATGATTGAGCCGAGTCTGATAATGATAAATTAGAGTCCTGAGAAACCGGATTTAGCGACTTTCTCGATATTGGTAAATGGATGACGGTGTCGCTGTTGTTGTTGCTGTTGTTGTTGCTGTTGTTGAGCTGCGGTTTTCTTGTAATGACGTCTAGAATCTTGTTAGGATAGAATGCAATGCGTGGAGGCTCGATTCTAACAAGATAAAAACATCTGTCAAATTGGCTGTCTCATTTTTCTTTCTAAAGCAATTGATAAGGCATGGCATGATAAATAATATACCTACCTGTTGCCATTAGAGTCTATAAGAAACGGGATGGGATGTCCATCCAATTTGAATCACAGTGCATCCGGAAACACGTCTCGAATGTCTTGCAAACTCACGTAGAATGACGAGTCGCCATTGCTTGTGGAGGTGGAAGCAGTTCTGACACAAACTTCTTCAATGATGTTGTCGCCTGCCTCTCGGAATTGTTGGTATTGATGTTCTGTCATTTCGGTGATAAATGGATGGAGGAGGAGGACAAGATGAAAGATTTTCTCATTTCTCTATTTGTCCGAGGGAGAGGGCCGACAACTTCGCCATTCGGAGCACAATTGTCTTTCGCTTCGCTCCTCCAACTCGCATCCAATATGGTTGAGTGATCCTTTGTGACCTTCGGCTGAAGGCATAGTCTTTGTTGGGAACGTCAATGTCTTTGTACATGTAGGTCCTACTCGAACAATATTGACAACAGGATGACAGGTTCGACTTGACCAACATGCCCCTTTTTGAGGGTGAGCTGCAATATCTATTTGCAATATTGTAAATAGGACACCTTGCCAACCAATGATTGTTAGAGCTTATTGCGAAAAAAAAAAAAAAAAAAAAAAAAAACGGAAGCTGCTACCTTTGAAGAGAGTTTTCCAAGGCCATTGCCAATTATAATACAATTTTGTTGGATGCTTTCTACTTACCTCCATCGCTCATTCTCGAATAGGAGGAGTGTGTAAAGTATATATGATGGTCAAACGTTCAAAGAAGATTAAACACAATGGACATTTTTGCCCATTGATGTGTCCATAACCATCTTGAGGGCTTCGTTACGGGCCATCGTCTTACTGATCCGACCTCAGTGGGAGCGCGTTGATTGCATGGAGTAATGAAGAGCCCGAGTTGAACTGGAGATAGTAAACGTAGTCTTGTTCTAGCACGAGCACTTTAGCGTTTAAAAGAACATGCTTATTTTTTCCCTTTTGCGCAGTGGCAGAACAACACAACCAAGACGCCGCGCCGAGCTTTAAAATCTTAGTCACAATGCATGTGTTTAATTTTTGTTTGTTGGACCGCAGCATCTTTCAATGACGAGGTGAAATGTCATGGATGCCAAGAGTAGAAGGATGCCAAGCTAAAATCTGCGGTAAATGGTCTACCTAGCAATGGATTGTTAAGGATCCGGGTAGGTTTTTTATTTCGTCTTCGTATAAATACTTCAGCACTCTTTCACATTCTACTGATCATCATCCTAGAAAGCCAACTCAATAATTCATAGAATCTTCAGAGAAAAAAAAAAAAAAACACTTCATAATCGCTATCCTTACAACCATTATAACAAACCAGAACTTTTGCACCAAAACAATGCCTCTCTTCAAGTCCAACAAGAACAGGTCCAAGTCTGCGACTTCTACTCCGGTGCAGACTCCTCGCTCTTCCATGCAGGCACCACGCTTTAATCAGTCCAGCAAGATGACCCGTGACGAAGCCCTCAAGGCCCTCATGACCAATTCGATGAGCAACCTCGCAAGCCCAGGTGTTATTTAGAACATAAATTAGACCTCAAGTTCTTTTGCGTTTCGATACCCGTTTCTCTCTCTCTTTTTCTCTCTCCATTTTTTTAATAGTATACTTGCAATTACATATTAGCATTAATACGATAATAATAAATTATATAATATGTAAAAGATGTCTTTCATTCATTAGTCTGTAAGCAAGCAGCGGCTGTAGTACCAATGATGAATGGTTTCAATTGAAATGCTCGACTGTACGTGGGAATGTGGACCTGTGTCCCATAATTTTAAAGATTTAAAACCTTCTCAGAGCGTTGTTTTACATTTTTCGATTGCTGGCATGCACCTATTCTTTGTTCAATTTTTTTTTTTTTTTTTATTCTTCTCGTGGCACAGTGTATGGTAATACATTGCAAAACATGAGTTGGTGGGTGCGGAACGGCGGCCGATGTTCTTGAATTCATGTACTCTTATGAATGAAAGAAAGAAAAAAATTGCTCCGTTATGATCGTTCTTGTTCTTCACTAGCTTGTTCCATTTCCTCGGGTCGGATTCTTTTTTCTCTTCTTTTTCTTGTAACAAATCTAGGATTCATACTCAAGGCAAATCCTAAGAGCATAATTTTCTTCTGTACTGAAGAGGGAGAACAAGGGAAAGAAGAAAGGACTGTACATGGGATAACAAAAGGGACAAGTATATATTAAGGAATGGTTCATTGTCCATATATCAAAGCATCTCAAGCATCAAGCGAATCACATGCCTCTATCTTTCAGTGCTTTCCTAGCGATGTCACGTCTTTTATGTCTACGAACCCAGCAAAGTTTACATCAAAATCCGCGCAAGTCCAGACTCCTGACAATTAATCAAACCACCAAAGCTGTTGACATTACAGTCAAGATCATGGAAAAGTCCGAAGTTTCCGGTCTCATGTTGTTGAGTATCCGCCAATCTTGCTCATTGTGTAGGAATGGGCGCGCGCGCAGCAGTCCGCTGTTATCCAAGCTTAAATGTCCAGTATTTAAAAACAATTCAATATCACATCGCCCCTCCTGTATTCCCTTATTTATTCATGTCTGCCAACATCTCAACAAACCGAGACATTTAAGTGTGTGTTCAAGCCTCTAGCTACTTTGTTTTCTTCCTTTTTGCCTACCTTTTTGGTTCACCGATGAGCCAATTACTATAACATTTAGGATGGACATATTTGATAGCAACATTCACGCTGCCTACTTAAACTTTAGTAGACTCATATTCTCATTCCCAATGCTTATCGTGTGTTAACGAAATAACGCCATATCGTAATCTGTTAGGATCAGAGCTGAATCTTGTATGTCCAGAACATATTAATTCATTGTTTACATTTCTTTCTAGTGTATTTATTCAGGAAACAAAAAAAAAAAAAAAAAAAGCCAATCAACCAATCAACAAAAGTTTATAGCTATGAACCAAGAATGCTGTCTCAGGGCTGGCAAATGTCTGTCTCAGAAGAGCATGCGCAAATGATCTTTGGCCTTACTCCTTGAAAAAAAGAAAAAAATAAAATTCAGGCACTCTTTAGCTTCTAAAGTAGGAATAGATCAAGGAACAAGATGGAATTTGTGTTTTTTATTTTATTCTATTTGAATATATCTATTCAATGCTGATACAGAAGGAACAAGAGTAAGTTTTTTTTTTTTTTTTTTTTTTACTTGATTATATCTGTTCAATATACATACACCAATGTTAAAAAAAATATGTACATGTACATGTAGTTAAACGGCGATCTAAGAGATCCAGAACAGCCGATAATTTTTTCTTTAATTCTTTTTGTACAAAAACCACCTTGTACGCCTGTCACGTCTTATACATGTAACAATAGAGAGAGAGCACATTCATGTACATAATCGTTCCTATTGTTCTATCTTACTATAAGGTCTTCTCGAGAGCATGAAAGCCACCTTAAAAAAGGCAGGTACATAGACTTACCACAGCCATCTCCGTGAAATGTGCGTAGACATCAGAAACCAATATGAACCATGGGCCTCAGTCCGAGACACAGCGCAAGGATCAATGCACGGCGATAATAAAATTCTAATCCTGTTTTCTAAAACCATCCATGCATCTGTGCATGCTCTCTTTTGCTTGTTTTGTGAAACAACAAGTGTCTGTGCACAAATCATTTTTGCCTGTTGAATAATCAGCCAATGTGTTACTCGTACGAGAGCCATGTAAAAAATAAAGTTTTCAGGGCGGACACTTTGGTTTTGGTGCGCACGTCCACCACTTTGTAGAACTTTTGGTTCCACACTCTGTACTCCCTACACACAATTTCTGTCGGCATGTTTCTCATGGGAGGCAGCACAAATCCTCCGTTGTAGAACATCTTGTTCCTTGTTCCCACTAGATTGGACCAAATGATCGGATTAGCAACAAAAAAAAATTCAGAAAATATGCGTGCGTCCAAGAAACATCCCGTTGCACAACAGCATGCAGTATGCACGGAGACACCCTCGTGGTAACCAAAGTAGATCTTCATTGAACTTGTGTTTCTGGCCTCCCCTTCCTCTCTTCCTTTAGGACCACTTATAAAAAGGACACATTTCCCTCCCAAATTTTGTTCTTCACTCAAGCAGTCTTCTCCAATTCCCTCCAACTCCATCTCAAGCAAAAGAAAAAAAAAAAGCTTTCCAAGCTAACTTTGCTCTTCTCACTCTTACACATACTCCTTTTTTTTTATTCTTTATCCTCTCACTCTCACAACCACACTTGATACCTTTAATTATAAAAATAAAAATGAAAATCCAAACTACTCTCCTTTTCTCCATCGCTGCTTCCATCGCCGCTGTTCAGGCTCTTCCTATTAAGCCTGAAGCTCAATATGCAGGTGGCCAACGTTATCGCCCCGTGATGAACATTGAGCAGGAGGCTGCTGAGCCTGAAGCTCTGTACGCTGGCGGCAGTCGCTATCGCCCAGTCATGAATATTGAGCAGGAGGCTCAGTACGCTGGTGGCCAACGCTACCGCCCAGTCATGAACATTGAACAAGAGGCTACAGAACAAGAAGCCCAGTACGCAGGTGGTCAGCGTTACCGCCCCGTGATGAACATTGAACAGGAGGCTGCTGAGCCTGAAGCTCAGTACGCTGGTGGCCAACGCTACCGCCCAGTCATGAACATTGAACAAGAAGCTACAGAACAAGAAGCTACAGAACAAGAAGCCCAGTATGCTGGTGGCCAACGCTACCGCCCAGTCATGAACATTGAACAAGAAGCTACAGAACAAGAAGCCCAGTACGCAGGTGGTCAGCGTTACCGCCCCGTGATGAACATTGAACAGGAGACTACTGAGCCTGAAGCCCAGTACGCTGGTGGTCAACGTTACCGTCCCGTCATGAACATTGCGCAAGAAGCCACAGAACAAGAGGCTCAGTTCGCTGGCACAAGTCCCCCTCGCCCTGTCACAGCAGCATAAATGAGAGTATCAACAGCAACAACAACAGCAACAACAGCATCAGCAACATTAATTACGGCGACACCTATTACTCTTATTTATTGCAAAAAAACTTCTTAATAGAGGATGAATGGGGTCCTATGAGAAGCTGGACCTTCTCGAATTCCCACTATACCACATCTGCCATAAACATAGTCCTACTTTTTCCAACATTAATAATATAGTCTTTTCATAATAAATATGTTCTTCAAAAAAAAAAATTCTTATGTGTGTTTGTACAAGATAAGGGCTTGGTATCAAAGGCATAAAGACAGATAGTCAGGTAAATAGTTTAACAAGTGGAGAGAGAGAGAGACAAGGAAGAGTAAGGAAAAAAAAAAAAAAAAAAAAAAAAAAGTGTTGTCTGTGAGAGACTGTGTCAGAGATGGAACTGTGCACTGTGACACAGTCAATGCAATGATATTGACTTTTTTATTTTATTTTATTTTATTTCTTTCGTTTCCTCATATTTATTGCTGAAGGGGATGGGTGAGATGAATGAGTGTTGGAATGAAACATGCAAATTGAAAAGATTGCAATGACAAGGTGAATATCCTCATTCGCTCGACATGTGTTTGACACCACAGTCAACAAAAGACATACCATCACAGCCATGTTGCCGCGTAAAATGTGGCGCCATGCCTGTTTATAATCAAGCTATATGCTGTTTATCGCCATGACTAATGCCGAGAAGTGGAAAGAGGAAGAGATCGAGTCAATATCCAGACTAGAATATCATGATCTTTAATCTGAGTCACAACTATTCTCTTGATGAGGTCTTCGCCGCAGTAAACATTGCCCGGATATTTCCTAGCAAAGAATAAGCGCTTATAACTGTCAAACTTTTCTGAGTACCGCCAAAAAAAAAAAAAAAAAAAAAAAAAAGCATCAAACAACGATGCAATACTTTTCAGTAAACCTGCAAACATCCATGGTCTTTGGCTTGGCATTACTTTTATCTTTGAACTGTATTCAACGCCACTAAAAAAGGACCTCTTTTTCAATGTCTATAGGAAAATAAGGCCGAACAAAGAGAAAGAAGTTCCGAAAGTAAGAAATCTCTTAGACTGTCTTGGCGTTTCTTGGCCTCTTAAAACAAAGTACAGGGGCCCTTTGTTAGCTTTGTTTTCATACTTGGTTGAAAGGCCATCTAAAACAAAAGACAATTGGATGCAGTTTACTTTTTCTTGGTGGAGATGGTGAGATGGTGACAAGTCCGATTTTTGTGTAACTCGATACCCGCAGCAAAGAATGATACATATTGCAACACGCCGAGATCCATCCGGACTGACGTTGGTCTTGTTTGTTACTCTTGGTGTTTTGTCATTGTTAATTTTGAAGAAGAAAAACATAAAATAATAATGAGCTGACGGACATTTTTTATTTTTTTTTTTCTATAAAAGCAATCTTCTACCATTCAAAAAGCTATCCTTCAAAAGTCAGCTTCGCAAAAGAGAAACATCGCAGACAAAATCATACCTTGTCAATACAGCTCCCCACTCACCTAACTCATATCAAGTACAATGTCGCTCTTCAAGTCTGAAAAGAAAAAGTACATCCCTATCGAGTCAACCGAAGATCAGAAGCCTCGTGACCCAACGCAAGATTCCTCCCGAAGCACGGTTACGGCCCCTACTACAACACAAACTAATATCCCCATCAAGGACCAGAGTCTTCACTCGACTATCAAGCAAGCCATGACCAGCAGTGTAAACAATGCTTTTAATTTGCGTTAAGCTCCGCTCTATCCCCTAACATGCACACATGAACATACCCAAGTGGAGCCATTCCCTCTGTCATACTAGTAACCGCGTCATGGCTTGATTAATAAACTAAATAAAAAAAAAAAAAATAAAAAAAATAAAAAAAAATCGGATCCTTGAACTGACTGCAACAAATTACGTGTAGTCTTGCGTGTGCCTGAAGTGTATGTTATTTTCTATAGCGATGAATATTGCAGCAAAGTTTTCATTTTATTTTATTTGTTTATTTATTTCAGTTTCTTTTTATTCCTTCTAAACAGAGCTTGATCAGTGCTATTTCAGGCAACGATATGAGGCCTTGCTTACATGGGCGAAACAGTGATAGCAGCGCGTGTCGAAATTTTAACAATTTAGTTTTTTTTCTTCGATCACGTTGATCTCCACACATGGTCAGAGATTCATCTTGAGCGACTATCATGCACAATATAATCATATAAGCACAACGCAGCCAAGATTCTCAATCTTAATATCCTCTTCTCCTTCGCCTATGTATGGAAGTCAAGGTCAGATGCTTATTCGTTTATTCGAAGAAGGTTGCTGGGATACCCATTTTTTTTTTTTTTTTTTTTTTTGTTATTGTAAGCATAGACTCCTCCATAGTAGTATTTGCAAATTGTGAATTGAGAGAGTGAATTAAGATCAGGACAAAGCAGATCCAATGAAAATATATCTGCAAATATAATGAGAACTCAATAATCATCAATAGCAAGTATTAATCATAGTGGTTCATCTTCTCAGGGGTTTTTTTTTTTTTTTTTTTTCGTATGCTTAATGTGATTGATTTCTAATCTATAAATTGTTTATGTTTTTGTAATTATTGTTGAAGTTATTCAGCTCCAACACCGAGTACACTCTCGCCATCCTTGATCTTTCTCAACGCTTCCAAAACGGGGACGGAGGGGCATCCAGCGGGTGCAAAATGAATAACGAAATCGCCTTCCGCATAATACTTTGGGAATGTGTTCATGGTATGGTCGTCCTTGTCATAAAGATAGACCTAAACGATAAATAGATGCATATTAAATTAGTCACATAGCACATTGTTTCTTTGAATCTATACAGCCTTTCAAATAAATAAGCAAACAAAACAAAACAGAAACTTACTCCTGGTGCCCACCTAGGGTCAGTCATCACATCCCAAATGGCGGCCTGCTCATAGCTAGATTTACGGTACCAGCCTACTTTAGTCTGGACTTCATTGAAGAAGCGACGTGTCCAATCTGTGTTCTTGATCAGCATGACTCCAGCATTCAACATCTTGTCCTTGACAGGTTTGGCAACGATCAAGCTGATTTCCTGACCACTCTGACTCTTTGTTTCTGCTTCTCGAATGATCTCACGCACATCTTTCTCCATGTTTGCAATCACTGCATCCATATCCATCCAGAGCAGCCATTCATAATGAGGAAGTACTTTCTGGATGGCACCGATTTTACCCCACACCAACCGACGTCCTCGGAATTCTTCTTGAATAAATTCGGCGGCACGGGCCACAAAGTCGAATCCATATTTGGCAGCATACATGCGTTTGTTCTCCGCAGATGGAAGTGATGCTTCCGCCATACACATGTCAAAATAGATATAGGAGGATGTCAAGACTGCAACATTTTTCTTTCTGTTGAGGTCAACAGCGCAAGCGGGGGTGGGCAGAACGCTCAATTTTTCAACAATAGGTATCCAGTCTTCTAACTGGTAGACCTGACCTACTGCCTGTGATGTCGCGTCGACTAACTCAATCTCATTAACCCACAGTTGTGCTGGACCTTTTATAGCCTTGACAGTCGCAGAAGTTGGGTTGCTGGCAAAATAGAGTGTAGCTGCAGTAAAAATATCGAGCAAATGGTGATTTTCTTTGATGGCAACTCGGTTCTTGACAATCTGCTCTGCAATATCATAAGAAGCTATACCAGCAAAAGGTACAGCTGTTATTGATGTTGATAAGTCTGCTGGTCTCGATGGCGTTGTAGGGACCACTGATTCACCACCCCAAGTTTGAACAAACCCTGTCATAGAAGCACTCATAGACGCTTTGACACTCTCCTCTATTTTTGGCAAATTTACAATTGTAGTTGAGTCGAAGATCAAAATTTTCTCGACCTTAATGTTTTGCTCTGGAATAAAAGTTTCCACCTAGATACATTGATTAACATTGAAAAAAAAAAAAAAAAAAAAAAAAAATAGAGAGCATTAATAGGATGAATAGGGGTCAAATTAAATACGTATTCTTCAAGAGTGGCGATCCATCATTGACGTAAACAAAGTAAAAATAAACTTACCGCCCAAGCCAAAGCATCCCCCCAGATGGCATGTCGATCCGTAACAGTCTTGTTGATGAAAACATGATCATTGTACTCCATAAATTCAGCATAGAGTTCACGGACTTGTCCTTGCATATACTCAGCCGAATGGATTCGAGTCTTGAGCCAGGAAGAAAGGCCATGGATATAAAACTTGTAGATGATCTTGCCATCATATTTTTTACAGGGCGTCAAGTTGTTTTTGATCCCAAACACCGTCTGTCGCACCCATTGACGGTTCTGAATCTGAGTCCAGCTCGAGGGGATCAAAATCAGAGTGTCATACTTTCCAGATGTATTGGGTTCTGTTACTACAGTAGGCTCTGTCACAGTCTTGACCGATGATGGTGCTGATGATGGCTGTGATGGAGTACTGGGTTTCTTAATATCATAATCACGGTCATTATCGTCATAGTTATGGCTTGTGTCGCCTTGACCGTCACCTTGTTGCTGATGCTGTTGTTGTTGTTGTTGTTGTTGTTGTGGATATTTGTTGTTGTCTACTTCTTTGTTGCTGCCATATGAAGGGCTATTACTGGATTTATGATATGATAAGACAATGACCAGTATAAAAATAACCGCTGTTATCAAATACAGCTTCTTTGCTTGAACGGCCATTGCCTTTAAGATGGTAATATGAGGGCAATATGAGGCTGCTAGAAAAGTGAGAAATAGCGAGATAGAAGAGGAGGGAAGGGGGGGGGGGGAAAAAAAGGGAGGAATGAAGCGGAAAAAAGATGAATGAGTGCCCATCACCGGGATGTTTGATTTTAATTTAGAGCAAAGTATAAAATATACACTATATTTTATTCTCAAAGCAGTGGTTGCTATAAAACGGTAGTGAAAGGTTGACGACATCGCCTTTTCTCCTTTTTTTATTATTAAACGCAGACATGTAAAGGCAGAACAAGATAAATGAAGGCATTTCCTTGCTAGATATTATCCAATGATGGTTGTGGGATAAAAGCCCATTCAGCCTATAATGGAAAAGGTTTCTTGATAACTCTTTTAAACCTTACACATTGTAAGAGCTATGTGGCTTAGACGAGTGAATTCTCGCAGTTAAGAGTTTCAAATTTGCGGATTGTTTGTTCGATCTTTTCAAATTTCAAAAGAGGTTAGAGACACTATTGTGTTGAGGCAAACGGGATTTTTAACAGATGTAAAAAAGCCAGTGAACATCAATCCATCTATCTACTTCGGCTCAATCAATCAATCAATCAAGCCTATCTTTACTACGGACATGAGTATCAGCACGGTAGTCAATTGCACAACACCTTCTCGTAATATGTTGGTCATCAGGCTACATCAAAGTTGTTCTTTTATGAGGACTTGATCTAACATTAGGATACAATTCAAATCAGGTCAATTGACATTCAAAAGCTTCAATCTCACGGCTTCCTCACATTACAGTTTCAGTACATTCTTGTAATATACACAAAACCTGCATCGACCAACATAATCTCATGGATCAACTTTAAATCTATTAGATTAGCTTTTCAACTAAAGTGGGAATCAATTGAAGGCTGCAAACAGACTTTAAAGCTTCAGTGAAATCGAAAGCATGCAGGGAATATAAGAAATAACATCCATAAAACGACTTACTATTAGTTGCAAGACCAATTGAACTCATCGCTTGATATATCTTTGTCTATCTTTTTTTGTTGGCATTACAACAATCAATCGTTTAGACTAAAAATGGGAGCCTACAAGTATCTCGAGGAGTTGGCCAAGAAGAAGCAGTCTGATGTTATGCGCTTCTTGCTCCGCGTTCGCTGCTGGGAGTACCGTCAGTTGAATGTCATCCACCGCGCCTCGCGCCCCTCGCGCCCTGACAAGGCTCGTCGCTTGGGATACAAGGCCAAGCAGGGATATGTCATCTACCGTATCCGTGTCCGCCGTGGTGGTCGCAAAAAGCCTGTTCCCAAGGGTGCTACCTATGGCAAGCCTGGTGGACATGGTGTGAATCAGCTCAAGTACCAGCGTTCGCTCCAGGCCACTGCTGAGGAGCGTGTTGGCCGCAAATGCGGTAACTTGCGTGTCCTCAACTCGTACTGGGTCAACCAGGATTCGACCTACAAGTACTTCGAAGTCATCTTGGTCGATCCCTCCCACAAGGCCATCCGTCGCGATCCCCGTATCAACTGGATTGTCAACCCTGTCCACAAGCGCCGTGAGGCTCGTGGTCTTACCTCAGCCACCAAGAAGAACCGTGGTCACGGCAAGGGCCATGGCTTCAACAAGACCATTGGCTCTGGTCGCCGCGCCAACTGGAAGAGACGCAACACCCTCTCTCTCCGTCGCTACCGCTAAAGCGTCTTCTCCCTTTGCTATTTCCATTGGGAAGGCGTGCGCTCGTGGATATCTGGACTTGGGCATGTACTTGGTCGCTTTTTGGCTTACCATTTCGGCTGGGTGTTCATATCCTGAAATAAATTCAAAATGTTACGACAATATTTAATTTTATATATATATATGGTTTAAGTTGACATTTTTATTCGCCAAATGCGCTTACAAGAGTAGAGCACAATCTAAGCAAAGAAGTTAGAGTACACGGGATTTTTTTTATTCATCATCAGACTCTGCTTTAGCCTGGCTTTTCTTTTTCTTTTTTGCCATCCTATTTGCACGCTCGTCCATGTATGTTGAAAAGAAGTCAGTTGGTCGCTTCTTTGTTGAAGAAGAATGTGCCGAGACTTTGGGCATTGATTGTGAAGATTCAACATTATGTTCTGGTGGTGGTGCTCCATTTAAGACCGCAGGATGAACTGTAGCTTCGTATTTGATCTTTTGATCTTTATTCTTCTTCTTTCCCTGATGTGATGGCAGCGATGATGACAATGCTTCTTGAGGTGGTTTAACAATATCATTCGGTGATATGGAAGTGTTTGTCTTATTTGATCCGCCACCGATATTTCGTGTCCTACTGTCCTCCTCATCCTCAGCTTTCTCCTGCAACTCTTTCCGACGAGCAGCCATCATTAATTTGTGCTCCATGTACTTGTCTGGCAAATCATTCTTTGCAGCGGCTTCTGCACGCTGAATGTCGGCCTGTACAGTGCCTCCTGTTAATTGACGCTTCAATTTTGATTCAAAAGCATTCATAGGAACGTGACGCATTTGATCTTTATGAGAGATGAATTTAGCTCCAAGTCCGAGACTACAAATTATAGAAAAGATATGATCAGTAATTTTCGGTTGCATTTCCAATGAGTGCAAACCAATATCATTCTCCAAAACTATAGGAAATGTTTTTCTTTTTTTTTTTATATACCCTGGCTGCCTTGGCTTAACGACAGTTGCAGCTGCAAACCCTCCCGAACCATTGTTATCATGCTCGTCATCTGAAAATGCGTCTACGTTGAGCCAAGAGGAGACTTTGTTGCGCGCTAGTGAAACCGAGACGTCGAGTTGTGTTTGTAATGTACTTAAAGCCTCAAATTTCTCTTTGCGTTGCTTCTTAGTGAGGTGGCCTCCTACAGATCCTGATGCTGTTGATGTAGATGCTATAGTCGATGTTGACATTGTTATTTATTCACGATGTTCCTTTCCAGGAATGGTGTGCTTTTTTTTTTTGTGATAGACTGCTTTATTATGACATCACGTGAGCTCTATAAATCCTGAGCAGAACAGTCTATGGCTTGCATGCCATCATTTATATCTATCCGGCGCCAGGGTCAAAACTAGTGTCGGGACTTGTCTTTCGCATAACGCGTGAAAAGGCAAATCGTAAAGGTGTCGAACTCTATACAACGACTTACCGATATAAGCTATTCTTAAGATACACTGTGCTGGTTCGCGTTCTATATAGAGCGGTGATTCCGTCAGTCTTGACGCGAACGTATGAGTTTTTTCTTATTCAACTACACAAAGTGACATGTATTCTTCCTTTTTTTTTTTTTTTTTTTTTTTTTTTTTGCTATTACAGGTGTTTAAAGATCCTATACCAAAATTCGCGAACCCCGATGAATGGTACACTATCAAAGTGTGATGGGTATTCACATTTGTTGCCCTATTTTGTTAGCAATACTGTTTCTCCTTCTAATATCTTCATTGCATCTACTACATCTCCCCATTCTATCGCAGATAAAACAAGTCATCCATCATTTTGTGCAAGTTACTGTAGATCTTTCCATAAGTTCTGCGCGCAGATCAATCCCCAAAATGTATTCCTTGACATTCTTTAGTTCTCTCGTAGGTTTAAGATCCAATATACAACCTATCTCAATCCCAAAGTTTGTTCCTTGAAGTCCTTAATCCGGCCTTGCAGAGCAACAAAAATAAATGCGACGTCATCAGAGGAGTCAATCCACTTCCTTTCTCGCGGTTTTCAAAAGTTCTTTGAAGGGTCTGCTTTTAATACCATGATTTTTGTCATTGTCCGTCGCAACTTGGAGTAGATTTCTCGACGCTAGAAACATATCCACACAGCCAAAGAGCTTGCTTCTTGGCAATCACGATCCTTGTATCTCGTCGTCCACGTAGCTCCCAGCAGTACTGAAGGACTCTGTCCTTGGCTTTGGTTTGATATCGATAATCATTTCAGTGTTGTCACCAAGGTTCCTGGCTTGAACGCAGCGGCTACTTGTCTTCAGCATGTGCCGTGTATAATGTTCGAACATTGATCCTTCAACGTCTCTAGTTGTGCCAGCCAATGTAATATCCTATTCCAAGTGTTGTCGTTCACCGCTTTGTATAGCTTTTCGATGATACGATCAGATGTCCATTTTAATACAAATCCCCTATGATTTCTATTGGAAAATGGTCTGAGAAGATAGTTCTGACTATCGTAAGCCTTGGTGTTGGTGAACTGTCGACTAGAAATCAAGTGCTAGATAGGTCCAGGAAGGGTCTGAAAGCCTCTATTTTCCATATCGAACAGTGGGTAGTCCACCAGAAGCATAACACATTGAATCTCCCTTTTGCTACATGATGATAATAAGTGGACCATCTACATCGCTAGTGGCAAGCGAAGTAAATGAGAAAGGTCGATTTTTCTATACCGGGTATCCTTATGACAATGATACTATCTTGACCAGACTTTCCAGCGAGTACTCTGTCTTCGTGTTTACAAAGCTTTTTGACGACTGTGTTGTAGAGTTCTTTGAAAGCTTGTCTTACATATAGGCTTGCATTCGATCACAGATAGGTCTCTCTCATTGGGTATCACGTCCATATCTTGAAAAGATACGTTTTGAAGGGTAGTGTCGATTCGGGGTATTGAATAGTACAGGCCTTCCCCAGTTGTGATGCCTTCACTATCTTCAAGCACTAAAACCGGCACTTTACTCGTCACATTTTCGTCGAGGTTGTGTACATGTGGATACAAGAAGTTTACTGATTTTTCCTCCTATCCTCCACATATACTCTCCTTTCTCCCAAGAGAATGATGCTTGATGGAAGAACCACGTGTCATTATCAATAACATATATCAACTCTACCCGAGAATGGACGTCTTTTATTATTGACAGTAATTTCTTTCATTTCATTCTTCACACTAATGCCCCATTTAGTGTTTGTTTGCCTTTACTTCTTTACTTAGCCTCCTCTGTCTTTGACAAGAGATTGTTCTCTTTCAAAAGAGCTTCAATCTCGGGTTGATTAAAGACTCGACGCACCACACGTCCATCTACCAATTCCAGCGTGGCAACCTCGACTATGTGTACAAATATAAAAACCTAGTGTTAGCTGCTATTCTACAAGTTCATATATCCGTTGTACTATTTGTTGACTATGTACAATGACTGACTTACGTTTATCAGATCCCAATGATGTTGTGTCCATGGTCTTGCTGAGGACCTTAATTGCCAGATTTTTTGCTTCTTGCAAGGTCATGCCTTCTTCCTTATATTCCTGTCTCAAGATGCCTTGAGCACTAGCGGTGTTGGCTCCAATGCAGGTTGCCTTCCAGCCAGCATAATTTCCCGATGGATCCGAGTGATACAACTGAAATCCGTAGTGCTCATCCCATCCACCATAAATGAAAGACACGCCGAAGGGACGGAGACCTACGGTGCAAGATTTTAACATCAATTTAGCGAATAATAATGAGGAAAAAAAAAATTAAAATAAAATAAAATAAAATAAAAAAGCTCACGGACTTGGATAACTCAACAGTCAAATGCAAAGATCAACTATAAGTTACCTCCGTATTGAGTGTATCCCTGCTTCAGGTCACAAAGCCTCTGAACAAGTTGCTCACATGGCATATCTTCATTGTATGTATAGAGGTACTGCTGTGCCGCTGTCTGGACATAGTTGATCAAAATATTGGCATCTGACGTGATACCGGCGACTCCACAGATCATATTGCTGAAATTTGACAACAAATCATAAAATAAAACATATGATGAGAAAATATATTAAGAATGAGAAAGTGCTAATAAGATACCAAACCTTTTTTTTTTTTAAAAAAAAAAAAAAAAAAAAAAAAAAAAAAGAAAAGAAAAGAAAAAAACATTGCAATTATTACTCGTTGATGATATAGATCTTCTCGCCTCCCTTGGTCTCATCCAGCAGTTTCGAAGCAACTTTCTTTTCTGCTGCAATCACAAGTCCATCCTTGGCTAAGATTCCAAGTGCTGTACTGGCATGGGAGATGGCTTCCATTGCATATTCTACCTGATACAAACGACCTATGTTATTTTAAGTAATAGATAGATTTTGGCGTGCCAATAAAAAAAAATAAATAAAAAAAAAGACGTTAGTTTACGGTCGCGCACAAAAGAATCTATATTCATCTAGGTAAGCCATGCTATCTATCGATCAGACCAATTTTCTCAAATATGTAAAATGTAATAACATGATAACATGATAGCTTTTTTTTTTTTTTTTTTTTTTTTTTTGACAGTGCTTAGCATTCAATAGCCAAAAGCGACCTGAAAAAAAACGTTCATGAACAAATAATTGTCAGGAGAAATTTTCCGTTTTTGCATTCCATTTTTACCTTCTGGTGAGAAGATGGTTGTTCGGGCGTCATATCTGCGAGACATGGTTGTTGAAAAATAAAAAAAGTTGTTTGTAAAGGATGAGGAAAAGAGAATGTGGTTGTTTCGAAACTAAATTCTAATATTTTTTTTTTTTTTCCGATGATTTCTATGTCTCGGCCTGCAAGTTTTGAATTGGTTATGGGAAACAATTGAGAAAAGTGGAAGAGGCATGTGTGTGCGTGTATGGTTGCAGACGCGTCCCTGTGTAGCGTGTGTTCTGTGACTGTGTAGTATCTGTACAGCACAATCTTGGCCCTATTACGTCATTAGGCCAAGATTGTGCTGTACTGGAATATCTACTCCATGTCGTTGCAAGAAATTGTACACTTCAGCTTTTTATCGCCACTATTTTTGTTTTCCGTCTATTATTCTTTTCCGGCAAAGCAGGGGTGAACCAGCTTTCTGTGGTTTAGTCCTATCTCTGTACTTGCTTGGCGGCTAGTGGCGCAGCAAGATGTCACCCGATGCATTGCGGCCAGCGGCAAGTGCATCCAGGTATAGTATAAAGTCTTCAATTTCTGCGGCCAGTGACGAGATTTTGGAGCAATGGTTTGGTTGTTTGACTCTTTGTCTGATGAGTTTATCTGATATATAATACACATAACTGTATGTGTTTGCGTGTACTAATTACTTTCTCTTGTTCAAGTCCTAGTTCTTCTGACTAGTTTTTCAACTACACCAGCGGGAGACACAGATTAAGTTACGAGTCTAGACTAGGATACAGTTATCAGTATAGCACTGTCCATTACTCAGCTCATCCATTGAAGAGGTTACCTCTATTCCACTTAACCCAAGCAATATGCAATAGTTTTATTATTTTGCAATGTTTCTTATTTAAATAAACTACGCCATTGTTCTGGTTCCTATACTCAATTGCAATATCTCACTTAAACAGAGTCTATATCCAGAATAAAATACCTTGATATCCCTTTTACTCCTCCTTACCATCATTAGCTTCTCGCTTCCTTTTGCCATTCTTGGCTGGGGAGGATAAAGTAAGAGCGATTTGAGTTAGGTACTGCTGCATCAGCTGTCTCTTTCCTCCACCAAGTGCACCCCAGCCCTTCAAGTCCTTGCAATGCCGTTGAACCAATGCTGCAAATCCAAGTGAGGTGTTTAAGAGATAACAGAGTTCAGTATTCACCTCTTCATCTGATCCTGGTACCATTACTGAGCCAACCTCAAGCGCCCGAAAGCAGCCGGACAGATCCATCATCAGAAAGCTGACTTTCTGCTCATATGTCTGGATTCCAAAGATATGGAATGGTGTAGGGTCTCTTCTCTTTTCTAGACTCGTCCACAAGATGTGTGCCCATCCAATCCGCATATCTCGAATGAGCTTATACTTGTCTGCCTGTTTCTTGCCCCTCTTGGCTCCCTGCATCCTGGAGGATTCAACTATTTTTTTATAATAGTTTATATCGAGGCTTGTCCTGCGACATATCGCCTCTAGACTACTCTATCCATTGCTCCATATAGGTATTGATTATGTTTGCATAGCATGTGTTGAAAAGGCTGGTTCAATTCGAAGGAAATGTATGGCAATCTGATCCGCCAAAGGTAGCACTTTTTGCGGTTGGTTGCATTGAATGGGTCATCAAGTGAGAGTATAACCAGTTGCCTTACTGAGGCATCTGCTCATGTATTGCTCCCATGGGCGCTGCATGTTGTGCTCCAACTTTGCGGACTCCATGAGTAACCTTATCGGTATGATGGACTGCCGTCTTCATAATCCCTTCCATGGATCTAAGTGCCAATTTATTAATTATTATTGCAACTACTGTGGCGTCGACATTTCTTCAGGCACATCTTCGTAACAACGTCCCCGAGGGTTGGCTCCTATCCTAGGTAACAGAGACGCGTTTCTAGAGGGAGAGATAGTTATGGCGGTGAACTCCATGTGAACATGCAACCAAAGATGGTTAATACTATCAAATAATAAATCATCCCTTGACCGCCTTGACTCATAAAAAAGTAAATTTTTTCAAGCAATGACCATGGTTATATCAAAGAAAGCGAAAAAAAAAAAAAAAAAAAAAAAAAAAAGTGAATGAATAACCTTATGAGGTACATCTTTTCTTTGCTGCTTTTATAACCTGCAATAAGGACATTAGCTCATTTTTTTCTTTGTAGGCGTACTTGCTTGGCTACTAGTCCTATGGACTCTATTGTAAAAATGGACGTATTATTTTCATGCGATGTAACAGCATATATATATATTTATGCGATATTATTCGTGATCATTTCTTCAGCCTGTGGTAGCGAAGGGACAATCTTCCTGGATACAACAAAGAATGCTAGCAGCGAGAAGCACAGGTACAAAGTCGAGCCAGGGTCAAAGCACAACACCGGACTGCACCCAGAGCAGCAAGTAGCTAGTGATATCTTTGCTTCGTAATAAACCAGACGGTTCTCTGTGATGTAATTCAGGCATATGTTGTGCTATTCTTCAATGTGTCGTTCTGTTTAAAACTATAAAACGGCGATTATGATGCACGTGCCATGTGAAGGCCCCAGTCTGGCCATCTTTTTTCTATCTCTCAAGTAGCTCTCAAAATGTTTTTCACCATTAGAGATGGTCGCTTTGATCCTAAAATGTTGAATTCACTCTGGACTCTGGTTGTGAGCGGGAAAGGGGGGGAGCAGAATTTTTCCTGACATTCTTTTTTGGAAAGGACATGCACATAGACGGATTAAATCTCGGTAACTTTCCAGTTTTTGTTGAAACCTTAATTGCAATAAAATCATTGCATGGACATTCGTTCATTTTTTTCTGTGCTCATATTTTTAGGCTGCTGTCCATAGAAAGAGAGGAATGAGAGGCCAAAAAAACAAAGCATTTTTACATTCAGACATGTGCAAAGGTGCAAAAGAGGCAAGCTGCACTATATTTTATGGCTATTAAGTAAAAAAGAGAATACCTGGGGCTCCATGGCTTGTGAAATCGGATTTTCTTATCGGTGAAATACATATTAATTAATTATTTTGTGCTCCATCAGCTCGAGTTGGGTTGCCAGAGTGATAAAAAGTGCTGTCTTATTGTGCGTGCCACTAAGTAAAGAAGATTACACAAACGATCTAAAGTCATTTTTCCGTAATACATTTACACGAATTACATGATTTACAAGTCGTTGATGATTTGATAATATATATTTTTTTGTCTTTGCAAACGAGCTTTTCTTCAAGCCCTTATTTTATTACAGAAGGAGAGGATTCATGAACGGACCAACGAGTGAGGAAGAACACATGTACATGTACATGTATATGTAGAATAACATAACCTCCTATTCCCGACAGGAAGAAGTGGCCAGCTGATGTTTTATTACATATTCATATCCATATACTCCGTCCCATTTGGTCAGTGATTCATATATTTTCTGAATAATCTTGATTGAATTGGGAGCCAATTATATTCATTGGCACCAGTTAGTCACGGAGGGTGAAATGTCAAAATCAGCCACCAAATCAATTCAATCATCATTTTTTGAATAGAAAATATATGGATCACTGACCAAACGAGTTGGAGGATATTCATGTTATAACAAAAAGATGGATTTTTTTTTTTTTATTGACGAGAGCCTGAGTGTGGAATGATAGGTCAATGACAAAAGTGAGTATTGTTTATTGAATGGCGGGATATCGAGAAAAAGAGAAACCATATTCTATTTTCGTTTTTCTGGTGTCATCAAGGGAACTTTTCTGCAACAATGGAATGGACTGAACGTTTGGCTAATCTAAACCTAAAAGCAGCAGTTATTTTTCGCCTCTCAACAGTCTCACAGGTACAACTAAGTGATGGCCATCGCGTGCATATCAAAACAAAGCAGTGAGCAGCAGAGCAGTGGAGCAAATCAAGACCGAGTAAGCGATTTTCTCTTCTAATCCAGGGAAGTTCCTGGTTGTTGGGTAATACTATAAAAGACACGGATATCCGCTTCAAAAACGACTTCCTTGAACAACTCTGACCCAACGTTTCCCACTCACATTTCTTGTTTACTTGTCCTCTTCCCCCTCTCTCTCTTTAACCTTTCACTCATCCAAACCTCATAATACCAACCATGAAGTCCATTGCTATCTTCGCTGCCGCCGCTCTCATCTCTGCTGTCGCTGCTCAGGACGAGGGCCGTCTCGCTTACTCCGAGCCCGTTCAGTCCACTGTCTGGACCGCTGGTCAGACTCACACTGTCACCTGGACCAACAACTGCCACGCCGATAACGATAAGGATTTGAACATTGCTCTCTACATCGGTACTGGTGGAAATAACGGTACTGAGCAGGTCCTTGTCCCAGGTATTGGTGCTATCGGTGTCTTGAACTGCGTTAAGAGCAAGTCCGCCAAGGTCACCCTTCCCGCTACCTTGACAACCAGCAACTTGTACAGCATCCACGTTGACACTTATCCTCTCCAGTCGTACGGCGGTCCTTTCACCATCAAAGGTGTCGATCCCGTGACCCCTCCTGGCCCCTCAGGCGCCCCTGGCCCCTCAGGTGCCCCTGTCCCCTCTGGCGCCCCTGCCCCCTCAGGCGGTGTCTCTGGCGCTCCTGTCCCCACCTCTACCGTCACTACTACCACCGCTGCTACTACAGCTGGTGCCTCGCCTACGGCTAGCTCTGATAAGAAGGAGGGCGCTGCTGGCTCCCTCAAGACTCTTGGCGCCACTGCTGCTGTCCTTGCCGCCGCTGTTGGCGCCATGTTCTTGTAAAAAAAAAAAAAGAAAGGATAATTAGACTTGTCGTGTATGCGACTCTTTCAGTTGCATACTTGCATAGATACCTACACATTACAAGAATAACTTAGCCACTCATCATTTCTCATTTTTCACCACACCGTAATATTAATAAACAGACATGTAAACATATAAAAACCTGGTTCCTTGATCTAGATACTCGTTTTTTTTTTTTTATTTTTTTTTATTTTTTATTACTAAAACATTAAACCAGCAATGCTAGACCGGATCCATCTCCAATAATGATTATCTCTCGAATGGAGCATCTCAGACATTTTCTCCAACAGAGTCCGCGAACTGAAATACGTAATATGATAGTATTAGTGGATACTCTGAGTAGACTGTAAAATTCAACAAGATTTGCTCCTCTGAAAGACAGTTCAACAGAATCATCTAGCAAAGAATGTAGGTTACACATAATTTATTGAACTCTTGGTTTTCACATTACACATTTATAATACCTAGGCTCACATGTTCGTTTTTGATTACAGATATATATTAACGTTGTTTTATTTTTTATTTTTTATTTTTTTAACAAAGGCTCAAGATGGAGATATCAGAAGAGAGCCATCAACATCTAGACCACAAGGCGTCGTCGCCGCTTTTCCTTGGATTTGATTTGTCGACACAACAGCTGAAGGTCATCGCGTTACATTCTGTTCCACAGAAGAATAAGACGAATCAAGATGGAGTAACATCAGTGCTTGAGACACATTCCTCATTCGCTGTTCATTTCGACTCGGACTTGCCACAGTACAAGACTTGTGGAGGGGTCACCTCTTTTGAACATCTAAATGATAACAGGAACAGAGATGATGTTCGAACAACGCCAGTGCTCCTGTGGATTGAAGCACTTCAATTGGTCTTGGATAAAATGAAGGATCAAGGATTCCCATTTGAACGCGTACAAGCAATCTCGGGAGCTGCCCAGGTATTGCATATTTATTTCCATTGTTTTTGTTATTATCATTCTTAATTGTTCTCATGCTTCTCAAATCACTCAGTATCAAATTAACAAACATTGACAAATTAATAAAAACCACATCGTGCTTTTTTTTTTTTTTTTTTTTTTTTTTTTTTTAACTATCAACCATGTAGCAACACGGTAGCGTTTACTGGGCCAAGAAAGAGGCGCAAAACGCATTTCAGACCATGCAATCTATGAAATGCGACAACCAATCAATGTCTTCATCGTCGTACTCTCTTGTGGATATATTCAAAAACGCTTTTGCAGTGGCAGAGTCACCCATTTGGCAAGACACAAGTACCACTAGACAATGTGAAGAAATTGAAGAGTATCTAGGCAGTCTTGTTGCGCAGTCACAAGGAAAGAATTCTTATTCATCATCAACATCGCTTAGACGTCTCGGACAACAGCGCCTAGCAGAGCTGACGGGATCGCGTGCTTATGAGCGTTATACGGGGAACCAGATATCCAAGGTATCATATGGGTATAAGAATGTCTACAGCACAAAGGGCATTTTAGTCCGCATGGTTCTAGTTTTTTTTTTTTTTTTTTTTTTTTTTTTATATTCTTACTGGGATTTTTATGCCTTAGATTATTCAAAAGAAGCCCGACATCTACAATGCTACTGAAAGGATCTCGTTAGTAAGTTCCTTTCTGGCATCGTTATTGATGGCACAGTATGCTATGATCGACATGGCTGATGGATCGGGTATGAATCTGCTCAACATCGAGACCAAGACATGGGATCCACTACTGACAAAGTTCGTCGGACGGGGTGGCCATAAAAACGGAGATGAGAAGGATAAAGCCCTTAGCTTGGTGGAGAAATTAGGAGAAGTGGATGCGACTGGTAGGAAGATCCAAGGAACATTGAGCAAGTGGTACGTGGAACGATACGGATTTCGGAACGGTAAGTCAGGCCCCTCCAAATAGAAGACTTAGGATCTTTAGACTGGTGCAATAGGCTATAAAAGAAGCATTCTCTCCTAACTAGAAATGAAAAACTTTATTGCATTTCAAACGTGTTCAGACGTCAACATTGTAACCTTCACAGGAGACAACCCTGCCACAGTTATGGCGATGCATGCAGAGCAAGGAGATGCAATCGTCAGTCTGGGAACTAGTGATACCCTCCTTCTTTACACAGATAGCCGTGGTGTCTCAACTCGATCGCTATCTTCCGATGATTCGGAGAGTCAGCAAGAGCAACAACGACAGCAACAGCAAGGGCGACGACAGGATCAGGAGATGGAAACAAATCAGGCGGACGCTAGACTCTCTATTGGATATCTTTGTCATCCTGTAGATCCCAATGGATACTTAATGCTCTATTGTGCCAAGAACGGGTCCTTGGCAAGGGAGAAAGTAAGAGATATGTATGCAAACGGTGACTGGGACCAATTTAATCGATATTTAACAAAGCAAGAGGATCAGGAAGATACCAAGAGAAATATTGGATTCTACTTCTTTGACAGAGAGATCTGGCCGCCAGTCCAAGGCTTGTACCGATTTCAAGAAGGAGTTCTTGTTCAGGAATTTGATTTTAAGAATAGTGATAGCAACACCAATCAGCAGCAGCAGCAACAAGCTAACGTGATGGCAATTTGTGAATCACAATTCTTGAGTATGAGGACCCGATCAAGCCAGATAGGCTCCTCAACAATAAGAACATTGGCGCCGCCTGGAATCTCAAGGATCTTAGCCACAGGTGGAGCGTCCTCGAATCCAGCCATTCTTCAATTGCTCTCTAATGTCTTTGGTGTTCCGGTTATGAGAACAAACCAAAATGAGCAGAAGGGGGCTGGTTCTGCCGCTTGGGGAGCTGCTAGGAAAGCTTATCTCTATGGTCAGCGTTCAAGCTCCGCTATTTATGAGTCTGGTGATAAGAATATGCAAAATAACGGCAGCAGTGGAGTTGACATAGCGAATGAGAAGAGCACTATAGAACCGGATCTGGATCAGACGAGAAAGTATGTGGAGCTTATTCCCGAGTTTATACGGCTTGAATGCACCCTCTTACAGCGATATTCTAAACAATAAATATTTAATCATATGAAGAATAAATGCATTTTCTCGGCTCTCTACATTATACGTCCGTACGTTACGTCCCTTCTGTGGTCATCTTGTGTGATTTTATCCATAGTCGACAATTAAAAAAAAAAAAAAAAAAAAAAAAAAAAAGAAATGAATGTCTCGCTCGTAGAAGGGGAAAAAAAAAAGTTAGTTCTCCTTATCTTCAGAATGCAGGATAGCTACTAAGCCTTTAAAGTCCATTCTCTTGCATTTAATATCCCATGTGCCTTCTAAAATAACCAGAGCCATAGCTCCAGTCCTATATAGTACCCGTTTGCTCTCTGTGATGATAAGGTATATAATGGCAAATTAATCAAACTCAAGTGCATTCAACAGTCGATTAAGGGTCATGCGACGCGCAATTAGGAACGCGCAACACGTCCTCCACGCGGCCAAAGCCCACGCGGCAATAATAATTAAAGGAGAGCTTCTTTTTCTTTTTCTCTTTTTTATTAAACAGAAAATACACACAAACACAATGGTAAAATACACATGAAGTCATTCTACAGCTCATTCGACATTATATGGCAGGCATACGTGTCTGATCTAGAATTGGAATCGCATTTTGACTTTTTTTTAGGATTTCGAAGACGACCATCACAGGTACCAATCGAGTGACGAGGAAGACTTTCAGGAGTCCCTAGATAAGGCCGTAACTTTACCAAAGCCAATCTTCCTGTGGCGCGATACAGCGGCCATAAAACCGGCTACTACTACTACTGGATCAACTTCAACATCTTCATCAATATCCAGCCCAAAATCATGTTCTACCTTGATCATTGGAACAGCGTTTGGTGGTAGTGCGCTGTTGCATACGATCAAAGAAAAGACCTTATTGGGCTCCATTATCTTGCCAGGCATTGACTTGGTGCGTGATCCGACTGTTCATTTCTCTTTTTTTGTTTTTTAATGTTGTTTTATAATAACGCAACAATCTAATAATACTTATGAATATTTTTTATTCTTTTGGATGGGGTGGCAGAAAGAAAATAATGCTGATATTAATTCGCCAAGGAACGCTAATTGCAATATTTACGAGCTGAATTCAGATCCTACAGTGATCTTTATCCCATGCAACTACGAAGTCAAAGACAAGGATAGCCTTAATTTCGCAAGGGCTATCTTACAAAACATTCAAGCAACCAGGTAAGGAAAAAGCAAAAGTAAGAAGCAGAAGTGGAAGAAGAGAGAATGAAAAAAAGTTGTTATTAATCACGAATCATTGTTGTTGTTGCTTTTGTTACTTTTGATACCTTAGGATTATTATCCTCGACACGTTTTCACCATCTTCATATTTTACAGGATCAGCGAATGTGGAGTATAATTACCCATGGCTGAGGTTGTTACAAACAACTGGCTCAACCATTGTTAATGAGATCCCTACACTCGAAGTACCAAATTTGGTTCAAAACCTTAGTGCCGCGCTCATGTCATATGTAATTTTTTTTTTTTTTTTTTTTTTTTTTTTTAAAAAAAAAAATGAATAATTGTGTTGTTTGCTAAAACGAACACGATGGCTAACCATTTCTTCTCATTATATAAACTTTATATGGCTTTATACATAGTGTGAGGTGCGAGGAATGACTAACACATATTTACTTCTCAGTCTTCAAGAGTTTATCTACGGAAAAGTGCTGACAACGTCTGGGACATTACGTGGCTTGAAAGAAGGGTTGGCTAATCTTGGATGTCCCGTGGTGGCGAACCAAGTTGATGTGGCTAGTGCTGTGCGATTGATCCAAGATAAGCGCGTAGGCTCGAATCGCATAAGAGATGATCGCCTTTATGCGTAATGCCAAAAAATAAAAATAAAAAAAGGAGGCAAATCCAACGCCCATCCATTATGATTAAGCACAAGTAGCCAGAGATAAATAAATAAATAAACAATAATATCTACTCATAATAAGAAACAAGGACAAGTTCATCATGTTCGGAGAGAAAATAGAGTCCTATTACAAAAAGCTCTTTGCATTGGTACGAAACAAGCTGCATATTTGTTGTCGTCCATGTCTTTTGTTCTTGTATGATTGTCCAATCACACGCTGCGATCGTGGGCTGATAAGCGAAATTGAGTGCGAAGAGATACGGGCTCGCGTATGTAGGAGTCGTTGAGGATACAGAGATATGAACACGCCAACTCAATTGTGGGGTGCGTAGTTGAGATGAGAAGGTAAATGACGATGTTATTGTTAATGGCATCTTTTTATTTTTTGTTATCTTAATTCCTATTGCTTTTCTTAATCATTTTCTTCTGTTGACCGTGCATCTTCACTAAGTTCATGACATGCACTGTTATCAGCTCATTTATAGCCTAAATTACTCGGGTGTGTTACATGTAAACATTCACTATCCCATCTTTCATGTATATGAATATATACGCTTTTACCGATAGGAGTAGTCCGTTGGTTGAATTGAATCAACAGATCGCTCAGATACCTTTCTAAGAAAGAAAGAAAAAAAAAATTTCCCCCACCCCCTTGGATCATCTTATCTTTTTCGTGCCTTAATTGATTGATTTGACTGGCTTTTTTTTTTTTTTTTTTTTTTTATATTTCTCTCTTCCTTTTTTCTTTCTCTTTTCTTCCTTCTTTTTATACCATTCTTCACTTCACATCCTCACGCTATCATTTACGTTGTTCTACTCCAACATATCAACATACCGTCATTAATCTCATTCTCATCCTTATCCTCATCCTCGAACTATATTACATCATGAGATTAGTTATTCGCAAAGACTATGACGCTGTTTCATACCATGTCGGTAAAGTGTTTTCCATAGTCCATATTTGAACATCCCTTGGCATTGCCTTGTAATAGAGACAAGAAACGTTGTCTCTTAGATTTTTTAAATTATTTTCCAAATTATTTTGATATTCTTTTTTATTCATTTCTCTTACTTTCCTTGCAATTATGATAGCCAAGTATGTACTGGAGCGCATCAAAGAGTTTGCTCCAACAGAGTCGAAACCATTTGTTCTTGGTCTCCCAACTGGGTCATCACCTATTGGTGTTTATCGCAATCTCGTTAAATTTCATCAGGCAGGAGAGCTTTCTTTCAGACACATTATCACCTTTAACATGGATGAATACGTTGGATTACCCAGGTAAGGGAGAAAGGAGATTCGTGTTTTTTTTATTCCTTAGACCTGATGAGATAAGCAAAAACAAACAGACTATGAAAGGGAAGAATGGAGAGGGGCGTTTTTTGTGAATATTTCACAAGGTTAAGTAGGGTGGGAATAAAAATGTTTTCGGCTCAATCAACTAACCTTTTTTTTTTTTTTTTTCCTTTTTCCTTTTTAAAAGAGATCACCCCGAGTCATACCACACATTCATGTGGAACAACCTCTTCCGATATATCGACATCCCACCAGAAAATGTTAATATCCTCGACGGCAACGCAGTAGATCTGGATCTTGAATGTCAACTCTATGAAGAAAAGATTGCAGCAGTGGGCGGAATTGAATTGTTTTTAGGCGGTATCGGCCCCGATGGTCACATCGCATTCAATGAACCAGGCTCATCGCTCAGCTCACGAACCCGTGTCAAGACTCTTGCGTACGAAACGATCGTTGCCAATGCTCGTTTTTTTGACAATGATATCACAAAGGTTCCAAACTTGGCATTGACTGTCGGTGTCGGGTAAAGTGTCTTTTATAACTTTTTTTTCATAAACAATAATTGTATTTTCAGTTTAATTTTCCTCAACAGTCTGGACAGGGCATGGCAAGGCGCAAAGAAGGGATAAAAAAAAAAAACAGACATGGCTGAGGAACCCCGGAACAATCAACTCTCAGATGTTTACCATTTTAAGGCACCAGGATTTCAGGCTAGCATGGTCTACAATGAGTTACATGTGTGACTTGACTTTGGCTCGGCAAAAAGAAACCCGACCGGCTTGCTTGCACTAGAAAAAAAACGACACTCTTTACTGCACCAATACCCCAGCTTCTATCCATTCCATCAACCTTCATGTTAACATGGTGGTACAATCCTTTGCAAAGCACAACCTTATTTCTTTTACCACCTTCTGATATTTTTCTTTTCACTAAATGTTTAACCATTTTCCATACCCTTGACCTGACTTTTTTTTTTTTTTTTTTTTTTTTTTTCCCTCTATTTTAGTACGATCATTGATGCCCGTGAGGTTTGTATCATAATCACTGGCGCACACAAAGCACTGGCATTGGCCAAGTGTATTGAGGAAGGGATGAACCACATGTGGACTGTTTCCGCTATTCAGGTTCATCCACGGGGTATGATTGTATGTGATGAGGATGCAACACTGGAACTCCACGTCAAAACTGTAAACTACTTCAAATCGATTGAAAAGGTTCATGAACAATTACTAGGCGCGCATAATGTAAGTTTCTTGCAAGAATATGGGTAATGAAGGAGGAAGAAAAGAAAAAAACGTCTATGTCCATATTCATATTTTTGTATTCGCCATATCCAGGAGGACAGGGGTTATATTTGTGGAGAGATAAGGAGTAAATATTGATATTCGCCATTTTTTTTTGGTTTTCATTCTAGATCGCAACACAAGAATAAAAAAAAAGTGTCTGTGTAGACATATCACGTGCAATCCAAATAGTTTAAATTCAACTTTGCTTTGGGGGCAGCGTTTGCTCCCTCTCTAAAACTTGTTCAAAGGTGCGTCTGCGAACTGCGTATGGATTCCAGGATTTATCTTCATCCATCCATCCTATTCATCTATCCTATTCATCTATCCATCCATCCATTCATCCGAACCCTTCTCAACTCTCAACAATTGTTCATCCAAGTGTTGAATAAACATCTCAATCATGGATATCAACTGCTTAAATGTCATTGACAATAAGGATGCTAAGGAGTTTTCTGATCTTGGAGATTTATTTTTTATAAATTGATCTTTTGATCTTTTATAAAAAAATTCGACCCAACGATGGTCCTGCACCCTTTTTTGTTATAGACTTCACCGATCGTTTTATTTTGTTTGGCTAGCTTTGTCAATTCGCTATCCCTCTATCCCCTTCCATATTTTTCCTACTATGAGAAGGGGAGGCTATCAAAAACTTCCATGCCACTTTCGCTGCCCAACTTTGCAAACAGACCAGAACTGCTCTCATAATAAATCTTTCGAACTTCTTATCCTTTTTATTTATTTATTTATTTTTTTTTTGCCAAGAATAAATAAAATAAATAAAAAGGATGATGACAGCCACAAAGAGCTTATGATACATTGCAGAGCTCGGTCTTTGGGCCTTGACTGATATTTCTTTATGAATCGCTCCTGTATTAAAATCCAAGGAGATTGACACTCATATGAGAAAATCACGTTATTCACTTTTATTTATTTTTTTATTTTTTTTTTCTTTTCTTCTTCTTCTCTTCTACCTTTTGGTTTATTATGTTATTTTTATTATTATTATTATTATTCTGGGGGATTTTTATTATATGTATTCAGAAGCAAAAAAAATTTGTCCAAAATGGTCCGCATCTCCGTCTTGAACGACTGCCTCAACAACATCAACAATGCCGAGAAGCGCGGTAAGCGCCAGGTCTTGATCCGTCCTTCCTCCAAGGTCATTGTCAAGTTCTTGTCTTTGATGCAGAAGCATGGTACGTTTTAGTGTTTTTAATTCTTTTAATGTATTTTCCTTTTATTTTATATTTTTGATATCATTTGATTTGATTTTGTTTTTTAAGGCACCGGAGTATAACTGGATGTGTGGTGCTTGCAAAGATTATTGGTTTTTGCTTCTTTTTTCATCATGCATCTTTTAAGCCTTCGGGAGAACAACTACACTACTTACAAGCTGCGGGCATACAAATTTATTTATTATCTTTGTTTTCGTGGCCTGTAGCCTTTAAATAGTGGAGATATATATTTACATTACTTCTTTTAATGATTATTATTACTTTATTCATGAAAATGGATTGGAAATATTAATTTACAAATGTTTTTTTTTTTTTTTTAAAAAAAAAAAAAAAAAAAAAAAAAAAAAGGTTACATTGGCGAGTTTGAGGAGATCGATGATCACCGTTCCAACAAGATTGTTGTCCAGCTCATCGGACGTATCAATAAGACTGGAGTGATCTCTCCTCGTTTCAACATCAAGTTGAACGAGATTGAGAAGTGGATCGCCCGTCTCTTGCCCTCGCGTCAGTTCGGTTATATCATCCTCACCACCTCTGCTGGCATCATGGACCACGAGGAGGCTCGTCGTCGCCACACCGGAGGAAAGGTTTTGGGTTACTTCTATTAAAGAAAGAAAAAATAAACCAAGAAAAGAGAACCTAGTCTAGCGGTAACCAGTGGTACTCCCTCCCACCCTCTTTTTTTTTTGGATCCTATGAACATTATTAAAGAACAAAACTGAAGGCGGTTATACGCTTTACTAAACAGTCATTTGCTATCATATAATTTTATTATTTCGGTTTGTTGTTGGTAGTAATAAGTTGAGAAGTAGGGCTACGGCGTTTATTTTTCGGATGTATCAAAATTGAATGTTTGAGGTGTTTTTTTTTTTTTTTTTTTTTTTTTTTGCCCTGTTCGATCACAACCTTCTCCTTAGCCTTCACTGAGTCGCTTCTTTAGTCGGTAGTTCCTTCGACCTTCTGATTGATTTCAAAGAGACGAACTTGGTGCATAGATGGGAGTTTTGCAATCAGATTAATCACAGTGGCCACCAGATTAACAAAGAAAGCGAAGGGTGCATAGTGAGTGTAATGGGTGCTGAGCAAGAACCTTTTTTTAGATAAAAAAAAAAAAAAAAAAAAAAAAAAAGTGTCAAATGGCTTTTCCTTTGAGTTACAAGTAATAACATGGCAAGTTGGAAATCCTGCGGCAAAGAGTTGACTTTGCTCCTGAATGGCGTAGAGCCTCCACAACAAGATCAAGTGTGGGAATTGGTGCGCAATGCGCAACGTGCTATCTTGTTCTGCGATTGTCCAAATCTATGACTGCGCTCTTTTCTTTTTTTGACATACGGTTCCATTAGTTTCAGGTCTGCCTTGTCCTGCAAATGATAGCCGTCAGTATAAAAATAAAATTCTGGAATTGAGCAATCCTGTAACGCATCAAATCTCATAGCTCTTCCTGATCCACTTATAGCTGACCCATGCATAGTTGATTTTCAAAAAGAGTCATGTCTCACTTACAAAACGATGGGCACCGTGGTTAAATACTTTCTCGTTGCCGTGAACTGAACACCTCCATCGATCTGTTCCCACAGAGTAATTCCATCATATGCTCCTTGAGTGAAGATCTCGAATGGCACGCCTGTTACTGCATGGAACATAATATAGCTTCCCTATAAATGTAGCAATCAAATAAACAAAGAGGCAAAAAATGTTAGAAAAGGGTATAATACCACGCGATAGAACAAAGTCTAATAACAAGATAAGAAAAAAAAAAAAAAAAAAAAAAGTCGATTCTGAGATAAACTAGGATGCCCTCTCTCGCCCCTTCTTCCCAAGGAGTAAAATGGTAAAAGTAGTTTGGAGATACTTTGATTTTTTTTTTTTCCCGACCAGTATCCACGGGGGCACATCTTCTCTGTTCACTCGGACAAATCCATATTCCATGATCGACCTGAACCCTTAGTCCTGTCCAATCTAGTCCAGATTTCGAATGTCTGGTACACAGCTTAATAACAGAGCCATTTTTTTTTTTTTTGTTGGTCAATTCCTTCCTTGCAATATTCACGAAGTATATGACAATAAGCTGAAAAAAAAAAAAAAAAAAAAAAAGTCGGGGCTCCTGAATCGTATTACTCGATTTGGGCACCTGACCCATTAAATTTGCTCCCAGATAAAAATAATGTATCCAAGTTGGGATATAGAAAAGCGAGAGAAAAAAAAGCTCTCTCAATAAATGGAAAGCCAATAAAGAACGAACAACAAATAGGAAAAAAAATAAAAAAAAAAGTTGAATATGAAAAATTTACAATGTTGTAGGTGAGGTTGGTGAGGGTCCAGCTCAGTTCAGGTGAGATGCCTGGGATGATGTTGAAGATGAACTTGAGAAAGACAATCAGGATAATGTTGGTTAACCAAGCACCTATTAATTTTGAACACCATTCCAGTTAATGTCAGGATGCAAGAGTAATAAGAGTTAGGGTGGTGTAGACAGGCTTGCATTAATTTCAGTAACATCAGCCTTGAGCTCATTTGCTGTCAACTAGGGCCAGGCAATAACAGCTTTGTTTGAGAGAAGGAGGGAAAAAAAAAAAAAAAAAAAAAAAAAAAAAAAAAAAAAAAAAAAAAAGACATATAAAGGCCGAAAGGTCAGTAGGTAGATCATTTACCTTTGTCGTTGACCCAGGATGAGTTGAGGTTGGTTTGAGAATGTTGGTCGAGTGACTGAACATAGTCGGTTTTGTAGACCGATGCAAGCTTGGTCATGGTTATTAAGTTTTTTTTTTTTTTTTTTTTTGAAAGCTGATCTGATCCTTGAGGATATGTTGTGCAATAAGTATTATGTATGGTGACAATACCAAGTGAAATATGAAATGACACTGGCAGTTATGAATTTAAAAAAAAAAGGGGGGGGAAGGTAATAAAGAAACGAATGAAAGGTGTAGAGACAAAGTTGAGTGAGTTAACAAATGAATGGAAAAGATGAAAAGCTGAATGATGCATTAGAAAAGGGGAAAGAAGACTAAGTTACTGCGCGTCCCAAGTTCCTTTTTGAGCATAGTGACCCTGTCAATTTGCCCCACTTTTCTTTGTTTAGACAAATCTCAATCAATGTGCAAACCCATTTCCAAGTACAGGTTACAAACACGTTTCTTTTTAATGTTGCTACTAGGTTACAAAAAAAAAAGTAATAAAATACAAACATCTCACGCGATTATCTTGGACACTTTTCCTATTCCTTTGGTTCGACCCTCTCGGAAAATCTAATGATGACCATAAAGATCTGATGGTTAGGGTGTTTTTTCCTACCTTTGACTTTCTATGACAAATATTAAATAAGCAGTTCATAATCCCCTCCATGTAAAAATTGTATTACCAAACGAGCTCCGATTTTTAGATAGGCAGGCTGAAGGAATTGGAATCGGACAGTGGCACGGTCTCCTGTACGCAAGATTTGATCGGGTTTATCCATCGCCAGAACACGTGCTGTTTGGCGAACAGCACCGCAATGCAACATGGCTTGATACTTGTGGCCGATAGTGGTAGAATGGTACAGCACAAGGATCTCAGCTTCAAACTCTCGACATCCTCGAGGTGGGGGGGTTGTTTCCTTGTCCAGCATTACCATTCCTTTTCGGATAGTGGATCGACGCACCTTCTTTAATCCGAAGGAGGCACTTTGGCCCGCACAAGCTAAAGGAACATTTAGTCGCTTGCGCTGAATACTCTTGACGGTCACCATTTGAAACGCTCCATTGCCATCCGGTCCAAGGTACAGCTGATCACCCGCATGAACAATTCCGTTCATGACCACTCCACTGACAACAGTTCCAACAAAGGGAACAGAGAAAGTGTCCGTAATCTGATACTCAACAGGCTCATCCTTATTATACTTTTGACTGATAGGTAATACGTTCAAAAAGTTTTTGAGTAAATCTAGACCTTCACCAGTAACGTTACTGACTTGGAAGATAGGGCAGATACGCTCACTAACAAAATTGCCTGCTGTAACCACAACGTCCTCATGCGACTAAATACAACAAATCAAATCAATACGGGATGGTAAACAAAACTTTTTCGATTAGATCCAAGATCTTTGGTTTTAAACATCGAATCCTTACAAATACGTGAAAACTAAAAAAAAAAAAAAAAAAAAAAAAAAAAAATCGGTGTTACCTTGACAAACATGGGGATTTTTCGGCATCCAGCAGACTTGAGAATCTTCGTTAGCTGCTTTACTGTATTCTCTAATACGTTAGGCGGGCACATGTCGATCTTTGTGATAACAACCAGGACAGGAACACCCAGAGCTAGTGACAAGCCAAGATGTTCTTTGGTCATACCAATAATTCCAGCGTTGGATCCAACCATAAGCATCACGAAATCAGGAGCGCATCCAGTCATACCAAACACCGTAGTCTATCGCACGCAGAAGAGAAAAAAGGAATTATGTCTTAACAGCCCTGCCACGCTTACTTTTTTTTTTTTTTTTTTTTTTTTTTTTCCTTTAATCAAAATTGTGATATCGCCTTACCTTGAGATATCGCTCATGTCCAGCAAGATCAATAAATGACAAGACCTGAGGTCAAATGAAATGTCGCTTATTAATAAGATATACCTTACAGTTATATAAAAAAGAACAAAAAAATATACCTATATGCCTTACTTTAGCGGCTTTTCCGCAGATTTCGTCCCAGGGAGCATTCCTGCCGTTTACCAGGGTAGAAACAGGCTGCGATTTGGCATCAAACCCCAAAATTTCCATACCTACGGACGATGTTCGGCCGGAATCAATCTCGTGTTTATGTCTAAAAGGGATCAACGTCAAATGGCCCTTAGCAGACAAGGATTGGATCTTTTGATGCTATGAAAAAAAGAATGAGCTACGGATATCTTACCGGAACAAATTGACTCGTGCCTTTCCACGTCCATCATCAAGGACGCCTTTAGTAAGGACTCCTAGCAAAGTAGACTATAATAACATCATGGTGTGTTAATTACTTGTTCAGCTCTGTCAAGGCTATAGAATATATGGCCGTCAAATGGAAGCAACAAATATACCTTTCCGGCATCCTGATCGATTTGCGGAGCATAGCGATAAGAAAAAATAAAAAGACATATTAATATCAATATCTCTTCAAGATCGATCGAGCTAAATATAGGAGGTGAAAAAAAAAAAATCGCTACAACCGAGCAATTATACATACAACGTTTCCAACGACAGCGACGCGAAGCTCCAGTAATTCCTCAGCTGATTTGGGTACTTTTCGAATCATGACATAGGATGTCTTGCCCGTTGATTGATCAGTACTATCGCCTGTTGCTCCCGATGTTGACTCTGGTAGTGATGGACCAGAGTTCTTCTCGAACATAATAGCGACTTCAGCGCCAATAGCAGAAGCAGCTGTCCGAACAGTTGAGAATGCAGTCTGATATTCGGTCTCTGTAAGGTTCATAGGAGCACCATCCTCTATTTTTATAAAAGGCAGAAATATAGGAGACACGACAAGATTACATTGGGTTAACTTTCAAAAGATTTTTCTTTCTTTCTTTTTCCTTCTCAAAAGAAAATAATTGGATTAGGATTAGGATTGATTCATCAAGACTAACCTTCGATTCCAATCTCGAAGAGGGCCTCGCCAGAGCCCTCTCGTATCCTTGCTGCGAGCAAATTCTGAAGTGATTCCAAATGAGACTCTGTAGGATTAAGAAGTTGCTCCTGTAATGAATAAAGAAATATAATAGATTGAGTGATACAGTACTTTGCTGTTTTAGCGCAAATGAACAACCAACCACCAGTTGCCATGGATGCATTTTATGTGAGAGCCCTGTGAAAAAAAAGATGATGACCACATTTCCCCCTCGCGCAAAATATGCAAGTAATAGAGAGGAGAAAGGGCGCAAAGTCTAGGACTTTTTTATGGGACAATGGGCTTAGTAATGGTCACGAAGGTTCTCCGATGTCCGCTAATTGGCGAGTAGGAAAAGTAGAAGGAGGGGAAAAGCAAGGCAATGACCATTACCTTTAATGAGAGATCTTTGATGCCACTTCTTTGAGCCTCGAAACCAGCGAGGGGATCGTCAATATCATTCAAATCAAAGTCGTTGATGTTTAATGAGCTAGTTCCTTCAGTTGTATCAGCATCTATGGAGGTGACAGTGCTATCCTTAGCTAAGTTCATGGCATTGAGTTTGTCAACTATTGATGTGGCTGTAGCATCCTGGGGGGAACCGGAAGCGTGAGGTATTGAGTGTTCAGCTGATTTGTTTCCCCCTTTGACGTCGTCCTTCTTCAGCATGCTTGAGAGAGAGAAATGGATAGAGAAATAGATAGTCGGGTCAATTTGCTTTATTCCCCAATTGTTCCTGAAGGAAGGACTGGTAGCTGGGTATGAATGTGTTTTGTTTGCAAGCGGCTACTTGAGTTCTTTGTTTTTTTTTGTTGTTGTTGTTTGGAAGGTAAGAAAAGCGGCCTTTTATAAAAAAAACGAATGAGAAAAAAAGTGAATGGGAGGGAGTCTGAATGGGCTGCATCAACAAGACGCTGACTGTTGTAAGCGCGATTCTAGATGAGGCGCAGCTGAACCTTTTTTTTTCCCACTTACGATTTGGACCAAGCATGAGACAAAGTATTCTTTCTGACAGTATACAATATGTGCCCATGTACTCGCTCCAAAGGTGGAGGTTGGATCAGAGTCACTTTAACAAATCTGCATTAGGATTGAGGTTCATTCGCATGAGGCTGAGCACTTGTTGGATTCTGCTTGTTGGTTAATAGCATTCACAGAGATAATATCTTTCTTCGCACGGTCAAGCTCTCACCTGTAAGAGTCAGGAGGAGGCGCATTCGATTTGGTTTCTTCTGACTCACAATCACCTTTTTTCTTTAGTAAACTAGAAATAGCAAATAGACCTAGGTGCATGGATCTTTAAATTGTTTCTATGGGCTTCTTTTTTTTTTTTTTTTTTTAATATCTTGCTTCTTGACATGTTTTTCTTTTTTTTTTTTTTTTGATAACAAGGGCTCACGATTCTTGACATGTTTTTCTTTCAGAGGAAACACTTAAATCTATGACAGATCGTCGGTCGCACAATTCATTGCAACACTTCGGAATATGGTGATGTAAAAAAAATTCACTTGAAGTTGCAACTACACGTGAACATGAAATTTGTACAGGTTTTTCTATTCAATAGCTCGGAAGGCTGGTAAGCCTGGCCTAGTGGCTAAAACTTCCCTCTCTGTAGAGGAGGGTCTGGGTTCCAAGCCCGGAAGATCCGTTTTCTCTTGGATCAAAGCAAGGGACAGAGAGGTATGGCCTCCAACCTGAGTATGGAGCAGGTTAATTTCGCTTTGTACTAACCCAGTCTTTGCATCGTCAAAAAATGTAACCGTACCATAGATTAGAGAAGAGTCCTTAGTAGAAGAAATTGTTTATTCGATGCACACCACTACCAAATAAACCTTTCAAGGCTTTCTTCTAAGCCGGCAATCTGCCCCTGGTCTCTGACAGCAACTTCCCTACTGTTTTATCTTAACAGACAACAGGACCTTTTGGATGCCGAAGATGGCCTTGAAACTTCCAAACAGACCTATCCGCAGCTCTATCTAGTCTTGCTGAAAGAGAGCTTGAGCTGGAAAATACAAAGGTGAGCATGCACGCCAGGAGGCCAAAGCTGAAGTTGATAAAGAACTATCCAGTCACTCTGACTCGATTCGAGCTGCTGTAGAATACCAAGGATACCCTTATCGACTGCGATCGTGCACGCCAGAAGGCCAACTGCATGTTACTTGGCTCCCATGCGTGGCATACATGATGCAACTTTGCGTCAAAAAGTCCATTGCTAAGTCGAAGATGTGGAGTCCCTGTTGGAACAAGCCCAAAAGCTGTCAAGCTTGTTGCAGACCCCTAACGGCAGTGTGTACCTGAAAGTAGCGCAGAAGTCCTTAGGGGTAATTGAACTTAAAAGCGTAGGGATACACTGAGACGCGCTGGAATTCCTACTACATCATGGCCGAGCGCATTGTAGTTTTGTCCGAGGCCGTCGCAGAAATGATGGGAATACTTGACCAGCCAGATATCCCACCAGAAATGAAAAGGTTCTGGAAATCTAATAGAGACACTTTTCTTTGTGGTGACAAGGTCAAGCAACTCAAAGAGGTAATCGAGGTCCGATCCGCAATGGCTTTCACAGAGACGATGAGCGGCAAAGGTCCAGTTGTGCCGGAGTTATACCCAATGATCCACTCCATCATAACAGAAGAGTAAGAGTGATGTTCCCGGGAGCCACAGCTCTCCGTGCGGAGTTCGTCAGTCGTCTGCAAAAGAATTTTGATCTGGATAGCATACTAGACGCAATTCTGATTAGAAAATCCTTGAACCCTGCGTTTGCTCATCATCGTTTGTTCCAGTATGAGAACCAGGACGACGCCGCTAATGATGCCAGTGCGCCAAAAACCTTAGCTATCAAAGTTAGGAGCTGATACACGATGGTCAACAACGGATACTAAGAAATATGCGCAACTCTACTCTGATCCCCTAAGCCCTGAGGCTCTTGGCCGGCACTTGAAGTTTAGTATCGCTGAATACAAGATACTAATGGAAAACATACCGGAGGCTTGCTCAACATACAAAGCAGAGCCAGAGACCTGGTGGCGCCACAGCCACCGCACTGCGAGCTACTTGGCGCCCACTGCCCGCGCGTATTTGAGTGTCCAAGCCACGTCTGTCGCAAGTGAACGGCTTTTCGGCGACGTAGGGTATCTTCTCAGCGATAAAAGAGCAAACTTGAGCACTTGCGTCTTTACGAAAATGGTTCTATACAGGTCAATTCATAAAGTTTTGCAGTCAGGAAAAAGATTTGCTCTTGTGTCGGGAAATATATAATTTCATTTATTAATTATCAATTAGAGATTCTCCTTTTCCCAGTGACTTGAACTGATGTACACCCCTCCCAATGACTTTCTGAGTAGGACTTTCTATTCTATTTTGATTCAATCGCGACCACAGAACGAGAAATATATTCTGAATGGTTTTTTTAAGTCGCCTTCGCGTCTCAATTCAATCGTATTCTAAAAAATAGTAAAGTCAATGGGAGGGGGGTGTACATCAGTACGAAACACTGCCTCAAAGTTTGTCGATATGCTACACTGCCAGCAAAGTCTAGGGTTTAATTTTCAATCACATGACCCATCCATCCCCAAATGTAGGAATTGAATGATCTTTAAGTTTTTTATTTTCACACACAAAGGTATTTAGGAGACAATATCGAGTGGATGAATCCGGACAACTTATCGTTGCAATTATCCATCGATCCATAGATAAATGAAAAGCGACTCAACTATCTAACACTTTCTACATCAGCAATCATTTATTTGATTTGGACTGGAAAACAAGAAGAAAGATCTCTAATGTTATCGTGGAGAAGTCGCCAAACCCTTGTCTTTACGCATGGTTATATCATACACGCTTTTTATTTTCTTGGCGCCAGTTTTTTTTTTTTTTTTTTTTTTTTTTAGACCAGGAGAATCCAAAATCAACTTTATCACCTATGGGAGCTGATATTTTATGATAGTTATGGTTCTCAGTCTGATGAAAAGATGTTGGAATGAATGTAGTTGATCAAGGATGTCTGGATTTTGAATGAACAGCGATTCCAGGAATTGGTGCAATTAGCTTTTTTTCTGCAATCGATAATCTTACTGGAAGAAACAGAAAACTTGATCAGCTACTTGACTCACACATCTTTTCATCAACTGAGACTCGATGGCACTGTAGAGGAATATTAGCTTCCATTTGAGATAAACTAGATTTTTGGACCCAACGATGCAAGGATATAATATGATCATTCGTGGAGATACTCAAACGGGATATTAGGGGAAAATATCCGTGGAAAACATCTTGATTATCAGCTGCGAGATCAATTGAACTCAACACTTTTGCATATACGTTTTTTGTTGTTCTTGTTGGCGTTACGACAATCAATCGTTTAGACTAAAAATGGGAGCCTACAAGTATCTCGAGGAGTTGGCCAAGAAGAAGCAGTCTGATGTTATGCGCTTCTTGCTCCGCGTTCGCTGCTGGGAGTACCGTCAGTTGAATGTCATCCACCGCGCCTCGCGCCCCTCGCGCCCTGACAAGGCTCGTCGCTTGGGATACAAGGCCAAGCAGGGATATGTCATCTACCGTATCCGTGTCCGCCGTGGTGGTCGCAAAAAGCCTGTTCCCAAGGGTGCTACCTATGGCAAGCCTGGTGGACATGGTGTGAATCAGCTCAAGTACCAGCGTTCGCTCCAGGCCACTGCTGAGGAGCGTGTTGGCCGCAAGTGCGGTAACTTGCGTGTCCTCAACTCGTACTGGGTCAACCAGGATTCGACCTACAAGTACTTCGAAGTCATCTTGGTCGATCCCTCCCACAAGGCCATCCGTCGCGATCCCCGTATCAACTGGATTGTCAACCCTGTCCACAAGCGCCGTGAGGCTCGTGGTCTTACCTCAGCCACCAAGAAGAACCGTGGTCACGGCAAGGGCCATGGCTTCAACAAGACCATTGGCTCTGGTCGCCGCGCCAACTGGAAGAGACGCAACACCCTCTCTCTCCGTCGCTACCGTTAAAGTATCCTCCTTTCTTTCTTTCTTTCTTTTTTTTTTTTTCTGGAATTGGGCATCTACTTGATCGTTTTCTTTTTATTTTTGACTTGCCATCTCAGCTGAGTCGTTTTCATATCTGGAAATAAATGTTTAATGTGTTCTCCAATATACTTTCGAAAACGAGCATTACTGGAAACCATGTTTGATGGCAAGTCCAGTTGCACTATGGACAATTCATATGAGATGGATGCAAACCAATTTTTGATTGGTGATTAAGGAGTTCTTTTGCGAACATGTCAAGCATACTTGCTCCTCAACACTTGATATATTTTAAGTAGAAATGATCTTTTAAATGATGCATTATTCAAATAACATATGGTGCGCTTTTTGCGATAGGACGATACACTTGAAGAACTGGAGGAAATGTATGGCCCAGTATTGTTTTGCCTCATTGGCTTTGAAGGTATCATTAGGTGTTGTCGCCGAGGAAGGGTGATATTCAGCGAACTGATAAGCCTCAAATATGATTCTCCAGCAGATATCGATTGGGTGTAGTTGAACTTTTTTGGCGAAGGCTGGCATGTTTACGTGCTCTGCGCTATCTTTTAATAGGGATAACACCCATTGGGATTGCTTGTTGAACGAGCTGTATGTCAGTTTGATAGTGAATCTCATTTCGTCAATCGTTGAGTAAATGTCATAATGTGATAATCAAAATATTTCCAGCCAAGAGAGACGCGCCCCAGAGCCAGAGATTCTTGACCACCAGTCCGCACCTCAGTTGGGCCGGCAACCCTATTCATCACTGACGAATGGTAAATTGCCCTGCCTCAAGAAAGCAATGCATTGGAAAGGTGTTTGTGTTACTCTTGTACACATCAAATATCAAATGTTCTCCTTCACAGATCGCGTCTACAATGCACTAGAGATTTAAATTGTGAAGCTCTGAAATCAAGAATGTGAAAAATATTCAAAAGGTTAAAGACTTTGTGCATCAATACCCCAGCTTGCATTTTTCTTGGTCTTTTACCCCTGCTTGACCCATTGGGCTTGTTGTCCTCCGCTTGAGGCAACCCAGCCTTTCCTTTTATCTAATCCGCTGGATTTTGCTCAACCTTCCCTTACTTTCCATAGCTTCAGTAGCAGCTGTCGTCGCTGTCGTCGTTGTCCTCCTCATTGGTTCTTTAGGCTTGCTTCCTTCTCCCTGATATGACACAGAGATTGAAGCCATATAAACCCATCAAGCATATGAGACTTTTTTTTTTTTTTTTTTTTTTTCTTCTTTTCTTTTTCTTTTTGTAAAGCAAGGTAAGAGACCCAGTCCATAAAGTCGATATCATTTATCGCGAACATGGACGCTGCTGCAACAAGAATTGGCGGCGGTCCAATCATTTCCCTTCATTTCCAGCCATTGAGAAAAGTAAAAAAACGAGTTTAAATCATTGACTCCTCCGCTCCGCTCTTCACAAAATCCCGCTGCGTACTCTCTCCACACATCTTTTTTTCTTTTTTCATCTTTCATCTTTTCCCTTTCACCTTCCCTCACCTACACCTCCGCCTTTACTTCTTATTTTCGATTTCAGTTTCCCTAGAAACAAAAATTAATAAAATGAAGATCACTTCCCTAGAGTCCTTACCTGTTGCCTATGTCTCTCACGATTCAAAAGTAGAAAAAAAAGTCCTTTTGAAAAATGGGGAAGTGCCTCATGTCACCCAACTAGCTGTAGCGACACTGAAACCAGGCGAACAAGCATCAATGCATCATCACACAGACATGACTGAGAGTACGAGAATCTCGTTTTTTTTTTTTTATCATTTTCTATAGAAAGAAACAGGTGCCTCTGTGGTTACTCATGTTTTATTATTATTACTATTTTTGTTCAACAATAGCATTTCACTTTCAGTCCGGATCAGGAGAGATGGAGGTTGATGGCAAGATCTTTAAAGTCAAAGCTGGTACAACTGTCACGGTCTTTCCAATGGAGGCACATGAGATCAGGTTAGGAGCATCAGAATCAATTTCACATTCTTCATTCTTCATTTAAATGTAGCTTGCAATGTGGAGTTTCATTCATTAACAAGTGTTATAATTTTATCCTATCAGGAACAATGGGTCCAAGGACTTGGTCGTAATTTACTTTGGAATTGTCTGATCCCTCAGGACAGTAGGGCATTTCTTGATAACGGTTGCCCGACATTTATATTTATATCCCCTTCATTAATTAATAAAAAAACCATACATTTCAATTGTCCTACATTCTCTTTTTTCTGTGTTCCTGATCCATGCATCCTGGCATGCTCCCATAGGCTTGGAAGGGCTCCCTTTCTTTCCCTCTTGAAGATTATTTTAAGCTCCTCACAATATATTAGCTCGTACCACGCACGTTCGAGGCATTGCATTCATCGCATCGCATTGCATTGCATTGCATTGCATTGTTTTTTTTTTTTTTTTTTTTTTTTTTAGTTTTTTATTTTTTATTACAGTACATCTTGACGACTCACTCCTCTTTTGTCATGACGACTCCTTAAAACCACAAGCCAAGAACCCAAAGACTAGAACAAGAGAAAAGCGATACCCCGATTTTTTTTTCTTCTTTATCTTTCAATACCACCCTTTCTTTCTTTCTTTCTTTCATTTCCACAAGAAAAAAACAAGCTAAAAGAACCACGCTCACAATGTCAAATTCAACAGCAGGAGCTCGCCTGCGTAATAGGCATGAAACAAAAGCATTAGATCACATTTCAGGAAGCAAGTCCACAGAGACAACCAGTACATTAACGGCTACAGAAACAGATATTAAGCAAACCATCAGACACAGGAGTCATGCCACCACAAATGATCATAGCAATGGAAATGGAAATGGAAATGGAAATGGAAATGGAAATGGAAATGGAAACGGGCATGGACAATCATCCAAACTTAATGGAATCTTAACAGACAAGAGAACTACAGCATACGAGCGCGATAATGACCAGGACAGTAGTGGCAGCGAAACAAATGAAGAGACCAATATTTCTCTACAGTACGTGAAGTTTTTTTTTATTACTGCTTTATTACACAAAGGAAGTTTTTGACTCGAACTCATTTTATATCATGCTTTTTTTTTTTTTTTTTTTTTTTTTTTTGGTAGAGATTGGCCATACTGTCCATCTTTTTCGGTTGCATTCAAGGTATTGTTTCTTGTACGTGCCTTGGCAGCGACTTATTCCAACATCTCGGACTGCGATGAAGTGTTCAATTTCTGGGAACCAATGCACTATCTTCAATATGGATCAGGATTGGAGACATGGGAGTATTCACCCGTCTATGCTATCAGAAGTTGGGCTTACATTCTGGCCAATGCTTTGCCTGCAGAGATCGCTCGTCTTGCTTTGAGTGCCAACCGTGTAAGATATCTTTGGGCCTTGTTGCCTTTTCGTGTGTGTGTTCCCTAGTTTGTCGGAGGAATTGGATCTTTTTTTTTTTTTCTGTAAGATACCACTGTATTAACCTCTTATTTTTTTATTCGTTCTTTTCTTAATATAATAGCTTCAAGTATTTTTTATTTTGAGGATCATCTTGGGGGCACTATCAGCACATTGTGAAGCAACACTTTACAGAGCAGTGGTGGAGGAAGTGGATCCCAGGATAGGGCGGTATCTTTTCTTGGCCCTTATCAGTAGCGCAGGAACATGGATTGCCTCCAACGGTATAGTTACTTTGATCAGGCATCATGGAATTTCTACTTTAACCACTCATTTTCGTCTACAGTGAAAGAAGGAAGTTTATCCGAAGCTGACTTTTTTTTTTTCCCCCCTTCTTCTGACTATATGATGAAATCAAAACAGCATTCTTACCGTCATCGTTTGCCATGTATACCACCATGCTCTTCTTCAGCCAGATGCTTCAGTCCCCAGGCCAGCATTCATCAAAGAGAACATTTTGGGCCATCTTTTGGGTTGGGTTAGGTGCACTTCTTGGTTGGCCTTTTTCTGCTGCTGTGGGTCTACCGTTTGCACTCGAGGAATTGCTAATTCATAGCAGGGATCATAGTAAAAAGAAAACAGTCAGGTTCAGGGATTGGCGCGTGATGCGGCTGGTCCGTCTCACGACATTTGCAATCATAGTGCTGGGATGTGTATTGGTGAGTTTTTTTTTTTTTTTTTTTTTTTTTTTTTTTTTTTTTTTCTTTTCTTTTTTTATTGAGTGTCGTTTTGTTTTGATCCTTTCTATCGCGGTGATTAAATTACAAAATCTTCTATTATAGATCCCGATTATGATCATTGATCATTACTATTACAAGAAATTGGTTATTGTCCCACTCAACATTGTTCTCTACAATGTGTTTGGAGGTGAAAATGTTGGACCTGACATTTTCGGTACAGAGCCCTGGTGGTTTTACATCTTGAATGGTCTCTTAAACTTTAATATACTCTTTGTTGCGGCCCTTGCCTCCTTCCCAATGTTGGTATGTATTAACATGTGGATGGCAACCTATCATTTAGTTATTCTCTTAGCTGCAATATGCATGGTCATGTATTGTTTACTGAAGCAAAAAAAAAAAAACAAACTTAGATCTTTGCGTATTTTACCATCCCACACGTGCTTCCAAACCCAGCTACTAGTTTGAGGATTAAGAATCCACTTCTTTGGTTCACACTCAAGATTTCGCCTTTCTACCTTTGGTTTGCCATATTCACAGCCCAACCTCATAAAGAAGAGCGCTTCCTTTTCGTCGTATACCCATTGATCTGTTTCAATGGTGTCTTGACCTTGTATCTGGGCCAAAAGATTGTACAATGTATACTCGATCGATTTGTCACGCGAACCAAGGTAGAAAACTAACCTTTTTGTTCAATTTCGGCTACAGCGTTTGTAGCTTTTTTTTTTTTTTTTTTTTTTTTTAATTGTCCATTCACTGACAGACTTTTTTTTTTTTTTTTTTATATAAAATTTGTAGACGGCAGCAATACACAAGTATTCTACTGGTTTAGTTTGGGTCATTCTGATTGCATCAGCACTCATCTCAATGTCCAGGATCGTTGCCCTGTATGACCATTATAATGCACCTATTGAAGTTTACAGGAAAGCATTTGATCTTGTCAAAGTTCCAGAATCAATCAGTGGTGTTGTTAGTATTGAAGGAACTGCTGCTGACCCATTAGTTCTGACGGATAAATCCACCGGATCAGGAGAGAAAAAACAAAAGGAAAAAGTGGAAACGATTCGAGTTTGTGTTGGAAAGGAATGGTACCGGTTTCCTTCACATTATTTCCTACCTGAAGGTGCAAAGCTTGGGTTCCTCAAGAGTCATTTTGATGGACTGTTACCGGGAGAATTCATAGAGATGAACGCCAGTAGTCGTACGGAACATTTGGGAGAAGAAAAAGAAGGATTTGCAACTTTGCTTAAAAAGCCCTCTGCCACAGATGGTAAGGAGCATCAACCTATGCGACTTGACTGGCGGTGGAGTGCAGAAAGACGACCAGGAACTTCACATACTCCTAAGCTAATGAACAACGAAAACAAGGAGGTTCATGAGCATTATGTAAGTTTTTTTTTTTTTTTTTTTTTTTTTTTTTTTGATAATCTTTTATCTTGTAAACTATGGATTGCTTTTTTTTTTTTTTTTTATTTTTATTTTTTTTTCTAACTCTTCCCCTTCTCCTCCCCCCCTCCTCCCTTTTTTTTTTTTTTTTTTTTTTTTCTAAAAAGATCTCCTTGGATCAATGTGATTACTTGGTAGATTTGGATTATAGTGGCCGTTATACTGAAAGCGGCGGAGAAGAAGGAGAAGATCCGATTGAGCGACGATACCTGAAGGATAAAGATCATTGGGAAAGACTATATTGCAAAAGATTTTTGGATACACAGGTTGGAGCGGGTCGTAATCGATGGGTGCGAGCGTTCTGGATGCCCGACAAAATCACACTTGCTTTGACAAGAGGACAGCCAAAGGTTTGGGGCGATTACTGTCTAGCACGACGTAAACCCACCACTGCAACTGCTTGAAGAAAAAAAAAAAAAAAAAAAAAAAAAAAAGAGAGGATTAGTGGTGATGATATGCAGATATAACACAAGCAATACAGCTTTTTTTACAATATACGCATACGAATACACATATATGAAGGATTTACTAGATGCCAATTTGGTGTCTGACCCGTTTATTTCTCATTAATAAAAACAGCCTAAACTCGTCACCAGCTTGAGATTGATGTGCAACTTGGTTAATATTGAAAGTTACTCTTACATATTGGGTATAAAAGATTATTTTTAACTTTTAATAATTAGTCAAGATAAATTTGAAAGATCAAAAATAAAAAACAAAAACGAAAAAAAAAAAAAGGTAGTTTAATTCCAGTTAAAGCTAGTTGATGTGGAGGGACTCCAAAGCTTGTGCTTCGTCTTCTTCCTGAATGGCCAAATCCGCGGCATAGAGTCGTAACTCTGTGATCATTTTAAGAAGACGGATTCGTCGTCCTGTAGAGGTTACTCCCATATCCTTGAGGGTATCGTGCGTCAATTCCAACAGAACATCACCGGTGATGTCGTGATCTTTTTATTTTTTTTTTAACAAAGAAAAAGAAAGAAGTTTTAGTCCAAGGTGAATACAATGTTGGGAGGCAGTGAAGCCCTTTTTTTAAATGAGTTGTATCAACTAGGGGGGTTTTTTTTTATTTATTTATTTACCTTTGAAGATTTGAACAGTATCTTCATATCCATTGCTCTTGAGCCATTGACCAGTGGTATCAACAGTCCAATTGTGCACATGTCCATCCAATCCCTTCAAAACTGTAAAAAAAATAAAAAGGGTTATTCTCAGGATTACGGTATTTTTTAAAAAAATGATTTTTTTTTTTTTTTTTTTTTGGTTCTTTACGTTCTGCACCATTGGTTAAAGGGAATTTCGCGCGAACAGCTCTGGCATGGTTCAGTCGTTGAAAGTTTTGAGCAGTTGTCGGTGCTAAAGAAACATAACAAAGAAGAAATTGATCAATTACTGTACTATACACCACTATCACCTTTTTTTTTTTTTTTTTTTTAAATAAAAAAAAAAAAGCTTACTGATAAGGTTCTTGCCAGCAGAAACCCATGACGATGCTCCAGGCGGCAACTCTGCCATTGCATTTTCTGTTAAAGAATCAAAATAAATGAATAAAATAATAATAATAATAATAAAAGATTAGAGAGAAGGCATTACAAGGGATTGAACTAAATAAAAGAATAAAAGTGCCATTTACCATGCTCTCCATGACGATCCATGCCTCGCGCACAAATGAAAAGACTGATATCACGCAAGATCTCGAGCATATCACAGTCGGTGTATTGGTTATCAAAGATAGCATTGGAATCACCTACTTTTTGTTAAAATGATAAAAATAAAATGAGTCTTTTTTTTTTCTTTTTTTTTCTTTTGTACAAGCCCATGCGACTTTAGTTTCCTTTTCCTTTCCCTTTTCCCTTTCTTTTCGAACGCACCAAGAGTTGAGGTACCTGAATCAGAAGAATCACGCCTATGGAGGATACTAGCTCGACGACTCGCTCCACGACTGATAGTACTGGCGTTGCTGCTAAGACCATGACGATTAGGGAAAACCTGGAGTCGAACTGTTCCTTTGCGTCCCTTGACAAGGTCCGAGTTGACGAGGTCCTCGAATTCCTCTGCTCCACTGATCGTGCACAGATCACCGTCCATGTCCGTGTACTTGACCGTGAACTCGTTCTCGAGTTGGAATGTGTTTTGGAGCTGATGTTTTATGGCGAATAGAGTAATTTAAGGTTAGTAACGACAGATAATAGAAACCTTTTTTTATTTTATTTTATTTTATTTTTCTTGATCATTTATACCTTCTTTTTAAGATCATGGTATTTGATTTGCTCAATGTCGATCGACAATCGTCGGCAGTCATCATAATGCCATGCCTTCACTGTTGCGGTCATTTTCGGATAATGAAAGAAAAAAAAAAAAAGAAAAAAAAAAAAGTAGGGAGAGGAGGGTGTAAGGTGAAGAAGGAAGGAAAATGAAAAGAAGAAGAATAGGTATATACTCTTAAAGAGGAAGAGATCAAACAAAAAAAAAAAAAAAAAAGAAAAAGAAAAAGAAAAGGAATTCAATCTTTTAAAAAGAAGAATAAAAAAAAAGAAAAGAAGTTCGTAAGGATAAGGTAGGGATATGAAAGGAGAATGGTGTTGTAATTGGAGTCGTTAAAACAGCGTTCGTCAATTGAAAAAGATAGTGATCACACAAAGCAAGAAAAAAAAATGTCTAGAACGTTAGGGTATAAAAAGCGTTAAAACATAAATGGGTAGCGGATTTGAGGAGAGTAGAGGGGGAAAGGAGGATGCGAAGGAGGAATGAAGGTCGTTAAAGAGAAAGACAAAAGACAGAAATTCAGGAACCAAAAAAAAAAAAAAGGAAAAAAAAAAAAAAAAGAAAGAAAAAAGAAAAAGGAAAGCTTTGTCTGTCCCCGTTGGACCCCTTTATATTTCATGAGGAATGAAGGATCCTGATACATATCCCCGACTTCATCCCCCTTTCACCTTCGTCTGTAGCTCTTGCTCCTGCTCTCCCTCTTTCTCTCTTTTGTTTTTGCTCTCATGGTCATTCGTTCATTCGTTAGCACAGGGCAATAATAAGTAGAGTAGATCAGATGCCACGATGTCCCAAACAAAAGAAACAGGGGCAGATGGCATTTGCGCACGCACCTGTGCTTATAAAATGTTATATAACATCATCAATGGTCCCTATTCAATCATGCATGCCGCCAAAAACACAAAAAAACATGCGCGCATGCACATGGGCTTGCAATGAACATAGGGGGTGTAACAGCTATATTGTATAAATATATATATATATATAATATAAATAATAAAGCAAATTAAAATAAATAGCCACGGCTCATTCACGAGCAGATCACCGGATCACAATCGCGTGGATCGACTGATCATTCCTCTCCTTTGTTGTTGCGCGTGTCTTTTTATACATGTTTGATATGGATTAATAGCCCTTTGACCCTTCCACTTCTTTCCTCTCCTTTTGTTCTCCCTTCCTCCCCCAGCCTTTTTGCTCTGATTCGATTGGATGACCAAAGCATTCTAATCTATGAATCAGTTGCAGGCTCAACTACTCCTCCTTGAATCAATCCCATGCCTAATGTCGTGACCAAGAAGAAGAAGAAGAAAAAAAACCTTTTTTTTCATTTCATTCTTAGCTTGATTGACTATAGCCATGTGGAATGAAGAAAGTATGATATGTATATATACACAAACATATTTATGAATGGATTTATCATCTTTGTCAGCTTTGATGATGGAAACATTCACACGATAAAAACAAATGAAACGGAAAACGGGAAACGGGAAACGGGAAACGAAAGATAGAAGACAGAAGTTAGTTAACTTTAGTATGACAAAGCAAACATAAAACACATTTAAAGAAAAAAACAAAATGAAATAAAATAGAGATTGGATAAATCACCATCCACCACAAGTGACAAACATCAGGACCACATACGAGGAAGTGTTGGTTACTACTTTTTTTAAAAAAAATGATGGGGTTTGGCTCTTGTCGACTGTTCACAATGTGGTCTGACCGCAAAGTTTTTTTTTCATTTAAAAATAATATCACACGCCTTGCAGATGATGATGACCCATTTCTTTAAGTCACTTGTCCCTCCACTTCTTCATCTTTCATCTCCGTTTAGTAGCCTGACTCTGCCCTTGGTTCGAGCGCAGACTTGAAACAAAAATATCTACAAAATCTCTATCCTCCTGACAACCGTGCCCCAACCGTACTGATATTATGGGGAACGTGATAGGGGGGAAGGGAAGTATGGAAGTATTAGGTCAAGTTTGATCGGAGTTTCTATTGTATAGTTAAATAGTATTCTTTTTTATCTATGTGTCTGACGCGTTTCTTTTTTTTTTTTTTTTTTTTTTATATTTTTTTTTTTTTTTATATTTTTTTTTTTTTTTATATTTTTTATTATAACTATTATATATAATACCTATTGCTGATAACTATTTCTGGGGAATATCTTCCTATCTCTTTTTTTTTTTTTTTTTTTTTTTTTTACTTTTCAAGACCGATCATGGTATCGTAATCTATTCAATGCAATGAGGTATTCCTTAGCGGCTCCACTAGCACTGGTGTCATGGTATCCTAATGGTCCGATATCACAGTCTGCACAAGACAAGAACTGAATCCCATTCGGTAATTTTTTACTGAAGCCAATGTTTTCAAACGACATCATGTTGGTCACTTTCCAAAAGGATTGCAATTCCTCTTCCGTTGTTGTTGTCGTCGTTACTGTCGTCTTCTCTGATTCGTCGCCATCTGTAGTATCGTTATTGATTACATTTCCTTCTGATTCCACCTCCTCAATGGTTGAAACGGCTGCATCCAACAATGGGAGTTTTGGTAGTGCCAACTAAAAAAAATATATATATTTTTTTTTTAAAAAAAATTAATGCTTGTTGTAAATCATTAAAAAGATAAATAATGTCATATTGTCCTGGGAGAGCTTTTTTTTTTATTTTTATTTTTATTTTTTTGGCTTTATTACCTTGCTTTTCTCTCGCTGGACGAGTTCTGCAGCGGAAGCAAGGAGTATTTTACAGCGGCAGCTTTCCTGGGGACAATAGATGTCAAACTTGTTGACCTGTTTCTCTGCATGGGTTTCAATGAGATCTTGTTCATCTGGGAATGCTGAATATTCCTTGCCTGGATTCCTCGTTGCGGTAGCCATTGTGATGTGTTACTGTCAAAAGCTGCAAGTCTGAAAAGAGTGAGAATAAAGGAACAACAGTGGGCGAGGTAAGAAATTGAGCTCCTGTTTCAATGTAGTTAGTGGCTTTGCACCCCATATTTACGCATAAGGCAATTGATCAGGTTGCTTAGAAAGCAGAGGGCCATGCATGGTAATTTTTGGATAGAAGAAAGCTAAACGCTGAACTGATGAAGAAAATACAGGCTAACGTTCTTTTGGATTCCGGATGTTGTCACCATTCTAGGATTCATATTGCCACGTGAGAAAGCCGCTTTAAAAAGTGCCGGATTTGATCTGTAGACAATTCTCCGGTAACAAGTCAAGAAATAATAATTCCCCGCTCGGCTTGTCCAACTCTTCTTTCCTTTCTTCTTTCCTTCCTTCCTTCCTTCCTTCTATAAATTTCTCTTCACCGCTTTTTTTTTCTCTGTTTCTTCTTCCTCCTTTTCTTTGTCATCTTGTTTACTATTTTCTCCATTTCTGTCAACTCACTCTTGCATTTTGCATATCTAATCTGTTAATATAATATTTAAGAAAAATGGCCACAGACTTGGAAAAGTACACGGAACAGGCCACGCTGCCTTTTTCCTCCTCAGAGCTCGGCGCGTTTCACCGCTTCCATGCATATAACTGGGATGGAGATGAACATTTCCAAGCTGGCCTCAGAACTATCACTCAGGCACAACCATTACCACCGTCTCTCTCGGAATTATTGAAAATGAAGCAGTATTACTTTTCAACGAGGTAAAAGAAGGACAAAAGAAAAGTAGTTCATTTCTCTCATTCCATTCATACATGTTCATGAGTGCGCAGAATTGGAGTATGGAGTGAAATGCCATGGGTTGCTTGCATGCATTCGTTCTCTCTTTACTCTCTTATAAAAACAAAACTAAATTATTTTAAAAAAAAAAAAAAAAAAAAAAAAAAAAATAGGCTCGGTACACACATCAACTTGGATAATTATCTGTCCTGGAGGAAACATCTGGAGAAGCCGTCTGATGACCCTAATGTTTTGATCTTCAAGCGATTCGACGAATATGACTTTGATAACGATCCTAGATTTCAGAGTGGACTACCTAATATTGTCAGTCAGCTTGTCAAAGATGGAAAAAGTACGTTGGATAAGGCTGCGCTTCAAAAGGAGATGACTAAGGCCAAAGCTTTTTATTACGCTAGGTAAGAAGATCGCACCATGATGCCTAGCCGAAGTAATCTCGTTTCAAGCCTCGAGCTTTCATCCACTCACTTATCTTCTTCATTCATTCTAATAACTTTGGATCAAATAGATTCATTGAGCTCTTCGATTTCCCTGCATACTTGAACTGGAAAGAATTGGAAAAATCACAGGATGGACCTGCCTGTCCGTTTGCACATCTCTGGCAGAACAAAAGCGAGGGCTCCTCCAGTGAGCTCGCAGAGGACGCTCAAAAATTCCTGACCACAACCGCCCCAGTCTCTACAGGCGCACTCCAAATTCACATCCATTCACCAGCTACAAAAAACGTCTGGACTGGTGTTCGATTAGCCAAAATGAATCAAGCCATCTCTGATGCGAATGATAAGGACACTATCACCTCTATCTTATTGACTGCAAACAGCGGAGCCCCTACTCAGGATCGGCGTGATCCAGAATCCTTGATTGTCACCAAAGACGAAAAGTGGTTCAGCGGAGGTCTTGTAACAAGCGGATCAACAGAAATGCAGGATAAACAAGATCCCGCAAAGTTCAAGGAGCTGCAACGACAATATTTCAGTGTCGTGGATCAGCTTACTGCCATCAATTGCCACCACCATAAGCCAGTAGTCTGTGTAGCAGATGGGATAGTATCTCTATCAGCTGCATACCTTGCTTTTGGTTCAGGAGGACAACGTGTCATCACTGAAAATGCAACTCTCTCATTTACACCTTTGAAAGCGATCGAGCTTCCACCTAATGAAGCTCTTAATCCCTTTGCAGGATTGCATCTACTTGCTCAGATTCAGACACATGCCAAGTCTGACAGTGGCGCTCGCTCGCTACCCAAGAATATTGGTCATTATCTCGCATTCTGTCCGGACAATATCCTCCGCGGACCAGATTTGCGCAAACTTGGGTTGGCAGATTTTTTCATTTCATCCTCAAAGAAAAATGATATTGAGAAAGCTGTACTTTCTGTTGCGGGATGCCCACCTCCACACACAGTACAGGCTATCCGAATGGCTCTCAACGCTGAGGTCGTGTACCCTGGTCCTCCAAAGATTGATGTTTGGCGATCTGAGATCAAAGAGTGCTTTGATGTAAGTTTTTTGCTTTCGAGCACAGATATATGCGTAGTTATGTAACATGCTATTGCTTTATTTAGCAGTGTTGCTAAACATCCTAAACTTTTTTTTCTCCTTAATATTTCTAGGATGCGGCTTCCTTGGATGATGTTGTCACCAAGTTGGAGAAGTACAACAACAATTGGTCAAAATCCATCCGAGAATATATCGCATCATTGGAGCCTGTCTTTGCCAAGGTACAATATTGTTATAGAAGCTCCTTGCACTCATGTACACGAGTCCTCGCATTTAAAACAAAACACCTGACTTGGTTTTATATTATTATTGCTCTAGCTTCTCTTTGAGGCTATTACTAAAGCATCTGAAATGGCCTCTTTCCAAGAACGTGCACGCCTCGAATACCGACTGAATGTGCGTTATAAGGATTATCTCTTATCAAAAGATACAACTGCTGAGGATGATATCAAGGACTTGCAGGTATTCTTTGAACCGATTGAAGAGGAGGAGTCAGAGTTATTCACATTCCCCTTTACTGAGTGGATCAAAGAACATGGCAACGAAAATGAATTCACGAATACTGTCAAGACGAACGGTAATAGTATTGAAGAGCAGGATGCTACACAAGCCTGCCCATATCTTCGTTCTAAAACTGATGGTGACAGGCATACTGCAATGCCATCTGATCATCCGACTATTATAACCGGAGCTGAACTTAATGATCCAGAGGCTGTGAAGACATGTCCATTTTTATCTGCGAAAAAATCGGGGCAGGACTCGACAGCATCAAATAGTACAGGTGTCGGTGTGCCTGATGATCATCCAAAAATCCCGGGTGTAGACTTTTCAGATGCGAAGGCAGCTGAGGCATGTCCATTTTTGGCTGCAAAAAAGGCCCAAGATGATGATGAGAAGAAGGATCTGCAGCCCGTAACAGCTACGACTAGTCCTACCACTGTTACTACGGCGGTATCCTCTACAGTTCCTAATGACCACCCTGTGATCCCAGGTGTTGACTTTTCGAATCCAGCAGCCATGGCTTCGTGTCCATTTTTGGCCTCACAAAAAACCAAATAGAACGTAAAATAAAATTTTTTTCTTTGTTCTTTATTACTTTAAATCGACTTGGACAGTAAAAGGGAAAAACTTCCTTGGCTGTGAAATACGACTTTTTTTTTTTTCTTCTTCTTCTTCTTCTTCTTCTTCTTCTTCGTTTTCTTCTAGCACTTTTTGAAAGGGTATGCTACAGGAACTAAGTAAGGATAAAGAGATGCCACGGGAACTGGAACATTGTATGGGACGGAGTAAGGGATCGAGACTGTAGGAGCGACATTGACTTCAGGTGCGATGTCTGTGTTGGCAATGACATTCGATTGTGTTACTGCCCAGGAATGGGGAGAGATGACAGTATCGGGTGGATAGATATTGGGTATAGGTCTGGATCTGGATCTGGATCTGAGCCTTGAAGAAGGAGGAGGAAGAGGAAGGCCCATGCCCGAGACGGGAGATGCGGACGCGAGACATAACATGCAGACTACAAAGAAATAGATAATTGCAGCTGCGCTGACAAGATGTCTAAAAAGGGGATCCATTCTTTTTTTTCCTCTTTTACTTGTGAGTTTGGAAGATTATAGACACAAAGAAAAAAAGAAATTGAAACGTACGGAGAGGGTGTATTTAAGAGGATCTTTTTACACAGGAAGGGGATCCATCTCTTGTATTCCTTCTATTGCTCAGATCTCCTACTCTATCACTTTGAAGAGGTGATCCAGAAAAAAGAAAAATTGCCAATCTGATATTGCGAGGTGTTTATCATTTTTTTTTATTTTTTTTTATTCGAATGTAGACATCCGATATTAGCCGTATTTATATTTTTTTTTTGTCTATTATATTCTACAATTTATCACTCCTTTACTCGTCCATATCCTTCCATGCCTCCTCATATCTCATTCTCCTAGCCTTTGCCTTTTCAAAGTGCTTTTTACGGTTGACGTCAAACTGATAAAGAAAAAAAAAAAAAAAAAAAAAAAAAAAAGAATAGGGATAGAAATAAAAGATATTATCAGATCAGAGTGGATAGCAAGACTGATAGAGTGATTGATGTCAACATCAGAATAACATTAATAACAATAACAATAGCAATAACCATAATAGTAATATTAAGTGTTACCTCGGCCTGAAGACATTCATTCATGGCTTGTTTGAGTGAATTGCATCGACCCAAGTACCGGTTGAGGACGTTTTCATGATGGCATCGATCGAGTTGAAGAATAAGGTCTTCACATGAGACATGTTTGTGCAAGTCAAGTTTGGAATGCATGGTCAAGTAAAAATTACAAGAGTGGTTGCGTCTGTGTGTTCTGTCTAGAGAGATGTTGATATTGTGATATGGACAAAAAAAAAAAAAAAAAAAGACCAGAAGGCCCTTAACTTTCAGTCAACTTCAATTTATTTTTTGGTGGCGAGTTGCTCATACAGTGCTTGTCCAGCAGCGCCATTCCCATTCACTTGATTATTATTCGACTCTTTTTCTTCATGCTCGAGCCAGCTGATCCTCCTGCGATATTGATGTCAGTTTTTATAACATGCTGTCCCCACATGGTTTAAATATCTAGGTGTTGCCTTAACATTCAGACTATTGGTGACAACGAACTTTTGAACCTTAAGCTTGGCATATAAGTCACTTGGAACCATGAAACAGAGGTATGTGATATTGCCACTTTTCTTCGAGCAGGATCCAGTAATATTATCAACTATTTCCTTGATTGGCGCTTGCTTGATCGGGTGTTCCTCTGATCTGACCTGGAATGGCTTGTCGGGCCCCAACACAAAACTTATGGGTGGAAAGATAGGAATAGACAATAGAAACAACTTGCCACTTGCTTGAGAAAATTCCGATGATGCAGCTGCGGCAATCCGCTACTTCTCCTTACTGAATGCGATATTTTAATTTATCTATTAGTGCTATATTACAAAATTGTGTCTGTGCCATTGTCATAAACAATGGCGAGTAAAAAGAAGTAAAAGAAACGATCGCTACTTTTTCCTTGGTCCCTTATCCCTGCTTGGCCTATTGGGCTTATCGCCCCTCCGCTTGAGTCGACTCACTTTTTCTTTTATTTGATCCGCTGGGATTGCTCAGCTCTCTCTTATTTTCCATAGCTTGAGCTTTATCGACAATTCTCCTTGATGTCCTCCTTGCCTGTGGTTCTTTGGGCTTGCTTCCTTCTCCCTCATCCTCCATAACTGGAGTCAATTCTGACTTCTTGAGGGACTCCCTTGCACTTTCAAGGAAGTTCAACAAGCTAATATTGAGTACGTCGTTTCTATTCGTTTGTCTTTGATGACAGGGACTTCTTTGACTTTAGCTACTGAATAATCACCCTGTTCGTGATAAGACAACATGATAAGGCAACGTGATAAGTAAGGCCTAAACAACAGCAACAAGGATATGCCATTCGAGCAAAAGCCGAGAGAAGACGGTGATGAGAGGTGTTCTTTGATGCAATTATGGCAAGTTGTATTATGGGCATCCTTAATTCTTGACCTTATCGCCGATTTTTGACTGTACGGAACCAGGATAATATTTACCCTCCGATTCTAATACAAAGACGATATCTGGTCCAGATGGGTTCTCTTTTGGAAACAAAACAAAAAAAAAAGCGAGATTAACTTGGATTCATGTATTGAGTCTTTGTTACAGTGAGTATCTAAGAATTCGTTCATTGTTATAATTCTGGAAGATTGAAATTAAACAAAGCGGGACTGAAATACTCAAAATGTGTGCCCTTTGTGCCAGACGTAGGGGCGTCTAGCAACACATTATTAACCAATTTAACCAATCAAGGGTCATCCACTTCAAACAAGTTAATTGCTGCTATAAATGCTATTGGCTCAACGATAGTTGTAAACTCCTTCTTCCTTTGATTAACGACAATTCAAGCAAACGAAACCTCGACCAGAACAGGCTCATTGTACTCCAATATCAAGTCTTTACTATATAGTAATCTATTCATTCTTTACGGCTCGACCGAAGGTTTCCCTGATGTCGACACTGGTTTTAATTCCTGCATCCCCTTTGTTAATACGCTTCAGAATTCTAGATTACTCATGGCATAGGTTACCAGATTCTTTATATCCCGGATCAGTGAGCGACCACACCAGGCCCTTGATTTCTTGCTTCCAAAGGCCTGCATCGGCACGTCCAATGACGTTCTCTATTATTGTGATCATTGGACGGAGACGACCACAGGACCAAGCATATAGCATCTCGATTGCCTGGTCATTAAAATGCCCTCTCAGCTTTGATGCAGAAGCTTGAGAAACTTTGTTTCTCCAAATATCGTACAAGTGTTTTGAAGTATGTCCGGACTTTTGCTTAATTATCCCATCTAGGAAACGATACTGCACTCTTGAACCTCGGGTCATCGAGAACTTCCCGATATTCCTTGAAGCTTTACCAGTTCTCTTAACCCAAGCAGGATCATAAATACAAAAGCCTATCCCGCAAGGAACTATGCAAATTCGTGGTAAATCCTCTGATAAGCCCTCCAATCCATGAAAGAATGCTGATAATATTGGTCGCTTAGTGTCGTCGTTATTAATAAACTGGTATTTAGCCTCCCCTCCCCATATCCTGCGCCTCGTTCAAAACAACCAAAAACCTAGAGTTGCTTTGATGCCGCTCCGAAAGGACCCTGATTAGATTGTCGAACCAATATTGCAGGAGCTTGTCAAGACAATTAAAGCCAACTCCACCAAGTAATTCTGCTACTTTTTTGAAGAGCGCTAGGAATAAATCTGTCCTGGATGGAACCGAGTTTCCTCAATGGACTTCTCCAAGGACCTGTGGACACACTTGCAATAGCATCCATTGGTTAGGCGTCATTCTACCTTCGGACAAGTAAAAAGGGTAAATTGATGAGTATCAAATATAAAACATAAAGGCATTTTTGCTTACGTTCTTCAAGGGGTATACGAAAACCAAACTGCGATTAACCGTCTATGAACGCAAGACACAGAACTTTTGGTGAGATTATAAACAAGCGTGGATATCCTAGACATCAAGGACCTTTTCCTCCTAATCTTTCATCCGTCTGGCATGAATTGATGTGAGAGGGGATGATTCTGGCGAGATTGATGCCCTCAACAGCATGTAGCATTAATATACCGAGAACTATTAATATACTGACGACACAATCCAATGTTGTATCACATTTTACCGGTCAAGCGCGTGGCAGCCTTGGCCAAATTCTTGATGTTTTTTTATTCCATGTCCCTGGACGCCTAGAGATTCAAGACGCGCCGCCTTCACATACTGACACTGAATTGGCCGAACATACAACTAATATGATCTCATTGGCCACAGGTTGCCATCCTGTGCACGCGCACCATGGGACATTTATGTCTTTAGAGTGGAGCTGTCATCCTACAGTGGCACGCATCTAGTCACAGATTTTTTTTAGAAAAAAAAAAGGTTGAGCGGGAGGCCAGTTAACATCCCAATAACCAATCAAAAATAAAAAACAACGCTATTACCCTATTCATTTGCCATTTCCCTTTGATAAGGCAGAGCGGACTATTATTGTAAATAGTAACAATCAAAGGTGATCTTAGGTGGAATCGAAGGTCAAAGGATACTTTATTTAGCTATAACGTAGTGGACTATTTATACTGATAATTGATAGGGTTGGGGCTTGGCGTCTTGGCGCCTGGGGTGCGCGTGATAGTTGAGCCCTCCTCAAAGGTTTGAGTTCAGTATTGTATAACACGTTTGCAATTATTCCATATATTTTTTCAGCAAATTCTGAAGTGACATCTGTGACGTTTGCTCGGCTTCAACAAATTTGTGCTGTGCTTTTTTTTGTCGAGCATCTCGCAACGGTCTCTATCTTTATTCATGTCGACCATTATACATAGTTTGTATAATATTATTTATGCAGTATACAGACAGACATAGCGATACGATGCTAAAGACCCCTCTTTTTTTGTCCTATTGAACATCAATTCTATATTACTTAGTAAGTTTATATTAATTAGGTTAAAACATTGCAATTTAAAAGGAGAATAAAGACTTTTCTGAAGGTGCAGAGAGGAGATGATGATTGACCCTTAGAAGAGAGAACCATCGATGTACACCAAAATGGATGCCATTAGCACATAATAAACAATGTGACTGCGGTGATTCAAAATTCGGACTAATTAAGGTTTATTCCTGACTAGATGCGGGCCACTATAGCTCCCGGTAAACGTTTTGGCGCCCTGGATGATGATAATTGATAGGTCTTTCGCAAGTGGCAAGCATCCAGATGACAAAGCATATGAGAAAGGATAATTTCCTATGCCAGCTGTCCTGGTGATAATAATATGGTTTTGGGTCTCATCATCAGACTCTCACTGGGTTCTCCACAGGATTCTTCATCTCTATCCGTTTTTACAAAACTCTTTGATAATAGTATCACAAAATCCTGCCCTTTCTTGCACACAAGATCGCATAATGATCACAACTTTATAAAGTTCTATATGCCCCAGTAGAAGGGAGGACGGATTAAACCGCTCTATCTATTCGTCTAAAAGGTAAGTGGATAATGATGGCTTCATTCATAAAGAATGAACCATTGTAAAAAATTCTCAAGGAACGGGTATAATGCTTTTTTTAAAAAAGACAAAATTTCATCCACTTGATTGGTATTCGATTTAATTCTTCAGATTCGTACCGGCTGCTCCTCCTGAATATGCAGCTTCGATGTCGATTTTTATGACACGCTGTCTTACATGTTTTAAGCATACATATGGATTCTTGACGACCGTATCTTTGGAGGTAAGAAAGTTCTGAACTTTAAAATTATCATATATGTTTCCTGGCACCGCAAAATAGAGGAAAATGGTATCGTCACTTCCCTTCGACTTTGATTGGTCTCCCTTCAAGCAGGGTCCAGTAATATATTCAATTATCTCCTTGAATGGTGCTTGCTTGATCGGATGCTTCTCTGATACTGTGACCTGAAATAGCTTGTTGGGCCCCAATGCAAAATCAATGCACGGAAAGGTGGTTATAGATGGTACAAACAACTTGTCAGCTGCTTGAGTGAGCCCTGATAATTCATTTGAAGTCCGGATATGCACCACTTCTGGGTTTGCTGGAAAATCAAGAAATCCTGTTTCGCCTGACTGAAGATCCCTAAAGGGAAATCTAATATCACCACGTCGAAATAAGTGATGAGCATAGACTTCAAACAGTGGGCCTTTATCTATATCCTCTCCGCGTTTGACAAGTTTCGCCAACACATCGCGCCAAGTGTCATCTTTCATTTCCTCGATAATCCGTGATTCGACCCAACGAGATGCCCATACCAGGTGGAAGCCGAGGTGGTCAGAAGTGGGAACTCTATGGAGTAAACGACCACTAAATTCACTCGCTTCTTTTCCTCGTGCAAAGAGCGCTACAAGATCTGCTGGGTTCCTGACTGCGTTAATGGCAGCATTGACGCGGGAAAACGCAGCGTCTTTAGCGCGGTTAATATCTTTTTGCTTTTCAGATAGTACATCGACTGGACACTGTAGAACCTGTCTTGGCACTCCCCCCAACTTGTAAAAAAGCTCCTCCAAAAATTCTTCATCCATTGGATGATAATCCTCTACATTGGCTCTACATTCCTTAAGCTCGTCCAAACTCCAGAGTGACATGTGATAGTAGCTAATTGGTGTAGTTTCCTTGCTGAGTTCAGCGTACTGCTCATTGAGAGTTTTTGGTGATGCCGCAAATATCGTCCTGGCTTGATCTGGTTGAGGATGGTTACCACTGTCAACTAAATACCACGTTTCAGGTTGCTCAAGAAAATGTTTGAAATCTACTCTCTCCCCATAACGTTGGCAAGTTGTTCCTCCGTAGGCATAACATTCGGTATTCTTCTTTTCATGGAAAACAATAATCGGTGGATTCTCTTCGTCATGCTCTGCAAGGAGGCGGACGGCAAAGTAGACCAAAAAGGCTGACTTCCCAATTCCAGGCGTTCCAGTGACAAAGTATCGGTTCTTGCGCCATCTTGTACGAGGAGTCTTGATTAAGGTTGTAATATGGTCATAAAGCTTTTTATATTCTTCTCTGATATAAAGATGCCTTGTTCCGACAACAGGGAAGACACGACCCTCAGGGGCAGTCAATATTTTGGAACCCTTGATACCACCAGAATTTCGGAGCTCGCAAGCCACGCTAACAATGCTGTAGTAAATACTATCTCCTGAAAACTCCTCCCCCATGTACGAAAGCAGCTTGACCCTCTCTTTCGAGTTGAGAGGCGAGAGGACAGGCCTACCATTCACTATCCCTTTCGTTACAAGCCCCGCTTCTGTAATCGCATCCCTAAGAGTACCTCTGCTACTTATACTTGGACGAGCTTTTTTAGAGGGTGACTCTGATAAAGGAGATAGAGTGATCAAAGTCAATATTTTTGATTTATTGCACTGCACATCACTCTGAATTGATCAATAACCAGGTTCTCAGCCAAAAGCACTCACCAGCATCTCCATCTTGTTTTCTTTTCTGAGCTAAGTATCAAAGGCGAATAATTAGAAAGAACGTTGAGTTATCAAGACACAAACCAAATGGTGATATTATGCACATGGCCGTTTAAGATATAAACCAAGCTTCATCAGCTGAAAATATCAACAATCAGTCCATCAAGAGCTAATACATACCTCGCTGCGGTGGCTTGACAAAAACATGGATCGTTTTCCTTGGAAGTTCAGAATTAAATATCTCCCAAAGCTCCATTGACGCGGGTGCGAGAGCCTCTTTTGACTCGATTTCTGACTCGACGACGGTCTTGTCTTCGTCAGGGATGGAGACCTTGTAGAGGGTGAGTTGGTGAGCGTCGATATTATTCAATGCATTGGCATTCTTTGCTTTGATGACCTCCTTGAGTATCCCGACCGATTTAGCGGAGGAAATCTCTACTGGGAACGACGTTGCTTCTCCCTCAACAACGCAGTTCAGCTGCAGCAGCAGTGGGATGGCGCGCTTTTTTCGTTGTGGGTGCTGGTTTACTCTTTTTCGTTTATTGAGTGTGGAGGCATCCTCAGGCTTATTTGCAGCCATGTTTTTTTGTGCTTGGCTCCTTGTGGTGGCCATTGAAAATTAAGATGAGTGGGACTGAGTGTGGTTGAAATGCAGGGAGAATGATGGTTAAATTGGCAAAGGTATATTCTATACTCTTTCACACTCGTGGTCGCTGTATGAAAACAAAAATGAAAAATGCGTAAGGCAAAAAAAAAAAGGAAAGGAAAGGAAAGGAAAGGCAATAGATGAAGGCTTGGAATAAATAAAAGAGCAAAATTGATGGGAGCAAAACTGGGGTGAAATATGAAAAAAGTGAAAAAAAAGGGTAAAGGAAGAGGGAGAGTGCAAAAATGAAGTGAAGCAAAGGAGAAGAAAGGAGCGACAATTGCTATTGATAAATTTGATCCTTTATTTCAAGGTTAGGCTATGTGTGAGAAAATATATTTTTCAAATCAGCCACGTGCCATTTTCTTGGTCATTGTGACGTGAAAACCAATCACATCTTTTAGTGCGCGAAGAACTCCCTCAGATAAACGTTTGTTCACACTCTACTTGCTCATTCCTCTGCTTACAACTGCTCCTCAGGAGGACTGGAATGATCATTGGAGGGGGCATTTGAAAAGGATTATAAAATTGAATGTGCCAGATGTCAACTGATCTCTTTTTCCGCTTTTACTATAATATAACTTTGATTACAGTTTATGATTGCCTTAAAAGCTTCTATTCTAATTAAGCCCCTGAGAATGGTGCAGGACTGTTGTTCACTGAAAGTTAAGTGGACTACTATTAAAGACAATCGTTAACATAAAATATGTGCGGTGTTATATGGGATTCCTGCATAAAATGGCTGTTTATTATCATTGCTTGTGCAGCAGAGGCAATATACCCTGTCAATATTTGTTCATTCCTCATATAGGCCATTCAGCTTTTTGAAGGAATATTGACACATTCTCTTGAGTTGATCATGCTATTAAGATGTTGTCTCTGTGCACCATACAACCCTTTATTAGCTCATCACATACTCCTTGAAGATCCAAAAAACTCCCAAGCTTCATGCCGAAGTTGTCCATTGTACGTTAATAAAAAAAAAAATAAAAAGAAAGAGCTTGGCAATGCAAGCCACACTTGTGCATGATAGAAGTCGCCAACTATCTAGGCTCGTCACCAGCCTGAGGACGAAGTTCATGTGCACATGCACAGGCTGGGACCAAACTTGACATTTTGGCTGGAGGTCTCTTCACCGCCAGGAAAAGGCTTAAAAAAAAAAAAAAGCTATTCCCTGTGGCGCAAATGACTTAGAAAAAAAAGTTTGAAAGCTATTCCCTGTGGTGCAAATGACTTGACAGAATTTTTTCAAATTTATAAAGAGACCCCTGTGACGAGCCTAATGAAGACAAAGTGTATGTCTCCGTAATTTCTCTTTTTGTTTATCTTCATCTTTCATTGTCATCTGGATTCGCATCAATTCCTTTCGCATTTCTTATACATTTACAGTCCTAGCCGATTTTACTTTCCAGGCAAAGGTATCGTTCTACTTTTTTCAGGATCATTGAATTTATATAGGATGCTATAGCATGATCATTGTCATTCATGCCTTGCACGCATTAATTATCTCTGTTACTACCAGTTTTTTTTTTTTTTTTTTTTTTCTACCCAGTTTTGTAAAACTTCTAGATTCATTGTACAAGATGCTTTAGCATCAGAGTTCATTTTTAAAGGGCCCATTGTGCAGGATTGGTAGAAGCCGTCAGACCGCCGGGGAAACGGTGCTTTACTTTAAGCGCGCTTTTCCAGCTGCCTCTCGTTTCGTTAATCTGTAAGGGCGAGAGGCAGCCATGTCGCTCTTGGCCGCTTTGATAGGGTGTCTCCTTGTCTGTCAGCCAAAACAGAGGCTTCCTGACAAGAGGTGATGTCCTGCCGTCCAAGGTCATTTTTAAAAAGGCTCATTGTGCAGGATTGGTAGAAGCCGTCAGACCGCCGGGGAAACGGTGCTTTACTTTAAGCGCGCTTTTCCAGCTGCCTCTCGTTTCGTTAATCTGTAAGGGCGAGAGGCAGCCATGTCGCTCTTGGCCGCTTTGATAGGGTGTCTCCTTGTCTGTCAGCCAAAACAGAGGCTTCCTGACAAGAGGTGATGTCCTGCCGTCCAAGGTCATTTTTAAAAAGGCTCATTGTGCAGGATTGGTAGAAGCCGTCAGACCGCCGGGGAAACGGTGCTTTACTTTAAGCGCGCTTTTCCAGCTGCCTCTCGTTTCGTTAATCTGTAAGGGCGAGAGGCAGCCATGTCGCTCTTGGCCGCTTTGATAGGGTGTCTCCTTGTCTGTCAGCCAAAACAGAGGCTTCCTGACAAGAGGTGATGTCCTGCCAATCTGGATCTATCAGTCTCCATCATTGTTCTCTTTCTGTCTTTTTTTTTTTTTTGAGGGGGTAATATTTCTATTGACTTATAATTTATGAAAACATTATTAATCTAGAAATTCTGCTAATAAGATGTTGAAAGGCAAAGTGCCGCGATGGCGGGTTGAAGCACAGAGCCTACCTTATTCTCAATATTTTCTCGCCGAAAAGAAGCCACAAGACTTCGACCATGTTAAGTTCCTGACTTGGTTGCAGCCATCTAGCCTAGAGCGTAGGGAGCTTACAAGTGAATGGCTAGACAAAGTGATCCCAGCACTCCAAAGCTGTTCTTATAAAGAGTTACAGGATTCAGGCAACCGTCTCAAAAGAGAATGGAATTCGAAAATTGCTAGTAGAGGTATTTTCTGGTCTAATCTCGCCGAGTCTGAGAAACGGGAGCAGGAGAAAAAAGAAAGAATGGCCAGGCTCAAAGCTGGTGGGGAGGAGCGATTACAAGCTGCCGAAAAATTCATTATTGATGAGACAAAAAAGGATTTCAGTAAAGAAGTCGAAGAAAGTTATAATTACGATTGTAATGGTGTTTGGCGTTGTGTTCTGATGCTAATGTATTTGTCGCTTGTGCATAATAGAGGATGCCACAAATGAACTAGCTTCAACTTCATCATTGGCAGCAAAATCCTCACTCAATATACAAGGTAAATGGCTAGTTATCTTGAGGAAATAATAAGTTGCATTCAAGCAGACTAACTATTATTATTGTCATTATTATTATTACTATTATTATTCTTAGATACCCTCTTATCCTCATCAACAGGATCATCAAATATGCCAAGTACATCATATACCGCCTCAACTGAATATACCATCCAACAAAGAAGTAAAGCACAAGAATCATCTTCTATATCTCAGCCACAACTTGAGGTACTATGGGCTTTAGAAACATTAGTAGATTGAAAATCCTGGATCATAAGTTTACATCCTGTCTTCATTTGTGCATAGAAAAACAATCGACTTTTAAGCACCACATTACGCCATTCAACAAAAACATCCAATAGTAAGTAGTGAGGGGTATTTGATATTTTTGTAGTCAAAGGATTGAATAATCAAATTAAAATATGTTTCCTTTCACATCTCTACCATCAGGCTCCACAAATAAGAAAAAAAAGGATGCATATGCCACTGAGGAACCATGGCATTCGCTAACCATGGCACTGGCTAAGATTGTAAGATCTGATATATTGAAAATGTCTTAAATTAAGATACTATTACAAATTAATACAATATTCCATCAACTGCGATCAGGTGAACTGCGAGAAGGGAGTTCGATTTCCACAAAAACCAACATTTATGACTCCAGTACATTCCGAGTTATTTCAGCATGCTGTTAACATGCTTACGGAGTATCAAGCCCAGGATGACCAGCAAAAAGACATTACACTGGTGAAAGATGCTCAGTATGTGCAATATTTATTTAGTTTGTAACTTTGCAGGTCAGCCATCATTGATTCTGTATTTACTGAAAAAAAATAAATGTATCATATCACAATAGGGTTGCAATGAGCTGTGTGTTTAATACATTGTCAGAGAGAGCATGCGACCACTTCAGTGTTTATGAGGATGGATCTACTGTAGCGGATGCTGTGGAACAGAGTCTTATTAATGGATTTACCCAACATCCTTGCAAAGATATCCTTTTAAAATACATTCCAATTCTTGAAGAAATGAATGTTGAGGGATTTCAAAGAAAACTTAAAAAAGACTTAGGTTCACTGCAAGAAAAGTATACTGACCCACCATTGCCATCTGTGATAATAGAAGATAAAACGCTGGAGATTTTAATTTTGCTGTAAATATTAAATATTGTCGTGTATTCGCAATGTTATACGTGATGCTGATCTGTGATCTGTGAGTTAACAATTGACATTTTCCTAAAATAGTTGCAAATCTATCATTCGCCCCCACTTTGGCACTGCTTCTCCATCAGAGATGGATTGCTTACATCTTTGGGTTTCAGTATTTTCAGCCATAGCAGATCAAGTCACCCTCCATACGTACGAGACAAGTAATAGCTGATAGATATATTAACTTTTTTAAGAAACTAACTCATTCAATCTTAATGGTGAATTTTAGAGGGGAGAAAGCCCTCGAAGCCTCAAAGTCGATGCGACGAATGCAATCTTCCGAGTATGGGGATGTGAGTGATACAGGACGGAAGGTCGATTGCATCTTTATGTATAAAGGCATTGAGTTGTCAAACATAGAGTTTAAATGTCCCAATATATGCCCCCAGGATATTGCAATTCAGAATCGAAAGAATGTCCGGCTAGCAAGGTGTATTCAAGAAGCACATCTGGCGATAGGCGTCTCATCCCCATCAATTCTAATGGCTGATGTTTCTGGTATGATATTTGAAATAATGAATATTTCACTCAGTAGGCCACTAATAGCCTTATTAACATGGTGTTCCTATATCAGGGTTTGGAGGTATATTTTATCAAGTTCAGCCAATGGGCAACATTGCAATTGCTGGGATGACTACTCCCGAGGCAGTCCAACTACCTAAGAACAAAGTTGAGCTTCTAATGTTTCTTGAAGACAACTCATTGCCAATAATATGGAATTATATTGTAAGTGAGATGTTCTTATGCTCCTATGTCCTAGTTTTCATTGGTTATTCTAATGATCCGACTACTGATGCAAAACAATCAAAGGAGCACCTGGAAAAACAAGCCCTCAATGTATTGGCAGCGAAACAGCGGACGGATGCAATACAAAAGAGAGAGAGGTTTACAACAAGCATCATAAGACCAAAAGCCATGCCATCACAACTACCATTAAATAGATCGTTTACGAGTAATGTCACATTCTCACCGACCAAAAAGAGGTCTACATTAGAGAGACCTACTTTAAATTTGGAAGAGTCAATCTCTCCTACAAGGAATGTTCGACGGTGGGCCCAGAACGACCCAGCTGATGGTGGCAAGAGTAATGCTGATGAGGATACATAGAGAGTATCTTAGGGTTAATGTCTTTTTTACTATCTTGCTCTTGAAAAAAAAAAAAAAATACAAAACCCTTTTTTTTTATGGCCTTTTATTTGAATCCGCCCTGTGCAGACATTTACCCTGACTTGACGCTCCCGGCCTGATGCCCCCGGCTGAATACTATATCGACATTCAGTTTACCAAAAAACCATGATGAAATTACAAATAATGACATGCACCTAAATCTTCTCTGCTAGTAAGTCTTGCATACCCTTCAATGTTGTTGTGGACGGCTGCTAGTGATTCCCTTGGAAGTGCCAGAAAAGTGATAGATGGTTGATAATTACGGCCAGAAGTATCGTAGATTTGATCAACAAATAGCGACCTTATGAAGATGCGCTTAATAGATCTGAAAGACAGCTAAAACAATGGCTGCAAATGGCCATCTAAATGAAAGAAGGATCTTCAATAAGTGTTGCTTACTACGTTGCTAAGTACTGAGAACTGATGATACAGAAGGTAAATGAATTCAGCTGCAAAATGGCCATCTAAGTAAAAGAAAGATGGGTACCATTTTCCAATAAAGCAAAACTAAATAGATAAGGGAGGCCATTTACGACAATGTACACTTTCATTTTTGCCTACTGTATACTACATAGCGCAGCTCCTTCCACAAGGCCATATGCCCTTCGCACTCTTCGAACGCCTGTGCGGTGACCCCTTCCCTCTCTTCAGCTCTCATCTCATTCAACTTGCGCAGTAAAGCTGGCGTGATAAAGCTCTCGAGGGGGGGACATTAAGTTGAACTCTGTGTGCTTGTCCGAACGTTCGATGCGCGAAGAGGCAGTGATGTATTGAACATCAAAGCCCTCGTACTGCGAAAGTGCTGCAGACTGTATTCCATTTTTGACCTTGGAATCCTATGTCCTGAAAGTCCTGATCAATGGTTCACTGCAATTTGTAGATGAGGAAATCAATCTGCAAAAGGTGCTTCCTTACCAGCGCATGTGTCTTCAAAGTCTTGTACCAAGGCTCTAGAAGGTTGTTTGTGCCTACGTGGTAGTCCTATCAAGTGAATTAGAATGTCGGAAATTGAGATTCATCAAAGACATTTAATACCGCGGTTAATTGGTGCTTTATTTTACCTCTCTCACGAAAAGTACCCCACCTTAGTCTTTTCTCTTTCGCGATCTGGTTCTTTCCCATATAGTTAAAGAAGGGTTTTGCTCTGACATCGCTAAAATCATAAATTAGTCCTTGATACCTCTTCAGATGCCATTAACTCTTTCGTCAGATCCTGCAAGTAAATCCCTCATACGCAACTAGTGTCGCTCCTAAGCAGTATGAAGTTGCATTAAAATGCTATCGCCAAGATATCTTGAAGGAGCAGCAACATGGTATACCTTACCTTGAATACATCCCTTATGCGATCTTCCCCTAACCCTTGCACATGGGAGTGACAGAAATAAATTGATGCGGAGGAAATACCTCCTGAACGGCTTCGCTTTATGTCACGGAATAGTCCACCACGATTTCAGTTTGATAAATACCGACTTCACATTGTCGCTCGACTATGCCCAAACTTACGATGGTTCTGAGCTGCAGAGTAAATGTGCAGCTGGGATGTCTTTTCTTAAAACCCAGTCCTTGACAAGGATCGTAAACAGGTAGGCTGAGGAGCCACTATCCTTTTCGCCCTTGCACTTACTATTCTTTTTGCCCTTACATTTTTCATCCCTCAGGGACATAGCACCCCTCCGTGTGGAGCCCATAAGGCCTTGATGGTTCTTAGTCCCTTGTTGGATAGAGCGCCTCGAGTTTCCTCTCATCGTACGCCTCCATTAGCCAGTCTAAGAATAGCCCTGCGTTCGACACCGTGTGAAACCTGTTCAATATCCCCAGAGTTAATGCATGGACTATTGTTTGTGCGGACTTGATTAGCCTGAAAGGCGCGACCGAGAGCAGGATCAGAGACAGTCATGTTTTTTCTAAAGAATCTACTGGGCGAGAGCTTTGAAGGCGAGAGCATTTTGTGTTTTGTGCTTCAGTTCTCCATAACCTGTTGAAGACAGAAACGAGGATGGGTAAATAAAATTAATGTCAGAGGGACTATATTGTGGATTTGAGTGATTCTTACGTTCAACTGGGACTTCGTACACGAGGCAGTCAGGTAGTTTTGAAAGTTGCTGACGTGGATCCGCAACACGTCAGACTTCCATGCAAGTTCTCGCGACTCATGAAAGCTTACTGCAATGTTTTAACCTAAACTTATTATTTTGGGGCAAAAGTTCAATAGGACAAAGAGAGGGGGCTTTATTTTCACGACAGGCTTATATATGTTTATACATATAATAGTTATCATCTGCGCCACGTGAGTAGTATTCCAAGTCATCGTATTCACTATGTCTATCAATGCTACAGGGACTGGCCTCAATTCATGAGTAATTAAAAAAGGAATAAGAGTATAGATAGAAGGATGGATTCTTTGTCCTTTTTTAATCCAATTAGCCAGCTTTTAGAGCCATAGCATGGACATTGACTTTCCCGATAGTCCATTTCAGACGGACAAGCACTTGGATGCATTCCACATCTTTCGCTCTATCGGTTGAGCTCCTGCCCAATGGCGTCCCTCTCACGCTTCAGGAGGGAAATACAAGTATCGAGAGCGATATTCATTTAAGATTCGTTCCCGAAAGTTCGAGCACGTCTCTCCGAAGATCATGAAGTAATACGAACAGAAAGAGCATAGAGATAGTCCCAATGCGAATGCTCCTGACTCTAGCAAGCGGAAGAAAAAGGAGGGGAAGGGAAACCCGGCAGAGCCACGAAAAGCGATGGACGAAGTGGATAAAAAAAGACTTGGTCGGGGCTATGCAGTATGAACATCCAACTAGGACTCTTGACATCGGGACGGTCAACGGCAACCTGAGTAAGACATTGACTGATAATCCCCAATTTAGGCCCAGGATTAAGATCTGCCTGCAAGAAATCGTTCGCCATGCTTCGAAGGCCAAGTGCACTTGCCAGAGAGTTACTGGCCACATTGAACAGCTTCCAGCTACCGGTGTCATTGGCACAGACAGAAAGCTGCTCGATCTTATCTGCCCACGTACATATGTTTAGCAAGAGTGTGGCCGGCGATGAAGGTTCTAATGGAACCGAGAAGAGAGATGGCGCATAGAATGGTGAGGACGAAACGAAGGATGCCAGTACGCACCTCCTATTTCCGCTCCTCGTGTGTACCTGCAACAAGAGGCCCCCAACTGGCAAAGTAAAGGATCCCCATGTGTTCAACTTCATCCATGAGGTCAAGGACTTTTTGCCAGCTATGGCCGATGTTGGTTCGACCAATATAGGGATGTGCTACCCAGGGCTCTCCCGCCCCGCTGAGAAACTCTAGTAGTTCGACTTTGTTGATTGAGATGAAAAAAAGTCAATCCGTTACTTCGTCACAAACATGGATGTCATCCGTGCATATAATCTTGCGCAGTTTGACAGCATTTGCTAAATTCCGTCCAATTTCGACAATGTTAATACCGTGCATGAGTCTCTAGTATATGCAGTATATGCAAATAGCCATCGGCTTCTGACGAGCCAAGGATAGATACGCGAGTTTGTTCAGGCTTCTGTAGGCCAGAGCTGCCCCCTACCTTGTCACATCACAGACCTTGTTCATTTTTTTTTTTTTTTTTTTTTTTTTTTTTTGGTTCCTCTCGTCTCTCTCGTCAAGAGGAGGATTGAAGGTATAATCCGGATGGTCGCGGATAGGAGAGATTCACTTTTCGTCACGAAGCGACTGCAAAATATTTTCGCAACGCTGTGCTCAATTACACTTCTTTCAAGTTTGATGGTTGTTATGCTGGCGTGCGAGGAAGTTCAGTTGAATCTGGGGTATGGAGACGACAAAAATAAAGAATAAAATAAAATAAAAAATAAAAAGTAGTGAGTAGGGGAACCGGGGACACAAAACTTTCTAGTTCAGTTAGATCTGCCCTCTTTGTTAATTTCAAACACACTTACGTTACTTTACGAACAGTTTTGGACGCCATCGCCTACGTCCGGCTCACTCTCAGATACCGCGTGGGTGTTTCTGACCAGTTAGTGGATTGAAAACAAAACAAAAAAAAATACTTGAGTCTTTACAAATAAAATAATACAGGATGAATGCATTCACTAAACGAACCGTATACGCAGGTTAGTTGGTTAGTTACTTACTTACTTACGCTGATGTCATTGAGATGGTTGACAAGGTTGATACCGACGGAGCTGTTGCTGTTGAAGGTGTCGATAACCAGTCCTGTAATGGAAACTCGCATGGAATCGAGTCGACAAAGTGCATTAAAGGAGGATTGATTGAGAGGAGTTTTTGGTTAAGCGCGTCGTGGACTTTTTATTGTTATTTTTTTTTTTAAAAATAAAAAATAAAAAAAAAAAGTGAGAAAAGACTTCCTACTTTTTCATCCTTCAGATTTTTTTTTTTTTTTTTTTTTTTTTTTTTCATTATTAGAACTATCAAGAGCCTGCACGGCACCACAAGCTTTCCTTCTCATTTACATAGTTATTAATATTTCATATTACAAAATAAGGTGGTTTTATAGTTTTAGGAACTTGTTGACAAGGGGAGTTGGACTGGTTGAAATCGATAATATTTCCAGACTATGCTTTGGCTGCTGGAACATAAGCTGTACCGTCGCTTGTGTGGAATGGTTGCTGAACACAAAAAAAAAAAAAAAAAAAAAAAAAAAAAAAAAAGAAAGGGAAGGGAAGGGGAAGATAGAGAAAAAGAAACAGAAAAGAAAGAAAAGAAAAAGGGTGATCTCTAAAGACAAAGGACTTTCAACACCATTGCACCGGTCATAGGGATAGAGAGCTATTAAGCGAGTTTAAAGAACATGCAATGTAAAGCGAATGATAAAGTGATGGATTTCTGTTGATGGACGCTGTCATTGATCCGACAGACTTCGTGTCATACTCTCCAATTCCCCGAAAGAGGAATAAAAATTAAAAATAAAAAATCGATTTATCAAAGGTCTCCAGTGGAAAAACACGCCGATTAGCACAAAGTACGCGCTTGTTTGCCAAGTACTCATCATTATTCAGCACCACCATTCATGTGCTTTGCACATCTTTCACCAGAGGTGAGATCACCAAGAGATGGAAAAAACACGATATCAAAAAACGCGTAATATCTTTTGATGATATCACTTTTTTTTTTTTTTTTTTTTTTTTTTTCCTTTTTACTTTGATTAATACTTGGGAAATATTAAATCCATTCATTTCTGTCAAAATTTAAATCTTCTTTATTCATTAAATTCCTCACAAAGCACAAAGCGAGGGCCTGAGAAAAAAAAAAAAAAAAAAAAAAAAAAGTGTAACAAGGGATCGACATCGAGATGATTTTTTCGAATGCTCACTTTGGTATCTCAGTGCTATTGTTTCCAATCTGCCGTTCATGCGAGAGCTTGTATTTATTTGTCGATCTCTGCTATTGACTTGGACAAAACCCCAAGCCAAACAAAGGAACTGAATAAAGATTGATGTGGCCTGTGAAGCAAAGGATCGATATCAAAACTATATGAGACAATGATAAAACTCATCATCAATCCAGGATATAAAAAGGGATCATTGTCTTCCTCCTTCAAAGTCCCATCCCTTTTACCACTGCCACTTGTTCCTGTATCTTTCCCTCAATATTCTTTATCTATTCACTTTGGATCTTTAAACCATAAAAAGCTCATCCTTTTATACCTTTGTAGCTCTTTTTTTTTTTTCTTTTTCATTTCTTTTCATCATTACCATTTCTTCTTTTTTTCTTTCTCTTTCGCTTAGATATTGACCATGGGGCTGGAGTCCTTCTTCAAACTGGTTGCGGATCGCGGGGTTTTACCTTCGGAAACTGACGTGGGCACTTCCTTGGCGGCAAATCCTGACCATTCTGTTCATGTAGATCTCCTCGGTACGTTCTATTACGACATCCTCCGCAGAGTCGTCCATGCAAAGATGAAAAACGAAACCATCATTGATGTAGGAAGGTCTCTGGCTCTCGTGATAAAGGATCTTTTCATAACGGACAATCTGACTATACATATTGATGGGGAACCTTGTACTGAGGAAGAAAAGGCAAGGACAGAACGGCAAGCCATAAGACAAAAAAATATGGATGCTTTGGAGAACGATATGAGGACCTTCGAGAGAAATTCTCGGAGTGGGGTATGGACTCGTCCTCAAGTCATGAGGCGCATCCAGAAGGGTCTTCGAGAAGTCCACACCCTGAGCGTCCAGGACAAGGATCAGCTGGCAACAGGCCTTAACTCTGTCTTCGATGTCTGTCTGTGTGCATATGAAGCGGACCCATGCATAGGGTGCCATAATGAGGAGAATGATAGGATCGTGATATCCCAAGACTCTGATTTTTTTGCGTACGAACAGTCTGCTTCCTAGTGCGACTCCTTCCGCACCATAGACGGAAGTTTGGGGTTTACGATGTAGACAACGTTATCCAAGCACTAAGACTGCCATCACACAAGCATCTGGTGCTATTCTGTGCCATCGCAGGCAATGACTACTCAAGGAACCTCGAGACGTTAGGCTCGGTCAATAATCTTCGATTAATTCGAAAGGTTGCGTGGAACGAGATCTACAATAAAATGCTTCGGGACTACCTAAGGGAAGCTAGTAAGGTGTTGGGAAGGAACGCAGCCTCTGAAGAAGGCCGTTTCAGAGTAGCTCTCCGCATTTTTACTTCCGGCCATCAAACGTCGGCCCAAGCGTTACCATCGAACAATGGGTTCGATAACTTCAAGCAGCGTCTACTCAATGGAAAGGATCTTCGCCATAGAATGGCTCAGCAAAGGCGAGCGCAGCGCCGCAGAACGTAAGAAAGCTCAAGCTATAGTTTTGACCTCGAAACCAAACGTTCCCAATACTAATCGTTAGTCCCTTTCTTGGATAATGTAGAGACACACCGTCATTCTATATAGCGAAAGGGTCATATAGGAACCAGTTCCGGCCCATCTTTTCTGACAAGGCGAGCATATTGAACGGACGCATAGTTGATATCAGTAACTGCCGTCAGCACCATAGGCCGGGCCTTAAGCATCCACCACGTCGGAGAAAGGCAAAAAAGAAGCAACAGAAAAAACAAAAGCGGAAGCACAAAGGCAAGAAGCCCCACAGGGCTAAAAAAGAAGGTGCACCAATTAGGAACTTGAAGGATGCTACGAAGGTTGACCACAGCTACAGCGGTAAGCACCCTATCAAGGCCTTAACAATTGGGTCCCTTAAGGCCTCCATGGCAAGGAAAGGCGGACTGGACGCAGATGAAAGGGATAGTATTGCAAGCCAGATCCGAGGGGCAGTTGTTGTCCTCAACCGACTACGCCGCTATGCATACTGGGTGATTGCCTTGGACATTGAGAGGATCATGCGGTTACCAGGGGCAGCAAAGTCGAGGAAAAAGGCGCTGGACGAGGTCTTGGATAGCAATGATTATTCCTTCCGTCTCGCCACCCTTCTTTTGAGCGGTCAAGGTGGCCCCAATTCAGCTTACGCGAGGGCAAAGAAACAAGGAAAGGCGGTAGAAACGCCCCATCATCACCTCGCTTATGAACATTTCAAGGCCACCACTGAACTTTCCCCAATAAAGGATATAGACATCACATTGGGGGACGTCCAAGGCTTTGATCCCAAAAAGATCACATTTCCAAGAGCGTCAGACTTACTAATGGGCCAAGTACAGACATCATTAAGGCAGCACTACAGGAACGCAATGGTATAGCTTGTGTAGGGTATTTTCATGCATATTCTGCAATCAAATGCTCTTTATTCACACCTTTTTTTTTTTTTTTTTTTTTTTTTTTTTTTAGTTTGATGTCGAGAAAACAAGTGAAGATATGAGTGACATTGAGTTTTTTTTGCGGGAGAACAAAAAAGTGAAAAAATACTCAGACTTTCCTATGTCCCCCTGGTCACCCGGGTATGTGTATCTGTCTGAACACGCCCTAGTTGACATCCTCTGGGCTTGCTAATAAACGACTGCCATTTGAAACGCTTAGGTCAAAGCACGAGGACACTTCGCTGTAGGGGCGCACGAATTTTACACCAGCGCCCGCTGCCCCCGACCCCTCTGCGATAGCTTTTTAGAGACGGTATACCCTCGCTCTAAATATTGCCGGACATGTAAGGTATTCTTCGACCGTGACGCAGTAGGGGCGGAAAACATCGCAAGAATCGGTCTTGCTCAAATTGAGAGGCAAGAGAGGCCTGCAAAGTACAAGCCCACGGAAGAGTCGCCTGCTCCGGCTGCAAAGCGCGCACGACGCTAGACACAAGTATTTGGGTGCCGGCAACACCCACAAAAAATTTGTAAGTTCTGTTTATTTTCGTCTCTTGTATCCTCTCTAATCTTTTGCCCCTGAATTTCTGGACTAACTTTAAAAACCGTACAGATCAACAGATAACTAGCAGATGTTCTACTAGGGGGGGTTTTTTCTTTGTTTTTTTTTGTTTTTGTTTTTTTTTTTTGCCTGCCCTCTTGAAATCAGATGGCAGCTTGTTTTATGACTTGATATGATTACTATTAAAAGGTATAAAGGAGTAGGACTATACTATTGTCTGTTATAATAAGAAAAATGAAAGAAATAGGCAATTAAACATTACAGAAAAAAAAAAGAAAAGAAAAGAAAAGAAAAGAAAAGAAAAGCAAAAAAAACTACGTGCCATTATGGTTGATTAAACTATATACAATGTAATGTTGGAAAAAGAGAAAATGTAGCAACATAAAAAAGTATCGTAAAAAGGACTTCAAATCACCACAAGAGGCTGAAATTCATATCGAGATTTTGGTACTAACATAAACGCGATGTGTGCATATGCCTCCTCAATATCCTCCTCATCCATCTCATTATTATCGTTGTTGCTGTTGCTGCTGCTAGTGCTGGTACGGTCGTTATCATTGAATGCATTTGGCAGTGGTAGATCCTCAAGTGCTTCAAGCGCTAGTGGTGAGAGGAATGGAGCACCTGATGTTGTGTTTGTCGTTGCAGTTACAGGCGTCACTGGCCGAAGGGATGATACTGGTGAGGATGAGCCCATAGGGCGTCCTGTTTTAGCAGAGGTCCGCTCCTTGTGTCTCATCGTCAGCATCGCCATGATCTGCCTTTTGGTCGATGCTCGTTTCTCTCGCTCCAATTCAGTAACTGGGTGAAGAGGAGCAGGTGACGGATGGAGTACTACCGATAGCGATGATGAAAGTGCAGCCTCTAGACTCTTAAAAGATCGCTCGATGCTCTTTTGTTCACCAGTAGTAGTAGTAGTAGTAGTAGTAGTAGTAGTAGTAGTAGTAGTAATAGTTGTGGGAGCCACAGTTGATGAAGCAACAGCAGAGGGCTGAATAAAAGTGGCGCCCATTGCTGTTTCTCCTGGTGTCGTGGATGTAATGATAGCCATCTCGAGGACTTCTGATTGCGACCTCCGATGGAACGCCATCAGGTCGTGTCCTCGACCATTAGCGAGGCGGAGTGGATCATTGCGACGAGGATGAGAAGATAAGGATCGTGTTCTCTGTGCGGTGGCCCTCCCTTTTACTGCCGATGTGGTTAAAGCGGCCTCAGCTAATGTACCAGTTGAAGGAGTCGCTAGCTCATATTGTGTATCCATATTACGTGGATCAGAAGCACGGCTTGTAGTCTTGGAGCGGAACAATTTCACTTTTCTGTGAACCGAAACTCGTTCCGTTGCAGCGGCAGCAGCGGTAGTGGTAGCATTAGTAGCTGTTGCCGTAGCAGCCACTGCAGCAGTTGTCAAGGTTTTATCAGTTCTAAGAGTAGACGTCCCAAGGGCCAAAGAAGGCTCGCTAGCGGAGGTTGTAGGGGGGAAGTACTTCACGCTATCACTCCTCATACGAACAATGTCTCCTTCCGAGCAAACTGCTTGTTGTAAATCGACAACCCCATCGGGCCCTGGTTCAAGCGATCGCATGGTCGTGGTCGTGGTCGTGGTTGTAGCTATTGCGGTTACCGTCATGTCATAGCCCGTTCGCATGTTTGGACTAGATATCGTGCCCTTATTTTCTTTTGTAAAGTCAGTGACAGATTCATTATTGGATCCTACAGCGGAACCAGTCCGAGTACTTCCGCTGAGGCGACTGGAGCAGCGGCGAGCCAACGAGCGGATTGATGAGCCAGTGACAAGCTTCTTCAGGGTCCGCTTGCGGGTCAATCCAGGGGCTGTGGTCTCCTGTGATGACGGTACTATCGGCGCAGTCATGGCTGGTTGCAATTCATTTGTATCGTTTGCTCCATCTTCTTTGCTGCCGACAGTTGCGTTGCTCTCTTCCTGCACGTGCTGTTGTCGTTGTGGCTGCTGCTGCTGTTGTTCCTCCAAAGCAATTGACGGTGTTGATGTTGCTTGTTTATTACTTCTCCGGATGCTCAGTAGTCGACGACCGGCGGACAAAAGGGAGCAGTCGAGGGTGTGACACTTTGTGCTTCCAGGCTCTCTGGACGGCGTACTATCATTTCGTCGTCTGTTATTGCTGCTATAGACAGCAGCACTCTTGGATCTCGATAATCCTGATGCATGAGCCGCTCTGGATTTGAACGAGGACGAGATACGACTCAGAGAGCTTGCCCTTGAGACGGATCCCTGCTCTGGGGGGCAAAGAAGCCCCTCTGCCCTTCCGACCCTTTCACGACCTCTTCTTTCCTGCTGCTGCTGTTCCTGCCGCTGTTGGTGCATTTGTTGTTGTAGTTCCTGCCTCCGAGCTTCCTTCCACTTCACTTCCGCTAAAACATCCTCCTGGTGTTGCTGCTGTTGGTAGTAGCAATGTCTCTCCCATGCAAGCTCATTTGCGGTGCGATCTTTCATTCCAGGGTGATGATGAGGGGGACATGCTCCAAGCTCATAGGCTGAGGCCGCTGCAGTTATGTTCAAATAAGACTTGTGCTGGGCACTATGTGCTGATGAATGATGATACGCATTTGAGGGCAGAGGAGGCAGCGGCGGCAGCAAGCTGTGATGAGAATGGTGCACATGATGACGTTGATGAGGACGGTGAAGATTGTGATTACCGTAGTGACGGTACAGCGGTTGTTGCTGACGATATTGCTGGGTATGTTGATAGTGCATCTGATGCCATTGACGGCGCAACAGGCGCTCTTGTCTTGCTTGCTCTGTCAGGTCCTCGTGTCTCGATTGAGGGTCGAGATAAAGATAGCGTGGGACATCCGTGCTTGTGAGAGATACCGAGCGGCGATGGCTATTCTCCACGTGTGAATGACTATCGGAGGATGAAGATGCCTCGTACCGATGGTATTGTTGATGAAGCACATTTCCATGTGAATGTCGTGAGTACTCCTCGTGGTTGGGACTGTTCCTCAAATAGGTCTGATCATGGAGGAGATGCTCACCAGTGTGAGTGAGCTGTTGCGGAGGTTGAGTCGGACAATGTCGTGGATCTAGTTTATTTGACGAATTTTGGTTTTGGCTGTGCTGTTGACGAAGACGACGATGATTGTATTGATGATCGAGATGATGTCGTTGTTGGTGGGAATGAGCATATTCATGAATAGCAGCTGAGTTTGGGAGCGCTGGTGTCGAAAATGGCGGCAAATGCGATGCTGAGTTCATGTAAAGCTCATTAAATTGTTGTTGACTGCTAGCTCGGTGCTCATGTTGAGGCTCCCGCTGAGCTCCAGTACTATTTATAATAGTTTGCTGACTATCCTGGGAAGGATAAATCAATTGCTGGTGTGACTGGTACGGGTGCTGATATTCCTCATGCTCGATGCTTGATGCCTCCAATTGATGAGTACTAATAGCAAGTCCATGCAAAGTGCCATGTTGTTGGTAATGATGATTGTCGGGTAATTCAACTGCGCCACCCTCCATAGCTTGGCTCTGCTGAGTCAACCAGGCTGTCACGTAGTCATCTTTCGCCTGTCTACTAGGCAAGTGCCCATCACTTAGGCTCCAGGCCACGTTTTTAGCATGGTAAATAGGATTGGAGGCACAGAGGTGTGTATGATGTGATTCAAGGTTTGGGATAGCTAGAGAGGGTTTCGGACTTTGTTGATAATCAGAGTTGACAATGTGTGTTGCTTTGAATTGCCTGGGCTCACGATGATCGGTGCTGATGCTGTCGGATATACCTGCATGTTGTGGCGTGTGAAAATGATAATAGCTGTGCGTAAGAGCATGGGCAAGCGATTGGCGCCCTTCTGTTTTACTATCCATAGGAGTGGGAGTGTTGGTGCGGGAAGATTGGGAATACGGAGGACTTGTGGAACGGTCGATACTGTTAGTTTTATAGTCGTCCCAAGCTGGATGCCTGTTTGTCCGGTGATGTCGCCTTGAGGCTCCTCCTCCGCTACGGAGACTGCGAACCTTTCTCCGTAGGCGCTCCTTCTTGCTGTATAGGAGGCTGAGCAGGATCATGGTTAATGTCACAGACAGGAGAGTTGCTATAGATGATCTAGAAACTTTGGAACCTTGGAGTGCCTTCCTCTGTGTAACAGCGACATTCTCTTTCTCATGCATTGTTCTGGATTGAGTTGCATACTGCTTTTGTTGTTGTGGTTGGTGATTGAAGCGGTCTGAGCTCGCATCTGCTGCAGCTCTGGAGATTGTTTGTGTTGTTGATACATCAGTTTGTATAGTCGAAAGCTGCGTGTTTGTCTCGTTGGGATTGGGCAAAGTGGACACAAGCGTCGTGCTCGCGCTTTCGTGGCGGTCACCTGGCTTCTCTATACAAGAGCCTGCTTGTGGGTCCAGAACCCGAAGCGACGATGTCTCTGTCTGATTCGTCTGAGCGGCTTTTAAAGATGCTGCTTGTAGGGACGATGCTGTAGAAGCAGGTATAGAGGAGCTTTCCGATGATGGCTGAATTATGAAAGAAGTTGACGTTGAAGTTGAAGTTGAAGTAGTCAGAACATTCCTGTTGAGAGCTTTCATCTGTTAGTAAACAAAACAAATAAAGAGTTGGTGTTGTGTGTTGTTATTGTTGTTGTTGGTGTTGCGATCAAGTTTTTTTTTTTGTGGGGTGTTTTTTGGAATGATGCGATGCAAGTATGCAAGTATTATGTTAGCATTCAGAAAGCATAGCCAGGATGCAGCAATCCAGAATCGACCATAGCGTGTGCATCATTGGATGAAGGTCATACAGAGAAAAACAAACAAGCGAATGCAGTGACATTGTGGCGCGATCGATCAGTCGATAGTGTAATTCAGTGGTGGCAAAATAAAAAACAAAAAAAAAAGGGGGGGGAGGAGGGAAGGGCAGAGAAGGTTAGTTTGCTGTTTTGAGAAACATCAAATTAGAGCAATTTGACACGTTGTTGAATCATTACAACTGTTCAATGAAAGATGGTCAGATCGAGGGCGACTATGCAGATACAACAGGTGAATTGTTTGTAATATACCTTGTGTGTAGTCTTAATCTGATATCGTCGTAGTGCCTTAGCCATCAATGTCTGAACAAAATTTGTCGGTTGTTTTGTCTGTGAAACGGCAGAGGATGAAAACATGGCCATGGTGAAGAAAAGGCTGTAGCGAGCCACGATAGGAGAGAGAATGTTGGACATTTTCGCCGACGGAGCCCTTTCAAGGACAGGAGTAATTACTGAATGTTCCAAGCAAAGGAGAAGAAGGATGGAAGGGGGGGATTTTTATGTTTTAATTGAAGGGAAAAAAAAAAAAAAAAAAAAAAAAAAAAAATCAAAGTGAAAGATATCCTTTTTTTATGTGCATAAATGTAATGAGATGTGCTGGTGCACAAGAAGGGCAGGTATGCCACTGTCTTGGCAATGACTAAAGATGTGTTGTTTTAGAGAGAATGTATGATGATGCAGAGTAAAGGGAAGGAAAGGGAAGGAGAAGGAAGAAGAGAGGGGAAAGAAAACAGGCTCAGGATGGTTGAAATGCTTAAAGACGTCAATAGTGGAAATGGGAATGGAGAGAGAAAGGAATTGAGTGTCATTAAATAGGTGAACGAGAGTGACAGAATGAGTGGAGGGAGAGAGGGTTTAGAGCTGTGGATGGGTGCAAGTTGGTGTGGTAATGAGATTTGCCCAAGATCCAGCAAAGGAATGTTGATGGAAAGAGATTGAGAGATTGAAAGATGAAAGAGGCAAGGACAAAAAAAAAGAGAGAGAGAGAGAGAGAGAGAGAAAGAAAGGAAAAAAAAAAAAGTTGTAAAGAGGAAGAGCAAACAAACAGCATTTGGTGGTAAATAGCATATTAAACAAGTATAAGCCCTGCTCAACTCCTTTTTCTTTTCCCATCGATAGTTTGCAACCGTTGGATGCAAAAAAAAAAAAAAAAAAAAAAGCAACAGAAGCGCGGTATGCAAAGTTAGTGCATCAATTCTTTTGGAGTAGAGTGAAATAGGGTACAAACATGCTTAATGAACATGAATACGCCGTGTACAATCTCTTGCATGTTGAATATACATGAATGTACCTTTGCTTTTATCGAGCGTAGTGCTTAATTTTATTTTATTTTTTTTTTTGCTGAGATTGGATGTGACAACGTGCCTGAGAGCGCTTAATTCTCCTTCATATACTCTCTCCTATCTCGTTCCTCAGCATTCTCAAGATCAAAAGCAAAAAAGACATGAGACGTTTTTCTTGCAAGGAGTTGAATGAGTTGAGTACATCAATGTGTATGAATGAGATCAATTGATAGATATATATCTTTTCTACATTTACTTTTACTTTTTTTATTTTTTCTTATTTTATTTTATTTTATTTTATTTATTTATTTTACCGTATTTACTTTCTTTTTTTTTTTTTTTTTTTTTTTTTTAGCGCTCAGACAGACAAAGACAAAGACGAATTGCGAAAAAATCAGAAAACCTTGATCACTTTTGTAGCAAAAGACAGATGTTTAAAGTCTGAGAAGAAAAGAATGGGAATATCTTTTCCACTCTGCTCTCAATTACTCGTTTTTTAGGAAAAAAAATACTCTCCACGGGCTGACGGACTGAGGGCTGTCTTCCTTTGTTGATACTCTTCATTAGCTCATCCTTTCCTTGAGCTCTGTAACTTCCCAGTATCTTGGGTCTGAAAAATAAATAAATAAAAGTCCAGAACATAAAAATAAAAATAAATGGTGAAATATATAAACAGGGTTGTAAATGAATACAAAAACATGAAAACCCATTATCATTCTCTTACAATATAATAAAGATGTTCATAGTATATTTTTACTATCAGTTATCAGCTTCATGTATCATCTATCAGGGGCAATTCATGCGTTGTTATGACAAGTAAGATGTTGACCTCAACAGTACCTTCATTCTGTTAGTACTTTGCCTACATCCAACACAATGGGAAGTCAAAAGAATGTTCATGTCGTCCTCTTGTCCCTTGTTACTTGCATCTTGCAGTTGTCGGAATGGTTTAAATCTCGGCAAAGCATGGAACTGGAGGCAACCTAAAAATGCACAAACATTCATGTACCAAGACCAAGCTGCATACAGATAACAAAAAACAAAAGAGAAAAGCGCAAAAAGTAAGAGATCTGTTGAGCATGCATTTGGACGAATTGGAACTATAACTAAATGCTCTCTTTATTTCTTTTTTTTTTATTTTTTTTATTTTTTTTATTTTTTTTATTGTCCTGTTTATGGTTAAAAGAGACCCTTCATCAACATCACACCCCACATTGGATCTCGATCTATTGGTGTATTGCCTTCTCCTCTTTTTTTTTTTTTTTTTTTTTTTTTTTCTTTTTTTTTCTCTTCATTTCCTGCTGTTTGTGAAGCGAATGACCAAGCCTGGACACAAAGGTCGCTATGCATGCAAATTCTTGAATTTTAGGTAATAGGATACTCAGGAAATTCAGGATTTTCAGAATGCAATTTTGTCCTCACTTGGGTTTTAGTGCAATTGGGAGATCTTTTTAGGCTCGTAAGGGGCTTTACCGGCACAATGCTGTAAAATAGACGCAATTTACTTGTGCCCGTTCCTGACCCTGAAGAAAAAATAGTCAGAATGAGTTGTCGAAATGTATCATCTCACGGCTATGTCATGGAGATCAAATCGTCAAACATTCATTTATCCTCCAGTTCATTCGGGTTATGGCCCCATCTGATCTTCTAATCATTGAGTCAATCTGGTCGTACAAAACCTCCCATGACAACCCAATTGGTGAGCCAGTTACATTCCAGCTTATCCAAAGATCAGGGCGCGATCAAAACGAAATAGGACTATACATCTGCATCCAAGCATAGTCCATGAATGTGTTGTCTGTTTACATGACGAAAACCTTCATTCATATCATGTAATTCAAAAGCTTTCGTTTTTATTAATCCGGTATCGTCCCTGTACAGTCTCATTTGGATCTGGAAATACTGGCAGGAATAGTTCGAGCGTCCCCTCCCATTTTTTTTTTTTCTCTTTTTTTTTTTTTTTTTTTTTTTTTTTTTTTCTTCTTGTTTTCCCCTCGTACTAGTAGCACCAGACCTTTGGTCCAATGTTAAATGCGTTCACAGAATCCTTAAATCCTGGGAAAATCACCAGGGCCACTGTGCCCGCTGGGTTACTCTTGAGTGATGTTGCCATGGTCTCCTCATCAAATGGTATACCAAGAGGAACTGAGACAGGAGCAATGACGTTTTCGAGCCCTGTCATGGCTACAGCAAGCTCAAAGGCTTTGCTACAAAGATCACGGATTTTGGCGCCTTCGTTTGCGTTGGTATAGACTCTGGAGATAATTTCATTCAGCGCACTGGCTGCTGCTGTCACAGCTGCCTCCTGTCGGGCCTTAGTCTCTGGATCCTGAGTAATCATCACACAGAGCTGTTGACGCCAACGGACTGCAAGTCTGTCATTTCGTTTGTACATCCAATCGTAGATTTCCTTGAATCCCTTGTTGTAATCAAAGACGCAGCAGAGGGGCTTGTCAAAAAAGTTTTTGACGAGCGCAGACATCACGACTGATTCCATATAAAGGTTCAAATGGAAAGGCTCCAGAGTACATTCGTCCAGAGGGAAATCATCCAATAGTCCACTGGCTCTGAAGTGGTTGATGGCTGCAGTCCTGTTAAGGTTGACTGAACGAGTGCCTTGGGTCTTGCGGATTAAATGCTCAATAGCGGCCTTGAGATGGGTCAGGCGTTCATTGATTGTGGAATGATCATCATCTGTTGCACGGATCATCCGAACGTGTTCAAAAAAGTTTTTAGACATGACCTCATAGTCTTTATCCAGTTTAGTCATTTTTGATTGAAGATCCTGGTTTTGGTGTCTGAGTTCTTCATTAGCCCGAAGAAGACGATCACGTTCGGCCCTGATATTTTGTTGCTCCTCGAGTGCATCGTTGAGGTTGATTTGCAGACTGTTGGTAAGTGTATTGAGTTCGTCGATTCGGTTGATGAACGCCCTGGTTGTCGCCTCAGTTGCTGAAGAAGACGGCACAGGCGAGCTTTCTCGACTCAATGAGAGCTCCTCCATGGAGAGCTGCTGTTTCAAGATGGCCATACCCCGTAGTTCATTCTCTGTTAAATTGGCATTCTTTGATGTTGATCGAAAGGGTATACCTGTGACCTTGAAAGGTTGAGGAGCTTAGGGAAAATATGAATATAGTTAGTCAATCAATCAGGAATAATTTATACGCGTGTGTGTAAGGTCCTCGGACTTTTTTTTTTTTTTTCTTTCAATGTATTTTTACCTTGGTCAAAGGACTTTCTGACGATTTCATAGGTCTCTTCGTCTTCTTCATCACTTTTGGCGAGATTAAGACTCCTTCGTGCTGAATGAGATTGGACAGGTGATGCCATAGTCACTGCGACAGTTGGTTTTTTGCCAGGGGCGAGAATGGGCGAAGTTGGGTCTGAGCCAGTCCTGGTACCTTTAGGTCCATTGCGATTGCCATTGTCATTGCCAAGAGGATCTGAGAGAGGCAGTGATTTGATTTCCAAGGTGGTTGGGGAAGGTAAGAGACCATTGCTCTTCCGCTTGGGTTCGTCGAAAACAGGCGCAGTATAGAACTCGGAGTTGGCCCTAGTTAGTAGTCTTGGCGAAGGGGGTGAAGAAGCATATTGTCGACGAGTATGTAGTGGTTGTTGTTTCAAAGTGGCCATCAGATGAATTTGAAAGAGTTGAAGAGAATGAGAATGAGAATGGAAATAAAATAAAAAAAAAAAAAAAAATTAAGGAAAAGAAAACTGATGAAGAAAAAAGGAGAGAGGAGGAAGGAAAAAAAAAAAAAAAATCCAACTGATAGGAAGGAACGCGTTTTAGGAGAACCATGCTCAAGGTCATTAAAGCATTGAATGAATATACTTCAGGTAAAAAGAGGCGAGTGCCTGTATTTTCTACTGGATTCCAATGCTAAACATTAACCCCCTCATTCCAATTAGGTATTGGTAGACCTAAGAGCATGAGGACAACAAGCCTTTTATACTTTTACAAGGATAAAAAAAAAAAAAAAGTTGGTGGCACCAATGCAAGGCCAACCATTTTTGTCGACTTTTTCTTTGTACGATCGATTCTCGATTACTCGATGCTCAAAATATGAAATTGCAGAGGGAGGCAGTGCAGAGGCAAAGGATGTCCCAGCACGGTTAAAAGACAGAGTACAGAGTGGAGAGCAATGACGCACCAGTGGTGAGCAGTGGGTAAAATAAAAAAACGAAAAAGAACGTTGCGATGGTTTCTCCTAGGAAGGCAAAACCTATACACTTTGAGTCAACAACTCTGCAGAAATAAAAAATGAAGAAAGAAAAGAATAAAGGACAAAGGGGAGGTTCAAGAGTTCAACAAGGGGAGGAAAAGTCAAGAATCGAGTCCGAATCCTCCGTTCGTGGGCTGTGCAGAATTCATCGACCAATCCTGTTGATCCCTGTTCGCTCCATAGCCATTCAAAAGGCAAAAGGCATTGAAGTTTCTTATTTGGCCTATTTATATGGCGATGATTGCTAGACGATGCCAGGCAAGGGAAAGGATGTGTGTAAGTAAATGTAATACAGAAGAGTAGAAGGTCCTCCATTGTCGTCTTTTGTGGTCTTTTTGTTGTGTTTTGAAAGGAGAATAAGGCATGAGAAGTGATCAAGTCCAAGTAAACGATGTCCATGCATTGTCCTGGTATGGAAGTGTGTGTAAATGTGTGAGACATTGTTTGTATTTGTATTGTATTGACCTTGGTTCCTCTGCACGGCGCATCACTTGATTTTTTTATCCTTTTCCCCTTTCTCTTTTTCTCTTTTCTCCCACTTCTCTCTTTCTCTCTTTCTCTCTCTTCGCTCTCATTCTCTTTCTTCTTCTTTCTTCTTCCTCCTTCATCCGTTCATTCTATTTCGCCACTTCGCTGGTCTTGGCTGTTTGCGAGCCCATTTCCTTCATTGACTTTTTGGTTAATCCTCCCTCTTCAACCCACTTTTATTTATTCATTCATTCCATTCATTCATTCATTCCTTCACATCCATCCTTTGATACAAACTTTTATCATAGATATTCAACCAACCGATACACATTCATCCCCACACTCTCTATCTGTCACACCTTGTTCCTTTTCCCCACCTCATTAAGCTCTATCCTCTGTAATGCAACAGCAGCAGACCTTTAATCCAAAGGATTATCCCATCGTCGTTGCTATCGACTTTGGAACCACTTTCTCGTAAGTGTACAACCCTTGATTCCTTTCTTTTCCCTTTCCTTTCCTTTCCCTTCCCGAATCCAATGCACTTTTTTTTTTGTTTTTTTTTTTTTTTTTTTCCTTCCGTTCCTGGCTCTTCTCTTTCTTGCGCTGGTGCAACAAGCAATAAAACAAGGAACATAAAATACACATTCATTAATCTTTCATTCTATCTACCTGGGCTAACAACCTTTTTTGGGGGAAATATTTTTTTCTTTTTTATTCTCAGCGGATGTGCCTATGCTTATGCTCAGGATGACAAGGAAGTCATTGATATCACCAGCTGGTAAGCCCCTGTCTGTCTCGGTCAGGACTGAATGACAAAGCAGAAAATTCAACTTCGCCAATTGGATGACTAAATCTTTATTTCTTTTCTCCTTCCTTCCCCATGCTTCGATTGATGACTTTGTCAGGCCCAAACAAAACATCCAGTACCCCAAGACACCAACACTCAACCTGTACAAAAAAGATGATCCCGAAAACAAGCTGGTAGCATGGGGCTGGCGCGCCAAGATGGAAACCCTCAAGCCCACCGCTCGACACCACACCCTTCTCTACCAATACAAACTTCATCTCGATGAGAACCAACAGAGTGGACCCCTTGACGTCAACATCACTGTTCTAGAAGCCATCTCTCATTACCTTGATGCTTTCCACGAGTACGTCGTAGGCGAGATTATGCGTGGATTCGCAAAGAACTTTCAGCGCGATCACTTCCGTTACTGTCTCACCGTTCCTGCCATGTGGTCTGACCGTGCTAAAAATGTCATGAGACAGGCTGCTGTCAAGGCAAAGTTGATCAAGGAATCCGACCACCCCGACCGTCTCATGCTCATCTCCGAACCCGAGGCTGCTGCACTCTACTGCGAACGCAAATGCGACCAATTCGATCTTGGCAATGGCGACCGATTCATGATTTGTGATGCCGGTGGTGGAACTGTCGATTTGATCGTCTTTGAAATCGCCGTCACCTCTGCAGGACGTCGCCTGTCCGAGGTCACCAAGGGACATGGTGCCTCCTGTGGGTCCGTCTTCCTCGACAGACATATGCGCCGCTTACTTGAGCAAAAGTTTGGACATCACGCCGCCAATTTCCCCGCCAACATCATCCCCAACTTGGTCGACACCTTTGCTGATGTAATCAAGCCTCAGTTTGATGGCTTAGAGGACCAGTTCTTACAACTCCCTGCCAACCGCTGTTTTGATGATTTGGAGGATCCCGAGGCTGTGGGCATTGACGATGGATACCTTGTCCTCACCGCTGCGGAACTCAAGGAGAACGTATTCGAACCTGTAGTGAAGGATGTGCTATCATTGATTCAGGAACAACTCACACAGGCAAAGGACTGCTCCGCCATCTTTTTGGTCGGAGGATTCGGCTCATCAAATTACCTCTACAGCCGTGTTAAAGCACAGTTCAGCAATCAAGTTCCCCTCATCTCCATTCCCCCTCGTCCAGAGTTGGCTGTCGTCCGTGGAGCTGTCTGTGTAGGTCTCAACCCCCGTGTAGTCACATCACGTATCGCACGTCGTTGCTACGGTATCTCATCGGATCAGCCCTTCGAGAAGGGTAAAGATCCCTTGGCCAAGCGCAAGTTCGAGGTCAATGGTGTTTGGTGCATTGATCGCTTCTCGCCCTATGTCCGAAAGGGTCAGAAGCTTAATGTGGACGAGTGTATCTCCAGAGAGTTCTCGTTCACGAAATACTCGGAAGCACCTGAGGACTACAACATTGCCTTGTATGCAGCAGACACAGATGGTGATCCGCCACGTTATACCACAGATGCTGGTGTCTCCAAGTTGGCAGACATCCCTATTCCATGCCCACACGCTCCCTCTGCACGTCTCGGTTCTATGGTCAAGGTCAAGGTCAATATGAACTTTGGACTGAACGAAATTCAAGCCGAGGCCGTCGTTGGAGACAAAGTCTACAGCACGACTCTCCAATTCGATGCTGTAGATACATATTAAAAGATTATTTGGTTTATACAACACGGACTGGGTGCTCATTATCATTATCATTTCTGTTCTTCTCACCAAAATAAAGTTTTTTTTTTAAAAAAAAAAAAAAAAAAAAAAAAAAAAAAAAAAGAGCTCTTGGAACTTAGGGACTTAGGCGGACTTCCGAGCCTTGGGTCAATTCAATCGGCCAAACAAATCTCCAAAAGTTAATGCACCTTTTAAAAAAAAAAAAAAAAAAAAAAAAAAAAAAAGAGAAATGGTCTGGCGAAGGCATTTGTGATGTGACATGGTTAGAGCAGTGTGCTTTGATAGATCTGTAGCGTTTGTGCCAAGTTCATGGCATTCTGACTGAAAGTGTGAGATATCGCTGTTTGTCTGCATCATGAGTTGATCAGCCGCAGTACATTTCCAGGCAGTATACAGAGCTATTGCCCTCACTTTGGGCCGAAAAGGAGCGTTAGATAGAAGCAATCTTTATTTGTTTTATTTCTCTATAGTAGCTCCATATGATGCCGGTACCATGATCGCATTACTTCTTAAAGAGCACACGGCACCTTTAACAAGTTAGTTCCTCCTATTAACTCAGAATAGAGTTCTGCTTTCTGTTCAAGAATATCACCACTGCAACACAAGCAATGATAATAAACAGCCATTTTATGCAGGAATCCCATATAACACCGCACATATTTTATGTTAACGATTGTCTTTAATAGTAGTCCACTTAACTTTCAGTGAACAACAGTCCTGCACCATTCTCAGGGGCTTAATTAGAATAGAAGCTTTTAAGGCAATCATAAACTGTAATCAAAGTTATATTATAGTAAAAGCGGAAAAAGAGATCAGTTGACATCTGGCACATTCAATTTTATAATCCTTTTCAAATGCCCCCTCCAATGATCATTCCAGTCCTCCTGAGGAGCAGTTGTAAGCAGAGGAATGAGCAAGTAGAGTGTGAACAAACGTTTATCTGAGGGAGTTCTTCGCGCACTAAAAGATGTGATTGGTTTTCACGTCACAATGACCAAGAAAATGGCACGTGGCTGATTTGAAAAATATATTTTCTCACACATAGCCTAACCTTGAAATAAAGGATCAAATTTATCAATAGCAATTGTCGCTCCTTTCTTCTCCTTTGCTTCACTTCATTTTTGCACTCTCCCTCTTCCTTTACCCTTTTTTTTCACTTTTTTCATATTTCACCCCAGTTTTGCTCCCATCAATTTTGCTCTTTTATTTATTCCAAGCCTTCATCTATTGCCTTCCTTTCCTTTCCTTTCCTTTTTTTTTTTGCCTTACGCATTTTTCATTTTTGTTTTCATACAGCGACCACGAGTGTGAAAGAGTATAGAATATACCTTTGCCAATTTAACCATCATTCTCCCTGCATTTCAACCACACTCAGTCCCACTCATCTTAATTTTCAATGGCCACCACAAGGAGCCAAGCACAAAAAAACATGGCTGCAAATAAGCCTGAGGATGCCTCCACACTCAATAAACGAAAAAGAGTAAACCAGCACCCACAACGAAAAAAGCGCGCCATCCCACTGCTGCTGCAGCTGAACTGCGTTGTTGAGGGAGAAGCAACGTCGTTCCCAGTAGAGATTTCCTCCGCTAAATCGGTCGGGATACTCAAGGAGGTCATCAAAGCAAAGAATGCCAATGCATTGAATAATATCGACGCTCACCAACTCACCCTCTACAAGGTCTCCATCCCTGACGAAGACAAGACCGTCGTCGAGTCAGAAATCGAGTCAAAAGAGGCTCTCGCACCCGCGTCAATGGAGCTTTGGGAGATATTTAATTCTGAACTTCCAAGGAAAACTATCCATGTTTTTGTCAAGCCACCACGGCGAGGTATATCTTTGGCTCTTGATGGACTGATTGTTGACATTTCCAGCTGATGAAGCTTGGTTTATATCTTAAACGGCCATGTGCATGATATCACCATTTGGTTTGTGTCTTGATAACTCAACGTTCTTTCTCATTATTCGCTTTTGATACTTAGCTCAGAAAAGAAAACAAGATGGAGATTCTGGTGAGTGCTTTTGGCCGAGAACCTGGTTATTGATCATTTTAGAGTGATGTGCAATAAATCAAAAATATTGACTTTGATCACTCTATCTCCTTTATCAGAGTCACCCTCTAAAAAAGCTCGTCCAAGTATAAGTAGTAGAAGTGCTCTTAGGGATGCGATTACAGAAGCAGGGCTTGTAACGAAAGGGATAGTGAATGATAGGCCTGTAATCTCGCCTCTAAACTCGAAAGAGAGGGTCAAGGTGCTTTCGTACATGGGGGAGGAGTTATCAGGAGATAGTATTTACTACAGCATTGTTAGCGTGGCTTGCGAGCTCCGAAATTCTGGTGGTATCAAGGATTCCAAACTATTGACTGCTCCTGAGGGTTGTATCTTCCCTGTTGCCGGAACAAGGCATCTTTATATCAGAGATGAATATAAAAAGCTTTATGACCATATTACATCTACATTCAGTACCCCTCATGGAGCTAGTTTGAACCGACTCTTTGTCACTGGAACGCCTGGAATTGGGAAGTCAGCCTTTTTGGTCTATTTTGCCATCCGCCTCCTTGCAGAGCATGACGAGGAGAATCCACCGATTATTGTTTTCCATGAAAAGAAGAATACCGAATGTTATGCCTACGGAGGAACAACTTGCCAACGTTATGGAGAGAGAGTAGATTTCAAACATTTTCTTGAGCAACCTGAAACGTGGTATTTAGTTGACAGTGGTAACCATCCTCAACCAGATCAAGCCAGGACGATATTTGCGGCATCACCAAAAACTCTCTATGGGCAGTACGATGAATTCACCAAGGAAAATTCACGCAGTAGCTACTATCACATGTCACTCTGGAGTTTGGACGAGCTTAAGGAATGTAGAGCCAATGTAAAGTTTTTTCATCCAGTGGATGAAGAATTTTTGGAGGAGCTTTTTTACAAGTTGGGGGGAGTGCCAAGACAGGTCCTACAGGCTCCAGCCAAAGAACTATTCAAGAATCAAGGAGATATTAAGGGTGCTAGAGACTCTGCGTTTAGCCGCGTCGAAACTGCCATTGAAAAACTCCGGAACCCAGCAGATCTTGTAGCGCTCTTTGCACGAGGAAAAGAAGCGAGTGAATTTAGTGGTCGTTTACTCCATAGAGTCCCCACTTCTGACCACCTCAACTTCCATCTGGTGTGGGCATCTCGTTGGGTTGAATTAAGGGTTGTCGACAAAATAAAAGATGACACTTGGCTCGATGTGTTGGCGAAACTTGTCAAAAGCGAAGAGGATATAGCTAAAGGCCCACTGTTTGAAGTCTATGCTCATCACTTATTTCGATGTGGTGATATTAGATTTCCCTTTAGGGATCTCCAGTCAGGCGAAACAGGATTTCTTGATTTTCCAGCAAACCCAGAAGTGGTGCATATCCGGACTTCAGATGAATTATTAGGGCTCACTCAAGCAGCTGGCAAGTTGTTTGTACCAGAACATTCTAAATTTCCGTGCATTGATTTTGCATTGGGACCCAACAAGCTATTTCAGGTCACAGTATCAGAGAAGCATCCGATCAAGCAAGCACCATTCAAGGAGATAATTGAATGTATTACTGGACCCTGCTTGAAGGGAGACCAATCAAAGTTGAAGGGAGACCGATCAGAGTCGAAGGGAGACCGATCAGAGTCGAAGGGAGACCGATCAGAGTCGAAGGGAAGTGATGATACCATTTTCCTCTATTTTGTGGTGCCAGGAGACGTATATGGCGATTTTAAAGTTCAGAACTTTCTTACCACCAAAGATACGGTCGTCAAGAATCCATATGTATGCTTAAAACATGTAAGACAGCGTGTCATAAAAATCGACATCGAAGCTGCATATTCAGGAGGAGCAGCCGGTACGAATCTGAAGAATTAAATCGAATACCAATCAAGTGGATGAAATTTTGTCTTTTTTAAAAAAAGCATTATACCCGTTCCTTGAGAATTTTTTACAATGGCTCATTCTTTATGAATGAAGCCATCATCATCCACTTACCTTTTAGACGAATAGATAGAGCGGTTTAATCCGTCCTGCCTTCTACTGGGGCATTTAGAACTTTATAAAGCTGTGATCATTATGCGATCTTGTGTGCAGGATTTTGTGATACTATTATCAAAGAGTTTTGTAAAAACGGATAGAGATGAAGAATCCTGTGGAGAACCAGTGAGAGTATGATGAGACCCAAAATCATATTATTATCACCAGGACAGCTGGGAGTTTTTTTGGATCTCCAAAGAGTATGTGATGAGCCAATAAAGGGTTGTATGGTGCACAGAGATAACATCTTAATAGCATGATCAACTCAAGAGAATGTGTCAATATTCCTTCAAAAAGCTGAATGGCCTATATGAGGAATGAACAAATATTGACAGGGTATATTGCCTAGTTGATTATACGTGATGGAGCTACTTTTTTTTTTTTTGTAAATCGAAAAATTATCAATGGAGACACTCGCACAGAAGACAAGTAACATTTAATAATTATCTAAATCTATCGTACTGGTTAAATTGCACTAATAACATACGCGTGACTTGAGTAAGAGAAGATCTTTGATGATCTTCATAACTAATCAGCATTACAAATTACAATGACAACCATATGCACCATTGAGAAAAAAAAAAAAAAAAAAAACGCTCCAAAGTAAGCTTTTGTTCAACAAATTATTACTATCCCTACAAACTATGCTCCTTGAGAAAAAAAAAAAATGTCTTCCATTGCTCTGAGTCGAAGAACTTGTTCCAGGAGAGGATGTGCTCCTACGGTCTTGCATTTTGTGAAAGATCTTTGATTACCTCTCCTACTCCATGTTAGGCCTTGTTCTAACTCTCAAGCCATTCGTACGCCCTCTGGAAATAATAAAATCATTGAAGCGCATTGTGAACCATGAAGCCCCGTGGGTTGTATTACACTCTGGGGAACAGTGGCGATTATCGATTCTAACAAAATTTTTTTTGCCACACTTTTCCGCATTTGGAATAACATTGATTGTGACGCCTTGACGTGTCCATTCATTTAAAATCTTTCGAATCTATCCACTGTCTTATTTTATTTTATCTTCAATGCCAATATCTGCCTCCATTTGCTAACCCATAGGGTCCCCCATTGCCGGCCTTTCCAACTCTGTCAGGTTTCTTTCTCTTCAGGAAGTTAACTAGATCCATGCCTAAGCTAACAAGAGACCTTCTCAGATTGTCAACAATGGCAATACCGGCTATGTGACTGATGCCACTTCCACAGGTTGTCGGAGACCAATCAAACCTTCCAGATTTGCTCCGCCCAAGGTGTCCAAGAGTGTAGCACCACGGCCCCCGCTATGACTTCCACGACCAAGCGTTCTTTTTCGATGAGCTAGTGTTTAGTACCTCCCAGTACTATGGCGAACGGCTTGCATCGGCCCCTAGGGCTGATGACACCATCGCGTCCGTAGAGGGCCCTTTCCAGGAGCTCTCGGAAATGATGGCATTGAAATCAAACGTAAGTGTCAACCCTCTTCCACTTCCTCAGGGTCTCCCATCCTTTAAGAAGGGCATAATCCTCGTGGATACGGCTCTTGGTTTACTTTACATGTACTCCAAGTAGGCTGCTGTTGTCTTTGATAAGATATCAGCAGCCGAGAGGGCCCTTGCCAAAGCTATCGAGGCAGGGACCCTCACTATTTTGGTAAGATTCTCTTCGCCGACAACCGTGCTTCTATGCCAGAAGAGCGGCCCAGAAACTCCTCCAAGATACTTGGTGTCAGTCAGTGATTGCCACCAAGACTTCTGAAATACAATCACTCAAGATTAAGTTCCAGGAGGGCCTTGCTAAGGAACTCTCCTCTGAGTTACAAGGTGCGCTTGTCCGTGTTCATAGCATGGACGGCGTCACTAAGCCACTCTTGGAGAGTTTCCATGCACAGGTGCGACAAACCACCCTTGGCTTCAAGGCCAATTGTGAACGTATTCAAGCCATCGTGCTGGCGGAAGCTGCTACTTTAGCTTTTAAGGTAAAATATTCTAGTGTACTCTTCCAAACTCATACCCTCTCAAGTATGTATGGAATGCTTATTATCGAGATTCCACTGTATATTTCTCGTTTCATTTCTTAAATCAGATGGAAATGTTAAGTTTGTGGTCACGATTGAATCAAAATAGAATAGAAAATCCTACTCAGAAAGTTATTGGGAGGGGGGTGTACGTACCATCTTACTAACGAACTGTTACTGATTTTATATGCTTTGTTACTAATGTAGTGATTATAAAGTGAGGAATGACCCTATCGTCTAAGTAGAGAAAGCTGATCAGTGTTAGAAAAAGCTAATATATTTTAAGAGAGCATTCGTTACTCTTCTTTGGTATCCTTCACTCTATTAGCATAGACAGGTTCAACGGCAATATCAATATTTTTTATATCATCATTTATTCTTTCTTTCTTTTTTTTTTTTTTTTTTTTTTTTTTTAAAAAAAAAAAAAAAAAAAAAAAAAAGGAATTGATTTGGGCAGATATCCTTGCTGTTGTTAGTTTTATAATATGAATATTGTGAAAATGCATGAGATAGGAGGAACCCTCTTTAGCATCCGACAACTACATTACTGAGGCGAGTTGCAATCATTTCCTGACTCCCAAAGCAAAGCAAATGCGTGTGCATTGTCCTGTTCAAACCTCAATCTGAGTACTTCTGAGAGCGCCAGGGCTCCTTCATACCCAATTAAGTTGTATGTCAAGTTCAAGTTAGCAAGAGTCATATTGGTCTTGAGTGCCTCCGAGAGTGCCAGAGCTCCCTCACTCCCGATTGAGTTATTGTGCAGGTTCAAGTTGGTTAGAGTTGTGTTTGTCTTGAGTGCCTCTGAGAGGGTCAAGGCTCCTTCCTTCCCAATGGAGTTGTATGTCAAGTTCAAATTGACCAGAGTCGTATTTGCCTTGAGTGCCTCTGAGAGCGCCCAAAACTCCTCCATTCCCGATTGAGTTGTACGTCAAGTTCAAATTGGCCAGAGTCGAGCTTGTCTTAAGTGTCTCTGAGAGGGCCAAGGTTCCTTCCTCCCCAATTGAGTTGCACTCCAAGTCCAAATTGATTAGCGTTGTGTTTATCGGTAATATCTCTGAGAGTACCAAAGCACCTTCCTTCTCAATTGAGTTGTATCCCAAGTCCAAGTTAGCTAGAGACGTGTTTGACTTGAGTGCCTTTGAGAGTGCCAGAGCACCTTCCTTCCTAATCAAGTTGTCTTTCAAACTCAAATTGGACAGAGCCATATTCGTTTTGAGTACCTCTGAGATTGCCAGAGCTCCTTCATTCCCAATTGAGTTGTATTCCAAGTCTAAATTGGACAGAGTCGCGTTTATCTTGAGTGCCTCTGAGAGTGCCAGGGCCCCCTCTTTCCTAATAGAGTTGTCTTTCAAGCTCAAAGTGGATAGAGTCGTGTTTGCCTTGAGTGCCTCTGAAAGTGCCAGAGCCCCTTCACCCCCAACTGAGTTGTATTCCAAATCCAAATTGGTTAGAGTTGTGTTTATCTTGAGTGTCTCTGAGAGTGCCAAGGCTCCTTCATTCCCAATTGAGTTGTATCCTAGGTTCAAATTAGCCAGACCCATGTTTGTCTTGAGCGCCTCTGAGAGTGCCCAGGCTCCTTCATACCCAATTGAGTTATTGTGCAAGTTCAAGTTGGTTAGGGTCATGTTTGTCTTGAGTGCCTCTGAGAGTGCTAAGGCTCCTTCATACCCAATTGAGTTGTGCTTCAAATTCAAATTGGTCAGAGTCATATTTGCCTTGAGTGCCTCTGAGAGTGCCAAGGTACCTTCATTCCCAAATGAATTGAATTCCAAGTTCAAATTAGTTAGAGCTATGTTTGCCTTGAGCGCCTTTGAAAGTGCCAGGGCTCCTTCCTTCTTAATTGAGTTGTATGCCAAGTCCAAATTAGACAGAGTCGTGTTTGCCTTGAGTGCCTCTGAGAGCGCCAAGGCTCCTTCATTCCCGATTGAGTTGTTTCTCAAGTGCAAATTGGACAGAGTCGTGTTTGTCTTGAGTGCCTCTGACAGTGCCAGAGTTCCTTCCTTTCCAATTAAGTTGGATTCCAAGTCCAAATTGGCTAGAGTTCTATTTGTCTTGAGCGCCTCTGAAAGTGCCAAGGCTCCTTCCTCCCCAATTGAATTGAATCCCAGGTCCAAATTAACCAAAGTCATGTTTGTCTTGAGTACCTCTAAGAGTGCCAGGGCTTCTCTCTTCCCAATTAAGTTGTTGCGCAAGTTCAAATTCGTTAAAGTTTTGTTCGCATTGAGTGCCTCTGAGAGTGTCATGCCCGATCTAGTCAAATGAATGGCCGCGTTGCTGTTGTTGTCGTTGTCGTTGTTGATATTGCTGGACTGTCGTACTTCTGTAATGACGTCCAGGATCTTGTCAGGATAGAACGCAATACGCTGCGGCTCGATCCTAATAGAACATTTGTCAAACTGATTTACTCTTCCTTTTTTCTTTTCCTCAGGGCAATTGCTATGGCACTGTGATAAAGTAAAAATATACCTATTGCCATTGGCCTCTGAAAGGAATGAGATGGGATGTCCATCCAGTTTGAAACGTAGTGCATCTGGAAACACATCTCGAATGTCTTGCAAAAGCACAAAGTGTGGAGAGCCGCCATTGCTTGCATCGGTGGAAGCAGTTTTGACGCAAACTTCTCCAACGATGTCGCCTTTTCGGAATTGTTGATACTGAGATTCTGCCATCTCGCTAATAATGCGAAGGAGAATGAGGATGCTGACAAGATGCAAAGTCTCATTCCTGCAATTTCTTTTTACTTCACCAGAGGGATAAAAAAAAAATAGTGTGTAACCCATTGGCGTCAACGGAATGTTGAAGATATGATTGAGATGGTCTGTATAGAACTCGACTCATAGCTTCCTTGAGCTATAGGCACGAGCAGCATTGTATCCATATCGACACATTGCGCTTCTTCGAACAGACCATCAGATCCATGAATCACCCAGCGTTCTCAAGAAGTGTGGAAGGAGTCCACAACAGCTACGAATGTATCTCTCACCAACAGGTCGAGGACATAGCCCACCATCTTCACGCCACCCTCAAACACCTTCCTCCACCAATGCTAGTCTTCAACCAGCTTAAAACCACCATTGAGATCTACGAAAAGACAGTCAGGATAAGACAATAATCTGCACAACGTGAAACGCGATACCGTAACTCTTTTATTTAATCCATGACTGCAGAACGACAACCTCCTGAATCCACAAATGCGCAGAGGCCTGTCATCATGAGCCAATCACAGCCGCTGCTACTATTCATTAAGTACGTCGAGATCTGTATCAGTATCAGCTACGATAACACAAGAAGCCGTTGTGGCAGCGCCAGCTACCTTGTTTACAGCATAGGCTTACTTATAGCAGCTGGAATGGAGCGAACCTCACCACCAAAGGATTCATATGGCTCGTCCACTTCAATTCCAACGGACACTGTAGCTGCAGCCGATGAACAAAGTAACACACGCGATGGATACAACGAGAGGCCAAGAGGAAGTAGTAAGAACAGGCATCGACGCAAGAGCCGACAGAGGAGTAGAAGCCAAGATGACCACGGCCGCAGAAGCCCTAGCAAAAGCCGAGGATTGAGCTAAAGTGTGCAAAGGAACAGGACTCGACCTGCTAGATGTGTACTTGCGATGGGTGCGGCTACAAAGAAGCATGGGAGGTCTCATGTTGCTAGGAAGGTGAAAGTGATGACATCCCTGATAACAATAGCGACATATCCTTAACCATGTAGAAACCAAGACGCACCCTTGCTGATGACTCTCAGATTGGATTGATATCACAGATCCAATAGTTCATATGATGACACATGTATATGTAACCAGCTTTAATATTATTAAGAATATGTGCGGCTCCTTTTGGCTCCATAAAGGCTCTATTCCTGCTCCTACACAATGTGATACGAGACTTTAACCACACTTGGGCATGACTGGCATCCAGAGGTAAAGCAATAACAATAACAACGGCTCCCTTTGAACACCTCTTCCGCAGCAGCTTCCCATACTATTGCAAAAAGGAAGATTTTCAAATCAAGTTTTATTCGTTCGGACAGCCTATGTTTAGTCCTGTTTTGGCTTGGTCTTGATAGCCAAGTCAACATCATCTTTGATGGGAATAGCATCCATAGCACCTTCTTTACCGACTGCCAATGAGGCCGCATGGCTCGCCTCATGCAGCGCTGCTTGTAATTGTTCTTCGCTGAAGCGCTTGCCTTGAACTTGGTTGCGGACAAGATTCGCGACGAAGTAGCCCTATTAGAAAAGAAAGTGTAGAAGAGGAAGAGAAGGAAAGGAAGTAGTTAATAAAAATGAACTAATTGAAGACCTGTTAATGATCAACTAAAAGTATACAAAGACCATATTTTACCGTAAATGAATCTCCAGCCTGTTATTGTTTTTGAAGTTGTTGGAAACAGTTTCACATAATCCGTAATATATATGAGATCGGATATAACCAGCAAGTTAGATTCAACACAATGTCACGATAGAATAAAATAAAATAAAAAAAAATATAAAATTCCTTACGCCAGTCGTATTCACAACGTCGCCCTTGATGACACCCATTCGGAACTCCTTCATTTTTTCATCCTCTTCATTGATACGAAACCTAGCAACGAGGCCGTCACTACCAAGCGTGATAATGATGCCGCTGATTTGTTCGTATGCCTTTTCCAACACTGGGAAACATTGCGCAGGAGTGATGTGGGTTGAAGACGAGATCGAGTCAGCGTCGTTACCGCTGGTCAAGAATGAGTGAAGGCCTTGAGCCTCAATTTCATTGATCAAGAGGTAGTCGACGAGATGTAAGGGATATTCCTTTGGAAGTTTAGCGGTCATGGGCGAGGGATTAAAGCAGATTGTCATTCCTGTATTCAATTAGCCGGTAAAAAATAAAAATAAAAATAAAAATAAAATAAAATAAAATAAATAATCAATATCATATCATGAACTTCTAAAAGCTTTCCATGACAACGAATCAATATAGCAGTTACCTCGCTCTTTGGCTGCACGCATGATCTCGCCTCCGCTGCTCATTTCATTCTGCATAACGATCCAATCGCCTTCTTCAAACTTGTTCAACACATGGCGAGCCTCTTCTAATGTTACAGTTTTGTTTGTTCCAGGGAATAACACGATAGAGTTATCGTGTGATTCCTCGCTTAGTTGAATAATGGCCCTTCCAGTCACCTAATAGATACATATGAACGTGTTATCGTTTTTTTATTATTTTTTTTTTTTTCACCTATAAAATATGAAGGTGTAATTTTAATTCATCGTTTCTTTACCTCCTTTTCTGAAACCATGATGTATTTAGTATCTACACCAGCCTTCTCCATGATCGTGCGGACCCATTCTCCGTCCTTTCCAATCTTCCCTGCGTGATAAACATTAGCTCCAGCTCTTCCAAGAGCAACCGATTGGTTTGCGCCTTTGTAACCATTTTTTTTTTTTTTTTTTTTTTTAAATAAATAATAATAGCTATTAATATTAGCATATTATGATCGTTATTGCACAATTCAAAGTCAAAGTGAAGTTTTCTATTATTTTTTTCCTGTTTACCTTTGCCTCCAGCACTCACAGAGTGTGAAGTAGAAGAGATAGTCTTTAAAAAAAATAATAATAATAGTAGCATAAGCTTTTCTTTGTTCAATTGCATTAAAAAAAAAAAAAAAAAAAAAAAAAAAAAAGATAACTTGTCATTACTCTTATCACTATTCTTTTACCTCACCAGATCGAACGATATGAGGCACCACATAAAAATCATCTTTTTCATGGAGACAAGGTTATTGAGAGCCAAGATAAAAAAAAAAAATTAGGCTTGACGTTCTTCTCTAAACTATGAAAAAAAAAAAAAAAAAAAAAAAGAAAGAGAAAGAAAAGAAGCAAGCGACACAACAAGCTTCATTTTACATACCAATGTTGATTGATCCATAAACAAGCACCTTGGGTTTTGAGAGCTCCATTATTATCGTAAAATAGTAGTCTATAAAAAAAATAAAAAAATAAAAAAAAGAAGTGAAAATGAAGAATGAAGAAATGAAAGAAATGAAGGAAATGAAGGAATGAAGAATGGAGAGAATGAATGAAACAAAAAGTTCTCACGCTTGCACATCATTGGAAGTCGCGTGTTTTGGCGGGATTTTTTTTATTGTGACATTTTACCAAATCATCAAGTATACAGATAAAAAGTCTTCAATTCTTCTCTTTCTTTTTTAAACGGCTGTGGTGTTGTTGTCAGGCAAATGCTTCTTGATCCATTCGATATAATAATCAATGACTTTTCTACGCTCCTCCTCGGGCTCGTTATGAAGCTCGTGGAAATGACCCTCATAGAGCTTGTACTCCTTATCCTTGACCTGCACCTTATCAAAGAACTGCTTACTTGCTGCTGCATCCGTCAACCCATCCTTATCGCCATGACAGATCAACAATGGTACATCCGCTGTGATCTCTTTGTATCTCTCTGTCAACAACAACTTCCCGTACGTCAACATATCATTCAAGCCAACCATTGTTACATATCCATGCACAAGGGGGTCTGTGTCATATTTCTCCACCTCCTTCTTGTCACGCGAAATCCACTTGGATGACAAGCCAGTCGAAATCTGAAGCGATGGAAACACTTTGGAGGCATACCTTGCAGCTATAATGGAGATCCAATTGGGGCGTGTGGGTTCTGCGGGAATAATAAGTGGTGCTGATGCAATCAAGCCAGCAAGTCTAGTCCTCAGTGGGCCAACGCAGTCATAATTCAAAACCAAGTCTCCACCCTGACAAGAAGAAAAAAAAAAGAGCAGATTAGGATCTGTTAAAATACAAAGAAGTGGAAAATCAAAGATTTGAATAGTATTATCATTCAAACTTTTTCTTTTTCTTTTTTTTTTTTTTTTTTTTTTTGAACATACATAGCTATGACCCATCAGGAACAAAGGAAGACCCTCGATCTGGCCACGTTCCAAAGCGGCAGTAATGTCAGGAATTGCCTTCTTGAATCCTCCAGTACATCCCAAAGTCTTTGACTTTTTGCCTATTTTAAATAAATAAATAAATCAAAAAGTCGAGTTATAAGAAAGTCAGTTCTCACATGAGTTTCTATACTTCAGGGCTGAGTAACCCCTTCATGTGATTTTTATAAAAAAAAAGAACATCCTCTGGATGGAGCTTTGAACATGCCTGTTTGTCCGAATCCACGCTGATCAAAGGCCGAGACCTGGAAACCCGCCTTGTTAAAATCTTCAAAAACTCCATCGTAGCCTATAATAATCGAATAATAACAAAAAAAGAAACAAGAAAAAAAAGACTCAATATTAATTGCCATCATCCTTAAAGATCAAAGGATCAAAGGAAGGAAGGAGGAGAGAGAAACAAGTATAGTAATAAAAATGAAGAGCAGAAGAGGAGGGACAACGTACGGACAATATGCTCTCCTAGACCATGGACAAAGACAATGGAAGCAACTGGTTTTCCGACAGGGTACCAAGTCTTTGTAAAGATTTCATGCCCGTCTTCGGCAGTAATCCACTCCACCTTGGATGTAGGCTTGTCAGTTGCAGAAGACATCGTAGAACAAGTAAAGGATGTAGGAATTGACCAGTATGGGCGAGAATAATTTGAGGAGCAAAGTAAAGAGGGGGAGAAGCAAGAAAAAAAAGAAAAGAGTGAAGGACAAAAGGTGCAATTGTGTTACCAACACCACGGTGAACACATTCATTGGGCTCCTGGCCCTGAGTGGCTTATTTGCAATGCACAGACAAGAGGCTGGGCATTGGTCTCGAGTTTTTTTCCATCTCGTATTTGGTCCTTCTTTTTATTAACATTATCATTATTCCTGCTGATGTTAGCATTGGAAATGGATGATGTGCTTTGTAGTGGATGATGTGCTTTGTAGTGGACAATGATAACAGCAATTGGAGGACTGGGGGCGTTTTTGAGGAAAACGAACCACAATAAAGGAATATGGAGACGGACAAATGATAATACAATGATCTTTTTTTTTTTTTTTTTTTTTTTTTTTGGACTCTGGAAAAGCATTGAGGAGGTAAAGGTCCATTTTCTCCGCGGCATGAACAACAAAGGGCTTCCTGACATCAAAAGCTGCAACCCAGCAGTGCATAAAACAAAAAGTCATCCCAGGCTGCGACGAGGCCTTCGCACTGACAGCCGTCAGCGTATTTGCGATAAAGCTTATTTATTTTTCAATGCATGAATCTCTTTACAGGTATCCATAGAGCCCATTGGGGCCACCATCTTCGTGAGTATTACTGTTCTTGTGGCTGTTGTCGTCGTACCGTGCCTTCTGTTGGTCTACATGGTCGCGTCTCGTCTGGGGCCGTGTCAGTACTCTAGGTAGTAGATATGGTGAGCGAATAACAGGGGGTATACTAATGGGTGCGCTTCTCAAGCGTATTTCTTCTTGTACTTGAGGAATTGGTAATAGAGAAGAATGATGGTGACCGGCACTATCATCTAGATGCAGCTGTGCACCACTGGCACCATTATTGTTCTTCTCAAAAGTACCTATACTAGACCCTCTATAGCCTCCCGATACTGAGGGTGAAGTCAAAATAGGCGCTGAGATGATCATAGATCGTGGTGAAGAAAGCGTTGGATAACGTGGCGACTTTGCTTCCTGCCTCGCGAGAGGATGTTGAAGCACTGTACCCTCACCCCAATTTGTTGTCTTATCAACCCCATCAACCCCATCATCACTATCATAGTAATAATAATCATCCAGATGCAGCTCGTCCGAAACGGCGACATCTGGCGGAGGTAGATCGGCCCCACCGTTCCCCTGGAAAGCAATACACGGCTTTCTTAGCCCCGATGCTGTGGATCGTGCTGTCTTCGTGGATGAGCGATGTGCCATGGCAGCACCTGTCCGTGGTAAGGCTTCCGCCGCAACCTTGTCTGTCCTAGGGTCTTGGGACTCATGGAACGATGGACCATGTCTTAATGACTTTTCTCTATATGATATATACACGTCAGAGCTACGATATACATCATGGTGGCTAGCGTTTGGGTCTGTAATTGTGAACCCGGTGCTTGTGCTGCCATTATTGTTGTTGACTTGGTTTAGCGCGTAACGGGAATGAGACCCTTCGGACTTCTTGATCTTAATAGCTGGGGCGCGCGTCTGGCGATTGCGCCTCCGTATTAAGAGGAACGCGATGATTATCAGTATCACAGCTATACATGAGACGCCAATGATGACACCCTTGTTTGATGATATAAAGGATGGGGATGAAGAAGACTGCTCGTCTTGCGACTTTGAAGTGGAAGAAAGGGACGTTGGTTGTGAACCAGTTTTTGTCATTGTAGCTGATGATGATAATGGGGACGAAGGAAGTCTTATATCGGATGAGGTTCTATCATCTGGAATCGAGCAAATTGGCCCTACAGAGCACACCTCACCGTTAACCGATACTGACTCTGCATGGGGAGGGTCTATGGCAGAAGGAGTAGCGGCAGCAGCGGTTATTGTGTTGCCATTTATCCCTTCATCTACTCTTTTGGATAAATATTTATTCACACCGCCATTGCCAACATTTTGAAGTGTGACTCCATCGGGCAACGCTGTAATATTAGGAAACGAGACTTGGAGTTGATCTTGACTGCCCCATTGACAGAACGCAGTGGAGGATGATACAAACATACAGCCACTAGGCGTAGCTGTGATCAGGAACGCATCAGGAAACTTGATGATGGCCTTATGTTCAACCCCCTCAGGAGAAGAACCATGATTGGTAGAGTGGGCACTGATCTTAAGGGTAACAGCATAGGACGAGGAAGATGATGAGTCAAGGGGGTCGAGGGCATGCGAAGAAATGCTGTAACAACACTCTATTAACAAAATTCAATTAATAAATGTTTAAATGTTTAATTTAAAATTTAATAACCAAAAACAATGCACGGAGGAATATTGATTAATAAAAATAATTAAAAACAAGAAAAAAAAAAATTCACAGGATAAAACTACAACAATGAATAGGAATGGTCATTGTCATGCAAATGTGTGTTCATTTCTTTTTTTTTTTTTTCTTTTTATAAATATATGAGTAAACGAAAAAGAAGAGGAGACCTACTGGAGAGAGCAATCCCTGTCAAAAAACTAGGGTGGAGAGCCATGACAATAATGAAAAGTTGCCGAGCGCGACGCGCATACAGTGTCATTTTGAATGGTTTGAGAATTTAAATAAAATGCGACAAAAATTAAGATGTTTGGGATTTCCTCCAAGAGCAATGACGAACGCTCTGCAGAAACGTTGGGAGATACAATAGGCGATAATCGAGGAAGTAAAAGATATTGAAAAAAGAAAAAAAAAAAAAAAAAAAGATATGAAAGTAAGGATGGAGGTATATGTGTAGAAGCGATGATTGCAAATTGGAAAGACCGTTGATGGAGGAAAGAAGAAGGGTTGTATGATAAAAATGCAGAAGAGAGCGAGGAAGAGCGGAAAGTGAAAGTGAACGCGAGAGAGAAAAGCAATATGAACAAGAGAAGGTCAATTCTTTCATGGTTCCTGTGGGGCGAGGGGCACTGTATTTTCCTTCCTTGTCAAGGAAAAAAAAAATCCTTTCGCAGACATTTCCATGAATGCTTTCCTCAATTTTTGTGATGAGGATTCTTACTTTCGCATGGAGCCTCACCCAATCGTTTTTTCTCATCAGTTCTGCTTTCACGCTCTCTTTCTCCTTCTCTTCTCTTGCCCATCTCTTTATCATGGGGGAATCAATGAACGAAAGAAAAGAACAACCAGATGCTTCTCTGAACTGAACAACCACCATAGTTTTAATCGCCCCCCATCTCGCCAAACACAAAACAAAAAAACTCATTGGACAAATTGATAATCCCATGTTGTTTGGCTGTTTTTTGTCTTGTTCTTCTTGTTCTTTGACTTTCATCAACTAAAGTTTGACATGTTACACCACTTTAATTTTACACGACCGTTTTGTTTGTTTATATATATATATATATTTTTTTTGCATTCAACGCCATTTGGTGTGAAATGCAAACATTACAACCATGCAACAAAAAAAAAAGTGTGAACTTTAGAAATGCATTCAATAATTAAGATCATGCAAACTCATTTAAGCATAGACGATCATCTGTAGATCATATATTAAAGTCTTTTTTGTTAAAAAAAAAAAAAAAATATGTACAGGTATTTTATTATCATCACAGTAAGAACAATGAGGACGAGCATATGTGTTGATGCGAAAAAGTATACAATATCAAATCCAGGAAAAAAAAAAAACCATAAATAGAACAAATGTAGCAGTACAATGAAGAAGAAGAAGAAAAAAAAAATGCCAAAAGGAACAGAAGTTCAGCCATAGTCGCGATTTAGATCTACAGAGAACAATAGAAAACCCCCCCCCCCTCAACACCGCCATGATCGTCATCATGTTTTACATCCATAGCGAGCCACTAAGCTGAGGCTCAACCATGGAGCGACTGCTTGCGATGGAAGGATCTTGCTGTTGAATATGAGCAGGATTGAGAGTTCCGTTACTGCCAGAGTCTGTGAAATCAATCCAGAATTTGGTAGGGTCATAATCAAAACCATCTGTCATGGTTGAAGCCATTGGACCCATGCCCAATTGTTCCTGACCCATCTTTTGTTGTGCTTCCATGGAAAGGTCTGTCATGGTCATTGGCATGTTATGGTGGCCATGCTGCTGCTGTTGTTGTTGCTGTTGTTGCTGGAGCATCTGTAATGCATATCTGTGGCTAGGAATGACAGGAGCTGTCATGGTATTCAAGACAGACTGAGATTGGGATGTGTTGGGATCTTGCTCCTTCATACCCATATCCGATTGCTGACGCTGCTGTTGACGCTGAAGCTGCTGTCTCATTAGCTGTTGCTGTTGTAACTGCTGCTGCTCCAGCAATGACTCAGTCTTGATCTCAGAAGGCTTGTTCAATACACTAGCACCAAAGGTCTGCATCTGCTGATACAAGCGATGCTGCTGCTGGATTTTGAGCTGCTGTTGCTTCTGTTGCTCCTTCAAGTCCAATGTAAGCTGTTGCTGCTGTTGCTGTTGTTGTTGCTGTGCTACTAGGTTATAGATGAGCTGGGGAGCGTTGATAGCGCCATTTGTCACATCAGAAGTAGTCGATGTCATCATCGAGAAAGTGGGAGTCATGATGTGCTGTGGCATCGAAGAGATAGGCAAGGTTCTTGTCAGAGTTGGAGTGTACTGCACAGATGTTGTTGAATGTTGCGACATTGAAGGAACTGCCTCGAATTGACGCCTCTTGCGGCTTGGCAGAGCATCACTCTCCTGCTGTACCATGTTCTCACCACCCTGATTGATCTCATCTTCTGCTGCTGCTTGAGAAGTAGTGGCCAAAAACTGCTCTAAAATCTAGATCATCAAAGTAAGGAAATATTAAATGGTTAGATACAAGAGAGCGACATCAAAATTTTAGTTACTCCTCAAAGGTTAAACTTTTTGTTAAATAAAGCATACCTTAATGCCCTCTAAGACACCTCCCGAGTATGAGGAACAGTTAAGGAAGCTTTCCAATACATTGAGCGTGCGCTTGTAATAGTCCATCGCCACTTGTGAGCCGCGCTTATCATAGACTGCATTCATGGCATGAATCACACCTGCCTGCAAAAGAGCGAAGAGTGCAAATCGGTTGACAACATACGAGCATTGCTCCATGTCTAATCCCTGTGCAATGTCGGTGATGGCGCGTCCGGAGCCTGTGCAAATGGTGTTTGACTGCGCGGCTGCAGGAGAACCAGCTGCACCAACGATATAGGGACGATGGAGCAGAATCAAAGTGGTGTTATAGACAATGTAAAGATAAGCTGGGTACACCTCACCGGCCTCCTTTGCGAGAGCAACAGCTCGATTGGCCTCGGCAAGCGAAGCTTGGATGGAAGGCGGTGATCGCAAAGGAGAACCTGGAGAGCCTCGCTTGGAAACATTGGGGTTTTGCCAACGCATCTCAGGCGCCAAGTTACTCAACCAGGAGGAAAGTGACCCTTCGATAAAAGACACCATCGAATCATGTCCACCGAACTGAGGTGGTAATGATTGGGCAGAATACGAATGCTGCAGAACACTTCCAAGGATCTATTTGATAATATTGAAAAATCAGAACAATAATAAATTAGACAAAGCTTGCAAAACGAAAAGTATTAAAAAAGGATAAAATAATAGTATAAAAAAAGGTATACCTTGACCAAGCGGACCATGCAGATAAATCCACGCAAGTCTTGCTGTGAAGAAGTCGGGGCCATGGGTAGTTCGACATCACTTTCTTTGTCGTGCATCATCAGACCCAAGCCCAACCAGGAAGAGAATTGATGGTCCTATTTAATTGTTATTTTAAAAAATAAAAAATATCAGGAAAATATCCATTTGCCGGCCCTTTTTTAAATAGTAATAAAACTTTCTTGTTTAAAAAACTTACAAGGATGAACATCGACCACCACAAATAGCGAAGACCGTCAGCCTCGGGACCACTGATTATGTTTTCAGGATCGCGGTTGAGTCCCAATTCATGTGCCATACGAATAGCCATCGAGAGATAGCTACTGCTGCGTGTAGCCTTCCATTGGCCTTGGTGGTGATACTGCGACATCAGACACAATGCCTGAACAGTACTCACACGGGGTACGTCCATAAAGTCGTCTAGCAATAAGCGTGCAGCATCAAAGAAACTTTGACTTAGGAAGCCTGAGTGTTGACGATCCTCCAAAGTCACAGAGTTGGTCGAGGGAACCTTGGCTGCTACTGCCAAAAGGGCATTGAGCAACAAGGGGGAAATAGGTGCTGCTGGATCTTGAGAATGTTGGTTATGTGCCTCGATATCCTCTGCCTGAGCTGGGCGGTTTCTAGGGTGGGAAGAAGGTGTTTGGGGGCAAAGAGGGCAGTTTTGTTGCTCCCATTGCTTCATAAAGGTGGGACGATGGATAATGGGCAAGTAGATATTGAAACGTTCAAAGAACGATTCGATCAACTGAAGAGTCTGCTCCGGAGAGATGGTAGGTGTGAAAGAGCGAGTAAGGATAGGAAGAGAAGGCTCAAGACTCTGAAGTGTGAACTGAAGGTGGTTGCGACCGTATTGGAGAGATTGCTCTGGGCCAAGCCAGGGGAAGGGAACAGTGGTACGGACTGAAGTAGATCCCAATTTATCAAACATTGAGGTGAGAGAAGCGATATCTGCATTGGTGACTAGGCTGCTGTCGTTCTGTGAAGAGTGATGGGGCAAGACATCATGGGAAAACGGGAGTAAGGATGTGATGGAATGGTTGCGAGAAATCAAAGGTGAGTGACGGCCAAGGGGTGACATGGCCACAGAACCCGAGCGGATGTTGCGCGAGGATGGGGTGCTGGAGCGAGCAGGACGTAAAGCAGGCGAAGCAGGCTGTTGCTTGACCTTAACGAGGTCGTTAGAGTAAGTGCTGGCGCAGCCGTCATCCTCATCTTCATCATGGCTGTCCTCGTTGTCCTCGTTATTTTGAGAAGTATGAGAAGCAGACGCAGCAGTGGAGGATGAGACAGTGGCCTTGTCTGTGGATGAAGAGGACGAGGCCTCGGGGAGGGTGTTTTTCTTTTTTCTAACAATACTGGTAAGCATATTTTCAATCTTGCCCAGTCTGTCCTCAATCACTTCGACGTAGCCCTTTGGAGGACCACGCTTTGTGTTGCTGGTTGTGTAAACACATTGGGTTTTTGCCGCTTTACAACCACTGCAACCATCAGGGACACCGTCGCACTTGACTCTTCTCCGTCGACAATTATCGCATGCCTTTGTGATTTTGGATCTCTTTTGTTGAGTGCTGCTGTTGAAGTCCAACAGCATAGGAGAGTTAAACATAGTGTCTAACTTGAATGCGTGGGAATAGATAGGGTAAGATGGGGTGTGCGCTGTGCGTTTGTGAACTTTTGCGCCGTGCAATAAGGATTAGATTATTGCACAAGCACTTTCTGTTGAGTGTGGCAACGTGGAGGTGTTAATATGACGCACAAAGAAGGTCACGGGAGTAATGTTTAGGACTAGACCGTTTGAGAAGTGGGTATGAATGAATCTGGATGGAGAGTGTGAGTATAAATAAGGGTATGAATGTATATGTGAATAAATGAGGGAAAGAATGAGAATCGAAGTTTGAAATGGAAATGGAGAATGGAGATTGATGAAGAGAAAGAGAGAAGAGAAGGGAAAAGAGAAGAGAGGGGAAGAGACGGGAAAATAAGGGAAATTGGGCGCTAGAAAGAGAAAGTCAAAAAGGCACATTTCACACAATCACACAATCACAAAAAGAGAGAGCAAAAAAAAAAAAAAAAAAAAAAATGAAGCGAGAGCGGGTGAGCCATGATAGAATAATATAATCCTTTGTTAATATGTTTTATCAGCTGGATATTCATGGGTATATAACAGTATTATTTGCGGAGTCTTTTTTTTTTGATCGGGCATGTTTCTTTTTTATTACCATGATGAATGGACAATAAGTTTGCTCTACTCTCTTTCTACGGAAAGCCTTGCAGAAAACGTTGTTGTCATGGCAAAGAAACCAGGCAACCGTGCAAGTGTTAATTGATGGGATTTACCAAAAAAGCGATTGCAACTTGCCCGTGGACTCCCAGTTTGTTTGTTTATTTGTTTGTGTCTTTATGTTTTGAGCATGGTTACAAAAAGAAAAAAAAAAAATAGAAAAAACTTGTTGTCCAGTTGACCTCTGTTTTTAAACATTTGGAGTGAACTTGTCCCTTTCAAAGTGAGAGGCCCCATGTGTTCCCCCCCACCCTCCTTCCTGCACCACCCCTTATTTAGAGCCAGTAACGGGCTCACGTTGAGGCACCGCTGGTTCAGATTGGACAGGATCGGCCTTATTTTTTATTTTCTCTGTTTTTTTGTTCATATCTCCAAGGGATACATGGGCCCTACCAAGAACAGGTAAAGTTTCAATCGTATGTTGACAGTAGCCTGCGCTTACTGATCTCATTCTGTTTTTATTTTTGTTGAAAGAATGCTTAGTGTCCTACTACTTCATTTAGCGCCCAATTGCGCCTAATGCCATCATGATCTCTGCCTTGCGGAGTTTTTATTTATTTTATTTATTAGGATAGACAAAAAGTTGAACGAATCAATAGACAAAAATGATTAAGAATGCCTTTCTATTTTTATAAGACTGAATTCATTTTTAAAATAAAAAATAAAAAATAAAAAATGTTTTGTCTCCTTTTCAAAAATGGCGTACATTCGTCCATTAACAATGTAGACCTTTTGCTTTCCGATCACTAACACCTGCATGCATTTGGGATATATTCTGCAATCATGTTCAGGTGGACATCTGAAATTGGAATTTTTTTCTCTTTTGTCCATCAGGCCTACTGTTGATCCTTAAATTTGCTCATTGTGCAGTACATGTCCATTACTTTTTTGTTTAATGTTTTTATTTTTTTTAGAAAGAAATGGGCATTTGACTCTATCCCTGTAATTGTTTTGACGTGGCTGTTTAATTGGCAATAAAAACTAGAAACAAATCAAATGTCGTTTGTATATATAAATGATAGAAACGATGATGCAAATCCTAATAGCCATAACCATGTATAAATGGCATAGTGACTTCTAACAAATGATAACAATTAATAAATGTTTAATTTCATAGATAAGTGTCCTATTAGATGGCCAGATTCCCTTCCTTGGAGAAGGAAGATATCTGACGTGAGGAGATTGGAGATCTTTTTCCCACTAAAAAAAAAAAAAAAAAAAAAAAAAAAAAACTCTTTTCTTTCCTTTTTGCCACCCAGGCAAGCCCCTGATTGAACTTGTTTCTTCCTTGTTTCACTTCGTCATATCAGACTCTGGAAGGACTGCAAGCTTTTCTGAAATATCAAAATAGGAGGTGGCCTCTGGACTACTGAAGCATATGCCTGTCCATCTAAACATTGTAAATCCTGGGTTAAGTGCTTATGACACCAAAGAGCACGTTCAACGCCTTTGATGACATTAAAGACCAGAGATGTAATGCTATATATATATATATATATATATATATATATACTTGTTGGAATGATTTATGAGCTGACATGCACATTCTCTTACAATGACAATAACGGGAATAACGCATCCTCTAATTAAAGAGCATTTCATATCAGCTCTAGTGCAAATTGAGTTTTTTTTTTTACCTTTATTTTCAATGATCTTGTGACAATAGAAAGACACGTTTTCTAGATGTTTCAAACTATACATGTGATGAGGTTATTGAAAATCCATTTCTATTCACTGTTCATGGTGTCATAGGAAGGATTAATTTGGAAATGAAAGTCTCTGAAGGTTTCAGTCGATCCAACTGCCAGACAACAACTCAAGTGTAGATCCTCAGAGCCCTTGATCTCTCTTATCGGACAGACTCGGTGATCATAGTCTCAGTCCGCAGTTTCGATCAAGCATGATGGATAAATATTACCAAACCAATCAATGACGTGCACATGTGGGAAACACCAGTCATAGGTAAGTCTTCATCAATTGTTAGATCGTTGATTTCGAAAGAGCAGAACAATCTTGGATCCTCTGCTCCTTTAAAATGTCTCGGTACTTTATCAAGAACTCGATCATGGCTTCGAGGGTTCCCCTGGCATTTTCACTGTTGGAGCTAAAAGCTATGCCACCCAGTCTCATAAGGATTGGGCCATCAAAAGATGTACGGCAGAGCAGGCGAAATTATTGGCTGCGGATGTGATGTGCTCACTCCAGCCACCAAAAGAATATGCGATAATATGGAGGGATAGACGTACAATTGTTGATGTCGACATTGACACACGTAGACAATAGAAGCAACAACAACAACAATAATAATAATAATAATGATAATAATAATAATGATGATAATAATAATGATGATAATAATAATGATAATAATAATAATGATAATAATAATAATGATAATAATAATAATGATAATAATAATAATGATAATAATGATAATAATATCAATAAAGGTATTTCCGGGAATCATGGTGCCTTTTTGTGATTTTTTGTAGGTGGTCTATGTGTCAGATGAAGCCACGTGCGGATAAAACTTAAAAAAGTCGTATTTGGAAAATAATAAACACTGCGATGATGCTCTCAATTTTTTCTGAAATATTCGGGTCCTCAGATACTCCGAACGAACAAAGCGCTCTTTGGACACACAGGATAAAATGGCTTGTGAATAGAATATGGCGAAGCTGTGATGGCTTTAACCCATACATGCAGATCCTCCAACAGCAATGGGGGGGGGGGGGGAATGATGCATATTCCAGAAACATTATAAAACAAAATGATAAGAATAATAGTTACGACGCTGGTGACTCCAGTCAAGAAATATACTAGGTTCGTGTCCACATACACGTCAACATATTCGATATCTTTAGCTTGCCACCATTCGAGAAAATATTAAAAGAGGCACTCAACTCACTGAATAGGCCCGAATTACAAAGTAGAGCAATACCACCACCCATTATCAATTAAGCAACATGCTATACCTATGTTTGTTCGTTCTTCACAATAGCTTATATTGATTGCTGAATAAATAAGAACGCTTTCTCTCAACGTAACACCTTAGGCCAGACATAGCCATAGAAAGGTTAATTACACTGTTGAGATACCTTCTAGAGAATGTGTCATATATCTTTGATACATCAACAGGCCTCGAGGAGGGCATGGCGTTGAATCTGGCGCTGTTGAGTGCAGACCGTACCTGCATAGCCCTTGTCTCCCATTCATCTTTCATCTTCTTTAGATTAACTGAATAGCTGCAACTAGCACCCTTTTTTATAGACAAGTTGATTTTAGATGCATTTCCCAAAGGTACACCGAATGGAGTCTACATTAATATTCATGTCAAAATTTGCTCCTCTCATAAAGGTGACTCCATTGAAATGCAGCCCTCTTTACTCCAAGGAACTTTTCATACTTGTGAGATACTTTTTCAAGGATAGGATGCGTTAGCCTGTCTCATGATGAGAGGTGGGGTGTGCTACGACCAAGGGGATCATAATCCACGGAATAATATGTTACATCTTTGATAGTAAGGCATAGTAAGATGGAGATGTTGCAAAAATACAGTCGTTAAAGATAAATAAAGGGAACAGTGCTTTCCTTCTCAAAGTGGTTGATGTCTGAAAGGGCGGTCCTAGCCCCATAGCTTTAATTGTAAGGAAACTGAATCAAGAAGAGCTTGGATAACAAGTGGTGTTTGCCCATCGAAAGCAACCAACGTTAAATGTATCGCAATGCCTGCGCCATCCACATTACCAGTCGTGCTTCTAGAGAGCGAGCTCGCCGGAAGAACAAAAATGCATCATTCAGCAAAACCAAACCTCGTCAAGAGTCGAGATAGACATTGCGTCTGTATCCATCTTTTTAGATATTTAGATATCCCAGACTATCTCAACTTGACCCACACTCAACTGTCAAACAGATATTATCTAAGAGAAGTAGCCCAACATCGATCAGAATTTATAAGGCTGTAGGTGGCTTCGTACTCGTCCCATTGCCTCCTTCCGAAATGGAAGCATTTTTACATAACAACTGCGTTCATCACTCCGTTGCCTGCTCGAGTTGTAGAGTATGATCTATACAACACAACATAATGACACGCATTAAATTCGTGGAAATAAATTCTCAAAGACCCCAGCAATTCACTACAGTGCAGCTTACATTAAAACTTAAAACAACAGCTACCAAGGAGGGGTTAACAGTGAAGGGAAAAGGCTACCAAAATGAATAAAAAAC